ATGTTTCCTTGTACCTTGTGATATTTGTTCGGACTTGTGGCTGGTGTACTGTACAGTTATCCTGCATTCCTCTCACGCTACTACAGTATATACTTCGCTTCCTAGCATGGAGAATCCTTATCCTGTTCTCTTTGGATTCTACCTCTGCTAGGTGAGCAGCCCTCTCATGTATTGTAGTTAGCCTTATTCATTATCTTTGGATTCTCCCTCTGCTAGGCCTGCGCTGTCAGCCATCTTGAGGTTGCCCTTACAAAACCGTAAAGGCGGCAGCAGGAGCCGGCATTTACTACGGACTGGATGACGAGAGAAATAAAGCAATAAGAGTGCCGAAAAGATGGGCGCAAACGAACCAAACAGGCGAGATGGCGGCGGTCTGGAAAGCGGTAGCGGAAAACCATGACCACAGAAACCTGAGGATAGAAAGTGACTCGAAATATGTTATAAATTCCTTGACAAAAAATTTAGCAACGCTAGAAGACACAGGCTATATAGGCAAAGCAAATAAGGAGTTAATCCAGCTAACCGTGGCAAAAATAAGAGCAAACGAGGGATCGATGGCCTTTAAATGGGTTAAAGGCCATAACGGACATATGGGAAACGAAGGAGCAGACAGGCTCGCGGACGAGGGCGCGAGGAAGGAATATGAAAGGGATGAAATCGACGAAATACCCCAGGAACTGAGGCTAACGGGGGCAAAGCTGTGTCGACTAACGCAAAGCCTAGCGTACAAGGCCATAAAAGAAAGAGAAATCAAGGAAGAGAAGGTCGGAAGGGATAGAACGAAGAAAATGATCGGTATAATCCAAAACCACATCAAGGAAGTACTGGACGAGATGCCAACAGAGGGACGGATCTGGAAATCGTTGCGAAATAAGGACCTGTCTAGACGAGTAAGGTACTACTTATGGATGACAGCACATGATGCCTACTGCATTGGAACACACTGGCTAAAGCCAAACTACAAGAAGGAGCTTCAACAGAGGAGCAAATGTGCCCACTGCCACGGCGCGATCGAAGACATGAGCCATATATTGTCAAGGTGCGAGACCCCAGGCCAAGAAGAAATCTGGCAACTGGTAAAAGACCTGTGGACAAAAACAGGGAGGGAATGGACACAGCCATGGATAGGAAACATAGTGGCGTGCGCAATCTCAAAAACGCCCGAAGACAAGAAGGAGAAGGACCCGGGAGGGAACCGACTCTGGAGAATAATAGTATCGGAGTCGGCGTACCTAATATGGAAACTAAGATGCGAAAGGGTCATTCAAAATAATAACGCACCCTTTTCGATCCAAGAAGTAAATAATAGATGGATGTCGATGATCAATACGAGACTAGAATTAGACTGCGATATGACTGATGAAAGCCTGGGGAAGCGGAAACTGAAGGCCAAAGTCGTCCTCGAGACATGGAAGGGCGCCCTTAGGGAAGAAAAGAAACTCCCAAGGAACTGGACGAAGGTAGGCGGGGTTTTAGTGGGTATTAGACCGAGGCTTCATCAGGGGGAGGGGTAGGTGTTGCCTTCAAGAACGGCCTGGAGTCCCACACGGCGTGCGTAAAAGCATTTCCTCGCGGTTTTAATCAAGTCTTGGTTCGGCTTAATACTCCAGGGCAACTGTCCTGGGGGCAACAGCGGGTGGGGAAGTTCTGGCATTGACGGAACGGAACCGCTATCTAAACGCTCAACCAAAAAAAAAAAAAAAAAAAAAAAAAAAATCATTCCGCTATCCTCCTTGGACACTGCCCAAAACAACGAGCGACTTGACAATAGCCATTTGTGCGCGATGCCAACAAAAACTGCTATTCAGCTGCGCAAGAGGAGCCGCACAACTCAGCCAGTTCCTGCAGCAATCCAAACTTCGTGCAAAAATGTTGAACAGTGTGTTGTCTGCTCTCGATGGAAGGACCTGGTCAATTGGATACCCCAAGACTGGAAAAAGAGAAAGAGTGCAACTAGCACAAACCAATCCGTGAGTTGCATTGGCCTCTTCCTTTCATGTTTACCCTCAGACTAGTATATGAATTAGCAGCAGAGGAAGATCTTTGGCCAATCATCAAATTTCATTGATCATTAGGATTCAATGACAAGGATATAGCACATCATGCTATGGACCACTTTGACCAATCAAAATATTGTTGGATTTGTTGTTATGTGTTTCAAGTGTTCTCCGAATTGCAGCATGCGTTTAGATAATTACAATGCATTTATATGTAGATACATTTGATTCTTCACACATAGATAAATAGGTAGTTTGAATTACATGGTCCCTCACACATTTGTGAGGGTCAACTGCTATTCCATACTCCCAAGTAACCACGAAGAAATGGTTATTTCTACAAATATGGCCTCAGGTAATGTTCATTTTGTTAAGGACTGTGTCAAGTGGGGCTCCTGACTCGTCCATAAGGGGCGCGGGAATGCGCGGATGAGTGGAGCACACGGGACTTGGCTTCAGCTTTGATGCTGTGCCTGTAAGGGGACACTACTATTTTCTGCTATTCCCCTGTCCCTCTCCCTTCCTCCTCGTTCCTTTCTCTTTTCCTTCATCTCACAGACTCTTACATACATCCCTTTCATTCCCTTTCCTTTCCACTTCCTTTCTGCCCACTCCCTTTGCATCCAAGTCACGTCCGGTGACTCCGAAGTCTTCCCGCACTTCGGACACTTCGGACTCGCTTAGACTCGCTCAGACACTTCAGACTACCTCAGACTCGCTCAGACTTGTATATACACTTCAAGGCTTGTCCGGGTTACCTCTGTCCTCTTTCCCTGCTTCATTACTCTTTGCCCTTACTTCCCCAGGTCGCTGGCACAACTCCTGTACATTCCCCTTCCACTTCATTATCACATGTTTCCTTGTACCTTGTTATATCCGCTCGGACTTGTGGCTGGTGTATTGTACAGTTATCCTGCATTCCTCTCACGCTACTACAGTATATACTTTGCTTCCTAGCATGGAGAATCCTTATCCTGTTCTCTTTGGATTCTCCCTCTGCTAGGTGAGCAGCCCTCTCATGTATTGTAGTTAGTCTTATTCATTATCTTTGGATTCTCCCTCTGCTAGGCCTGCGCTGTCGGCCATCTTGAGGTTGCCCTTACAGGAGGCATCACATTGACATTGAAATATAAGGTACTCACAAACCCCCTCTGTGTCCATGGCATGATGATTGCGTGTATTGAGTGGTCTGGAAGCTTGAACTTGAGTATGAGAGTCAGAATAGTTAGTGAAGCACGTAGGGGAATGGGAATCCTGCCAGTAGTCTGTTTGCCAGGTGTGTGGATCCAGAGAGTTGGAGCAGTTGTTATCCACATGGGGTGCGTTACAGCGAGAAGAGATGTCAAGAGCTTCAATTTGGGGCTGCATTGAATGCCCCAAGTGTTGTGAACGGTTGTCGAAGAAATAAGTGGACATTGGGGATGTTGGTGAGGAGTTGAAACACCGAAACATTGAAGTCCAACAATTGAACTGGCGATTGAAATAAAAAAAGATGATGTAATTGAAGACAGGGTGTAAGGGCAACCTCAAGATGGCCAACAGCGCAGGCCTAGCAGAGGGAGAATCCAAAGATATGAATAGGACTAACTACAATACATGAGAGAGCTGTTCACCTAGCAGAGGTAGAATCCAAAGAGAACAGGATAAGGATTCTCCATGCTAGGAAGCAAAGTATATACTGTAGTAGCGTGGGAGGAATGAAGGGTAACTGTACAGTACACCAGCCACAAGTCCGAACAAATATCACAAGGTACCAGGGGGCATGTGATAATGAAGTGGAGGGTAAATGCACAGGAGTTGTGCCAGCAAATTGGGGAAGTAAGGGCGAAGAGTAATGAAGTGGGGAAAGAGGATAGAGGTAGCCTGGGTGAGTCCTGAAGTGTATGTACGAGTCTGAGTGAGTCTGAGTGAGTCCAAGTGAGTCCAAAGCGAGTCCAAAGTGCGGGAAGACTGCGGAGTCACCGGATGTGACTTGGATGTGAAAGAGGTGGGCAGAAAGGAAGTGGAAAGGAAAGGGAGCAAAGGGGAATGAAAGGGAACGAAAGGGATGTAAGTAAGAGTCCGCGGGATGAAGGAAAGGAGAAAGGAACAAGGAGGAAGGGAGAGGGACAGGGGAATAGGAGAAAATAGAGGTGTCCCCTTACAGAGGGATTCCGAAGGTCCGAGTATCCGAAAGGGGCATAGGGGGGCTCGGGACTACGCGGACCTGCGGGTGCGCGGTTCCATGTAGAGGCGTGGAGGGGAAACAAGGGTGCAAGGACATACAGGCTTGGCTTCAGCTACTGGCTGCACCTCCCACACTCTTGCGTGCCCTGTATTTCCTGAGGGGGTTCCTACACAGGTACCAAGGGTATGAGCGGAGGCGAGGGGAACAAGACGGAGGCCTCAATGAAGAGGCAAGAGTGTGAGTGCGGATAAGGAACTAATATTTGAACTAAGGTAACTGTATGTACAGTATGTTATATACCAGTCCTCACGCCCCCTTAGGGGTCCCCCTCTGCAAGTGTGGCTCTTAACATTGCTGCTAAGACCATTTATCAGGAGTTCACGAGCTCCCACAGGTGCAACAAATACTGTTGCTTCTTCCAGCTCACACCCTTTGGTCCTGATAATAATTCTTGAACTTCCTCCCTACGTTCTTCAGAATCCAAACTCAACCCTCCACTCCTTTCTCATTCCCATGCCTCCTAGCCTCTAAAAAACATACAACTCAACTTTAATATTTCACTGCTTAATACCACATTCATTTTCTACGGTTGAACTCTAGATTAGCTTTTTGCATTATCATTCATTGATATTGAGACTTTGTTACAACTTATGATAGGTAGCTCATTCTCCGTTTGCTCGCGGTTTCGGGGTCCATCCATTCATTTGAAACTCCGCCGGCGCTTTTGACCTCTTTGTGTGTTGCCATAGGGAACAAAAGCGTGGACCCACAACCGTGCGAAAGACAGTCTACTTCACGGTCTCCATCTCAACTTTGTTCTTGCTGACCACGAACCAATGGATGCATCTAATATTCGGCCTACTGAGAGTCCACCACGGAAAGATCTCAGAGGGCGTCTCTCTGAGGACGAGGTCTTCTGGAGAGATCACTATGTCTGGCTTCTAGAATGTGGCTACCGACTCCAGCCGAGATACCATCCTGACTGGAAACCATCCTGGGAAGGAACCGACAAGTTGTGGATGACATGCGTAGATGGTTCAGGTCCTCAGGTGAGTTAAATTGCCCTTGTTGAGGCGAATGTCCTACCCTGAATCTGCAGTCATAGCATTACAGCACGATGGCTGCCGAGCGCGTCTCTGATGGCGAACTACTCACGTTCAAAACACTATCCAAATCCATATTTCCTCACGAAATAGAGATTGGTCAATATTTCTCGACGGCACCCTTATCAAAGGATCCTCGCAATCACTGTGTGCCGATATACGACGCTTTGCAGGTTCCTGACAACGACGACATATGGTTATTAGCAATGCCGCGCCTTCGAGCTCACGACGATCCCCGGTTTGATACTGTTGGCGAAGGAGTGGAATTCTTTCGCCAGATATTCGAAGTGTGTGTGCCCGCCTATCTGGCCATTTGCTAGGTCTGATGCCCCCCCCAGGGATTACAGTTCATGCACCAGCACCACGTTGCACACCGGTGAGTTCTCGCGTCAGACCCGGAGATATATGCGCACTGACGTAGATTAGAGATGCGACCTACATGAACATTATGATGGACGCTCGACTACTATATCCCGAAGGATATCATCCGTTCTTGCCATGGCGCAACCCTAACATGAGTGGCTCCGCTAAGCACCTTACTCGAACACAACGGCCTGTCACGTATTTCCTGGTGGATTTCGGTCTGTCTCGTAAATACAGCCCAGAAGAACGCCCTCCGCTTGAACCCATTATCGCAGGTGGGGACAGATCCGTGCCGGAATTCGCTACGACGAAGGCATGTGACCCATTCCCCACCGATGTCTATACCTTGGGTAACTTAGTCAAGATGTACTTTTTGGACGTGAGCCTCTCCATCCCTTTCTTTCACTTTTGTCTGATCGCTCAGCAGGGTGACGAATTTACCAGTTCTCGATCTGGATTCGAGTTCATGAGGCCACTCGTTACTGATATGACACAGGCCGACCCTTCTAAACGGCCGACTATGGATGAAGTTGTGGAACGGTTCGAAACCATTAGGAAAGGCCTCAGTTCATGGAAGCTTCGCAGTCGGGTGGTCAAATCAAAAGACTCATATTTCATGGGCTTCTTCCGTGGTATCAGACATTGGCGACGCCGTATTGTCTTCATTGTCAAACGTGTTCCTCCATTGCCCACTCCGAATTAGTCCCCTTTTTCCCCCATGTCTCGAGTCACTATATCAGACCTTCCTAGTTTGTCCAAGACAATGATTATACATTAGTTTGCACGGTATTATGTATATTGATCAGAAGCGACTCTAACTGAAGTTTGAGATGGGAATGTAGTGCTTAAGGACACGAGGGTGAGGTGGGGGAAACGGCATAGAAGCGGGACAAGGGCATTGGCCAATCCCATGGTTCGTGTACGAACGGTGGAGGGATGTTGTCCGCTCACGTGTCTCCTTGCGTCGACGAGCGCTTAACGACTTCATACCTGCACGTAGACTAAGAATGCTCGCAAGTCTGGACATTGTCTACCAGATCCTACATTGGCTGAAAGAAGATAGGAAAGCGCTGCGGGAATGCAGTCTCGTGTGCAGATCCTGGCTTCGTCCCTCCCAATGCCTCATCTTCAAGAAATTCGTCTCCACCATTGTTCTCGACCGACCCTATACAAGGTACACTGGACGAGCCGCGATTTTTGCCGATTCGCCCCATCTTGCTACATACGTTCAGCACGTACAGATATACGTGACTTCTCTTCGAATCTGTGGTCATCTCCCACCCCTTCTTCGCAGGTTTACGAACACTCGATCATTCGGCATTACTACTTATAGCAGCGATCATTGGGCTGATGTTCCGAAAGATCTACACTGCTGCATAGAGGACATGGTTGCTTTGCGAACATTGGAGCAGCTTGATCTAGGCCATTGGATTTTCAGCCCGCAGCAGCTGAATAATTTACTCAAACATTGTTCCCCTACGCTTCGATCGTTGGGTCTATGGACGTTGGAGATTAGGGCTAGCGAACAAGGAGGAGAAGTCGAACCCGTAGAACTCGCTGGTTTGACGGAACTTTGCTTCGACAAGCATACGTCTCTCCCTGCTGAAGGAACATTGAAGACGCCGAATGACAATACCGTAGCACGTTTATTGCACAGTCAGTGCAGTGCCGCACGCTGTCGACCCTTATCGATCCCTGGAATCTCGGATGAGGTGTCTACATGGTCGTTCCATATCAATCTATGTGAGTATTGGACCTACGATTACTCTTTGAGTGACCTTCCATACCTAACGCTTTGATAGTTGAATGCATCATTAATGAGAGGTGCAGCGCAATCAACTTCGATGACCTTGTCAATCTTCGTCACCTTAGTCTCACTATCGAGTGCCACTTTCATCCTGCTAACCCCGACCCTCTTCTTCACCCAATCATCTCTGCTCTCGGCCGAATTCTACTCAGGATCCCAACTGCTCATCTCAGATTCCTCGATATTTACTTCCTTTGCAAGTATGATTGGTTCAAATGGGTCCAAGGTGACTGGGATCACATGGTAGCCAGCCTGGTGCCTTTTGTGAACACCGGAAAGCTCTTGGAGAAGGTTTCATTCGTGGTCGAGACCCATAGGGACGACTCCACGTACTCGATGATTACTTGCGCAATAGATAAACGGCTCAAATGTTTCGAGACAAGGCTACAGCCTGACGTCGGTCCAGGACGTATCCCCTATGGTAGGCGCACACGGTGAGTGCTGTAATGGCTTGCTGCTTTGAGCCATGCTTTAAAACCCGGTTACAGTCCGTGATCGTCAATATCCCTGTTGCGAGTTTACATAATACACTTCAGTGGGACGAGTTTACCCCTCGGATGGCGAACTTCTCTTACTCAAGCACATAGCGAACGATGGTGTAGCAGTAGGTCAGTATTTATCCGCACCACCCATTCAGGAGGATCTCAGTAGTCACTACATCCCAATATACGATGTTTTGCAAGTCCCTGACGGCGATCATTGCTGGTGGTTACATCTGCCCCCCACATTAATGACTGAGGACGTGTGCATACCTTTCCCCTCATGTTGGGAAAGTTGATAAGAATCAGATTTACTAAAGTGCGTGAATATACCATCTTCAGTCTAAGTTGCCTTACAGCCAGTGCCATAGAAGCACTCGACTTCATGAAGCCACTTGTTGCAACTATGACCAAGACTGACCCGTCCCACAATGGATGACGTTGTGGAATTCAAAACCATCCGAAAGGTCTTGGTTCGTGGAAGCTTCGTAGTCGTGTGGCCAAATCGAGAAAGACCTCGCTTTTCATGGGCATCTTCCACGGTATCAAACATTGGCCACTCCGAAGGTTCTTCATTGCAAAGCGTGTTCGTTACTGACTATTTGTCTCCTTCAAAAGGCATACTGTTATTTCAGGAACCGAAAATTGCAGAGTTGGGCGACGACGTGGTTGTCACAGAAGGGGTAGCGCAGAACTGCTGCGACATGAAACGCGCGGCACAACTTTTCTATCATTACTAAACCACGTTTTGCTGGCGTTGAAACATAACCTTGATACCTGAGGGACATAGAGGCCATCGCGACACTTGAAGACAGGGAGGTCCACAAAGTCCTTTTCCCGTCAAACTGAAGCTGATCTCCAACTGACCCAATCGCGTCTGACTGTTGAACGGGTGTCTATCAGGGAGCACAGTTCACGCACGAACATCACGTCGCGCATCAGTGAGTAAGGAGTGGTCCCCGACCTGTGTCTCCGTTGATCAATCTTACACATAACCAGCTTCGACTTCATGAAGCCTCCGGTTGATCTGACCCAGGCGGACCGGTAATAACCTCACAACGGCCTACAATGGTCGAAGTTCAGGAACGATTCGAAATTACTCAGAGTAGCCTCAGTTCGCGGAAACTTCGCAGCGGTAAAGTCAATGACTCGTATTTCAATGGGCATCTTCCGCAGTATCAATCTTTGACAGCGCCGGATGCTCTTCATTCTGAATCGCGTTCCTCCATCAGTGATCACGCACTTATACCTCTGAGTTTGCTAGGTCGAGCGCCGATCATTTGCCATTCCTAGCCTGTCTGCCAACGACAATCCGCGGCGACCGCCTAGGAGGTACCTAGATATTGCCTCGATATCCCGGGTATCGGGTGGGGGAACTTCCCATTGGTCATTACTACCCTTCCATCATTCATACCAATCCCTTCAAACCTCAAACCCACATTCCTCGCGGTTCTGAGCCTAGTAGCTATGCCACCTCGTACGCCATTCGTTCTTCGTTGTCGGCCATCACCAACGCCGGATTGGCCTGATAATGACGTTCCGTTATTACGAAAGCCTAGGTCGTTCGTTTGCATCATGGGGCACCATGCTCGCTGAATGATACATACCCATGAAGAAATACCGCATGGATAGTTTTGTTGTCAGTCGACGGTTGTGCTCAGAGCCGCCGGTTCAATGATGCAAAGGAAGCACTCGTTACCTTCGGTGTCTACTTGTCCCGATGTCCTCTGATGGACGGAGATGGACCCACTAATGTTGCCAACCTACTATTCACTGATTCAGGTGCAAGGATCCAACATCGGTTTTATGTCCGATATTTAAGGAGCGACGAATTTCAATTGAAAACTTGACACATATTCAAGTCCAGCGAAGGTCCAGATTACTTCTCAGTATAGAACCATACGGAGCTTGTAATCCGTCGAGGACACGGTGGGAATCTCTTCGCTTCTTCTTCGCTTGTCTCGTTCGTTATCTATTTCGTGAGGTGACAAAAACAGATGTCGGGATAAAGAACGTACCGGCGCCTTCAGGCTGTATACGCCACCCCTGTTTTGCATTCTGTCATCTTTCTACACACCCGAGCAAACACCAGGGACAGCCAACTGAGTCTTCCGTGGACTAGCCGGTCTTGCTGGCACAAAAAAGGTGGATGGCAGATGGGAATCAAAAGAGACTGGGCCACACTCGCTCCCAAGGCACATTACACGAGTTCTTTTGCGCGACCCGGTCCAAGAGATGCCACTGCTGCTGTATCAATAGCAGAGATAATCGATTACTCCGTAAATATAGACCTATGGGAGCCGATACTCCGAGGCACATCCTCTCGAGACGAGAATAGCTTGTATACAAGGCACTGACCTACGATCCAACAATTTCATGCTGAGTTTGAAGATCCATCGAACTTCCATTTTGCGGCGTGCGTATTGGCCGGAGGCATTGACGAAAGCATTGGTGGAATATAAAAGACCTAACATCAATTGGTGAGGATAACAAACAAGCACCCTCTTCGAGATGAATACTGTAAAGCGCGAGCTTCGCCTTTTCTTCGACTTCACTTGGAGGGACTGGTCTACGACCCTTATCCCTGGCCTCATCGTCGCCACTGGGGCGGTCAAACATGCCTCCCTCCCGGCGTGGAACGTCGCGCGATTTGTGCCATGGGTCGCTTGCTTTATCTACTTCTTCAACCTTTCCAACCAGATCGTCGGCGTCGAGGAAGATCGCATAAATAAACCAGACAGACCGCTTCCGTCCGGCAGAATCACCGTCCAGGGCGCGAAGCGTCGGTGGGCAATTGCCCTGGCTGCCTTCGTGGGCACTGCGCTATTTAACGGCAGCGGTCACTTAATCATCGAAACGGCGACATGGGTGACGACGACAGCTTTCTTGTGCTTGACGCCATATGGAGGGCATTGGTTTGGAAGGAATTCAGTGGCCATGGGCACTGGTACATGGGCACTTCTCAACGGCATATACAAGACGGTTGCGAGACCCGCCTCGGTGGAGGAGCGCTTCTTCTTTGTGGTAGCCATATGGCTCGCCACAGCCATACAGATACAGGACCTCAGGGACATCGAGGGGGACACGATCGTCAGAAGGAAGACATTGCCAATCGTGATTGGGGATAGGCAAAGTCGATGGCTGATATCGCTTGCATTCCTCCCACTCAGCTACGTGGTGTTGTGGGTGGGGGGCATCATATCGATGGCACCCACCACGGTGTCGGCAGCCCATGTGTTGTTGGGGTACAGAACATGGCACGGGACGGAGGCTAAATACGACCATAAGACGTATATGGTGGGTCTTTCCGTTGGTGCCGCTGGTTAGCGATTGAGCTGACGTGGTTTTACAGCTTTTTACTTACCTCTTTTGCTACATTCTTACGCTGCCCATCTGGTGCCGGCCTGTACTGAATTATCAAGCTCAGTGGGAAACGTTGCGCGCAATCCATATATAGACATCCACGTACCTTTTGTTTCGTTCTTCCCATTGGATTGGGGGTCTCTTAGACCTTTGGCGTTGTGCATAGTGCTGCTGTTCATCTGATTTCGTAATGTTGTTTGCTAGTATCTGAAAGCTGAGGCCTAAGGATTCGCGTGCAAACGCGACAGCCCCGAAACAGCAGATAACATTGTCATCAAGCGTCTCCCAATGCTAACGATCCTCGTTATCGTAAACATGTGCATCTGGCATGCTGATTGATCATCGTACCAGCGGTGAGAGTTTGGACCCACGCACCAGACGGAAATGAAGGTGTGTGGGACTTGTCTACGGAGATTTTACAACATGCTGTGTTATCCCCAGTGTGATATAATAAGAACGGAGACAGAAGGAAACAAGGGTCCGACAGCAATGTTTGACAGACGAAAGCAGGCGCACGAAAGTCCATATGTAAGGGGTCTACAGCAGTAATACGAAGAACCGGTGGTTTTGGCCGCATGGGGTGAAGCTGAGACCGTTAGAACCCCGTAGTCATCCAGAGAGCAAGAAGTCGACATAGCTGATCCAGCGGCGAGAGAAAGGTGCACAAGAATAGAAGTCACAGTTGGATTCCCGTCAACGCATCTAGTGCCAGCTTGACCTGCTTGATGAAATCGCTGAGACGCCTCCTCGTATCCTCTGAGTACACGAAAAGTTAGCTAGATTGATCCGAGAGTCGGAGAGAAAAGTGAAAGGGATATCGGGGTGCCAGATATGCAGAATGAGCACGGAGCAAACCCCCCAGCAGTGAAACGGCGCCTACCAATAAGCGTCGAACGAAGAAATGGAAACGGTATACGATAGGCGCGCGAAAGCACTGTGGATGTAGACGACCTGCCTTGTTCCATTTCTATGCTCATCACTTTCCCGATCCTTTGTTCGATGAGTTGCCCGGAGTATTCGCTTTCCCCTCTGGGTCGTGCGGCAGACCAGGCATGAAATTCGAGCATGATGTCCAGTAACATTGACGTAAATTCTAGCATACAAGAGAAGGGTGAGCATGTAAGTCCAAGGTACGACAAATTAGAGCCATTGTAGGTCATCCCTTTCTTAGATAAAGGTGCATATAGGAAATGAATCGAGATATATGCGCAATACGGGCCTCCCCATCGACTCTGAAGCAACTTCTGTCTGTTGAAGTACTCACCGCGTTCGAACACTGTATCTCGGTTCGTTTCCTCTTGAAACGGCTTGACAATCGCAGCCTCCGCGTCGAATGGTACGAACGGCGCCGAAATTGTCTCAGCCACTCTTCGGGATTGGGTAAGTGACGGCTCCTTGAGTTCCTGCTTCTTCTCGGTTGCGTGTTGCACTTGATTCAATGAAGCGCTAGTGCTCGTACTGGTGTTCGGAGATGAAGCTGGCAGGACACCGGTATCATCTGATGACTGCCGGGGACTCGTGGGAGGGGAAGACATGGACGAGGGTGATGGTGGTTGTGTGGAAGAGGTTAATTCAGACTCCGAGCGTCGCGGTAGTCGAATACATAGCGAGCGCTAATCGCTGCTCTGGAATACGTCGCAGAAGTTCCACACAATGCAGCTGTTCTCTGTTCGGACGCTAGGTAACTGGTAACTTCAGTCGCGCGTATGAGATGTTACGGTTTATGATTGTATATTTGACGTGTGTCTAGGTACTTCTCCAAGAATCAATACATATGAATAGTGATATCGACACAGTAAACGAAGTGGTATCGTTGCAAATTAAACTAACAGACTAATCCGGAATGAAATGACACGGCTAAAAATACAGTAGGGTGTCGGTCGTAATGCGTAATGTTGGCAATGCAGTGAATATGAGGTTAGGTCTTTGGAATGTTTAGGGCGTTGTGGGTTTAATGGGTTTACGAAGGGGAATGTGAGGGGCGGTTTATACGGCGCTCAAGTCGCTCTCTTTATATGTTGAGGGTGTATCGGGGGTATGTCGCGGTGGGTTCTCCTTGTTGACGGGAGATTCCGAAGGGGAGGGTGCAGGGGAGTCGAGGACAACGCCGCGTACAGAAGATATTTCGATGCCGACGACGTCCTGTCGAGTGTGAGCTTGCTCGGGCACCGAAAGAGTCGAAGAACTGGAAGATGTGGAGTATCCGACGTCGGTCTTGACATCCAAAGCACCACCAGCGTCCGTGAAGGACATATCGGAGAATGAAGCGTACGATTCGCGCTTGGTGATCATATCGGTGTGTACAAAGACGGGAAGGGTAACGCCGGTGCCAGTAGATCCCATACCAGGGTATGACCGCTTCTCGTTGAAAGTCCCGGTGGAGGACATTGTCCCGCCAGTGGTGTAACCGACACGCTTGGCAACGGAATCGAAAGCGATGCGGTAGTGCTTGCGGGCCTCATCGGCGAAGCCGAAGAAGAAGAAAAAGATGAAGGCGCAGAAGACGATGGACCATCGACTGAGTTCAACAGCGGTCACGAAAGTCTTGTCCATGCGCCATAGGACGCCGGGGATCTGGTCGACGCGGGAGAACCCATAATGGGTATCAGCCCAGCCCAACCAGGGGGAAATCCCGATGCGTGCGTTGAGCGAGATGGCGTAGAGACCGAGGGGGACGGTGAGGACGACGTCGGTGCAGGCGAGGCCCATGAGGCGGAAGTAACGGTTAGAAGTGAGGCGGCCACTGTTTGCAGAGAGGAGCTCCTTGAATTGGAGGCGACGCTTGTTGAAGGCAAGGATGCTACGAATGCAGTAATAGCCGGAGATGCATCCGATGAGGACCGGTGGGCAGTAAACGAGGACGAAAGCTACGGGGGTATTGTAGGTGAAGGGGTAGCATCCCAAGTCTTCGAAGACATTGAATCGGTGGCCCTGAGGAATGTATTGGAGGATCATGCCCAAAATTGGGATACCCAGACCAATTGCCAAGTCCACCATGATAGCGCGGCGTTTCTGAGATAATATCAGTATCTGAGCATGGCAAGCAAGCCAGCGCATAGCTCACCTCAGCCTTGGTCACAGTCACCGATTGTACGCAAGCAATGTGGTAGAGGCGGCGGTTAATGCAGAGAGAAGCCGCGGGGATAGCGAAGGAAGTACCGATGATGATTCGGGCGGCTGGAAAACTGTCAGGCCTCATAGCCAATGCCAAGAAACGCCAAAACTTACAGATGTCGCACCACACTGGGGCCCAGTTAATCGCATTGCCAGACCAGACGATCGAGTTAACGAATTGGTTGAGGCAAGCTAATGCCGTCCAGAACATGTAGAGGCAAGTACCCGTATTCCAGGCTATCCAATACGGTAAGTCAATCGATTGGGTAAAAAAGCGCGAGCCGCGTACCTTCCAAATGCCATGGGAATGGGATACTAACCAGCAAAAAGCTGATGAAGACGAAGATAGAGTATACGTAGTTTGGATAGGGATAGGACATCTTCGGTTCTAGCAGGTGCGGCGGGATGTGTTCTGAGGAGCGACCAACTGAAGCACCCGAAGGATGGGGGACCGATTCTCGAGTACAAGAATGTAGAGGCGATGGGGATCAAGCTGTGTTGATGGACCCAGTTTTTAAGAGCGAATGCTCTGCCCGCCATCCTTGTACACAATTTTGGCGGTCCCCTTGTCCTCGGTGTCAAATGGCGTCCCCATATGATGAAAACCTAGACGACTTTTGGTCGTTGGCTTGTCGCCGGATTTGGAAGTACCTTTGTGAATGAATCCGGAAAAGACAATGTTCGATTTCCTTTTTCGGCCGTTAGCTTGTACGTCGGTGATCTGGAGCTCGAAAATTCCCACATGGGTGGCGCTGACCTGACCTGCTGATGCCGCGAATTTGGAAAGACGATGCACAGTCGAAGCAGGTCGAAGCTCCCTGGTGCAGGGTATTCGAGCCAACAAGGGTGTGTCCAAAATGCGAGTGTCTTGTCCGGGATGATATGTATGATATTTCCCATCGCAGACTGTATGATTGAAAGAAGCGTCGTCTTTGAGATCAATGGTTGGTTTCTAGGCGAATACAAGCTGCAAATGCCTATGCGCGGCGGCCACACCATATGCACATTGCCTCAGTCAACCTGAAATACAAGATATCCTTTGAGTTTCCATCGACTACATGGGATGGTAGTCCATATCACACACCTAAAGTCGTCCCCATGATTCCCTTATACTTTACGCCTCATCTCAAATCCACCCGGCCACAACAATTCCACCGAATCCTGAGGAGTCCATCGAATTCGCGGCTGCAACCCACAACGCGGGGGCGGGCGTAATAATGGCGGTGAGACTGAGGAGATGGATGGTGAGGGGAGGAAGGAGAGATGTGATGGACGCTGGACGGCTGGTTCAGTCCTTTGTATAGGCAACACCGTGGACGCGCGACAGCTCTCTTATTGTCTCCCACGTGGCGAGCTTATTGTCTTTCCTCGCTTATGTAACCCACTAATTGTCCCGCATAACAATAAGAATATGTCAAGCGCCCAACAAGCGCCACTTCTCACTGATTTGACAAGATACTGGTTTGCACTCAAGGCTGAATGGCGGTCGTGTTTGCCTGTGAGATATATCACTTTGATGTTTGTCCAGTATAGCGTCACCAAGACGAGCGAGATCATCATTTTATCTAGAAACCGATAGTTCATAAAAATACATGTGTGTATTCGAAGGGTGAAAACATAAGATACAGAAAGGATAGGTCATAATAGATACATGTGTAAGTGCTTGAGACCAGATATATCGAAAAATGAAGCAAATCACGAAACAATGCAGATGAAGGAGAACGATAGTGGTCGAGGATTCGCTACGGCTAGACTGTCTCCTTCACCACTGTCATATAGATTATCTCCTTGCCTGCGCGGTTACTCACGCCCCTCCCGATGCCCGGAACGTTCAGCCCCTCAAGGCTCCCCAATCGTCTCAGACTAGAACGTCTAGGGGGTCGTATTGCTGCTGGAGAGGAGCCGGGACGTCCGGGTAGTAATGCCTCGGCTACTGCACCTTGAAAAGGTTTGTCAGGAGGCGACGAAGGCGATAAGATGGGCAAGCCCAACGTGTCGCAAGATAAGGCAGGAGAAGGACATCGAGACTGTGGTAGGGATCGAGACGACGACCGAGCATGGAATAGGCCTTGGATGAGGGACGGAGTAGGACTCCCTTGCGGAACTGAGGCAGGCGGTTCCGGCCAAGGTGCTTCCCATATGGAGGACACAGTCGACTTCGCATCATCGGGTATACTTTGTCTCGCAGGTCCCTGAGCCTTGAGCGGCGCAATATCAACCTCTACGGTGACTGTACTCGGGGTCACAGGCGTGGGTGCCTTGGTCGGGGTCTGAGGACGTCTCCAAGGCGTGATGTTGTATGACGTCTTCTGGGGCGAGGAATATACTGGAGGGGGAGACCTCAGGCCGAGCGATTGAGCAATGGGAGAGTTGAGATAATTCAGGGTATCTATAGCGAACGAGTCGTTCTCCGGGGCGGGTGAACTGCGAGCTGAGCTTGGCGTGGGGCTCGAGCAGGGGCTTGAACTGGGAACAGAGCTCGCGCTCCGACCACTGGACGGCGAAAGGGATAGCTTGGATCGATTCTTGCTCTTGAAGCCTTTTGAAGCCTTGTCATCAAGCATATCATCCCATCCAGACTTGAGTTCAAGGGTAAGAGGCGGAGGCGGGCTCAGTGGAGGCGGAGAGCATTTGGTAACCATCTGCGTTTGTCTGATTCCTCTTTAAACAAAAGAGACGAGAACGAAAGAGCCGTACACTTACTGGGTATGCATCATCAAAATAGATGGGACAGAACGTCGTTTCCTATCCTTATTCCACTTGATGATTATCGATCGAATCCATTTCGCGCCGTCTCTGATTTCTTGACCGATCGCTAATGACAGGACAAGATAAACGATCGACACTGCTTTGAAGCCCCACCACGCAAACTGGATGCCCGTAAGTTCGTTCTTCGTGCTAATGATATCGATGTCGTAGAAATTTTCGTGAACCTTCCGCCATGAGGTCCAATTGCTGAGCCTCGGAGGCGAGAACAAGGCGAAGAGGGACGTTAAACCCAGGACGGCCGAGGTGATAAGGGAGATTATGAGGGTGCGTATGAAGATAGAAGACGTGTATGCTGAGCGTGATGAAACGTGTGAACCGAAACTTGAAGTCGAGATGCGGAATGAGTTATGTATAGTGACACCTGTAGGCTGATGAGTTCGTCTAGCGTGTATTCTAGAAACGAGTACCACGTACCACAGTAGAGAAGGGCGATACTACATGTAAGAAGTGGGGGAAGCCAAACGATTATTAGGGCCGGCGTAGATGGGTGTATAGATGCGAAGCACCCTAAATCTCTGACCAAGTCGAAACGGCGATCTTGTGCAATATAATCTACGGCCCTACGTTGAGCAGAGTCCAGATGCTTGGAAGCTGACTCACGAAGTAGGATATATATAATTGGAAGCACGATGCACAGCGCGATATCTATAGCAATTTGTACGCGTTTATTTTGACCGTCCGGAGGGGGTTCGCGTTGAGACGACACGAACTCCAGCTTCCGCGCGATGCAGATAAACGTCGCAGGTAGACCGACATTAGCTCCTAAAAGCAGCCTTGTCGCTATAATTCGTCGTGAATACCTCTTTACGCTTTACTAAAAAAAAACACGTACTGATATCGCACCAGATGGGTATCTTGATGTCCACATTTCCCTTCCAAATTACTGCGTTGACCCCGTGGATGAGGTTGCATATGAAGAACCATGCAATCAACGTCGAGGTAGGCGTATTGAGCCGAACGCGGTCGGCGAATAGGAATAATACGAAGAACCCAGCGCAGACGAAAGATAGTATGGCGAGTGCGTCGGTCATCGTGGATGCTTCAAGCTGAAACGGGTTATGAGAGCCCTGACCCGCAAAGCACTACCCGTTGACTATACGAAATGACACGAGACAGCTGTCTTGCAAGTGCGCTGATCCACTGGTAGAAGGCGAAGGGAGGGAAGTTACCCCACGGTACCCCAGCTGATATGTAAACGCGACATACCTCAAAGAGAACAAATCATCAAGGTATAACCTGGATGGAGTCAGCCCCGCTCAAGGGACTCCAGCACATGGATATACTTCCGCTGCACAGAACTTTCTCCCTTAGGTAAGAGAACAAGTAGGGTACCTTTTGAAATACAAGGCCTGTGTAGCGGTAGTCAATCGCGGACATCAGATTTTTGCACCGGTCCGCGCCCTGAGGCGGTCGTTTACGTGGAGGGAGTGAGTCGTATAATCGTACACAATGGGATGGATATATCTGGCCTGTCGATTTGCTTCCAGGAATGGGAACAAGTATAAAGTCACCTAATATGGAAATTTGCATACCAATTCTGATTTCCTGCAAGAAATAGTCGAAGACGTAAGAAAGCTCTTCGGGGGTGGGTCAATGACATAGCTTGTAGGCATGCATCTTGTCTATGGAACGCCTGGATACCGGCCTCTATTGAAGCCAGCCTGGCGAAGGGGAAGAGTCCCCGGGCGTTCGAGGAAGATTTACAACGATGTATGTTGATTATAATGTTTCATTGTCTAAGTCCTGGTAAGAAAAATCCCTAGCACTGTCATGGAAAGGTTCACTGGAGCTGGAATCAGTTCAGTTCTGAGCTGACCACAGCGACGGTTCGAAAGGAAGGACTGTGAGAACATCTTGGTTCCTGCATCGGTGATTATAACAGGAGGCCCCTTTTTCTACTTTCAAAGTTCAAATAATCAATCATTGGTATTTGAAATAGCGAGTTAGATTGTATTGATACTATATTTATGATCCTCGGGAAAAAAGCGACATCGTTCAAATAAAGGTAGGATTAAGCAGCGATTTTGTGCAAGATGGCGGACATGGAGGGGCTGAAGAAGTAGTCACCTCCCTTAGACACAACAAAGCTCATGAAAGTCAAGTCGTGATTGAGGTCTGTGTAGTCGATTCCAGACACAACAAGCGGTTTGCCGTTGTTCTGGCCGACAATTGGGTCAAATCCAGGCGTTGGGTCGCTTTTACCGGTGGGAATGCTAGGTGAGGGATTAGATGGGTTCAGCAATGGGTGTAGATTGTGACTGACTTGACGTTGTTAGCCCACTCGGCTTGCTGGAAGTGGAACCCGGAGCCGAGATCACTCTGATATGTCACTAGAATTGGTATGGATGCGTGAGAACGGAATCTAGCAAATATAGGTAGGGGGCCTACCGAACGCCACACCACGTTCAGTCGCTGTTTTCTTGTTGTTGATCTCATCGTCGCTGACTGAAGGAACATGAGCTACAACCAAGAAACGACGCGGATGAAACTACTTACGCTCTTCGCCATAGGGTATACTTGCCCTAATCATTTGGTTCTTGAGGTTTGTGTTTCCCTGGTCAGCGCGGGGACGAATCTTGCGGATGTGTGCGGAGAAGGGACAGTAGGACTGGTTACTGTTGATATCGAAGGGGGCAGGGTGATTGAAGTCGAAGTTGTTGTTGAGCATAAGATTTGGGCCAATGGAGGGATCATCCCTCTCTGGGGCAAGGTCAAGAGGAGTGCCCTAGTTTCGTGGATGAGCAAATATGGCGCATAGAATGCGAAATAACAACTGACACTCTTCCAGCGACCGAACATACGAGCGCCAAGAAGATCAGCACGCTCGCGAACGCTCCTCGACGAGTCTTGGATTAGGGCAGCTCTGGGGTGTGTGTGATCAATACAACATTGCAACGAAAGAGTGATTGAGCGACGAACTCTTGCATGAGATAGTTATCGAACTCAGGAACGAGCTCTTGGAGTTGTCGGTATGCCATGAAGGAGCCCCATTTCGTCCATGCTGGTCGGGCAGCTCTGCGGGGGTCGCCAATTTCTTTCGTCAGAAGCGTGCCAGGTAGAAGAAGCTGTTGTCCGGGGTAGGTGCTCGTAGCAAAACCAGCGACTGCGGGTTGAATCTGTCACGAAGACGATGGGTGAGCCGCAAAATTTCCTTCAACTTGGAAAGGAGTCGCTTACGAAGCCATCAAGCCAACCAAAGTGTTCTTTACCAGCCGCATCGCCGGGTCGTACCGCGCCCCTGTTGCTGTGCGTTTCTACGATCGCATCGCCCAACCAACTCTTCATTTGATTCAGTAAGGTGTCGATAGGCTCCCAATCTCTAGCCGCAATCAGGAAAGCACCGTCCGTCTTGTTCGCATAAAGACCTGGAGCCCACGTTGTGCTTGGATCGGTATCGCCAAGGGCTGCAGCGTCGTTTAATTGCCCCATGGCGAAGTAGGGATCCCCGAGGTCGTCCAATACACCAAGTTTACGAAGTCCTTGTGAGGTCCAAGCAACGTTGAGCATAGCTGATGGTTGCGTGCAGGTAGTGCAGACCATTTGAGCAGTCGCTAATTCGAGAATATAAGAGTTAAGTCCTCTCCTGAGATAATAGGGTATATTACTTGTAATATGAGGGTAGATCAGTTTCGCGAGGACACTCTTGAACTTTCTTGGGTTCTGAATCGAGTAGAAAAAGAATATTTCCTTCGGCTTCCTCATCCCAATCCTAGGGAGACAGTGCGTTAGGGACACAGGACACGACTTCAAGCGATCGGAATGCGTACATGATGTCTCCTTGAATCTCCTCCAGCGGAAGGAATGTGCCATTAGTGGCATTCAATTTCTGGATCAACTCAAGCGTTGGCAATGTATGCTGCCCAGGATAATCTACGGGTAGGCGAGTGAGCACGCAATCTTGGCAGGAAATAGTGCAACTCGCCGTGTAAGAGTGATCCACTCGGATAGTCGTTCTGCCTCGCCTCGAGCTGCTGGGGCAGACTGAACCCATAACTGGGCAGGAGGGCGTAAGGTATTAACGAAGTGAGAGCGACGCAGGTAGTCCACCAGCGCATTGTAGATGAGTTGGTAGGCCAGTATGCTTCAGTACATCGACCTTATGTACTGTTCTGGAGAAGATCCAGGAACGTGAGATCTCATCCAACTTGCCAGCCGCGCGGCCAGTAGGGTGCTCTGGATTACTCACGTCGCGGCAATGGATGGGTCCATCGAGGGAGGAAGGAAATCCGAGAGTGTACGCTTCTGCATATCAACAGAAGCACCTGACAGCAACGAACGGCTAGCCGAGCTTCTTAGTATATAGTATATGCGAGAACGTTTGTCACTGCCTATTGTAGGCGCGTGGAGTACGCCTCTCAATCTGAAGATCGGCAATGACGCTGTTTTGTTGTTGCAGAGAGCGCCAGAACGTTACATGCCCTCGGACAGACAGCTCGCCCGCCATGCGCTTGTGGTCGAGGCCGCCCCAGTCGTGTCGGACAGTTGTGCCGGACGGCTGAGATATATAGGCCCGAAGGATTGGGGTCGAAAACTGCTGAATAAACTTGAACAGCCGTATGGTACATCAGCTTCTGTACCGATGATCAATTATCATACTGATACAGACCATCTGTAAGAGACCACCATCAGAAGTCACTCACTCAGGCTTCGAGTGGAAATTACGAACCAGCATACTCCGGCCCAGCCTTTGACACAATTGACGGCCCTCACAGTTACGGCGCTTTTGGTTCCGAACCGAAGTCATATTGAATCTTTTGGCTTCATTCGATTGGAAATTTTGACATGCGAGGCGCGACCGTCGGTCCGGGTAAAGTCTGGTAAAGTCGGCAGCTTCGCGGATGATGCGTAGTCTCCAAGGATATCCAGCCCGACTTGAGACCCGACACAGGCCGACGGATGAGAGTATACGTGTCGAATGCCCCACTTTATCCCCCGCAAGCTCTTTGACATATCGGGAGAGTTGATGATTGATTGATGAACGTCCAATAGACAGGGCCATATTTGGCGAGGCCGCCTAAATGTTGCATAGAATTCGCCCGCCGCGGCGAGCAGGGGGGCGCTGGTGAGGCTCTACGTCTAGAATCAGAAATGTATTCTCTCTGCAGAGCCTAGCTGAATCCATTTCTCTGTCGAACCGCTCGAGACGCATTTCCCTTTGAGAGGCATATGCGAAGGCTTGCTGAGTACCGCAAGTTCGGGCGGGGTTGAGGTCTACACATGCTGATGCACGGGTAGCAGGGTCGGTATGTTAGACATAGCTGCCTCAACGACCCACTCAACTCACCGGTTTTCGTGACAACTGACACATTTTCTGACATCAGGAGGCGGCAGCCCTCGCACTTGCAGCCGTTTTTGTTTAGCCTTCGGTCCTCCATTAGCATCCACATCAGCGACAAAGTATTTATTGGAGAATGTTCGCTCACCGAGTCCAGCTGGCCTCCTTCGAGGATGCGCGTCATGATTGCCAGACCGGGCAAATGCACACTCCGCGACCGTTTCTACACCAGATTCCAGTGAATCGCAACAATCCCGGGCCAAGGGATGTGATTCTAGATTGCCATAAGTTGACTGCCGCTATCCTTATGCTGCCCAGCGATTATGTGGTTGAGCGAGACCCTCTACGAATATAAGTAAGTAGATGACACTTGTTAGCCGGCAGAATCTCGAGAATTCGAACTCGCAAATGCCACATACCGCTACCAGTATGCCACCTTCTTTCGGCAAACTATGGGGAGTCCCAGGATTCGGAAGTGACGTGCTAAACGGATCAACGCGCAGTAGGTATGTCGAACTTGCCAGCTCTAATTGATTGCGCTCAGACGATTATGCTACACAGTTGCAGATGGTGAAGGGACGGAATTATTGTCTTGGATTCTCAAAGATGTGTTCGGACATTCTCCGTCGGTGCGCCAATTTCGTGCGGTCCTATTTCTGTCTGTCGTTGATCCCGAGACGGGATGTCACTTTCAGTAGGCACCTTCAGCGATGCCGGGATGAGGCAGCGACCCGAGATACACAGATATTGCAGCAAAAACTTCATTCCATCTTGACGAGAACAAAGAAAACGCTACGTAGAGGGCCTGGGGTAATTAATTTGTAAAGATATGGCAGCGCCATAGCCGGGTCACCGATCAGATAACCCGACCGACCATCGGTCGACCCCCAGAGCCGAACACTCTGGGGTATACATCTCTTGATGTATCTTTGCTCTACAGCGCGGCGCGCCGGAGCCTGACAATGATTCAACATGAATCTAACGAGGCGATTAGTGTCTGAACATCGATACGAGATAAGAAGAACCAACCAGGGAAACGTGGTCCAATGCGCGACCACATATGCCGTCATTCCAACACTCAGTTGGCTCAATCTAAGAGGTGTAGTTACTTGAATATGGTCATCGTCTGTGAATGGATGGACGAGGCTCACCTGGATATCAACATCGAGGGGCGATGCGATGAAAGGTGCATCATGACCGTCGAGTCATACGCCGAAATGGAAGTGTCGTGCTTCCCAGTGACAAGGTGTATACCGCGCGTGGTATGTACCATCATTATAGACTATCGTAGTCTCTAAGAGAGTATCGTCGGATATCTGCGCATCGGGGTTAAGGGTGAGATCAAAGGGGTCAATTCGACTACTTACCTCACAAAAGTGGCGTCGTGCCACACAGATAGAACGAGGGATGCTCGAGCGACCCAGCGGCCACCTAGGGTTGCGTCAATAAAGCGGGTGCCCGGCAGGGAGTAAACTTACCGTCGTGGTGGGAGGATAAGGGACATTCATCGAAGCGCTGGTCCTATATATCTTCTCGACATTAGGGCAGGTCGAGTTGTCACTGAAGTCACGATACCTTTCCCAGATTAGCATCCTTAGTATCCAAAGAAACAAGCAAACAACCGCAAGCACATGTAAACTCCCGCCGACGCGTCGCCCCGCGTCATTCCCGGCCGTCGTTATCTTGTTCTCTGGACCGAGGATGTCGTCTTCAACATCGACCGCTGCGATGGCTATTGATTCACCTGCAGCACCCAAGCTGGACCTAGACAGTTTCATTGGAACGGCACTGTCATCAACGCCCGCAGAATTGCACCCGTTCTTTGAAAGTTTCCGGTCATTGTACACACGAAAGTAAGCAAGATGAGCGGTGGAGATGAGTGCGTTTACTCAAGGCTATCTGCAGACTATGGCATCAGCTCACTCAGAAGCTCTTTGCGTTCGTCGACCATCCGGCTTCGAAACCATATCGAGTGAACGTATTCAACATCTTCGTACGGGACTTTGAGAGCAAGATGAACCAGCTGCGGCTGGTGGAGATGGGTGTCAAGGTGGCGAAGGATATCGAAAGTTCGTCTGCCCTACCATCCAGTTCCCTCGCAATTTACGATGGTGTCGTTTAGACCCACAAACGCAACTTACACAGCTGACCTCACTTCTGTCTCGCATTCCTATCCCTCCGTCTGTCGCGAAACCCAGCCCGGATGCCCCGGACGCGCCCCCCACCTCCCAGTCTTCAATTGAGGCATATGTCCTCCTCCTCGCCACCATCGCCCACACCAAACTCGTCTTCGGTGATCTCGAGGGCACCAAAACCGACATGGACGCCGCTTGGGATGTGCTCGATCGATTAGATGGCGTAGAGAACGGCGTGAGGGCCGCATACTATGGCGTCGCTGCCGATTACTACAAGGTACGCCTTCGCAATCCCTATGCGGCATTTCTTAATGGTGCCCATAGGCTAAGGCTGAATACGCCCCCTACTACCGCAACTCCCTGCTTTACCTCGCATGCGTCGACCCAGCGACTGACATGTCCCCAGAGGAACGGCTGGCGCGCGCGCACGATCTCGCTATCTCTGCCTTCCTAGGCGATACCATATATAACTTTGGCGAACTGGTGAGTTCTGCACGCCTTGGCTCGTATGATTTTGCATGTCTGACGCCGCGCCAAGTTGATGCACCCGATCTTAGATTCACTCGATAACACGCCGTATGCGTGGATCAAGAAGCTCCTGTTCACGTTCAACGAGGGCAACATCGGCAAGTTCGAAGCACTGGCGCCTCTGTTTCCGAGAGAGGTACGGCTCTTCTAAGATTGCGCCGTTGCTGACATTCTGACACTCTGGAATCGCAGCGTATACTGCAAGAGAACTACTCATTCCTCCGCCAGAAGATCTGTCTGATGGCGTTGATGGAGTCGGTTTTCAAGAGAAGCGCAAACAACCGAACTCTTACCTTTCAAACCATCGCAGAGGAGACACGGCTGCCGCCAGACGAGGTCGAGCACCTCGTCATGAAAGCACTCAGGTACGAGCAACCTCTAATTTCCTTTTCGCTTTATTCACCTCGGGTAGTTTGAAACTCATCAAAGGATCGCTGGACCAAGTGGACGGCAAGGCGAACATCACATGGGTGCAGCCGCGCGTGCTCTCGCGCGAGCAGATCGGGGGGCTGGCGCAGAGGCTGGACGAGTGGGTGAACAAGCTGAACTTGGTGGAGCAGCGGATAGCGCCGGAAGTGGTCGCGCAGTAGTGTCTATGTATTTTCGTCGATCTCATTTCTCGAACTGAAAAGCTTCTTTTTTCCACTGAAGAAGTTCTGAAGCCATGTAGCCGTGTTACTCATCTAGATATGACCCATGATTTGCACTGATACGTTTCCACATCGATGTCGCAGGCTGAAATAGTAGCTCTTCGGGTTTCTCCTCGGCCAATCTTCGGGGGTAGAACGCCTTCTAACGTTCTTGACAAACTATGTACGATGGTATTCTATAATTCTATGTTTCTCCGTGATACGAACTTGAAGCTCCACGAAGTATACTCTAATAGACTCCTATCCCTTGACGTAGCCCCTACTTGAGCCTCGGTCACGGGACCCGAAATCAGAGTTAACTCCAACTCCAGCCCACATCATATTCGAGCAATTTGCGCTCTCTGAAGATTGGTGATGATGATAAATACTAGCCTCAACATCCACCTTCGTCTCATCCCTTCTTGCGTGTTGCCCAAGTATGCATCGCCTGGAGGGAAATTGCTTTGCGCCCGCCGCCTGAGGAATTTGGGGAATCGTCTGTACGGATCCGAAACCCTGGTTGAAAGAACTTCAGAGGCGCTTCAGGCCTTCCCTACTCTTCTTTAGGTATTGACGCGGAGGGGTAAATCACGCAAGCATGTCGTTCCCGAAAGAGCAAGCGGTTGGTCCTGTGAGACCCCCGACGTATTTGTCGCTATTACCGAGACTCGGACACTGGCCTGGCCTGCGACCCATCAAGTGCCTAGTCTTCAGCGACTCTCTTTCAAATCTGCCGGTCCCACCTGCTAAACTGCCATCTTGAGGTACATTGGATGGACCGCAGTTTCCTATATATCTTGAAATGACTTTCGGCAACCCGCATCAAGGTCTTAGTACTCGAGCTGAGTGCTCAGGGATGCGGGTGCAGACGATGTCGACGGAATTTTCAGCGTGCTCCCAAGTCCTTCTGCGAGTCCGCGCATCGATCAGGCTCCGGGCACACAGGCATGTTTCTCTCGAGCGCTGAGATCTACGTATGTCGATAAACTCCTCGCGCGACTCTGGCACCCGCACCCTTCCCGTCACTTGGGCTCCGATCCGTTTCACAGCTGTGGCTGGCGAGCAACGTCACGTCGCCGCGAGCCTCTTCTCTCAGTTACCTGTGGGGCGACCCGAGCTCCTTTATTTTACCTTGGACGACCCTCCGAGTTTTCTGCTGCCCGATCCAAAAAGAATATGTACAATCTCAAAGCAAGCCCCCGCGTAGGAAGTTGAGGCAGGCTTATGGTTGAAGACGATGCCCCTAATGCGGATGACCTTACAGTCGGAAGAAAGTACACCCAATACAAGTGGTCAAGGAGAACGTATGAAGCTTTCGCCAGCCAAGGACCTGAGATTACTTCAACAAATACTTCAGGTCGAAATGCTCGATCATGGTACGGCTCGCTTCCTTCTACGACCATGGATCTACTAACAAGTGCTTTGGTAGATGAATTCATGGGAGCGATTGATGAAACTGATGGACTATAGTTCTGAGTTTGGCTGTACGACTGTTCCCCATGTCTTCCTGCAGTCATACAAGATCGTCGACTCGAACTCGAAGAAATATAGATAATGCTTACGCTTGCAGAGTGCCCGGGCTGGAGCCTACACATCAATTGGGGGTGGAACCCTTGGGTTTCTTTCTTCTTCGACCTGTTTCCGTTTCGGAGTCCCGTCAATGGCGACTGAGAGAGGCTTGTGATGAATATATCACTTGAACGTGGCAGTGATCTTCGAACCTAGAAGCTACCGACCGCAGCGAGTCCAATGTCTTTGCGCCCATAGCAGGGTCAACAAACCGTGTCCGGCCATGGAGATAGAGCTTACCGCGCAACACGACGCTTCATGGTTGTAGCATGTTCAACGACGAATTTGGATTCTGAAATGAATCGTCACTAGTCAGATTGAGAGAAACCTTTCTCAAGCGGCTCGGAATTATGGAATCCCTGTTCTGAGCTTACTTGCATCGTTGCAAGATCTAAGTTTATCATATCCAAGTTGTAAGGCGCTCAGCCTGTAGACGCTCATGGTGAGATGATATTTGGGCGTCTGTTGCCTCCTGGTCTGAACTCGTGCCCTCCTCCATCATATCGAACAGCGACCACGACCTTTCCTTCTGTCGCTTTCCTTCTACCACCCCAGAACGCTGCAGCATCATCTCGAACGTGTCCGCCTCGCAGCCTCAAGAACGTGTACACGTACCATATCAACCTCAGTTTCTTACCGTTGACGTCGCTCTTGGTCCTTCTATACGCACCGGGGCGACTCGTGGAATTCATATCGGATTCTGATAATCGTGTAACTCTGCCGTTCATTAGATCGGTTTTGCAGCTGGGACTTCGGAATTTGGTAAATCTCTGATAGTGGGTGGCCTTTAACTTTGGTGCATCCGTATCTTCGTCATGTCGACAAACACCGGTGCCCCTGCGGACCCAGGCAAGAACGGTATGCCTACGTTAACCGTGACGGCCTGCAAGGCTACTATGCCCCCTCCGGCAACATCGACATTTTCTTTCAAGGCGCCATTCCCGGTCGCTAGCCCGGGCGCGATGCTGAAACCGCGACGAGTATCACTCGCCCTACCATCATCTCCTCGTCTCGTACCAGACTCAGCCTGGAATTTCCGAGACGACACTGGGATAGATGCCCACAGGACTGGCCATAGCAACCCCGGTCAGGGGTACGAATCCGACACTGATGTTTTACTTCCTGAGAAGAGAGGGAAGATGCGGAGAATTGCCAGTGATGGGGACGACTTCACATTGGGAAGTACAATGGGGGCTTCGGGAAGCGCAGAGAGCGCGGCGGGACCCAGTAGCGAGAAGAAACAAAGAAAGAAGTGGACGACGGAGGAGACGCAGATGCTGGTGGACGGATGCAACAAACATGGAGTGGGCAACTGGAAGACGATCCTGAGCGACAAGTCGCTCAAATTTGATAGCCGTTCACCCGTTGATCTCAAAGACCGGTACGCTCTCATATTTCATTCATTCGCGACGACTCTAACGGAATTCATACATCTATCCAGCTTCCGAACATATTTCCCAGACGCATACAGGCTGCACTACCCCAACGCCAAGACTCACCTCTCCTCGAAAATCAGGAGGTCAACTCTCCCCGACGGCAAACCTCTCTTTGAGAAGACCCGCTCCAAGAAGCGACGACCGTTCACTGAGGCGGAGGACAAAGCCCTGAAGGAAGGGTATGAGAAGCACGGCACCGTATGGGCGACCATTGTGAAGGACCCCGTCTTCCAGGATCAAGGTCGACGCTCGACGGACCTGAGAGATCGCTTCCGGAATGCGTTCCCAGATCTCTATCAAGCGGCAGGCTACAAGCCCAGAGCGGCCAGTACCAAGAAGAAGGAGAAAGACGTCGCCACCTCAATACTATCATCTGCTGGCGCCACAGGCATTACCGCAGATGATGTCGAAACCATTGTCGACCCTGCGGGGACGATTACCGCACAGAACATTTGGCGTCGCCCTGCTATCCCCCTGCCGATGCGCGCCGCAACCGATGACCAAATTCCAGAGTCTGGACCCGTCCGCCGGCGCCGCCGCGCGTTATTTCGCGGCGGGACAAAGAGTGTACCGCAAAGTGCCACCGTTTCCGAGGATGAAGATGAGGGCACACTTGGGAGCGCGATTGAGGAGGATGAGACTTGCGTATTGAAGCCACCTTTACGACGAGCGAAGCGACCCACGTTTAGCACTGGTTCCGATTACACAACTTCGGAGAAGCGGCGCGCAAGGGCGAGCTCAGCATCAGCAGCGATGACGTTCGCAACAGTGGACAACGACGAGATTGAGATGGACTTGGATATTTCGATTCCAGCCCCTTCTGGGAAAGACGCATCGATGGATGCTTCTGCCTCACGCTCGTCCCATCACGCCTCAAGTTCGCCATCTGACCTTGATATCGACGATTCCCTCTCGGCCTCCCACTCTCACTCTGGCTTGGATACGCCTGTGCATGGCCACGCTACCTGGTCTCCTACATCATCCCACCTTTCCTCCGACTTGCTTAGCCAGACGCATACGCCAGCTATGGGGATTTCTTCGCCTACTTCAAGGCGGATGGATGCCAGAAATCCGTCTGACGGCAATAGCATGATTGGTAAATCACCATGGGGCACCGCTGACTGGCTAGTATCCTCCAACCCCCGGTTAGAACCAACCAATTCCATGGGTGGCTTCAGCGGAACCTCCAACTCTAACGCATCCAGTGCATCCGTCAACGACCTAGACCTAGATGTAGATGAGAGCTTTTCGCCTGCTTCTCCTTTCTCTTTCAACCATCTAAATCACGGTGTCATGGACCGCTACGATCTCTTCCCCGCTTCGACGTCTCTTCATGGACACAGTATGAGCCACAGCATCAGCCATGCATCCAGCCCACAACACTTTGGGCAGCACGCTCAGCTGCACAGCTTTGGCATGCATAGTTTGTATAACAGCTCAATGGACGAGAGGCAGGATGACTTTGCGTCCGTCTGCTCTGAAATTGGCTTCGGAGACCGAGACACCCACTCGACCTTCTCGGACGATTTATCAGGCTACGCTCATACCGGGTTCAGGGGATTCACTCATCACTCCAACTACGCCGGAGACTTGATATTTGGTGCTCGAACGCATCAACCGCAACAGCCGTACTATGGTATGGGCTCAGCATTAGGATTAGGGCTAGGTGGTCCGTTCGGTGCTTCCGCGGGCGTCGGCGTGAATAGTGGCTTTGGTATGCCTAGCAACAACACGATGGATATGGCAGCTGAGGGGCTCGGTGGTATAGGCCTTGGTTTGGACTTGGATGGCATGTCTCCTTCTCCAGCGACGGCCATACACTCACTACAATTGCATGGGTCGTCCTTGCCAGGCATCGACGAGATTGAGCTCACGAACATCACGCTGGATGATCGGGCCCAACCCGAAGAGCCCGACCAAACCATGGAGGACGCCGCGAATCCAAAGGACACTATGAAGCTAGAGTCTGCAAATACGTCTGCAATCTCAACAGGGAGCCAGTACGACCTCACAAGCATAGATGACCTCATTGATCTTTCTCAGCATGAAGATCCCTCCCTGAACACCACACCTCCTGGGACACCCGTGATGTCGTCCCGACCATCTTCTCTATACCACCGGGCGCTCAGCGGGTTTAGCGGCCAATCACTACATGGTCGCTCTATCTCAGTGCCACCTTCGCAAGTGCGAAGCGTTTCTCGACCGGAAACTGCTCAACCACACGCTCATTCGGAACCGGAGTTATCCGTTCTGCGTTCTGTTCCTTTCTTCAGTTCTCTTTCTCAAGATTCCACCAAACGCATACCTTCAGCAGATCTCAGTACTGCTCGGCCTCCGTCAGCATTTGCCCCCAGTTTCGCATTTGGTATGCTTACCTCCGGAGGACCATCCCATCCGAACACGCAGGACCACGACCTACCGTTTTTGGACTTGCATTATAAAACCTCTAGCAACCCGTCTGGCACGGGTGATGCTATGGACCATTCGCCTGGCTCGAAGCCTGCGTCTGAAGGTTATTATCGCCAGGGGCAAGCCCTCGATCTAGCGCAATCGGCTGCTACCTCCGCCGCTCTGAAAACATTGGGCATACCCGCCTCTTTACGGAGACACATCCCGATGCCACCTCCCAAGTGTACGGTCATCCCGTCGAGCAACCTGGGTAGTGGCGGGATGCTCAGTCGCAGCCACTCGTTGCATCAGCGCGGTCAGAGTACAAGCAACGTAGTTTCGCCGCAGGACCTCTTGCTGCGCAAGACCAGCGACACCAATAAGCGAAAGAGGAGTAGTTGGGACGGGGGCGCCTTCTAGTGGACTCTATATTCATGCAGATTTGCTCGTTTCATAAAACTTTACTTACTTATAGCTGCCGATATGCATACTCAACGTCTGGATTTATTCTTCAATTCTGCACTAACCTCGATAGTATCTGATGTATTTTCATTCACTGGTATCCCTTCATACTGCATTAGGCCTCATTAAATCCATATTCTCGGAATCAATAGGATATCGTATCGCTGGAAATGTAGGAACCCGTACGAGCTTCGTTGCAGATGCTGCTGACGATGTGACAAAGTCCGATCGGACAGAATGAGACTGAGGTGTGGGTGCAATTGATAACATATTGTCTCGTAGAGTATCATCTATGTCACAGTCATGCCAGGGTAGCCCATTGACGTTCTGGTCGTAGTCCCCAATCTTTCAACCATTCGCTGAACAAGTTCGCTATCTTGACGTGTCCAGGTACGTTTGGATGCTGATTACTATGGATGAGCGCGAGTCAGCTGCCTTGTTATCACGATAGAGAGAGCAAAGCCCTTACTCTGCGAAGACGTCATCAAAAGTCACCCAACCAGTGGTGTTCACAAGGAAAATGCGGCTGTCACCCAAGGCAGTCCTACATAGCGAACCTGATATCGACGTGTGTTACCAAAGGGGACTGAGAATACTCACTGCTTCCGCACTATTTCTTCGTATTTGCCGTCATAGTAGTACCAAACGTTGCCGTCGGCGCTGGGCCATCCCCACTAAGATTATTCGAAGCAAGACGGTGAGAAAGGACGATGAAAGCATGCCAAGTAGTACGGAAGCGCACCGGTGTGAAAACGAAGATAGATTGAGTGCGATAAATAGTTCGAAGCCTCTTCAAGAAATCCAGGTACTCCTGGACGAACTGGTCTGGAGTGACTCCCTGAGATACGTCGTTCGCACTATCGTCGACGACGGGTCGATGAATCAATCTGCGCGTCAGATACAGTTTTAGCATACCCGATATGAATGACAACGTGGGTGGGCGAGGGCCTATCGCGTCTGAAGTCCCATGGTGTCGTGTAGTTGTGATCGGACGTCCAGACGTAGCCTGTGTCCTCTGTCTGTTTTGGTATGAATACTCGCACATAGAAGATGGCTCCAACTGCGGAGCTATGTATGTACCTTGAAGAACTGGAACGAGACGCCGTGGACGTTCCCATATGACGGAATATCCTAGGAAGCGGAGGAACAGGGTGAGCCAGGCCTACGGGGTGGGTGGATTAGACCGCACTGTGAGAGTGGCACCAGGTTGGGCATTGATGGTGTGTTCAGCCTTGAAATTTTCGCCGACTAGGAAGGGCCACGCTTGGTCAACACCCAAAGGAAGATATTGGCCCTAATTCTCGGATTAAGAGCAGCACGCAATTGCAAGTCACAAAAACGCACCGCTGAGAGCGAATCACCGATGAATTGAAAGCTCAGTTTAGACGGCTTATATGGGAGTAGCTGGGCCCCCTACCAGCCGGCGGATCAATTGTATCATCCCTCTGAGAGTCAAGAGCAACACACACCCTGTTCAAGACGATGGTTTCCAAATTGATCCGATTATTCTGCCACCCTTCCACGTTGAGACGAATGACAGATTTATCACTGCGCTTGAACCTCGGGGCGGCGGGGAGCGGAATATCATTCCAGCCTACCGAAGCATTGACAGTGAAGAATGGCTCGTAATTCACAGAAACACCCAAAGCCGCAAATGGGGATGTCGTTAGGGATCCAAGTCGTATCTTCATGGTTTTCGCATTTTGGACGTGTAATTTGAGTCCCGAGCCGGCCCTACGAGGATTCGTTAATGCGAAAGTGTAAAATCGCACCGCAGAGACTCACCACCAAGTCCCAGGCGAATCATCCCATCTTCCGTGATAGTGGATGCGAGGATCGTCGTTTTGTATGGTCAGGCCGGAGACAAGGCCGACTGTCAACGCCGCGAGCAGCAGAAAGACACGACAGGACGAGGCTAAGATTGCCATCGTTGGCATTGGGACGATCCAAATCCTGGAATCCAGGCTTTATAAGGACGAAAGGCTCAGGTTGGCCAGGACATGTATGTGTACCGGGAGGGGAAGATGCAGGCAGAGCCGAAGTATAGCCGAAGTAGTAGAAGAATGCCTCCTTCGAAGTTATGTTCGTTGCCTTCAACTGATATGTGCTTAGAATCATATACCGTATAGAATAAGACTGAAGAAGCATTGCAGGCGCACACCGGGGTTATCCTAATAGAAAAGATAGTTTTAGATAACCTCGGTTGTTTCCAAGATGCCTTGAGATTCGCGACCGAAGAGGAATCATTCAGGCCTTGAGCTCGACGGCAGGTGTATGGGTGCGCCACAGCAGACCGTAATGGATAATGGCAACTTCCTACAAGCGGGTCAACAGGTCAGTTATATACTGATGGCAAGCACCAGGGATCACCCACTCCCAGAAGGACGGCATGAGGCCTTCTGGCGTCCGGCTGCTTCGTTGCCGTTGCCTGACTGATGTTGGCCTGCAAGATGAACTTGCAAGACGAATGTCAACACACTGACAGCGAAGAGCCTCAACGACCCCCGCACCACGAAGGAGTTCCTTTCCATGAACCAGACTCTGCCACATACGAGACTGCCTTCTTCACTCTTGCCACGATGCCCCTTCGACGAGGCGTAGCAATTTCATTTGGAAGGCTTGTGATGTAAGTGAAATATAGTAACAAACTGGCCACCGAGGGAGAGGCTGAGGCGAAGACGAGGGTGCTAATGTGCGCTCAATCAGGTTGCGAAATAGAATGGGTAAGTTACTAATACATATCATGAAAGACTCAGGTACTCACCATGGAAAATCCCACCAAATATTGGTTCGGTGTCTGCTAGTATTTCGTCCATATATGGAAGGAGGGCTGATTCAAAAATAAGAGCCATCTCCTAACACATTATCACTGAGTACCTAGCTAACTTACTTATTAGAAAAAGCAAGTTTTCCCCTCAGTTGCGGTCGAAGTTGAGTCTAAGCAGTCGCACGCGGCGCTGCTCGCGTTTCCGTCTTCCGTTCCGTTCGTCACGTGGCGTTCGATTTCCGACGTCTTTACTTTGTTTTTGGTATGGGATACATCCTTCCCAGTCCTCGTATTCACACACCCGCGAATTCCTCTTCGCGCCTACAACAGGCAACAAATGTGTCACGCAATTCTGGTCTCCTACTTGAGCCCCAAAAAATCGATTTTATCGGATATTTCAGCCAACCATCCATCCGTCGACGACTATGTCTGTCGGTGACAGAACATCTTTTCCGTCACTTAGAGGCTGACAATGTCAAGATGCTCGACGGGGAAGATGTAGAATGATTACAGAGGATCTAGTGGGACCTCTTGATTATTCCTCCCGCCTAGGTTGGTCGATTGCTACCCAGAACGCGGATCTCTGCGCCTTGCCTCCTAGGAGAGACGCACCGGAATGGTCCCATGCCACGTCGGACGTCTTGTGTTGAGATCGATTAATCACCGCCGGGACGCCGCTGAGAACACATGCCTGAGCCTATTCGGTTGTATTGGAGCTGCATCGTAGACTGTCATATCCAGCACTCCATGCTTTCCATTACTTGCAGGCTTGATCCATACAGTCCCAGGCGCGTCGTATACCTCAACGTGTCAGCAATGCCTACCATCAGATCGCAGGGCTCGATCCGAAGCGAGAACCCGTCGGGTGGGCGTATCACGGTAGAGCATGGCCTGTGCCTAATAACTGCGAAGAACGCGTGCCGATGGCCTAGGACGAAGAAGGCAGGCAAGAGTGCAGGTGGAGATGAAATAGCTGGGGGATGAGATGAACGGTCAATGCGCGAGGGAAGGGATACAGTGAAAAGAGGGCAGCACATGGCTAAGCGCGGCGAAAGGAAGATGTCGATGTGAACAGGAATTTTGGGCGACGAGAGAAAGGCCCACAGCGAAAGTCCGCCAGTTGTTGTGCAGCAAATCAGCACAATCACTGTGCTCTCCCGCTCGCGCGCCCATCATCCTTCCTGACACCACGCACCCAAGCCAGAGGACTGCGATGTTCACCTCCATCCAAACAATGTCGGGCATGAGCCACATGTTCGTTCTATATTTGTAAAATCGGTTTTCAAGTTCTGCTGATTCCCTAGCTGAACTAGCAGTCGCACAGCACACTCTGGGACACCGAGTCGGCGAAGTACCAGGCCTCGGATCTCTGCGTCCGGCTTGTCGCAGGGCGGGGGACAAAAGAGCGCCATGCCAAAGTCGTATATCCACCACATCGAATCTTGGTCCTAACGGTCTATCCTGCAAGTTATCAACTTCGAAGTCAGAGGGACGCCTCATCGTCGAAGTCATTCGAACACGCCAAGCAGTGCGAATACATATCCAAGGCCCAGCCAGAAAGATATCTTTGGACGAATTGTACTCTTCGAGGAGCATTTCGTCGCCGTCAAAGTCTAGCTCGGTGTTAGCGAACTCGACATGAAGAGAACATTCATTTCTGAATTATAACTAGCGCCAATACTGCACCCAGATACTAAACTACAAGCTACACTGCCCATAAGATGTATCGTGAGGCCTTGGTTCAGAATCATCGTTGCCTAGGCCGCTTACCTACACATATAGATATCCCTTCATCATGGTCCCCTAAGATTGACCGTGAGCATGATGTAAGATCGTTGTTGAGAATGCCGTACTAGGTCTTAACACCGATGAAGTTAGGGGTGTGCCCCAGTTCCTCAGCCCGGCTCTTCTCCTTGTCGTTCGCAATTCCCTGGGGTTTATCGATTATCATTTCTGAACGTCAGATTGGGGAGGTGAGCGTCATTTACCAAATAGACTTTGCTGAAGAGTTTCGCCTTCTCTTGATCTTCGCAGAGGCGCCATTTTTGGAAGTAAGCAATGACATCTGTGGGGTAGCAATCGAGGCATGGGCAAATCTGAGACGCATCAAGGAGCTTAGCGAGTTCTTGGTGAGTGCTGTTGATTTATCATACCTTACAAGCCGGAGCACAGCAAAACACGTCTTCAGGGGGGCTTTTTAGCTCGATTGTCATTATGATGCATGTCGTGGTCCGGACAGGCATAAGCAAGCATTCGCCAGCATTGCAGTCTGTTTTTGCAAGGCCGTCAAAGATGACGGGGCCGTCTGAAATGCGCCATCATCATCCAAGTGTTGTGCCATGTCTACGGTTGTACGCACAGTCTTTGTGAATTGCGGCTTCCAAGCTGTCGGACAAGCCAATTCCCAGGGCATTGTGGCCCGGCTCAACCGCGATAGTGGATTTGAGAATGGCGCATAGGACGGCGAGGTTTGTTAGGAAGCGCATATCTGGCTCGAAACCTTTGAGGAAGGGATTTCATCGGAGGTTTTTATACCTACTGCACGGCGCTGTACATCACCGGCAAACAACAGTTTGTTCGTCAAACCACGACCTCAAAAACGTCGAATCGCTGACGCCGTTCTGCATACTCGGCTCCTACACACCCTCCATACAACACGGAAATACAAAGTTGACAGCAAGTCTTGACAGCTGGAATTATTACAGGTGTTTAGAAAATGCCGGTGAATATTTCAATGGTATCGCTTCTTCTTCATCTGTCCGTTAACGGCAAAACAACCCGCTAACCAAAAGGACCCATCCACTCCACTTTGGCATTGGCAGGTCCTCCATTCTGTGCATCGGCTCTTCTCCGTGCCGCTCCTTTATTAACCTTTCCCACTGCCAGGACTTTTGGTGCTCTACCGCGATTGGTCGACATCAACTACTCAATTCAACACCCTTGTAGATTCCACCGCCAAACTCGAGTAGACAACACCTCAATTTCTATCAGTATCAGTATCAGCGTGCCACTCGCATTGTTCGTGCGATGGATTTTCACAGCCCCATCCTTCTCATCCTTCACTTCTTCTGATTCTAATCATAGCGCACGCCTCCCCACGCCTCCCCACGCCCTTCCCATCCCGAGCACGGACCAATGTCTCCGCCTATCGTCATGAACTTACCCGATATACAACCAACGTTGCATTCGCCATCGTCTTTCTCCAAACGATCTTCATCGTCATTTCTTTGGCCTATCTTCGTCTTCGCCTGGAGCGAGTCTCCAGTTGTCTCGACGAAGAAAAGCTTCGAGGGCATGGCTGAGTGTCTCCTTGCTGGCCCGTAGGTCCCATCTACATATTGTGGTTACTGTATAAAAACGCACTCGGGGATGCACTCGCCCGAAAATTGATTCAAAATCATTCTGCCTTGGCTACTGCGTGCAAGACCTGTGACAGATGCTGGGTTCGAGTATCGGCTTCAGAGTTTTGATACCAACTTGGTTGACGGCGACAAGCTGCTGCACATCAATCTTCTCTATAACTCAGAGCTCAGCAACGCGTTTGGCTGGAGATAACCACCATAGGTTACCTGTAGTTTGTGGTAACTCATCCGAGCTTTCCCAAAACTCCGAGGCAAAATTCATACCAGTCCTTGGTCTGCTCGAAGCGATTGTATTTCTTATTTGCAGAGAGTTGAGCGAGGGTCAGGAAAGCTATGAGCGGGATCGCGGAGAGATCGCGGAGAATTCTGGACGCACGAAAAACTTAGACCCGCTGGGTAATACTGGTCCGGCGAAGTAATTTTAACCTTTTCCTTTGAATTGAATACCGACGTGGCAGCTCGTGGGAGACAGCCCGTCATTTCACCTTGGGTGATTCAACCGCCCCATGTAGCCAGATCCATGACTGGAGGTCAGGCCTCAGCAGCATCGAGCTCGCGGGATACGTCTTCGTCAGGCATACGCCTCGAGAGACCAGCGTATCGCACGACAACGAGGACAATGATGTTTAGCAGCGAGGTGGAGTGTCGTTTGTGAGACTAGCGGCCCGATCTCGGGCCGGCTAGGTCTGTGGACCGAAAGAATTGCCTGACAGTGGTTCTCGAGATGTGAATTTATTCAGCGTACTTGAACTATTTAATAATCGCCGGTCTGGAAAAGCCGAAGTGTATAAGACTAGTCAGTGTTTATGGCACTCACCCTGGGCGACCACCATAGCGCATACGACCTGGATCGACTTGCAACACCAGCCGCATTGCCAGATCTTCAGAACCTTTCTTTATCGCGCCATTAATCATTGTATATAGATTCCCACCCGCGTCAAACACGAAGGTCACCTTCTCCAATGATTCGGAGGCGTTCAGGAGGGCCTCCAGGCTGGTCGCCATATGATCCAAGTCATTTTAAATCCATGTCAACCGTTCATACCTGCAAAGAAAGTCGATGTCGATGCATTTGAAGTGGGCAGCTGGGATCCATTCGACCGAGGGCGGAGATGGATAAGGTTCGGTAAAGAAGGGGTATGGGGTCGATGGGAGGCAAGTGACGTTCGATAATAAGGTGGAGATGGCGAAGATTGACGAGATCAAGGAAGTTGATCACGCCGCAGCCCTCGTTTTCTACGCATGCGGCTGTCAGATTGCTAGGTAAGTGGGAATTCAGGATGTAATTGGGTATTTGACACTCGCATGTCCCATCAATTACGCAACAGACGCCCAACGACATCGACGTTCGGTGTCTTCGATGTTCCGTGAGCGGGAAAGGACGTGCAGTCGTGAATGTAGATTTCCTTAAGCCCAAAGAGCTCCACAGGCTCTAACTCTGCCCTTTGCTCGCTAGACCTGGAGTCCGACGACCTCAGGCGCAGCGATCGAAGGGTAGAGGAACAATGTCCTAGCAGATTATTTAGTTGCTGCGGCTCGAAGATCCAGCGATTAGGATTGAGCTTTTCGAAGGTCCGTCAGGCGACTATATTCTTTATGGAGCGGCGTAATTCTTCAGAGAGATGAGTCCACTGGGCGGCGCTGAAGGCGGTGAAGGTAAGCGACTGGACGTTTGTAAGTCACTACAGAAGAGGAACAAGAGGGCGAACACTTTCAGCAGATCCTATAGAGATGCACAGTCGTTGAACATATTCATCAAGATGAGGCGAATCAGTAAGAATCGTGGCTTGTCGTGTGTAGTTTGTATAGTTTCGGTCGAGAACGATGGTGAAGACAAGTTTTCTGAAAATGAAGCATTGGGAAGGACAACCCCAGGATTTGCATACGACACTGCAGTTCCGCAATGTTCTTAGATCCTCTGCTATGAAGGACTTCTTCGACAAGATCCAGAATCGCGGGCATCCTATCGCCTTTGAAATTTTGAGTTTCAAGTTTGGCCTGTGAGCTTAAGCGCCCACGATGAAGTATGTTACATAAGCGGGAACGCGCATTTCGCGAACTTGACCTCGCGCAGGCCAGCATGAACTCTCCTCGCAACCACCATGAGCTCTCCACTTTTCGGGCTACGAAGACGGCGCAGCCTCCTCCATCACTCTAATTCTTCTGCTCTGTCAAGCAAAGCGACCGCGTCGTCCTTCGCTGTGGTCTCACCTATTCTCGGTCCAATGGAATCCATACCGAGCCCGACGAACGACGAACTCTTACATGACGGCGAAATTGACGACGCGCAATCTACATCTGACACAGATTCTGGAAGCTCGGACGCCGATCCCGATCTTGGTGAAGATGGCGAGGACGGAGATGGCACGACGAATAACGGTGGGACCAGTCATCGACCTAGCGCTGCATTGAATGAGGGGGAGAGGGGGGGCGGGAATGAAATCAGAGTCGAGAATGGCAATGGTAGCACAAAGACGTCGCCCACTCCCAAGCGCCATGTGCGCATAAACTCGCCTCCGCGCGTAGACACCCAAGTCCCACACCGGCGTCCAACGCGCAATGACCCACCGAGTCCCACTTCGCAGAATCGCCGGGCATGGTACGAGTTTGATCTTGCCGTAGTCGTCGCACTAGTCTCCCCGATTGGAAGCTGGCTTACGGGGGGCGACCATGTCAAGAATCTCGTGAGTTCTGACAATCCTTTGCGGTCAGAGTTGTTTCTCAACACCTATTTAGCTCCTGGTGTCCCTTCTCATCTTCTATTTACACCAAGTAGTCGAAGGTAGGTGCCTCCTGATTCCCAAGACTCTTGTATCTCACTCATAACCCCTAGTTCCCTGGTCGCTCTATCACGCTTGTCGCGCCCGTCATAAGATTGCAGCCCACTCGGCTGGCGCACCCACAAAGTCCGTCGCTTCTGCCCTCCTATCCCTCGAACTATTCTTCCTCGCTCTCACCGTACTCTCCCCTCTTTTCGGCGCGTTGCTCCTGCGAATTGTCGGCAACGCCATCGTCGGCCCCGATGCACTCTCCTGGTTCAACGTAACACTATTCGTCCTAGCCACTGGCCTTCGACCCTGGCGCCATCTGGTCGACCGCGTGGCAGGCGCGGCAGAGGAGATGCAAGGGATCGTCTGTGAAGGCGCTTGCGGCGGCAGATGCCAGTCCCCCAGCGAGACAGAGGAGCAGCAACGATTGGAGGAACAGCGCGCGCAGCAGTCGGATATCTTGCTGCACAGACTAGAAGCCATGGAGGCGGAGTTGTCTAAACTGAAGACGCGGATGAGTGTACGGCAGGATGAGCTGTATGATTACGTCGACGAGGCCGTGGATGCAGTCGATAGACGCGTTACAGACACCGAGTCGCGGCTGGTGAGGACTATGCATGATGTCGATGAAGTCGGAGCGTATATAAGACACTGGGGGAGGAGCTACTCTGCGACGTATCTGGATATCCTCCCGAAGTGGATCGCGCGCACGCTGGCGCTCCCGTTCTCCAGTCAAAATCAACACAGTCCCAGTGCCAACGGGAAAAAAGAGCACATACAACAACAACATCATCATCATCATTCGGGAAGCTCTGCGAACACGCTCCGCACAGTGTCATACAAGTCAGCAACGAACCATGTTACGACCCCATACTCGTCGATGTACGCATCCCCGAATGGCTCAACGGCGACCATCTACTCCAAGAAGCTCGAGCCGATCCCAGAAGAAGACTCCTCTCCTCCCCCGCCGACTCCTCATGCCAATGGCATATCATCTCCCACCATCATTAGATCGTCTGACGTACCACCATCCAACCCGATAGAGTTTATCGGCTCGCTCGTTTTTCTACCGTTCCGTATTGTTCGTGGTGTTGTTTCTTGGAGCACAGGTTATGTATATGGACCTTGATTCATTCGGTACCTAATTAGTAGTTAGCCTTCATCTTTCTATCACGCTCTCCTCATTGTACGTACTATTGTCTAGCATGTTCTCGTGTACCATTAGCCATCCTCGCTGTATTCTGTCTATCGCTGTTGCCTGTACACTCACTAATACCTATTTGTTCGTCGTGACGAGATGAACTTGGCATGTTGTATGTTCGCGCGGCTGCAGTTTGGTCTGCGCATTCATCAAGTCGGGTGTCGTGACATGGAACGTGGCACATACCCAGTGCTCAGCATTTGAACTGCACCCAAGTCATCAATGTCGCCTGTTCCAAGTCACTCGTCGCTACCGAACGCACTAGAAGCAATCAATTGAACGCAGCGCCAATGATACGTCCCACCACGCAACACTCGGCATGACCATGCACCGTCGCAACGGTCTTCGGTCGCGACGGATAAATACGACTCCCCCCCAGAGAAGCGAGCCTACCCAGTGTTCCTCGCCAATCCACTTGGTGAGTTAACTTAGCACATTCCCTCTCCGCCTACTCCATCCTCGGTTGTACACGGTCTACGGTCCCCCCGCGTCGCTCATCCACTCAGCACATCAACTTATCTTTTGATCTGCACGAATTGAACGAATCTCGCGTACCCATCATGAAGTCATTTACCTCAACACCTTTTGCGATGACGATGATTGCGCTGTTCTCTGGCGCTGTTATTGCTATGCCTCAGATGGGAGGACCACTGCCGAATGGAATGTCAGGAGGAATGATGCCTGGTCAAGGTCAACCCCAGGGTATGCCGAAGTACGTGATCCACCATCCTTTTAGTCCTTTCGAACGCGCTGTTGATGGGGCGTTTGGAACTAGCCAACCGATGCAACAGGGCCAGCAATTCCCGCAAAACCCACAGATGCAGAATCCGGGGCAGATGCAGGGCCTGCCGCAACCCATGGCGAATGATCCCAATAACGCGGCGATTCAGCCGCAGAACGGTGTGCAGCTCCCCCCGGGAGCGATGCCGACGAACCAGCAGCAGCAGCAGTTCGGGATGAACCCTGGGCTGAATACGCAGATGAACGGAGCGGCGGCGCGGGGTGCCAGACGACAGGGGGTCGCAGTGATAGGGGCCGCCGCTGTCGGCGCTGTGGTCGCTTTGATGATATGATGCCGGCGGAAGGAAGGAAGGAAAAGATGATACCACCCTTCGACTCTTGCCCTGCATTCAACTCGTGGTAGTAGTGGTTCACCAAGCCCAAGGCGGACCTCATATCACGCTCATTACTACCCGTCATTTCTGAACTACAACGCTTGACGCTGTCTAGGTTTTCGCGCATATCAACGGCCTACATGTATATACCCAGCTGTATTATCGGATCCGGTTCGGTCTAATGTCCTCTTGTGTATTTGGTTACATATCTGTATTTTAGATCGTGTGTATATTATACTTTGTCAAAAGCAAGAAGGTAACGACGGATGTGCCAAGGACTCTTATGGGAAGTATGTTACATGACCATTACAACTGCCGTACACGTACATAGAAGAATAAATAATCACAACCAAGTTACAGGTCAGAAGAGGCTTATCCTCAATATCAATACCCAATAATAAATTCATGGCCGTACCATGTACTTCTTAGACCTCTGATTCCTCAGACATCGAACTCGATTCTCCGCGCCTCCTCACCACAGCCATATTTTCTCCAAAGTTTATCTCACTGATCCCCTCCGCCCCGCCCACCCTATAACTCGTACCCCCGTTGACACCCTTCTCTCCGGCCTCTTTCAGATGCACCAGCAGTCGCGCACCAAGTATCACCAGCAGACTCGGGGAGCCCATGATCCCGAGAATGACTTTAGAGATGACGCGCGGGTCGGAGGTTGTGTTTGAGATGATCATGCCGACGTTGCAGAATATCGCGCTACAGATGCAGATGGAGGTGAGATTGGTGGTTGTTATGGATAATAGTCGATACGCGGAGGGTGGAGATGGAGGGAGAGGGACTCACACTGCGAAGTAGAAAGCTTGATCTATGACGAGTACTTTGACCAGATGGAAGCCCGTCAATCCCTGGGATAGGTTCCAGAATTCCGCGGCTTTGTACAGTGCGAGGACGAGTAGAACACATTCAAATGACAAAGGGATAGCCCTACGATCACGGGAACGAGTTAGGAATTAGAAGACTTTGTATGTAGTAGACGTAGTACGGACCAGGCCAAGATGAAGAAGACGGGCTGGACTCCTCTGATGGACTGGCAAACGGTGTAGTTTGTGCCGAACTCCCCTAGAGCAGCTTTACGTACGAGCGTGTAAGAGTGCGCCAATGGTATAATGCATGAGGGCGAGACGTACTGCCATTGTACACTTGGACATATGTCAATACACCGAACATCGCAACAGCTTCAATGGCGAATAAGACACGTAGGCATATCTTCGTAATGCGATCTGTAAATCATAGTCAGGCTGGAGTTCTTCCGGAGACCATGGCTTATGTGTGTACCATTCGAAAATAGGGCCAACACTCTCATCACGAGTATATCTATGTTTCCGAGGTTCGAATGAATACATGTCGAATGAGAATGCAAGAGGCAACCGAGACGTACAATCTATCAAGTTGATAGTGATCCAATCTAAATATCCGTGTAAGTCTTCATTCTCCATCAAAGCAGAGGTATGTACGCACTCGAAGCCACGGCTGTGTACAGCGTGAACTGGCATCTATTGAGGTCGAATAAGTATACAACTTTGAGACTGGAAAATGATGGAGGCCAACAGTGTCTTAGTGACGCGATACGTGTTATCTATAAACCCCAGATCAGCGGCCGACTAAGTACCCCAGTGGGGACGATGGACGTACACCATAAATACACGATAGCGGAGAATATACCGATGTATCGGTTCTGTACATCAAGCGGGTCAGGACCGAGCATAGCGGAGATGTTTATTCCGAGGCTTGATCTTACCGCGAAGTATATGAGGCTGACGAATCGCCGTGGTGCGCTCTGCGATCAATATTAATATAGGTGTTCTGGACCGAACCGAAAAAATCGCTAGCTAACCCAAAAATATTTGACCTGTTCGTGATATGTTAGTCTAGCGCAAAGGCAGGCACGAAATCAGAATCCTCTTACCTCTTTATCTAACGTCGACACTGGATAAATTGCCGAAAGAAAGGTGAGCAACGAAAGCGCAAGTGATCTATTGAATACGCACAGGCGTCGTAGATGAGAACAGTGACGATTGCGACTTGAAAGCATTCCGCGAATCGAAGTTGGGAGAAGATCAAAGGGACGAGAGACGAATCTATAGAGTGTATGACCGTTCTCGTAGCGAGCGAAGCTGTGCCGACAGTGGAATTCATCTCAGCTATCTTCGTTTATCGGGTAAGGGAGGAAGGCGGGAGGGAGGGAGAGAGGAAGAGCAGGCGACGGGCGCTGGGCGCTGGAGCGATAAGCTATCTAGCTGAGTTGAGATAGTTTTATAGCCTCGCACGTCCTACGAGTATACGTACATGCCTGTCAGCTACCGGACTCGTGAACGCCCTGACAGTGATTAACTTCACTAGAGCGGCGACGTGAATGGATTCAATCCAGTGCCCGCTGATGAAGGTGATGATCACATTCAGGAGTAACACCTTTGAGGGATTTCGACGGCATTACGACGTATGTTTTGAGGGGCTGAAGACTTTGCGGTTTCATCCTGCAAGGAAAGCAGTCTTCTTTCCTTGCATGCACAGCATGATGATGGATTGATGGCGCCGCTGTGGTCGTGAACCTTCAGCAAGGTTTGATTTTCGGAGAGTGGTGTAATTGGAGCACTTGCGGCCTTATCTCTGGTCAGTGCCAAGTGGGGAAAAGTCAACCCTGTGCATCTAGCATCAATTGTGTGTCGAATTCTCGAGATGTGGACATCGCACTATACCTGCGCAAGGACCATCTAGACGAAAATCCTCTGAGAGACGAATCCTTTCCCATAATGACAAGGTACATGGTGGAATCAGAGAACAGCCCTTAGATCCCCGTGTCCGTCCATCACTCTTCAAGCCTCATCAGTTTTCTCTTCCATCACGCACGCATCAACACCCCTACCACAAACTGTAGCTCTGTAAATGAATCTGATGACCACGGTGATCGCATGATAAAGATCAGTCTTCTTCATCAGGTCGCGGTCTACTCTTAGCACTCACCATATGGAAGTAGGTGCTTCGAGATTCGGAATAAGCAGGAGTCCAGGACCTTGCTCGACCCCGAGACTTGATGCTGGGAACTACGGAGCACTGATGATGCATCGATAATAGATATGATGGAAAGATAAGCCCAGAAATAGCTTGACCCTTGACGTGAAACTAGAGCAGTCCAACTTGTTGTGATGTGGAAGATTCGGAGGCGCACTGCATTGTACAGGTATTGAGTGGGTATGGGAGACTTGGGATTGGAAGTTCAACTGGATGCCTGCCTATGTCCACTCTCCGTGGAACATGGAGCCACTTGGAGGGGAAACGATGGTGGCTTTCCATATCACGGTGCTCTAGTTTTTCGTTCCAAGATGGAGGATCCTAGGGTAGTACGGACAGTGGCCCCAGGAATGACCGAAGCTAGAAGCATCTAATACTAGCGTTCATTTCCTAGTCTTCAACCGATTTCGAATTGCGAGGGTCGTGGGACAACCGACAACAGCATCCAATTGTTGTGCCGCCTGTAATCAGCTTACAACCTCGTAGACGAGTTAACCCCCCGAGGGGCGCGCTTCTTTCTGTAGCCAATCTCAAGTCGAAATCCCCATAGTGCGTGGCGTGAGTGCTTGGTTATGTTTGAATATGACCCACTGCTCTATGATGGTTGGCTCGAAGACTAAACACCTTGAGGGGTCTGTTCAGATGACAATAGGTTCCGTGGACTGTAGTGTAGAGAAATGCTTGGTTAACGAGCACCAACCAGATGGCCGGCTTCGGGCGGTCGGTGGTGGACAAACGGATCACGGTAATGAAGTCGCTGTCGGTTTTTTCCATTCGGGGACGCTGGCGCGCGCCTGACAGGGCTGTTAATCGATCGCCTAACATACCAAGTATACGACATCGCCCCAATGCTTCCATGCTTGCCCTACTTTCTTTAGATTCTCGCGCTTCAACTGCGATGCTCCTCAGCACATATAAACCTGCGAGTCTAAGGACCGTTGACTCAAACAAGGACCCACCGGTTACCCACCACACCACACCAGAAGCCTCCGCCTCCTCATAGACACCATCATGACGGGGTACATCTCTCGATGGGATCGCGAAGGTCTACTCAAAGAGCCACAACCGAGGCCAGTCATACCAATACCTCTGGTGTATCAGAACGGGGGTAACGCTGGGGTAAACTACGCACCTAGTACGTGACTTCCTGACAGTCTCGCAAACTTGACCTAATATGTGTGATTAGCATGGGTAGCATGCGCACCCAGTACATCGGTGGTGACGGTGCCTCTGTACAATACCAACTACCTCCTTCCGCCGCCTCCGCCTCCGCCTCCGGGCTACCGGGCTACGCATAGTGTTATATACACGCCCGTCACTACAACCACGGCCATCCCATCCTCTCCGTGGGTCTACCATACCACGTACCAGCCTTCGCCATCTTGGGTCTGCGGGGCATGGAGATGGTAATGGACGGCCGCAATCCAAGAAGGAAACGAAAAAAAATTGTATATATTAGGACGCACATTAATTTTGAGTTACTTTGTACTCGGTTTCCTTCTCTGTTCTGTCCACTTGCTTGAAATGCACTGGATTGTAATCTTTCGTGATTGCCAGGTACCGTCGTCTTACATACTTGGCTGGATCAGCGGCCCTGGAAATGGAATGGAGCTCATACCATTTTGGGGTTGTTCATGAGGGCTGCGCCAATGCACAACTCCGTTACAAGGAAGTTTATCAAGAATACGCCCACCTGTTCGTATCAGAGCGTGTGTAGAATCTCCGGAAGGAAATGGGTGAATCACGGAAACGAGACTTGGCACTATACATGACATTAATTCCGATTCGCAAAAAAGCTCACGTATTTGTATTTTGCCTATTTTTCCAAGTCAATTTCCCCTCTTCGTGAGTCGCTAACATTGGCACCAACGTGGGCGTCAGATGTTGTGTCGCTGTAGGTCGCACGGTTCAGCCGAACGCGATTGAAAAATGGTGGTATTGACACGGAGAGGAGGGGATAATACTGAATTTCCGGGTTTATGGTGCGTGGTAGGGACCCCTGTTCGAATACCCTTAACGCTCAAAGTCATCATTGTTGCGGAGATGATTGTCCGATGCTTGAACTCACCTTGAAGTATATGACGTTGATGAATAGCAGCCCATCCCTAAGATGTCAGCCCAGCGCAAAGGCATCTATAAATCCCCAATTCTCTTTGTCTAACGTCAATGCCAGATACATGGAGGAGCCTTGGAAAGCATACGAACATTAGAGTCTTTACGATGGTGACTTGGAGACATGAAGCTGCAGCCTGAAAGGGTATCTAGGGGGTGCTGGATCAAATGGACGACTGTGCTCATAGTGACCGAAGCAATACTGGTGGATTTTAGTAATGTGAATGTTTCAAGTTACTGAGGGGAGAAGGAGACGGGGAACATTGGACGATAAATTAATTAGTTAAGTCCAGATAGCTTTACTGCATGTACATACCTGCCATCATCGCACATCCTCGCGGACACCCTGATAAACTTCAGTCAAGCGGCAACATGTAGGGACCCAAATAACCGCCGTGTCTGAGTCTATGGATCATGAGTAGGTTTCTTCACCAAGACCAGGCTCACAGAGACCAGAAGATTCTGTGTCTGCTGTAGAATTATTGTTGCGTTCATTTTCACCTACGCCCTCGTCACAACTCGTTTGTTGGGCTCGACTCGACATGAATTCCTGTATTGTGAGCGTGAACAGGTGACCATGGCGAACGGCGACATGGTCACTTTGCTTGACGGATTCGATGGGCCAGAATGATGGAGGAGGCTGAGTCGATCCCGTATCCTGGATAGATTACGCGAAGGGGAGGTCGTGGTGGTTGCGAGAAGAGTCTGAATCATGGGCGCTTAGTGCTGGCAGGAGTGCGTATGCTACTGATGCTCTTATTGATTCTGGATATCGTCAACAAAATCTTTCAATGCTTCGCAGAAGATGGAAAAACACTTGCGAGCATGTAGCCTCGCCTTCGAAGCATGAGTTTGCCCTTCCGCCACCGCGCCTCATCTTCATTGAACGCATCCGTCCACTGTCAGTCTTAGTACATCATCCCTTTCGACCCGAACTATACTAACTATGCGTTGAGCGCTCAACGAGCCCGATTCCTGCCAATTCGCCTCATCTGGCTGCGTACGTCCGACTCGTGTCTACCTGCGTAGGAATGATCAACAGCTGTGCCTTTCTCGCTCGTCTACGTCGGATTTTACGAAGACCCACTCATTCAGGTTCATTGCAGCCTACAACGTCGCTTTTTCTAGCACGAGTGCGCCGCGCCATAGCGTACATATTTTCCCTGCCCACACCGGAAAACCTCGATCTTGATCGCTGGATTTTCAAGCCTCGCTAACTCCACCAACTGCTCAAATGTTGTTCCCCTGCCTTTCAATCCCTGGGCCTGCGCTCATCGAGGATTGTGTCTAGAAAAATAGGTATTCAATGATTAGTCGCGCGATATCCGATGTACCTTTGGGCTTCCTTGAGGGAGATTTCGTACACGGGCGTCATGATAGCGACCAGGCGCAGATATTTCTGCTCGATCAGATCGAGCTACACGGGCATCGTGCAGGAGAAAGCACATCAGGAGGAGAGAGGGATGCGCACCTCTTCGTCGCCGTCGTCGCCGTCGTCATCCTTACTCTCATCGCCACTCTCGTCGTCGCTGCTACCCGGCACCCAATCCCCCAAGTTGGGCCTGTTCTTGTCGCCACCTCCCGAATCATATTCATATCGTCGACCGGCCACCCTTTCTCGAACCGCCGCAAGAACTCGATTTCAGCATTCACCCGCAACATACATTCCTCAGCGTAAGTTCCCCAGCTGAATGGAACCAGATATAGGATATCGGATATGGAATCTGGTGCGCACATATAGCGCGAATATATGCATATATGCTACTCAACGACGCGATGAGCTCGTGTAATACCAGCTGATCTTGCTCATTTATCCGCTTCTCGTTACAGCAAGCCGTTTGGACTTTCTTCTACAAAAAATGAAGGTATGATCGCATCGTTACCTGGATGCTGCAAGCTAGGATAAAGTACATTACGCACCACGATGAAAAGATGCGCCTCGCGCTTATCCGACAGCCCCATCGCGTGTTGGAGGTTATAGTTCCGCCCTGCGGATCCCGGCGGCTTGGGGATGAGCAGTTCGGGGACTTTGAATTTGGATTTGACGCTGCTCCGAGGCTGAGAGTTGATGCCGACGATGGCGTGGAACGTACGCGGCCCTCGTCGTGTTTCGTCGCCCTGTTCTTGGATTTGAGAAACCCTTTATTTTGGGCGTGGTGGTGGTGAGGGTTAGAGACGCGACGTGCAATGTACGGGCCTGGCGCCAATGCAGCTGAGAAAAGGTGCCCCTGTCTCCTCACTCCTACCTCCTCTTCCCTTCCTTCGTTCAGGCTTGTTACTAGTTCTCGGTTATTGTGCTCGTTAAGCCATTCCATTAAATATACGCTACACTGTAACATAGATGTAAATGTATACACAAAAACAAAAACATAACATAACATTTACTGTTCAACGTTCAACTCCAGCGCGCAGCAACTTTTAATAAACATCTCAAGAAAACGCCCCCCCTTCCCGTAATCTCCTTCCGCGCCGTCCTCACCTACACCGTGTACCACCTTATACCACTTCCGCGCGTCCCCTGAAGCAGCAAGCACACCGCAACGTCAAGAAAGGATAACATATCGTGTCGTATCGTGAACGCATCGGAATAGAACGCGAACCGTAGGATGAAAGTGGGGTGAAAGGTCCACGAAAACACGACGCAAGTCCTAATCCCGCACGATGCTATCGTACGTCGGCGGGATCTCGTCCACGTCGCCGCCGCTATTCTGCGCCTGCGGCACGCGCCCGCCGTCATGGTGCACGAGGACGTGCGACGCGTTCGGGTGCTGGGTCGCTGAGCCTTGAGGAGCTACGAAGAGAACAAAACGCAACGGGTTAGGATCAGGATCAGAGGCAATGAATTAATGAAGGATGTGAGAGGTGTGGTGAATGATATGAGAACGGCGATGTGAAAAGAAATGATCTTCATCATCATAAGTGTTGACAGAGCGCAACAGCGCGACATATAAAAGCCCAACCAAAGAAGGGTTACATCCCAATCATTAGAGCAGACACTCACCATCTTCATCGGGATTAGCAACCATCCTCCCCCCGCCCGATCCGCCGCCGGTATACGACGCCATGGCCTCGCGCTGCTTTTCCGTGACCTGGCCGACGGAGAGCGGCTGGCCCTGCGAGCTCGAATTACCTGTATGGATACAGATTAGTAAACAAGTCGAAGATTGATAAAGGGGAAGGCAAAAAGACGTCGACGCACCATACCCACTGACGCTCGTGCTGTAATTCGACTCTGTCTCTTCGTACCCTCTCCCTCCGCCTGCTGCTGCCCCAGCACCGAGCGCGCTCATCGCCGCATTCCTTGCCATCGCGTTCGACCTGCCGCCATCCGACGTGCCCGCCGACGAAGAATGGTCATTCGACGTCGGGTACCCGTCATACGCATTGAACCCCGAGCCCTCGTTCGAGAACGTCGCGGTCGTAGGCGACACAGACGTCGGTGGGGGTGACGGGTACACGCCTGGACCGCCTGCGCCGCCGTACGTTCCGTAGGGATTGGGGAGGTTCGGGTGGTTGGCGGCGAGGTTTTGCGGGTGTCGTTGGAGATTTTGTTGTTGCTGCTGTTGCGCGAGCATGAGGCGCTGCTTCTCCGACATGTTGGATGAGGGGAAGTAGCCGCCGACGGGTATGCTTTGCTGACGACCTACAAATTGAAAGAACCAGGTCAGCGATTGGTCTTCTCCCTGCCATGCCGTACGCCCATCCAACACCTCGCTTGGAGGATAGTGGGAAAAAGAACATGAAAAATCACTCACCACCAGGACCAGGACCAGGCCCCGGCCTCCCGAGCACGAATGGCGTGACGACACCCCCTCCAATCGCCGTCCCGCCCAGCCGTCCGCCCATACCATCGTCCTCGTCTTCAATCCCCCCATTCCTCCCCTGGTTGTTGTACGACGAGGGATTAGGGTACCCATTCCCCTGCCCGTTTCCACCGCCATTAGCGTAGATGTTACCGTTACTCCTCCTGTCACCCCGCCCAGCCAACCCCGCGCCAGCCAAAGCACCCGCGCCGGCGACGCCTGCCATAGCAGGCCCTCCAAACCCATCTCCATCGTCCACACTTATATTCGGCAGCGTGCCCGTCCCCGTTCTCCCACCACCTTTCCCTCCTCCTCCTCCCAATCCCGCTGCCCCCGCTCCAAGCGCACCTCCACCTAACCCTCCGGCCCCCGCGCTCGTAAATCGATCCGGGTCAAAATTGCCGTCGAACTCAAACTCCTTGAACCTGTTCTGCCTGCGCCTCCACCACACCAAAGCCCCTACGATTAGTGCAAGACCCGCGATGCCCCCGACTACACCACCGACGATCGCGCCGGTGTTCGAGGACGAAGAGGAGGTGTTGTTGGTATTGGGGGCAGCGGTGATCGTGGACCCCGGGGGAAGAACGGACGATGTCTGAATTACGGTCGTGAATATCTGCCCGTCTGCAGATGTCTGACTGTAGGTTTGAATAGATGGTCATTATTCGAGGATGTACGATAGTCAGAAAAACAACGGATGATATAATCGAAGGACTCACACGACTGAAGTCTGGATGACTGTCGTTACAGGAGTCGATATAACAGACGGCGTAGCGCTAGCCGTATCGGACGTCGGTGTCGGTGTCGTAGAATCGGTGGTCGGGGGGACGCTGCCTCCATCTGTCGTGGGTGGATTCGATACGGGCGGCGAAGTCGGGGGATCTGATGTCGGGGGCGAGGTCACTGGGGGGGACGAAGGAGGCGAGGTGACAGGAGGCGATGTTGGGGGAGATGTGACGGGTGGAGAGGTTACTGGGGGAGATGTAACCGGGGGGGTTGTGTCCGAAACTGGATCAGAAGAGGGTGTTAGCGACGGTGACACGGGTGCGGAAGTTGTAGGAGAAGTAGGGTCGGAGGGCAGGGGTGTGGTGGGGGGAACGGTGGTGGCCATGGTAGTGGGAGGAGGAAAGGGGGCAGAAACGAGGAGAACGGAATGCGGAAAGTGATGTGTGGATAGGATGAGATAATCGGCGGGGGCGGATATCACACATGTAATAATAGAAAGAACGGCGAGTACGGGCGTAAGGCGACAACGAGGTGCTCAGGTAAGCGCCTCGCTGCACCGTGACGTATAACGGCGAGGGCGACACAGCGCACAGGGACACAAGCTTTTCAATTTGAAAAGGAGACTCACTCGATGACATTCTGGCTTAGCCTGGTTCACTGTTTCTCCTGGATCTTGTTCTGTCTTGTTTGCTGGGTTCCAGCTCTAGAACTCTCCTCTTGTCGTAGAATGTCGCGCACTCTTTTGTGGCGCACTAGGAACGGAAATTGTCGTGAAATGGATGGAGCGTTGTGGACCCGAGACTGTGGTGGACGTTCCGGGTGAAAAGAGGAGTAGAGTGGATGACCAACCGCAGCGACCAGCATCGGATATTCCACTCGGCCTCCTCCTCCCGCGCCGCTCGACGTGGTAGTCCTTTCCCACGATCACACACCTCCTAGCCAAACTTCGAACGGTCTCGAACCACAAATTGGCGAATATTGTGCGGACCGGGGAGAAAAACTCGAGGAAAACTTCTGTAAACGGTGTGTTCACTCATAATACTGGTCATCGTTGGAGTCACCCACACCACTCGTGCGTGCTTTTTCAACAATATCTCATGATAGACCCGTATGATCATTCTGCCGAACCAATAGTATGTTGCAAAGTATCACTATCGCGACGGGACCACTAGGCGCATGCAAACAACTCCCTCGTTGGCCGACAGGAAAGAAAGCTGAAGTAGCGAGCTTAAAATTTCACGCATCACGTTGCGTTTGCCCGCAGTCGTAGTCGTTAAGTTTTCTTTTCTCATTTGGAATTGTAATGGCTAGCCTGCAAATACTAGAATAAAGCACCACGCATGCTTCGGCACACGCAATTACATATCCATTTGCATAGCACCGAAAATTGCGCAACGCCGCCGGTGTACACGGAGTCCGCCTTCGAGCGTACACTATGTGGGTCGTGAATATATATAAGAAATCAAATTGCAGATGACGGTGACAATATCATTTCAAACATTTGGGTCCATTCCATTCCATACAGTCGCTTGATGATGGAAAGAGCCGTTGACGTTTTCTGTCAACTCCATCCTAGTAGTGGCGAGTTTCAGGGGCTAATTACCGTTTTCGGCATCACCGCCTCCCGCCGCGCGCCACTGTACGTACGGGCGCTTGTCCCTATGAGTTCACGATCCACCGTCCTCGTATTGCATCGTCCCCGTGTTCACGCTTTCGCAAATCGGAATAACCGCAACTCACGAAGACACCAACTTGAAATCTCACTGGCTGATTGAAATGAGACTCGAGACTCGAGCGACGACGAAGAGCTCCCAGATGGTCAACCGATGATACGACTCGACGAACAAGATTTTTCAGCCCTATCGGTTTAGCGGGTCTGAGATAAAGGCAGACTGGACTCGACACTGACTTCGCGTCTATTTAAGCTCACTTGATGCAAGGGATAGAGGAGACGCGCGTGAGGAGGTTGAAGGTGAGGTGAATTTGGGAATCGGTGATCACGCGATGGTCGCGGATGGTTGTATGGCTGCACTATCCTTTGACATGATTGCTTGGAATATTGACCTACTCACTTCAAGTCATCGCGCCCTGTAGCTCTTCTTGAGCCATTGTGGAATCGGCACGCAATCATTACATGCAATCATTACACTAGACTGTGGCCTCTGCGACCTCCACCTCGTCGTCACCTGCGACAGACAGTACTATGAATCAAATATCCCGTTACACAGAAACGAGTCAATAAACTGGCGAAACACCATGATGCATGACGAACATGCCCAACCGCCCTCTCCGGCCGCTCATCATCTTGGCCAACTCATATCCCCAACTCTTCGGATTCCACCTTGCGCAGGGAATATCCAGATGATCCTCGACACGGTTGCCCGGCACTGGAGCACCCAGACCATCGCAGTAGACGAGACTCGCCCTCTGCCGAGTGCCTCCGTCGGTTCAAGTTTGGGAAACTAAAAATAGCAAACAGGCACCTCTGTAGTATCGCCCACAGCCTGGCTCCGTATTGAAATGTCCACCTCTACGTCTACCTAACGGCTCGTCTATGTTGCATCGACGTCTCCCATTCTGCCTCCCCTCCGCCGTTTGGCGCCCACTCTCTACACTCGATCTCTGTGCTCGTTCACTCGCCCATCGCTGACTATATTCTCTAAACTACACGCATCCCCCTCTGGTGTATGTCTAACACTCCCGCTTCTATCGCTCAAATCACAGCGCGAGATAGTCACCGTGACGATGCCACTTCTATCCATTGCTTTCAATGTTTCTTGACCAGTTTCTCATTCAAAACTAACTACTGTAGACATGTTTTAATATTTATTTCAAGCGTCTCACGGCCCATAAAATGATGGAGCTAGGTGCGTCTCTTCTCCGCTTAACATTCGCCAACATCTAGTCCTTATCTTCTCTATTCAATTCAAGGATTTTTGCGCCAGGTAGCCATCCTTTGAGCATCCCCCTTCCCACGGGCATATGAAACGCCGCCAACGTTAACGTTTACCGGCAACCAGCTGTCCGCGAAATAGTAAGGAAATCCGCCTTTGGGTGTATCCTGTCGTGCGCTAACTCTGGCATCCATCAGTCCCTCGGTATTATCCGATGGCGGACAACGCAAATCTGTCCGCTCGAATACCTATGTTTTAGTGCCAGCTCAACGGTTGGTCGGCTGGTGTCGCCGAGTGCCACAACTCGTGTGTTTATGTTCCCATCGAGCACGAAGAAACGAGCTCGTACGGCCATAAGGCTTCAAACTCAATGGAAGGTTGGATCAGTATTGTCGATCATTGCTTATCAACTGATGTAGAGATTCAGTTGTCGGGGGTAGGCACGGCGTGTCGGACATCCATCCATCACATTTCCGTGTTCTTTCGTTCTGGATCCTTCTGTACGATGCGCATACTTATTGATCCCTTTTTGCTTTTTGCCCTATCTTTGTCTCTAGCTTCATATCTTAGCCAATGAGGCGATGCCAGCGACACCGGAGAAGGACTTCGATGGTTGACGGTGGGTGCGCATTGTGACATGTAACATTCTGGCACTTGCTTCGCTTGTTTAGATTCTCATAGGAGGGCTTCAGAACCAGATATCGCAGAACATCCCCATAGTTGGGTCGTACACAGTAGTGACGCTCGTGATATTACTGGAGGATTGTTAGCAGAGTTATTTATAAGACGGCTAGCGGTTGGCGATTGGGTTGCTTGTTAACCGGTACGTTGGATTTGACGTCGTATTACAAGTGATTTGACTTAACTCCTTGGTATTTAGCAGTGGAGTGACGGTAACGGGTATAGACTCCCCTCGAACGTCTAAAACCAGTGGTACGTAAAAATGATATTACTGTGAATAGAGGTTGATCTTACCTCATCTACGTAACCAGATTCCACGTAGATTCTGGGGTTGATTGTTGTCCCTCAAGCCCTCAAGGCCTCATGGTCGACGGTCAAATATCAGAAGACGATACTATTTTGGGGGAGCAGACATTCAAAGTCAACCAAGTATAGGCCCTGAGCGATGAACAGAATATCCGATATCGTAGGAGTAGGCCCTTCTTGTACGAAATGGTCCAGCGATGGAAACGGTACGTACCGGCGCGAGGCAGAGAGTGCTCGAAATCCAGACCCTACCCTTTTGAGGCTTCTCGTAAGAGTTGAATCGATGCGTGCCATCCATCTCTACCGTTCATTGGGTGTGCGAGACAAGCGCGTGATATGTATGCCAGATGGTGCCCTTGAATGGATTATCGTATTCTGATGAGGAGGAGATCACCCCCTTCCGAGTCGTTGGGACGCCCCTGACCAGCGGTTGTATACACTACCCATGAAAGACCCGGATTCCAGTGCAGCGGTAAACGCTTGTTATCCCTGAGGCCGAAGGGAATGTAGCGGGGAGGAAGATTCGAACTTAGTCCGCAGCGTGCCCGCTTATTGTGAACCACACTACCTTGTGCAGTAAAGACACGAGTCCAGCCTAGGCCGAAAGGAACCGTCTTTGAGATTGTCTTATATGCACCTCGGGCTCTCACATCCTAACACCAAGCGATCTTGTATGTTTAACACCACCAATGCGTAGGATGTGAACCAGTCTTGGCATCGGCGAACTGACTGTTGGGCACCTCGGTTATTCGTACATGGACCAACTGGCCAGTGTTGCCACCAAGTCTCCCACGTCAATCAGTCCCAAATAATTCCTAGCCAATACCTATCATCCTATCTAACTTTTTATCCAATTACGCGACTCGCTGGACGTCGAACGCCCAGTATGATTGCCCTCAGTGAGCTAGACCGAGACCGTAATGCCGTCGACGGCCATCTTGCACGAGGAAGACGACCCAACATGATGGATCCACCCCTTCAGACCTTCGTGCGAAGCTGAATTGGCCTTCGAGGTTTCCCTAGGTCCACAGCACAGGGGTCCAATAATAAGGTGATCCGGGTCAGCGGGAGGCCGTTCGATCTGACCTTCAAGCTTCAGCTTCGCTGCTTTAGCATTGGTTGTTTAAATTAGATGCTCGTCCCAGGCCATAAACCACGGGATGGGGCCCCTTGCGTTATCCGATGACTACAAGAAGTTTGGCGGGGAGTACGTTTGTGGTTTATCGATTGTATGAGCTTGAAGATTAAGGCCGAAGTGCCTGTGATCGACTTCTGACGGCGATGGTGTTGGGTGTCTGATGTAATTCCGCTGCCATTTCCAAGCTCTCGGTTACAAGGACCGGTGTGAGGGCACTGTCATTGAAAGAGCCAATACGTTGAACGTGTATCGACGATGCCGTGGCTTGGCAAGCTGCGTTAGTCCGGTTTGGGGCGGGTCTGGGAGATTCGTTCTGTATGCTGTTAGACGAAGGCGGTCATGGTTATCGCTTGGGGGTAATGATGCAAAAGAAGCTTTCGGGGACCCGGGAGCATTCGTGGCTTCTAGAATTTAAGTAGCTATTTTGTCCTCGAGTCGGAGTTTCGCTATTTGAGATAGTCTTCTCGTCATACGCACGCTGATACAGCGCTACTGGGAGTGTATAGACTGCGGCCGGTGAGAGCGTGTAAACGGGTAGAAGTAAAGCGTGTGTATTCCCATCTAGAATAGGGAAATGTACAAATGATCGGAAACGATATACGGAGATCAAAACAGACTATGTTAGAAGGTCCTTATTGAAGCTTGGAGGTGTGGGCAGGAGGCCGGTTTTTGAGTAGTAGGGTCGCTCAGCAGGCTAACTCTTTCCGCTTGACCTCTACTATCATCCTGAGAGGCTTGTGCATGAATCCTTCGGTCGTCTCGAGGTTGTCAGATTCGAGTTTGAGGTCGTAGCGCAGGAGCATCGTAGCTATCACCAGTTGCATCTCGATGTAAGCCAAACTAAGAAATAGAGGAAATCGATAGTCAGTATGAAGGTAAACATGTCAAGACATCTCGGGTTTCTTACTTCCGTCCCAGCTGTGTGGGAAGAGGTAGTCGACCGTTAGCAATAATGTGATCGTTGCGCAGTATGTTACTCACGCATTGTCTCGGTCCTTTCCCAAAAGTAAGTAAATAACGTCCCAAGTCCTTTTCCTCGAGCCAGCGTTCAGGTCGGAAGTTTTCTGGGTCGCCCCAGATCGTGCGGTCGTGCTGAATGGTATAAGCCGGAACAGACATTTCCGTCTAAAGAACGAGAAGATATTGACAATTAGACCAATGCCGTGTTGTGGATAACGTAGGTAGATAAAGCGACTCACCCCTTCTGGAAAGAATTTCCCTAAACATAGCACCCCATCGCGAGGAACAGATCTATGTAAACCAATGGCGGTTGTCGCATAATAGCGCAGGCTATAATTGGATGGTTACACCCCAACTTCTGATGTCGGTGCGCAGCACATACCCTTCTTCGATGACCGCCGTAAGGTATGGAATGTCTTTCACATCCTCGTGCTTTGGGACTTGACTATCTGGAACAGCATCCCGGAGGTGTTGGAGCAGCTTCTCGTGTACACGAGGATGTGTGAGCACAAGGTGAATGATTGCGGTAATCGAGTTTGAGGTCGTGTCAGAGCCTGCGATCCTGTAGTTTATTCCTTCATTGAGCAGCAGAGACTTAATGAGGAAATGGAACCACTGACAAAAGTGTAACTGTCTCTGCTATCAGCTCGGTAACCTGCTCTGGAGTTAAAGCGCCGCTCTCTTCAACACGAGTTTCTATCAATTTATTGAGGATATCTTCTCGGTAGGATCCGGATTCTAGGCGCTTGGTGACACGGCGACGCGCGAGGTCTACAAGGCCGGTCGACGATTTATGGCCGCGAATGAAAAATGGGTCGGGGATGAACTTGGACAGAGTTTTAAACCATGGATGTATCCCAACAACTGCAGCCAAGTGCTCTCTCTGGACCGATCGATTGAGGGCATACCGTCAAAACGAAGGCGATCAAACCCACCTCGTCTACAAGCGAGATTGCGTTCTCTTCTTTGACTTTGCCGTCTGCGCACATCACAGTTACTACGTCAGATTCCTGGAATATCGGTTATCATCAGAGCTCGGGGTTTGAGACATCAGAACATCGTTCGCGTACGTTTGTGACCATTCCAATCGGTTCCCCGAATGCTAGATCGGAGAGAATGTCGAATGCCAGGAAGTTGAACCATTGAAGTACGTCGATGGAGCCCGGGCGCTGGCTGATCTCATCTATCTTCTCTACGAAGTGATAAAGATTCGCATGCAAGAGCGGTGTCACGCTCATCAGCGACTTGTATGAAAATCCCTGAGAGACGAGGCGTCGCTTTTGGGCGTGCTCCTGACGATCGACGGTAGAAAATATGGAAGCTTTGTCCGAAACGAAGGCATGATAGTACGGCGACTTGTCTAAGGCCCGAGAGCCCTGTCCGTAAACGACGTTGATGGCATCCTTGTGAGCGACTGAGACATGGTTGGGAGCGATCCGAACGATGGGCCCATATTTCTGTCAAGCGAACAATTAGGGGAGATTTCGGATGCCTTCGTCTCTACTTACTTTGTGTAGCGCATCAACGACAAGGTACCGGCGGCCCATGCGTACTTGGTATGCAAGCCAGAGAGACGTCCAACGCGCTAAGAATGGGCCAGGGACTTCGCGCAAGGGATCTCGATAGCGTTCCAGTGCTCGATGGATGACAGCGAACACTGAAGACAGTGCCATCAAGATGACACCTATCGAAAACGAAGTGACATTTGGAAGAAGATCAATAGTCGACATTGTGGCGAAGAAGGGATGAGAAGCCCTAGAATGATGGAGAGGATGAATAGATGAAAGCGAAGTGAAGAACTCATCCAGGAATAGCTGACCTTTTAACTCGAGCACTTCTTCACTTTGCTCTCGCTTGCATTTGTCGCAGAAAATCTCCGTGCAGGCATCTGTCGATCCAGATGCCTTGCGCCCCACACGGTCAATGAGGGGGCCTTTAGTTCATTCGGAGGACGCACAGGTAAACGGTTACCCAGGTCAACTTTGTGAAAGGGATCGCTGGTTGATATCCCAAAGCAGATACAATGGTATGCTTCTTGCGCTTAGCTCTTTGTCTGAATGTTGTGATAGACTGGCCTAGTAGGGAGCAAGTGCGAAATCCGGCCCCATCAGTGTACCATTTATAGCATGGGCGATCGCGTCGCGCAAGGAAGCGTCGGAATGTCCAAGCATTAGTCGATTCCCGAAAGCTTCAAGCGTTGGGATCATCATACAACGCTACGAACTATTACCTAGTGAGTGTGTAGTTCAGGTCTCGATATTAAGAACCCACTTTACTGCGAGGATCCTTCCAAAGCCTTTCGAAGCTTGCCGATAAGCGAAGTCGGTTAGTGAGGGACTGTCGCACATATGTGACGCACATGAACTTGGATAAATATGAAGGCATAGCGGAGCCTTAGAAATGTAGACAGCTTACCAGTATGTCAATGGGACAGTTGCAGAGGATTACGCCATTTTTGTCACCAGCTAACTCTGAGCGATTTGGACGCAATGGATCGACTACAAGTAGCCGAGACTCGCGTAGATGATGGGCGGTGACCGGTGATCGTGGTAGGGCCGCTGCACCATGTGCAGGAGGTTTGTATGGACATAAGCTTGAAGGAAGAACGACCCACCATGACATTCCAAGACAAATAACTCGGTGTCCACCATCTAACATCCCCTGTTTCGCTTTTACCATGACTGCGACCGGATTATAGATCAAAAGAGGATAGTTTTTGTGGGTCGCCCCCGTCGCCAACCGCTGCGACACGGAAGGACGCAGGATGTGAGTGATAGTTTTGGCTTGAAATTGAGGGAAAGGCCCCACATTCAACCGTTCCATGTACTATCGTAGAGATCGCATCTGATCTTACGGCAGAAATTTCTTGGAGAAGGCTTTGTCCTTAAGAGAAGATTCTCAGAAGTATACAACTGCACCTACCCACTCCAGCAATCATGCAATCGTCGACTTTGAAGGATATCATCATCGTTCTCGTCGTTTCTGGAGTAACGACATTGAATGTACGTTTGTCTCTGTTGCACTGGCGAGAAAATGTTTATAAGCGCTCGCATAGGTTTTTCTGTCCGGGGCGCTTAGGGCCCGGTCTGCTCGTCGAAATGTTAGTCCCTCGGGTCTGGGGTTGGCTGAGTTTGAAATTTACATTTCCTAGCGCTGGGGTTTGGCTGAGCGCGTCACATTTGTCACACATGTTCTATATACGGCGCCAATCTGATAACAATTGCAACAATGGTTCGTACTACCAACAGCCGCACCCAAACACTTCGAGAAGCTGCCAATGCTCAAGCACAACATCGTCTACGGACCTCTGCTATCCTTGCCGCAGTTGTAGGGGGGGCTGCCCTTCATATGGCTCAGTATCTGATCAAGACTCCTATGTATACCTCTGCTCTCACTGGTGAGCAATGGACAAAGGAACTTCTTGATGGACATTGGGAGCGCTTTCACAATATGATGGGGATGAATAAGCGAGTCTTTCAAAAGCTCAATCAGGAGCTGCAGAAGTACTCTGGATTCAAGGGTTCAAGGTATATTGGGCAGGAGGAGCAGTTGGCAATGTTTCTGTACATGTGCCGGTCAGGTGCGGTACACCGGGAAGTGCGTGAGCGTTTCCAACATAGTCCTGGGACAATAACACGGTATACATATCAACTTGAATTTTTTAACCGTTGCTAATGATTCTCTAGGGTGTTCGACAACCTTCTGAACCGTTTAACTGATCCCCAGTTTTATACACGCTATATGAAGCTTCCGCCAAGTGATATCACACCGCCTGAGATACGTACCAACCCCAAACTCTTCCCATTCCTCAAAGACTGTCTTGGAGCTCTTGACGGTACTCATATCGATGCCTTTATCCCTGACGAAAGTCAGATTGCACGAAACCGAAATCGCAAAGGCGGGCTCACTCAGAATGTTCTTGCTGCAACCACGTTCGACATGCGGTTTGCATATGTACGGGCAGGTTGGGAAGGGAGTGCTGCAGATAGCCGTGTTTTTGCAGATGCAAGGGCTACCGATTTTGCGATCCCCCCTGGCAAGTATTATCTTGGTGATGCTGGTTTCCCTGCATGTGATGCACTGCTGGTACCCTACCGTGGTGTCCGATACCATCTCAAGGAGTGGTCAAGATCTACAAACACGTGAGTTTGTCTCTGACTGTATTGGTGTCTTACTCATTCTGTATTAGCCCACGCGATTACAAAGAATTGTTCAACTTGCGACATGCTCAAGCTCGGAATGTTGTTGAGCGCATCTTTGGTGTTGTCAAGCGGCGATTCCGGCTCATCAACACTGCTCCAGAGTATTCGTTGAAGAAGCAAGCAAAGATGGTGCTTGCGTTATGTGTACTTCACAACTTCATCCGTGTCCATGATCCCCAGGACTTAGATGGAGCAACCTTGGAGGATCTCAGCAACTATCGCCAGCAATCACATACACCAACCACAGATGATTATTCAACTCACATCTCACATGAAGAACGAGATCGGGCAAACGACTTCCGGGATAGGATTGCTAAACAGATGTGGGAGCAGTACCAACAGTATCTACAGCAGAACATGTAATTACGTTGGTATTAAAATTGCAGGAGGTATGTAGATGTAAAGAGTGGAATGGGGTAAAGAATGTGAAATGATGTAATAAAGGAGTGGGATGAATTAGTAGTAACCTAGAGAGAAGATAGCTCAGCAAGGATATATGCATGGCGAAGTACATCACTATCAATGCCCATATATGTATCGACACTTGAACTGTCCTTTCGGAAGAGAACAAGTGCCTTACCTTTCTCTTCTATGGTTAGATCATGATCCATGTCCAACGCAGCAATGACCTTGACCAGACGAGAGCCAGAAAGCATCTCCGAAGAACCTACAGCAGCCGTTCCCGCATTAGCCACCTTGCTGACAGCTCCTGCCAATGCAAGAAGAGCGTCAGGACCAGAGGTACGGCCCCGCTTCATCCTGTATGGAGCCGGAGTGTCATCCGCATCAGAGGCAGCACGCTTCCGACACTGAGATGAAGGTGGTGGTGGTGGGGAAGGGGAAAGAGGAGGGAAAAGGGGAAACATGTCCATATCCTACAATGATTGAGTTTTCAAGTTAAACTCAATACTGATAGCACATACCTGAGAGGCTTCGTCCTCATTATCGCTACGAGGAGTTCCAATATCCCCACTATCATCAGCAACCATAGCGGTGATACTGACAGCATTATCACCAGTTGCACTACGACCTTCAACCAAGGCAAACATGAGGTCATAGCAAGGAAAGGCCTTCTTTCGCCACTTCTTGGCGGAGGGATGTTTCTGGTATAATCAGTAATGGCAGGCAGGAGAAGATAAGGAGACGTACATCAATATACTTGTCCCAGACATCATCAGTCGCAGTGACAAGATGTCGTTGGTCATCCCAACCAAATCCTGAAAGAGAGCGAAGGACTTGGACAACAAGAAAGCTCTCCTTGAGCTAACCAACATGATAAGTCATAGCCTGTAGACTAAGATATCAAGTACGCACTGATTTGAACCTATCACGACAACTGGTAGCAGTCTTGCGACTACCCTTGCTCCTCTCTTCACTACCCTTCAAGCTTTCCTCAGCTGCAGTCCACACCAGGGTTTTCCAGCCATTGTCCCCTTGATTGCCAGCAGCTTGTTGCTCAAGAAGGCAGTCAAGAAGGGCCTTGTCATCGGCATCCGTCCATATGGCCTTTTTCCCCTTCAATACAGGGGGATTCTCCTTATTTGATTGCGTCGAAGAAGGCATTGGCGCGTGAGTGAAAGAAGCGAGGGGAGAGAAGCGAAGGGGAAGAAGCGAAGGGGGAAGAAGCAGGGGGATACGAAGAAGCGCCGAGAATTGATGTGACATGGGGCCTGCCCCAAACCCCAATGCAGCAGAGCAAACCGCCGGCTTGGGGTAGGTTTGGGCCGGGTTTGATCCAACCGTGGGACTCAAATTTGGCAGGTCGGGGCTAACATTTCGACGAGCAGACCGGGCCCTTACTGTGGCTTTACCAACTATCGGGAAAGACCTAAACTTTAGACAAGTACGTGCCCTTGACTCTCTTCGAAAACATCAATCAAGCCATGATTGTTTATTCAGGCCGACTTGCAATGGCCCGTGAATGTCTTCGCGTGAGCATGGCCCTTGAGCCTCTGGCATCTGTAGTTCAACGTGTGACGGAACTGATGCACGCATTAGGCTCTCGTATGGGTGTCTCCTACTCTTCTTCGGTAGGGTAGGAGATATTGTTGGGGGACGTATCATGTTTATGGCTGGCTCTGCCTGGTTCGCTGCGTGGTGAGCAAGAAGACGAAGCTACTTTGATCACTCAGTACTCAGCTACTGATCATACCCGCTATCTCTTCTAGGAGCATTGCAACAGCATTCGCTCCGAATGATAAAGCCTTTATCATATTTATTGCATTGAAAGGACTCGGTGCAGCTGCCAATACACCTTCCGGCATCGGCCTGCTGTCATCCTACTTTCCCCCGGGGCCGAAGCGTAACAAGGCCTTCGGAGCGCTGGGTGCTGGCCAACCTTTGGGATTCATCGGTGGTCTGATCTTAGGTACGGTCAAATGCTTCGTCACCTAATGCCTCACTCACGGCTCTATTCAGGTGGAATACTCACCGACAGCCGAGCTACTTGGCGTGCAATCTTCTTCATCCAGGCCGGCCTTGGTTTCCTCTTCGTAGCCCTAGGATGGTTAGTTCTCCCCAAGTCGCAGATCGAACATAGATATACCAAAGGCCTTGATTGGGGTGGCGCGATATTGAGCACGGCTGGTATTGGGCTTCTGACATACAGCCTTGCGTGAGTCATTTTTCATGGTCAAGCTCGGCATAGACTCACTCTTGGATCAGCGATTCCACCACGGCGAGCAAAGGATGGGCCACACCTCACATCCCCAGCCTTCTATCCGCATCTGCGGTCATACTTGGTGCCTTCATCTTCTACGAGAGGTGGCGTGAAGCTCGAGATAAATCAGTCCTTATGCCCCTTAGCATGTGGCGCCAACCTGGCGCCAAGATGGGAAGTGTTATCGCAGTCGTTTTCTTTGCATGGTATGACCGGCTCTGTCACACAAATGGACGTTACTTACAACATCATCTTCTAGGTGGAGTTTCAATACATTGAGTTACTTCGCGACTCTATAGTTCGTTCGGTTTTCCATTCACTCCGTGTTACGTCCATCAACTGAACCTGAATTTTCACCGTTTAGTTATCAACAGGTTAATTACCTAAACCCCATACAAACGTCACTGAGATTCATCCCCATGGCCCTCGCCGGGTTTTCCGTAAACTTGATCACGGGCTACGTGGTGAACCGTCTGCCGGGACAAGGCTTAATACTGGCGGGCCTTGTCGGGAGCGTGGTACGTCATAATGCCGTTCCGTGTCTAAACCCTCATCATGAGACATGGTCATCAGGTCGCGCCCATCATTTTCAGTACTATCAATGTTGACGCTTCCTACTGGGCGAGCGCCTTCTTGGTCATGATATTCATTGGTAGGAGCATCGTGTATTCTTTCAGGCAACTCGTTGAGCCTTTCCTGACAGTCGGCGCGGATGCTGTCTACCCTGTCGGAAACCTTCAAATTATCAGCCATTTCAACGAAGATTCCCAGTCTCTGGCTGGTGGTATTTTTAACGTCGCCACTCGTGTGAGTTACATCCCAGATGCGGCCGCCTCTGTCTCCTTACTGCCCATGTCCAGCTCGGTACATCACTTGGCTTAGCGATCACCAGCAGCATCGCGACAGCCACAAGCGAGAGATACAACAAGGCTCATCCAGAATTAGCGTCCGACTCTCCCGAGGTCCTGATGGCGGGCTTCAGGGCGGCCGGATGGACGTGTCTCGCAGCAGCAGCCTTCGGGTTCATCGTGGCTGCGATTGGGCTGAGAGGCATAGGCGTGGTTGGCAGGATTACCAAGAATGACGACTCTCATGGCGGCCTATCTTTGGAAAACATCAAAACGAACTCCCAGGTATCCGTGAGAACGATAAAGACTGCCGGAATTGAAAGCTGCCGCACAGCGCCCGACTCGTCCCTAACAATAGACACCACCTGGAGGAACCAATCAGACGTCTAATTGTCTCGAACTTCTTCCATTTGGACTGATTGGGCCCGACAGAATGTACACGCTGACCAAGGTTTAATCAAGGGGTAATACAGCAAGAAGATGAATGGACCGACGGTCGGTAAACAGAACTTCGTACATGTAGAGATCGTATTTATCTATTCCTCATCATCAAGACTTTCATAATTTAATGTCTCGTCATGATAGTTATCGTGTATCGTCCAGAGATCGCCGACCAATTCCTTGAGTTCGTCGAGATCGAGGCCACTGCTTTGAACCACAAGCCCGGGTTTGCGGGTGATTTCATTATGAATCAGGCTGGCATAGGCATCGAACATCGCCGCGGTCTCAGTTGTGGTGGTCAGACGTGTGAACAGCCGGCCTGGGCAATTGTCCGCTTGCAAAGGGGTCTGGGACGAAGGTCCCGTCGGTACCCCCATTGACAGCAACCCTTCACTGGACGGGTAGCTTGGGGCATGGAAACTGGGAATAAATAAAGTTCGGATGTCGCTTAACGGCATAGATAACTCAGATAACAAACCTGGTACCAGGGGAGAAAGACGAAGGGGCCTGAGAGCGCCACTTGTCGTAAGCTAGCAGCTCTTCTGAAGTAAGTCCCCGCGTCACGTCTGAGATCGCGAATAGCGTGGCACGCGGAGACTAGCTCATGAATAAGGCCCTCTTCTGTAAAATGACTATCGATCGTCCCTTACCTTGTTCGCTGGCAAAGAGAAATCAGAAACGGACAAAGATACGTCAAAACGTTCGGTAGTTTTCGATAGAAAGGCGCCAGAGAGGTGGCTGAATCTATTAATGCCACGCCAACCCAGCTGCGCCAGCAGGCTGGTCAAGGAGAGTGAAGTCGATCGATTCCTAAGTCTAATCAACGTAAACTTCCATATGGACGGTTCGAGTGGGGTAATGCTGATGACTAACCGTAGAGGTAAGGTAGAACTTTCGAGATGGCTACATAAGATAGCTGACGCAGAATAAATATCCACCTACCGCAAGGGATGAGTCGTATATACAGACACTCGATAGAGGAGCAAGGTCGATCACGGACCGTAGGTTTGTCCGCTGTCTTTGGGAAAGTCCAAGCAGCCGATGGGCTAATGGGCACCGCCAAAGCAGAATCCATGTCGTTGTATGTTCGAAGAACCAACGCGTCGTTGATTATGACCTTCAGATCTCTGAGTTGTGTCTATTTTGAGAACATAAACGCCGGGCCGTGAGACAAGGTCTAAGTGTACATACGCCTTCTGTCCCAGAGCGCGTCGGTATCGATTGAGATAAGAGTGGAAACGAGAGAATTGGCAGCCTGGAAAACTCATCGCGGAAAGAATTGATGAACGAATCGATAAAAGATCCAAACGTCAAAGTATCTTCGATGATTTGGATACCCTGAGTAAAGCCGGGTAGCTTTAGAGGCGGCATCTGAGCATACCAAGGTTGTCCACTGACCTGGGGCGAGTCACATTCTTCAAGGGAGCGCCTGACCGCGCCGTCCATAAGGTCCGTTTCCTGATCAAGCGAAGCATTATAGTCGTGGGTGCTTCTCCCGCTGCAAATTGCTCACCTCATTGTATTGGAAGAATGTTCTGCGCCCTACATCCCAATTACCATTCAAATGGTCCCAGTCTGGCGACTCTGGAATCTTTTGTATGCTTCTCGGTATGTAGGACACCCTGGCAAAGTCGGACCAGAAGGAGACCTTCGAAAGGGATTCCTTGAGTCCGTCGAGAGCGTCTTCAACCTCGTTATCAATACGGGCCTCGGAAGAACTACGGACTACAGGTGCATCGTGTTTCGTTGGCTGGGTTGAGGAGATAGGCTCTTGTTTATAGGCAAGTATATCGCCGTCCCTGTGCCGTCAATAGGATGAATTGTTAACCCGGATACCGTTTGAATGATTATCAAAATTCTTTAACTCACCAGATAGACTCTTCGGCCTGCGATGAGTTATCAACGGATTGATCCTCATAACTGTAGAGAGATTTCGCCGCAGAAAGAGAGCCGAAATTTCCTATTGTGGTCTCTCGATAAAATCCACGTAAAAAGGCTAGAATCAAACTCGCCCCGGACGTCAAACATGAGTAATCGAGGGCAATACGTCTGATTCCCCTACATGATAACACAATTATTTAACAGCGAACGTAGAGACATTAAATCTTACACGCTGATCAATGCCTTCTCTAAACGAGATATCATGGTTCACTAAGGGCTCCGTCTCATCATCGTAAGTGAAATATTCTTCTTGGGTATTCCAGAAATGGGTGCCAGTGTAGTTCGCGAAGGAACCAGCTTGGATGTAGAGTATTTCTCTCATAGCTTTCAAGGGCGCAAGATACTCGATCCAGGGTGAGAAGCGTTCGGCGGTAGTTCAATACGATCCACAGCTAGTCGTAGAACTGAGATCAACTACTTGGCAGTAAATTTTGGAAGTTGACGAAAATGCTGTGTGGGGGTTTGTTTGTGTCTCGGCACCTCGGCTCCAACGAGGATCGGCAGGCTTCAGTGTGGTCACTGGAGGCTTCGTTCGACGCTTGATCATCATCTTCTACCGCCTTGTGGTCGTCGACGATCTATTTCATATCTAAGACATACTTCTGTAGCTGTGATCACACTCCAGATAACATAAGAAAAGTAAGTTCTCTCCCCATCGGCCTGCGTCTCGCGAGATTGTACCCTTTTCTCAAGATTCCTCGCAAACTTCAGGCCATACGAAGTAGGCAAGACATACGGTTGTATGGCGGTTCATGCGGGCCGCCTGGATCGAAGATAGTGTCAAACAGATCAAGACTTGCGAAGGATTGCATCCGCAGCTTTCGAACTTGGGGTGCGGACCACCAGGGCCTCCATCCCATCCTCTGGGCAACGGACCGCGTAGCTCATATTGGTGAGGCTTCATGAAGGATCAGGGACATGGGAAATAAGCTGTATTACCTCCTCAATCGTGGCGGAACGCTCCACCGTTCTCAGACCAGCGGCCCAATGTCGGAGTCCCTCTGTCCTGGGTGTCAGGCAACGTCCTGAGCAACAAGTTGGCTTTATACGGCGCATATCCCCTTGGATAATGAACGCCTAAACGTTATAGTGGAGCGCCAGCTCAATCTACTCTCTATCTGAGGTCACAGGATCAATGTCTTGGAAGATGCTGACGCACCAAGTCCAACGGGAGCTCCTTCGCCTGGCACAATGGGGCTGCTTGCGTGCTCGAACATCAGGGACGTTAGGTTACCACGCCCCGAAGAAGCAGCGACATACATCCGCCTCGTAAATGCAATAAACACTATTTCTTGCACTCTCAAACGTTCCTGGCAACTCCTTGGTAGGATCAAGCAAGACTCGTAAGTACAAGTGTATTAGGGTATCGTTTTATTGTCCTATCCTAGATTGTCTGTCATCTACTGATGGGGACATATTTGCACAGGTAGGTTTTTGTTCGATGAGAGAAATAGTCTCAATCGCTATAGAACAATTTTGAAGCTATCTAGAACTCGGCGATCTTCGGGCGATAGAGGCGCATACTTGGATGTTGGAGATCGTTCTGACGGATGCACATAGTGTCCAGCTGGAGTCGTTTGCCGATGGTGCAACCTCGGTCTTGATTCAGGATCACATAGCGATGACAACGGAGGCAATATCACTTTTTCCTGTCGGTCGTGAACTTTCGTTGGCGCCAGCGGTGGCGAAAGATAGCGTGACATCAAGGATGAGGGGGGCGAAGACGAAGACGAAGGTGGCGAGGTGGGATATCCATACGCGTAGTGGCCGGGGTAGGGCTGGAGATGTGCCTTCACTCGCGGATCTGTGTGCATCTCTCCACTAGGGTGAAGGTGACGTTCTGGGGTTCCATAATCGTCTATTTCTTCAGGAAATGCCGGCATCTGGTCTAATCGAGCGCCTGCTTTGCTAGAAACGTAAATGCCAGGTGGAACCCTTACATTACGCAAGTACTCGTAGTTCTCGATGACGGGCAATCTCGTATAGTCATTCCCCTGGAGACGCGTCAATTAGTGGCAGAACGGTGGCAATGAACATTCGCCCTCACCGAGAAATATGCGACAACGTGCCACTTTTTAGGAGACGGAGAGCCCGGTAGCTGTACCAACGCAGAGTATGTCTGCTTTGTCAACCCATTGGGCTTCGTCGGTCGGTCCTTTCGCCGCGTTGGCGGGGGGATGATGGCGGTGGGGTCCGATGCTCTTCTCGCCCTGTATGGCATAGTAAGCGTGCTGTCGCCTAATGACGCAAATTGTCTTACCTTCTGGCGGCTTTAGCGTCCTTTTCGTCTTGTGTAGTCTCGACCTTCTCTTCGTAATAGAGGTAGTCCCCTCTCATTCGACTTTGTGACCTAGTGAAAGGGCCACTCTTTAGTGTTCCGTAGAGAAAACTAATCCAAACGACCTACCATCGTCGACCATCCGTCCACCGGAGTAAGCCACCGTCGTCTTCCGCTTCCTCCCAAACGAAGACATTGCCTGTTTTCAGTTGTTCGCGTTCCGTGGTGGCCAGTCGACGCTTAATGAGAGGAAGTATGTTGAGTCGTACGGCTTCAAGGATGATGTGGGCATCGTTGGCGTCCCTAATATCTATATAATAGTTCAGCAGTTAGCGTCAAGTTCGATGCCTCGCGTCTCGCCAACGTACGGAGGGAAGGGTGCGTGACGGAGGTATGGCTACCTAGGGGGTTCTGCATCAGGGGGAAGCGAGCGCAATGGAGTAATACAAAGGGTGGGATAGGGTGGATTGAGAGCTATATCAACGAAGTTACTTATATACTCTAAGGGATACTTTGGGAGGAAATTGGAAACATGAATGTGACACATAGGCATTGCATGTCGTGTCTTCTCGGAGAGTTGACGGAGCGTATATGAATTACAGCGCACTTCCTAATGTGTGAAAGACTAGTTTGAGACTGGCTGTACCATGAAAATGGTAACGGAGGGGCACCACAATTCAGGTAATCAATCGCCGTTCGATTGAAACCAGTTGGGACTGTTATCAAACGGGCCGGCAATGAGTGGCTTCAAAAGGCACAAGACTCGTGACATACAGGATCGATGGGTCCGCTATTCCTTTCGCAAACAAGCAGGATGGGATTCGTGGGCCGATCATGCGAGGCTTATTTCTACGACTTGCGCCTAAACAGCGGATGGCTAATTTGGTTCGTTTTCAGGGTTTCTTGGGGCCTTTTAGCCAAAACCGCCGCTTATCTCTGGGATGATTATTGATCAGGAGTCTGCATGGTTGTAATTCTCGGCTGCTCACCTATCTGATCGTTTATTTCACACAGGAAATTCGTACAAAACACACGCAGCCAATCTACTTTCCCAGGCAAAACCTCGGAAGGCCGAGGTTTTCCCAATCTTGGTAAAAGTCTCGAGTCTGTTTCTGAAAACAAGGGATCATCCTACAAAGAAGCACTTCAAAGTGCGCGGAGATGCCTAGCGGACATGTATATTGGAGTTGTGAATTATTCTCTATAACAAGCGCTAGTACGAGGGTCCTGAGGGTGGCGAGGTGGATTGCTGAACGGCTGTTAGCCTATCCCCCTGCAACGTGTTTATCCCACACAGGAGAAATCATCGCCGTAGAGAGGTATTTGGCAGTATGGTGGGGGGGAATACGGCGGGCCTATGCGGGGAGAAATCTTTGAGACGTTCCTTGCAACATTTTCCATTAGCCGATCCTAATAGAGAATTGAATTCAACTTACCGCATGCAAGGTTCCTGACCACTCCGGCCATACCTAGAAGTATCTACACCACCGGAGTACCCACGATCCACGAGGGAGGTCGTGCGTAAGGCGTCAGCTCCTTGGCGACTGACGCGCCGATGTACGGACTATGCACCTTAGGGGGCATGAAGTTCTTACGCAAGTGACACGTATCGTCATTGCGGGACAGGTATTTCTGAGCGTGAGCCACTTTGTAGGCGAGATACTATTGACAAGGGAATTTAGAGTGCGTTTTGGGAATGATGATAATTGATGGGAATAATTGAGGTACGTAGAGAACATGGGAGTCGGCAACGATACTTGTCGGAACCGAACGGCGGCTACCATTTCCAGGAAGATCGATAACAAACCGGCGTGGAACGTTCGGCAACGTGCATTCATAGTCTAGCTCTTGAAGTTGTGGCGTTACTATAATCTTAATAAAAATTTCAGCCGTTTGAAAGTTGTTTACATGTCTAGGTGAAGGTTTTGCCTGGACCTAAAGGACTATCCGACGGCCTAGAATTCAAGTGGGAAATGCAGCATCATGGGTTCACCTCCATGCGCCCATCAGTGAGATATCCAGGCGATGGAGAGAAACATCGTGAATCTGATGGAAGTAGGTCGAAAGGAGAACCAAGAAGGTAATGGTTTCCAATATTACACGACCAAACACCCGGCATTGTCAATATCAACGTCGGCCGTGAGGAGCAGATGGACAGAAGGTGGCGATTAAACACGGGCCTTCTGTTCAACATCATATGACTGTATGTGACCAAACGATGGCGCGAACGTTCGCGGAAATAGACACTGGCGATTGTGCCCTAAGTAGGTACGTAATGCCATGTAGCGAGAGACGAAGGTCTCACCATCGCGTAGGAAAACCGACGGCGGCCGTATCTTTTCACTCTGGCTTCTACGGGGTTCAGATCTGAAAGGCCAATATGAAGTCATGTACTCAATCGGTGCGAAAATATATCCAGATAATCGTCGTACCTTGTCGACCAAACGATAAAGACGTTCATGTGGCCGCGGTACCGCAAGAAGTGCTTCGAATCCGTTTCCAAACAGAGAAGTCTATTTCAAAGACGGCGTATAAATGCTCATACCTCTGGCTCGGTCCCGCGATGCCCCGGCTGCCGTTGGGTGGGGCCAAGAGACATGTCCAGCAATATACATCCTTTGGTGAGAAGTGTCAGACGCGCATGGAGTCTGACGCTACGTAATGATCGGGGACAAAAGAGAACCCAAGGCCAACCTGTTAGTGCTTTCTCCGTTACCAGTATCTATTACGAAACGGGAGATAACTCACGCAAGTGTCTGAAACTAGTATTGACAGTCGCATCCGCTTTGGAAAGAAAACGAAGCAATGTCAATGAAGTTCCAGGATCGGATCTAGAATTTGAGGTCAAAATGCTTGCAAACAACCGCTCAGTACCTCGTTGCAAAGGATAAATATAACGAGAACACGAGCCGGAGATACGACTACAGCGAGATTGCTATTCGTAATGGGAACATGGCAGAATGGGGATGATCAATTTATCCTGAATTCATTATTGGCCAGTAATCTATCTAAATTGGTTAGTACACGACGCTGAGAACCAAGATACCACTTACTTCTACAGTTGTTGATAGTGGCCACGAGAATACACCATTGTCCGCACTTAACTTCGAGAGAAAAAGATTACAAAGAAGTTGGCTCAGAAGCATCCGGTTTGAACCGTAGCTTCGCTATGATCAGAGTATCCCAAGGCCCCTCTCCGACTATCGATACCTTGCTCGCACACTGAGGTTCAAGACGATCTTCGTCGGACTCATGATATGACGGTCCGCTATCCTGTGGAAGTTCAGTGTCAGTCGTAAATGCTCCCCATGGTTGTCGGACCCGCTGGGCCCCATATACGTTGAAATGTGCCTGAAGAAGCCATGAGCGATGGGAAGTGGCAAAGAAGGAGGGTCACATGCCTGCCCATTAGGATGGCTATGGCACACAAATAGCCCATAGTTGGGCGTGCTCAGTGTACCAATCACTACGCGGTTGCGCAATTCAAAAATAGGTCAAACTATTTTTAGCATCGTTCTCACCTAAATATAGGTCCTCTTTTTGTATGTCGTGCTGAGCGCCATATACTCTCAGAATAGTTTCTACATTGGCTTTGAACCACTTTTTCGGGGTGTCCAGATCCTCGAAATACCGATACTGCGTGGTTTCTGAGCACAAATACGCACTCCTATGGCCTGCCCTGAGAGGAAACGAGTATTTTCGGGAACTACATAGGATTAGCGTGCGGTCGGTCGGAGGTTATCATGGTACGCACGGAATCGAGTTGCTACTGAAAAAGCTTTTCACAGTATCCAGTTTCCTTTGCGCAAAGTTACGTTTGTCTTGTCTTTGCTTTCCCGTAGAGAAGTCTCCATAGCCCTTTAGTGAGGCCATGTCTATTCCAGCTGTTTTAAAGGGATTGACGGCATTGAATAGAGTGACGAAAGAGCCTTGAGGCTTTCTGAGATATCCCACCGCTCCTAACGCCACAGGCGATGGTGTCCAAAGGGGTAGTGTTACTACGTTAATCTGATGTCAGCTCACATGAACACACGAGCCTAGAGAAGTCTCACGGGAAGGGTGGAAGTCGTGAGTCAGCAACATGCGATATCGTCGCTCGTTTCTCATTTGCTTCAATCTTTCATCAATCGGAGGGGGAGTGTCGTATCCGCTGTAGTGCCAGACGTCAATGTTTTCGTCGGATGTCGTGCTGGGCGATACTCCTTCAAAATCCGAAGAATCGCGGCTGAGAGTTCGAGTCGATGACACAGTGTTATACAATGTCGGTTCGGGCATCGCCATTGGCCTGCTGACCAGCGCCTCTTCTGATCGGTCGAAATGATAAGGGATAGATGATTGGGGGGAGGACGAGATATCCCTTGCCGTCCGAAATGAACTTCCCGCTTCCGATGACGCTGGTGAGAGGCCGAGAGCGTCCAAAAACTGTGTGCGTGCTAGATGGTAGAATAGATGAGCATATCGTAACGTACATATATTTAGAGTAGGGTGCTTGGATATGAATATGAATGCTTACGAGGGGATGCATACGGCAACGGTATTGGGTGCATATCCGGAGAAGGACGTTGCTTCGGCTCCAGTTCAAGGTGGTCAGACATAGCTGGGGAAATCGCTTCTTCCCCTCCGTTCCCAAAAGCCTTGCGAATCTGCTTGAGGTCTGGCACCAATTTGCTGAACGGGGGCCGCTTCGTTGGATCGTGATGCCAGGCTTCATGAAGAAGATCTTCCAGGGCAGGCGTAACATATCTCGAAGGAGGTATGGGTGGGCGGCCGTTCTCCTCTGTAGCTAAGTCAAGCATCTGCCATCGAATAAGTAGTTATACGCTCACTCAGCACATAAAACGTCACAGTTTCGTCATTCATGAGGGGCCACGGCAATCTCCCCATGTTCAAAATTTCAATGCAGGTGATCGCAAAGGAATACACGTCCATCTCAGGCGAGAGCTGTGAGGCACCTTGCATCATCTCCGGCGCTTGCCAGCGTAGTGTCCCTTCTACTCGAAGATGAGTTTGCAGCCCTGAAGATTTATACAAACTTACGCGGTTTCTTGCCGCCGCTCATCCTAAAGGCCTCCGACTTCATTTCGCTTTGACCGAAGTCAGTGATGACACAGTGTATTTTATCGTTCATCAGGACATTGGCACCCTGAAGCACCAAAATGAGCACCCATTGCAAGCACAACGAAAGATCCCCACCTTTAAGTCTCCATGTACAACCCCGTTACGATGCAAGTATTCCATTCCCTTTGCAATTTCATGCATGAACCTCAACAGTTCGGTCTCCTTCGAATCAACCCCACTAGAACTCCCACTCGTGTACGGTCCAAGACTGAGCATACGCCACCCGCCGATTCCAGGACCTCCGCCTGGGCTACCTCTAGCTCGCCTTGAAGGGCTCTGCCTCCCAGGACTCACACTCCTCCTTCCATCGCCGACGTCACCAGCACGGCTCAGCCCTGAAGGACCATGACCAGGAGTTGCTCCTTCCTGCCTCTCTTTCTCCCTGGTCGCAACTCTTCTCAAGAAATCCACCAAGCTCCCGTTCTTTGCGTACGCGCTGACGAAGAAGTAGGGCGGCGCGCTCGGACTGCTTGCACCGAAGAGTTTTAACACGTTTGGGTGGTTGAGTTTCTTCCAAATTTCGACTTCACGAACGAATAGGCTACGAGAGGTACCTTCATGAAGGATTTTGATAGCCACCGCCCGCTTGCGCCAATTGCCACGAAATACAGACGAATAGTAACCGACGCCGATGCGCTCTTCAGTGTCGACTTCGAACCTGGAGAAGGCGCTGCGTATTAGCGATCCGAGGACGCGGGAAACAGAAACGAACGAACTGTGTGATGGTCCACGACGGCAATGACGTCTCTACCCCCTTGCTCATCCTCCTCAGCGCATCAATACCGCTCTCCATAAACTCCCTATCAAGGGTATCCTTTGCAGGTACCTCGTCTGCGGCCAGATCATTCTCGATGCTAACCACTGTTCTTGATCTCGTTAAACGCGGGTCAACAGGTGCACCTCCACTGCCATGTTCACCGGGTGGTCCTTCGATGATATCATCTAATATCACATCTCCTCCCGCGTCCACATCCATCCTCATCGGCAAGGGATGAACGGGAACCTGAGTTATGCTCACCCTCCTGGCAACTTTCGTTTTCGCTTTCGCGTCCGCGTCCGCCAACGACAGCCCAAGCCCTCCGCCTGCTCCGCCCAGTCCGCCGTCACTAAGTCCACTGACACTGGGCGCCATATCGGGAGGCAAGCTGTCCCGCTCTCTCTCCACCTCCCTCTCCAGTTCTCTCTGCAAGGCCTTGATCGCCTCCGGCATGTTCTCCCTGCCAACCTGAAGCACCTGGATCATCTCCGCATCGCTTCCTGCTTTCAACGCCATAGTCATCAGGCTCCTCAAGTCCGCCATATCGTAAGCGAAGCCGACGCCACGCTGTTGGCGGCGGACATCCTGAAGAACGGTCAACGCGTCTGGCTCAGCGCCCGGCAAGGGGGTATATCCCGGCATAGGCGTCGGGGAACCGGTAGGTGAGGGCACGAATATCGTCGGAGAGTCTGTCCCCGGCGACCGACGCACAGGGAGAGGTATATCCCCTGATAGAACCTGTTCTAAAAGTCGATGCATATCTTCCGACTGCTTCTGGGCTTCAACATTATACTTGAGGGCCCGGAGCGCGACAGACCTCTGGAAGCAGATACTTTGAGACGATCATCTTGAAAGACGATATCATGGACTTACATCAAACATGTCCAGCGCCTTGTCCAGCTTCCCATGACATCCCTTAATTTGTCTAGAAATATCGTCCCTCTTGAGATATCCCTTGAGGAACGACATATCCGCAATCTTCTCGACAAGTTTCAGGACCTCTACGAACGCGCTTTTCGACAGAATCCACGGGAGCGAGAGTCCGAATAAGAAATTCACGAGAGCTAAGAACAAGCGAAAGAACGAACTATTGCTCACCTGTTTAGCCCTTCGAATGGCTTCTGTGTCTCAACCTGAAGGCCTGCTTCGTTGATCTCATCCCGAATGGCGAGCACGGTCGACGCGCAATCTTGTACGAGGCCAAGGCAGGACATACGGTTTTGCTACATCAAGAAAACACGAATTTCAGCCCAAGATTCACAGGCAAGGAGAGCAAGAAATGAATGCGAATGCGAATGCGGATACAGCAGCCCTGATGACAAATTCGAGGCATTTAGACTGCATCGGGCTCTTTCGGAAGAGCGCTTTACCCCGCATCCTCATCAAGCCCGCAAAGAGGAACACGCAACAAACGGAATCAAAACCAAGAAAACGTGTCGATCAATCGATTCAGGAACCGGCCCTGGCAAAAACACCGAGCCCCTGTCAAGCTAACCACCGCAAAGCCGACACACACACATACGGGCATAGCATATGGGAAGAAATGAGCATACGAGGAAACGGCGTGCAGAAGTCAAGCCAAGCTTGATAGAGAGGGAGTCCAGCGTCCTTCCCGGGCCCGCAACTCCGCCCGCGCCGCCCATCCACGGCTCAACTATTCACTTCATTTGAACGTCATGGGGAACAGCGCGACGAACAAAGTAGGTATCGTGGCTGCTGGACGCGCAGATCGAGTGCATATAAGCACCGTGCCACAAGAACACCCGAGGATCAGAACATCCCAGCATGCATATAAGCACCGAGCATCGTAGTCGAGCCCAAGGATGTGGGCCGGCGAAACTGAAGTAACATCTATGTCGAGGGCCCCATAATTGGATCGATCGATAGTGATGGCGGCACAGGAAAATGCCAGATCATGCATGTGCGACAGACCATAGAGGGGACGTCGAAGCATCAAAATGGCCCTGTATCCGACCGGCCGATAGATATCCAACTTGCAGTGACACCGCCAAACAATTGTCGGCGGAATGTCAACGTGGGATGTGGGGTGCACGGATGAAATCGCCACCTGTCCAACGCTTCGACGGCCTCCGGACAGAACAGCCCGACGGGGTGCTTTCCCAAGGACGACATCGTTGCTCATAGCCAGCAACATAGGCAGGACAGAGCATCGGAGGGGGAGACAAGGAGGAAAACTTACATCAACCATCTGCAACACGTCCCATATTTTCAGCAACGTCTTGACGGCCGTCTGCAGTCCTGGTACGGGTATAAAGTCTCCAACTTCCAGCGTGAATTCAAGCAATTCATGGGTAATGTCACCTGCAGTAGATAGCACCGATTGCGCGGCCTTCGCAACTTGCTACGGGAGCCATCGTCTGAGTAAGGCAAGCAACACTCGCCACTCCAGCACTCACATCTCGGGTAGCAACCCACCCTTCTTCTTGTTCCTCCGGAATCGCCTCTTTCTTCTTCTGAGCACCCCTGTTCGCCTGCCACGGCCTAGACACTCGCGCCTCGGCCCATGGGACATTGATATTTCCCTTGCCGCCCCCTACGGACCGCACAACCTCGAAGGATTCAACGGTCGTTTCTGGCGCGATGCAGGGTGAGTGGACGACCCTAAGGGCCCGGTCTGCTCGTCGAGATGTTAGTCCCTACCTGCCAAATTTGGCTCCCACGGTTGGACCAAACCTGGCCCAAACCTACTCCAAACCGACAGTTTGGTCTGCTGTACCAGGGGGTTTGCGGGTGGGTTAGGACCTTCCTGTCACATTATTATGTCAGCGTTAATATACCTGGTGGCACCTTGTATCAACTGCATTATCTATTCCCTCCAATAAACAGTACTACAGCTTGTGGTGTTTATTTATTAATGAATGTTAGTGGTGAGATAGCAGGACGAAGAAGTGAAAAAAGGACAATCCGTGGCTCGAACCCGCAACCTTTCCGTGCTAAAAAGTAGTACTCAAGCGCGCAAACCGCTAAACCAACGTACCACATGTTAAACTCTTTTGGACTAGTATATCACCTACTGAGCCGGGATACTTCAGGTCGCCGACAAGAAATACAAGAAATACCGAAAGCAGAAGTTTGCATGTATTTACTTTGTATCTATTGCCGCTTTCCCACCATGATGTCTGTGACTTATTTGTGACGATTCCCAAGCGCCCTGAGCAGACTCCAGCGCTAGGTTTTGTCAAGTTCAATCTCCGCCAACCCCAGGCCCGAGGGACTGACATCTCGACGAGCAGACCGGGCCCTAAGAGCGATATTCGCACAGAACTCGCCTGTCACGCCGGCATGGACAAATGATGTAGCTGGCTTGGCCGCTCGACCGCTCGAAACGGATAGAATGCTTGGTGTGCTGCCGCCTTTGCTCTGCGTCCGCGACGATATCACTGGCACTGACACTGAGCTTGATACAGGAGGAGTGATTTCGTGCGGCGGATCCAAGGCTATGCGACCATCGCCGCTGCTCGTCTCGTCTGGGAGCGGCGCATATTCTTGCTGGGGAGTCAAAGAGACTGACCTTCCGCGTATGTTCGCTGACGATGTGGGAAAGGCGTTCGACCGTAGTAGACGCTGTCCTATTCCTGTATCCATCTCGCCCTCGTGCGTTCCTACGGCGTCTCCACGGAAGAGCGATCGGTCATCGCCAAAGTTATCACTGGGCCTTCTGACGCCGCCGCCCAAATACGCCGTGCTCATCTCTAAGTTGGATGTAGATTGCCCGCGCGGGCGAGTACGAAGTTGATTATAAGGTGTCTCTGCTGGCGAATGCGGTTGGCTGGGACGCGAGTTCCCTGAGAAAGGCGAGAGACGCTCCGCTGAATGGATCACTGGAGACGAAATGGATGAGGTCGACGAGTCGCTATGTAGCGATCTTGGATTCAGCGGAGATGATTTGCGTGGAATTGAAGATGGCGGAGATAACGGTGAGGACATCGCAGTTGACGGTGGCGAGTGCTGTTGTGAGTCTGACTTTCTCGCCGCTTGCGACGACGACGAAGACGGAGGTAACATGGTGGTCGCTGTTCAAGGTGTTCTCGACGGAAATATACAGGGTCGACGGGATCGGCCAGTCCGTGGGAACGGTTTCCAAAGAAACCTTGCCGGCGGCAAGACTTTGTACGGGCAATCACTGTTACCTCTGCTTCGACCGCGCAGGACAGCGAGAAGTGAGGCCTAGAGGACTGGAAATTACAACACAAGGCGGCGCCTGCAGCACGATTGAATGGACCCCGTACCTCCCCGCAACTTTGTCAAAGGCTATCGGTGTGTGTTGACCACGGAGGTCCTACATGCTGAAGTGATAACTGCTGTTGACCCTTAGGTATGTGGTCAGTAACAGTCTGAAGAGTAGTATTCTTGCCACCGTCAAATACATATATTTTAAAGCTGAATGGTGTGAAAGCATAGACCCCTCAATGTCCTCACGAGGCACCCTAATCAAAGCTGAACGTAAGACCTAGCATATTCTGTCCGGATGGTTTGACGATGACAGTTGTCATCGAAGCTCATAATTGATGATCATCCGTCCCCTCAGAAAGCCGCCAGCGCCGAGCTAAGTATCGTTGTAGCTCTACTCAATGCTTCAAAGCACGCGATGCCGCGACCATGGGTACCCTCGTTGCGCTCCTCGCTCAGCCAATTGACATGCGGCTTCCAAGAGTGTTTACTTGAACGGCCTAGGGCTGGGCTTATTCTCTCAAAAGCGCAATGGGGACCTCCTAGACCTCCAGGATCCAGTGCCGAAGATTCGAGATTCGGCCAGCCTACTTGACCATTCGGCTAGTGCGTGGTGTATCAGGACGATTTCAATGACACTTTGCACTACTTTCGTCTCCTACGACCCTAATGACGGAGCTATCCTGAAGTTCAAGCAGGCGCTTGCGATGACTCTAGACGACTACCCAGATCTCCCAGGATACTTGAACTGCTTGCAGGATGCCTGCACTCTTCACAGTACCTCAGCTCTTGACTTAATCTTTACGAGCTATTTATTTATTGCTATTTGAAGGCTTATCACCGTTTGTCACCGATATCCTGGGAAGGAAGTAACCTTGCAAGCTCGAGCTTCAGCTTCAACCTTCAAATAGATAACTGGAGCATGTAGTGAACGACGCCCATGCTAGACATGATGCGAGGCAACCGTAGTATGCATCTATGCTCTGATCGACAATACTGATCTAACTGGTTCGCTGTCAGGTGCTTTCGGAGAACAGCCGTTACACTTTTGGCTCTCGATTTACGAATTGCAAAGTCGACTGATGGAAAGAGATCTGTTACTGCATGAAACTGGGCGCGCCAAATGTGTTGCCTACGCTGTGCGACGTGGTGCCACAAACATTGGTGTCAAATTTCCATCGGCGTGGATAGTGTTGCCATCATCTCCATCGAGATCAGATGGTGGCTCTTCCACTTGTACTCCGCGGAACTCGCCCCCGCCACTCTACGCGTACCGGAAACATCCCGAACAATGGCGCTGAAAGGCCCAAGAGCTTGTCTTCGCCCGAAGTTGCCATAGCCTGGGAGTTGCCGTCATAAGAGTCGCCGTACGAAGGGCATGCACGATCTACCAATCTGCAATCATCGTATGCCATATAGAGTCGCAGGTTTCCATCAATGAAATTGCTGCAGATTGCATCAGTTATCACCATCATTGTGATCACAGCGCTTCGTCCCACCGTCGTACTCGCGATTTCTCCTTTCTACTATAGGCAGCTCCAAAGTTGAAACAAAGAGACGGCTGCGGCATCCAGTGCTAGCAGATACCTGGCCAGACGATCGGCGACAGATGCAGCATCTAGTTTCGAGGTATGTGCCGTTCGGCTCTCTTCGAATCGGTTTGCTTGTTTTTGGTGGACAACACTTTGGCCTGACCGGCTGTCGAGGTATAAAGCCTCGTGCGTTCAGTGAAGGATCCCCAGAAGTGCCGGCCACTCCTCTCATAAGCCCCCCCATATAAGCAGCAGGTCTCTTATCTACAATCCAACCACCATCAATCACTTTCGCACAAATACTCTCCATCAAAAACTCAATCAGCCATGCAATCATTCGCCGCTAAGCTCCTTTCTCTGGTCCTGGTGTGGACGGCTCTTGTCCTTGTCGTGTCTCCCGCACAAGCCTACCCCACCGTGAGCCAGACACTCCATTCGCGATGAAGTAGTTTACGTACTTACCCGCATACAACAGCTCGACGAACGTGGCCAATCTTACATCCAGAGGTCATCCACTCCATGGAGTACGCTCGACAAGCGCGGCAAGAGAGCCACTGCCTGCAACTGCAAAGTCGTGCGTGTTTTTATATCCTGTCATCATCAGTGGTGTTACTAAGTAATGTCCAGACGGTAGGCGGTAAATTGCAAGGATCCAGCTACATTGCGCCGGTGGTCCAAAAGGCCCTAGATCGAGGGATCGAGCTCGGCAAGAAGAAGCAGTCCGCTGGGTATGCGCTGATAGTTACCTATAAATAACCTTTAGAAATTGACGATAGGAAATTTCGACAGAGCCAATGATTACCCTCACCCGTACAACAACAAAGGGACGGGATTGATGGAATTCCCGCTTCTCAACAAAGGAGGGGCCAGCCGCGCGCCGGAAGCCGACAGAGTCGTATATGATTCTAAAGAGAATTTCTGCGGCTGTATGACACACCTCGGCGTTCAGGGCAATGGGTTCCAGCTTTGCAAGAGTTGAACAAATGGCTCGATGGCGGTAGGATGCTCTCACTAATGTAATGCAGTTTATGTTTATGCTATATATTTTGTTCACTACGCGAGGGAGACCGTAGACGGCATCTGAGATTCGAGCGAAGAGCACAGCAGGAGCAAAGTCAAGACCAGGTGAACAGTGAATCGTTCAGCAGAGAGAAGGCGAGAGGCGAGAGAAAGCGACGCGGGCAAGGAAACAATGCAGAGGTAACAAAGCCCTGGAGCGGTGATGCGATTTGACTAGGTTTGACGCCTCGGTTAATCTAGAATTGGAGGTTTCGACTCTTCGGAGACATACTAAGCACCGAGAACATGCAATGAAATCAAAGGACGTACTAAACTACCTTCGGCCGCGATGCGACTCACTGGTATCTCCTGAGGCTATGATACTAACTTGAATGATAACCAGGGATCACAAGCCGTAGTTAGGGTGCCGAACTCTGAGACTTGGGTTGACTCGTGGGCGGTCGCTGTTAGGCCACTGAGAGTTCACGGGGCTCTGCTTGATGAAGACCTGAATTTGAAGGAACGGTGCCAACAAGAAGGCATTTCTTCGTTCTAACCCGTTGACTTACTGAGTAAACTTCGACGGAAGTTAAATCAATGCCAGCGACATCACAGTCATGCAGGGTGCCACAGAGTGGAAAATACTTCGTGGTTGGGAGACAGTTACCGTTTTCTTGGTCGCTTGGCGGTTGCCAGGATCATTGTATGTAGGTCGCGCTCCCGGGCGTAGTCGGAAGGCGCGCGGCGCGAAGTTTGGATCGGAGGGCTATGACAAGCGGCGCCTATCGTTGGATACAGTGATATCACGATTCACTGATGTTCAGCAGCATCTTCCATCTACTGCATTCCAGGACGTACGAGCGTCGAGGAGAGAAACACCCGAAGTAATCGTTTCCCGGCTTTCTAGGGTTGGACTCCGGTTTGATGGCTGAACCCGAGGGTGAATCACCTCACGACGCGCCGCTTTCTCCCACCATTCTCGAACGAGACTCTTCAAGATCCGTGCAGACGAGCGTCAGGAGCTGCGTGTGTGCCATGCCCGACTGCGGGCCACATGTCGCAACTGAGGCGGCGTACGGCGGCGGCTTTCCTTATCGGGATACTTTTGGCGCGCCTCACTTGCCACCTAGCTGTTAACTGTCAACTGATCACCATCATCGCCCCGAAACTTCTCTTCTCGCATTATTCCTGCTTTGAATGCGATGCTAGAGAAGGTACATTAACCTGCTAGACCAAGGCAAGGATGCTTACTACTTCACTCACCACTTCGTCGGACACCTTCACCACTTCGCAATCATGAGATGCACCTCCAAATGGGACCAATTCAGCACGCGGCATGCTCGCTTCCAAGTGGCGCCGTCCAAGCCAGTAGCACCCGTGATTCCGCTCCGGAACGGCCATAATGCTGGTGTGCATCTCGCCACTCGTACGTGCTTTCTTCGGCAATGATTGCCTTGTGCTCATCCTACTGTCCGGATAGCATGCCAACCGAGTCGTTTGGCGATGACGCTAATCTATAACAGCAACGTTCTCGTTTCATCGCCTGGACCCGCAACACCGGCCTATTACGCCACGCCTGGCGTCCTCTATACGCCTATGACAACAACAACACACGTCCCGTTGTACCCTTATGTCTGCCATACATACACCCCGCACTCCGTCTACGCGTATATGTGGTAACGCGCGCATTGGGCCAAGAGTAATTGGCATTGTACCATTATCAGATTGCTTTTATCTGCATTTACTTGGGTGTCGGATATCGGGTTTGGGTTTTATGTGATCGACTTCGGGACGCTGGACTTTGTATCCTTAGCATATTCATCATGAACATCTCTAAACCTTTTCTTTGGTGACCTCTTCCCTCATCCGTTTAGTCTCCCGTTATACACTCGGCCGAGCTCCTCTCACTTTTCTCAGGATCATACTTAATATTATCACACTATTCCTTCCCACTCTACCCCCTTGCACTCCCATTATCACCGTCGCGGACTCGTACTGACGGCAACGTCAGAAAGCCCACTAGGGTCGGCAAGTTTTTGCGTCGATGATTTATTCTGGAGTCGTCTGGCTCAGTAGGAAGGACCATAACTTCCAAGATGCGACTCCGAGTCTCCGGCTGATAGGTTAGAGAAGTTTTACAATATCACGGTGCGTGCATCTTACAGAATCGTTCGAGGGAATGACCATCGTCACCGAATGTACACCGACGCGATGGTTCTAGCATCAAGTCCAAATCACTTGCTCTCAGCACCTCAGAACTACAACCACGAAGTCGGCCCGTCTACTAGCACTTCCTTTCCATCGACTGCCCCGTGTGCTACAGGACCGAAACATGGTCTCGTCGCCATCGGCTTACATTCTGTGCCGCAGTGACCACTACTGCTCCTTGTCTCAAGAAGAAATTCCAGGCGTCGTTTGAAAGTGAATGACACCGTGTGCGAAGCCTTGCCATACGTTTATGTTGTAGGACATCGTGTAGCTTACAGTTCAGTTTATGAATTTTCATTTCTTAGTATATGTGAGAGTGTCGGACGAAATCATAACCCAGCATTGACTAAAGATGCTGGCGGAGACATTTGTTAGGGGCTCTGTATCAGGGGATTAGGAGCTCAGCGCTCAGGCCACAGGGTTTGGACGATCGTCCAAAGTAAAGACAACCAACGCACCAAATGCCGGCCAGCTACTAGACTACTGTCCCCGGTCTCGCCTCTCCTATACCTGTCTTCACCATCACCATCATCTCCACCATCTCGAACCCGCATTAGCAGCAAAGTCAGTGAAAAAACATCAGACTCAGCGAGGTCCCCAGGCAACTCATTCTAAAGTCGCCTAGATCATCATGTAGAACGATCTCCAAGACGTGATGAGGTAGGAAGTAGCCCAGCAAAGTTTCGCGATATGCACATGGCTAGATCTTTATCCCTTCCTTGATGAAAAAAGTTCGCTGCCGCCTGAGATTTCACATTGACGGGGTATTGTTGCTGCAGCCAGTCTAACATGCTTGCTCCAAGCATTCGGGCCTCAAGAAAAGGATAGACCAACAAGATCAGCTACGATACATGAAGCCGTCGCGTCGGTGAGTAACATATATGCACCTACACATATCCTAACGCCGCACATAGGATGTACTGGTCGAGTCCTCTCATTTCTTTGCACGTTTATGACAATTCTATATGTTGCAGATAACCGCGTAGCGCGTTCCTGCGCATGTTCGAGAATAGGCAGCCGACCCACGATATGACACGTCAGTTTCTTCGGCGTAGAGTTAGCGGCGAGAATTGGGCGAGAGGAGTGAACTTGGGGAATGAGAGGGGCGCACAACAGCTGGTGAAGGAGACTCGGGGGCAAGGACGGTGAAAGGAAAAATGACGATGGCGATGTGGAAGAAGCTATACATCTCCTCGATTCTGATAATGGGTTCAAGTTGGTGCGTCCACATTGTCCTTGGCCCTCTTTTGCGCGCAGTCTGCGCCACCCAAACGAGTGCATCACCGTGGCAGACGGCATGCTTTCAACCACTCCGCCGACGTAAAACGTCAAACTACGACGGTGTACAAGGTCGTGCAGTCGAACAGCGTCGTTTGGGAGTTCGAAAGCCACATTCGGTGCCACGCGTACTACAATCAGCGGAAGCGAACGCACTCGGGTTCTTGTCGCGTCAGCCTCAACCTCAGGGACGGGGACTAAGGTAAAAAAACGCACTCCAAACCCCAAAGCACAAAGCAATTCCTTTTCCAGTGCACAGTGCACAAGGAGGTGCGTGCATCCGGCCTACCGAGGATGCTCACTCCAGTGGAGTATGGCTATACCCTTTATTTCAGCTAGATTGGCGTCCTTCCTGCCTCGGTTGCGTGTTGGAGCCTCCGTCTCTCCGTCCATCCATCAACACGCCGACGTCTCCTGTTCGGCGCTATGTTGCTTTGCATTCAATCTCAACGTGGAAACCCCACCCGCTATTAAGTTCATGCGCAAGTCTCTCCCTACAACGGTTCCTTTCACCGCTATAATTGTGTCCGTTTTCTATACTCCGCCTTCTATCTGCGCTTAGAATCATTCGCTCTACTGCTCCAAAGTATCTTGCCCTCTATCGCCCAACCCGCCACCCCGGTGCCTTTTCTCATCCCTTTGCCTTGTTCAAATTGCTGCGAATCCTGGCCGACGACTTTAGCATGCCCAAAGTGAAGCATTTGCCGCCGGGGGTCCCTTCGAGGCTGGGTTACTACATAACGATCTTACCGGATTCAGTGGAAATGATTTGCGGGGAATTGGAGATGGGGACAACAGTGAGGGTATCGTAGTTGACGGTGTAGAGTGCTGCTGTGAGTCTGACCTTCTCGCTGCCTGCGACGAAGATGGAGAAGGAGAGAGGAGTCGCTGGCGAAGGCTGGGGCGTTTTGGACGAAAATATTGCCGGGTAGGGATCGGCATGTGACCGTCGGAACGAGTCACCCCACAAAGGGCTTGCTGGCGAACAGTTATCTTGCTCGACCCAATTACTTGACTGGCGACGACGTCGGGGAGAAGTAAAGAAGGAAGTGATGCGAGTGGACTCTACAATACTGCGAAACATGTACAACATCAAGCTGGCGCCTGTTCACACCGCATTGCACGCTACAGCCTCATGTTCTTGTACTGGGCGTCTCTCCATGTCCACGACTCCTCTACAGCCATTTCCCCTACAGCCATTGAATGCACCCCCATACTCTGACAAAAGTCCCGCCGATTTACAACGAAGGCCAACGGTATGTGCTGGCTACAGAGCCTAACTCGTAGCAATCTGCTGACTGCTGCCGACCCTTAGATACGCAGTCAGCTTGGAAGGTCGTTATTCTTGCCACTGTTGAATACATTAACCCAACGCTGAATGTCATAGAAGCAGAGGTTCCTCACCGAGCCCCGTTCTCAAAGCTGAGCGTAAGACTTGCCACATTCCGTCTGCATGTTTCGACAATGATAGTTGGCATCGAAGCTCGTAATCGATGATTATGCCCACCCTCGCAGAGCTCCATCCACAAGCCCCGAGCTAGGTATCACTTTGTGCTCTCATGCTCTACGAAACTCTTCAACACGGGCGATTACAGACACACCCACTGCGCTCCTTCGATCAGCCAATAGACACGCGGCTACTAGGACTCCGATCTACTTAAACAGCCTTGCGATGGCCCTATTCGGACGATTCCAACGCAATGGCGATCTCCTAGACCTCCAGGATGCGGTGTCGAAGTTTCGCGAAGCGGCTAGCCTACCCGGCGCTTCGGCCAGCGCACGGCAGAGCACAACGTTCGCAGTGGCTCTTTGCGCTTACTTCTTCGTCTCTCACGACCTCAACGACCTTGATGAGGCTATCTCGAAGTTCAAACAAGCCGTCGTGATGACTCCAGATGGCCACCCGGATCTCCCAGGATATGTTGCTAACTTGCGGGATGCCTACGCCCTTCAGCGTAGCTGTACTTGCCACGCTTGACTTACTTCTGATATATATGTATATGTCCCGTATTTATGTTAACTTATTTCCAGCATCCGAAGGTTTACCGCTGCCTTACTTCTTGGAGTGATTATCAAAACTACCGTCAAACCTAGTCAAAACTTCGAGCTTAGGTTTCAAACGCGTATCTTAGGCCTGAAGCACTCGTTGTATGATGTGCGAACTCGACGCGACGGGATGGCAACCCCAGTGAGTGTCTGTTTCCTATCGACGGGGACATCTGACCACCTCGCTCATAGCCACCTACCTTCGGGGAACAGAAGGTCGTGCCACGGTTCACCTGGTCCGACGAGTACACTGCGTGTCTACCGGTCTTCAAGTGTTTACCGAGATGGTATTCTGATCAGTGATCATCAGATGGTGCTACTCGTCCCATGCACGATAATGCGACGCAAACGAACGAAGAAGAGTTCCAAACTGCCTTTCGAGCGACCCCGCCATCCAGTCGGTCCGTCGACTTGCGATCTCTGGTAGGTCTATGTTTTACAATGTGTTGTAGGAGTCCCACAATGACATTCGCAACTCGTTGCGGATGCTATCAAAGCTTAAAATATCATTGCGATCATTGCGCTCTGTTGCAGCGTCATATCAAACTCCTTCTTTGTACTTACCTCGGTGGGATATACTTCCAAAACGACGCAATCTTGGTGACATCCAGTGCGTGTAGACAACGCAAAGGAGCTCAAGCACCGGTGATAGGTGCCCCTCTGATGTGAGTGTCCCGTTCCGCTCTCTTCAACCCAGTTCGCTCGTTTCTCCCAAGTAACAGCTCAATCAACATTTGTACAGGAATCGAGTATAAAATGCTCGTCTCCTCAGAGGAGAACCCCAAGAAGTGCCGGTCACTCCTCTCCTACATTCACTACCGCCAAAAGCAGCAGGTCTCTTTATTCACCTTCACCCTTCCCCCTCCCCACAAATAATTACTTAACTATGCAATTGTTCGCCTCTAAACTCAGTGCCCTGGCCGCAGTGCTGTCGATGGCTGTCCTGGCCGTCGTTGCGTCGCCAGTACAGGCTGATCTCACTGTGAGCACTCCTGCGTTCGTCGCGCAGTCGTTCAGTTACTTATTCTTATTCATGCTTAGCTCCGGCAGTTTGATCATCATCAAACTCGGGACACGTCCGCCGAATGGAACATTCTCGACAGACGTGCCAAGAGGGCCACGGCCTGTGACTGCAAAGTCGTATGCCGCTTCGACCTCCATTCCATAGGTTTATGACATTAACTATGGATGTTATGCCTAGATGGTAAAAGGAAAATTGACCGGTAACACCTACATTGCACAGGTGGTCCAACAAACATTAGACCGGGCGATGGATCTTACAAAGAAGAAACAGACCCTTGGGTATGTGCTATCAGTAACCCAGCAGACCAAAAAAGTTAAACATATCAACAGCACCAACGCTTACCCACATGCATACAACAACCACGAGGTGCGTTGGCATAGAAAGTATCGGTCGAATGGATAAATGATTCTCGTGCTATTCGCAGAAACTGAAATTCCCTGGCTGCAAGGGCACGAATTTGATGGAGTATCCCCTCCTCAAGAAAGGAGGCGCGAGCCGTTCGCCAGAGGCTGATCGAATTGTGTACGACGCCAAAGGCAGGTTCTGTGGATGTATGACGCACGAAGGCATGGAAGGGAATACGTTTCAACTTTGCAAGAGCTAAACAACTTGTTCAGTGGGGGTAGAATGCATTTGCGGATGTAACGTAGTTTACGCTGTATATGCTTCTTCTCCACGAAGTTATTGACGACATGCGTAGGTAAACTAAGTAAGTTGCTGAGTCTGCGCCGGATGACGGTGTGCCCACGGTGATGTTGGCTGAGGACGCGTCGACAAAGTCCACGGAGTTAAGCTTTGGGAGCTCAACCTATCATGGACGCGCCCATGAAGGCCAGCCCGTGTGCAGATACGATGTCAGAAATGATTATCATTTCAAGTACTACTGACCACCGTCTGATGTGGTGCCAAACGTTCAACAACTCTATTGGACCGATCGATTCGACCGGAAGTGCTCGTGGAGAGGGAGCTAGAACATGATCCCCTCGTAGTATATAAGCTGGTTTTCGAGCCTAATGGTTCTCTGCGTTTCCCTTCCTCCTAGCTAAGTGTGATGGGGAGCTTCTCTGCAATTCAATCGTAAGAATGGAGCGAAACTTATCTAGAAACTTATCTAGAATAGGCGACGAACCAATCGCCATCGAGTATGATTTCCCCGTACCATTCAGAATGATACGGGAGTCGTTGACTCAATGGAGCCCCCCCACGCACAGGCAGAAACCTTCCTATCGAGTTGATCAGCCATATGTCCTATTTCCTCTTACGGGTTTGCACGGCAACTATCGTTCTTCCACTTCACGGCTCCCCACCTATGCCAGTATGTACGCAGCTTCGAGCTTCGGCTGTGGAACGATATCCCCGAAACTCCAGAGTGGACTCTGGAGTGTTTTGGCAGATTCAGGAATTTGCATGCCTTACACTTGTGGTGCTCCTTGAGTGACTGCGCGACCGCGTTATTGTGGTGGCTCCCCACGCCGCTTCACTCGGGAGTCACAACTCTCCTGGCCTCATATCATCTTCGCGAGCTGGAGATGCACTGGGACTTCGGAATCGATACCGAGGGCCTCCTGTACATGCTTTCTCTCTGCTCGACCTCGTTGAAAAGTCTGACGCTCAGCTGCGTCAGGACCAGTTACCTGGGTGATACCGATGAGATGCCTGGATTATCGGCTATAACTCTTGGTCTTGGAGCCTTGTCCAACCTATCCTTGAGTCACGTCAATCATCTGGCAATAGATGCAGCCCTCGTTCAATGCCCAAGCCTGAAGTCGTTGACCACTCATATATTCGGTGACGCGGAACTCCCCCGGACGTTACCGCCATATGTTCCTTCAAGCGGGGTTAGAAGAACTACACCTACTCGGTAGTTCAGATGGTTCATTGTGCTTCGTTGCACTGACTCTGCTTTTCTACAGTTAGGTATTTCCATCCCACCCCATACTTCGCTGAATCTGTACGCCTCTCAGCACTCCAAATCGACATGCACATTTTCGAGGCGCCTACGGTGGCTCATTTCAGCAAGTGGGTCAGGCCCTTTCCTGAGCTTCTCCGCCGGCTCACGCTCAACCGACACAGCCGTGTAGCCTCGCATGACTTTACCTACCCCAGGCGACCGACTTCCAAATGTTGTCAACATCCCTAGCGATACTACGCAATTCTGGGGCATTGAAGCGTATCAGGATTGATGTCCTGATCAGTGGATCAGTACGAGACTGGTGTAAACATACCAAGCGATATCACCACGATGGGGGAGGTGAAGAACATACGGGATGGGTTCGTACCGATATTAGGACCGGGGGTGAACAGTGAACTGGCCATCGACACCTGGGATAGGAGAATGGTCCCTGTTAGGTGGATTGGATGTCTGGGAGAAGGAGGCGATCGATTCAGTAGATAGCTTATGAGACATACCATGTATCCTTCTCCGAATCATGGCACCTGTCGTCAGATCCGTGTTATATGAGAACTCTGTATCCCATATGCCCCATAAATTGCACTATATATCGCGGTAAACCACAACCAGAAGGCGTCGTGTGGGGCTAATATGCAAGCGTGCTTTGACCGCACCCAAGTTCTCAGCCCGAGCACGCAGAATGACACGCACGCAGGGTTCTACACGGCTCGTGATTCATATTCATGAATATCAGGTCCAGTCAGTACAATAATTTACATCGCGAACAACTCAGTATGCAATCCGACGCCGCCCACCTGGTTTCCTTTCCTCAGCCCGAGTCTCGCGACGGCATTCGCAGCCTCCCGCGTGAGGCTCTCCGGACCGCTCGCACAGATACCTATCCCGCCGCCGGGCCCTACCCAACGCAGCGTGGAGGGCTTCTTAGAGGTTGCAGGTGGGTAATGATGATGATGAGGGGATTGTGACGCTCGTGCCTCGAGGTCAATGGCGGCGTCTACTTCACCATCCTCGGCACTATGTCCAGCAGAAGTCGCAGGTATAGAAGAGGGGGGAGTGATCAACGCCTCCAAAAGCTTGTATACGTCGGGGCGTTCAAGTATGACGTCCATGTTGGGGATGTCGGGCACGCTTTCCGGGTCGCAGAGGCACGTTACGAAGATCGTGATGTGCAGCTCGAGCCCCGATGAGGCGGCAGCGAGCTCAGCTATGGGCGCCAATAACGCTGCGAACCAGTTGATCGAGCCTGGTGCAACCGGTCAGAAGAGCAGGGAGACGAGGAGAGAAAGTACTCACCAAACGACTTGACACACCAAACAAATTCAATCCTCTTCGTCTTCTCGCCTTTCCTCACGCCGGCGCAGCGTTTGACGATATCGTCTAGCATGCTGATGGTGAACGTGGCGCCACTACCTCCCGCAACTAGCAACACGCTCTCATACTCGCCCAGATCGATCGAACACCCGCCGTACGGCCCGTCAATCATGACTTGAATGGGGATTGGTGTCGCGGGTGGTAAAGGAGTAGGGGAGTGGGAGACGTCCTTCTCGTTTGCCGAGGAGATACGCCGGACCCTCTCTCCCTCTTTCAAGGCGTACTCGTTCACTGCTCGGGTCCAGTCACCACATACCCTCGCGCCGAGGACCATGCCCTCCATCTTGTCCCCATCTTCCTCCTCCACGCCGCTGCTGCTCTTCTTCCCCACGACGCCGACCGAACTCGGGTTGGTCATAATGGTTAGTGGATGCGATTCGAATATTCTCCCAGAGAAGAAAATACGGAGCCTGACGTGTTGGCCCGGTAACCACCCATCGGTGCAGTCCCGTATGTTTATCTAAGGCAAGCCGTGAATAAGGTAAAGATGAGATACGGAGGAAAGACATACAATGGTCATCTGGTTGCCTACGGGTACCAGCTCTGCGTCCTTGATGCGGTATCGGAACAGCCGTAGCAGGATATCGAATCCGTACAACGCTAGCGGCGGGAATATCCACGGCGAAGCGTATATCGTATGGTAGCACAGCGTCACAAAGAACGACACGAAGCCCAGCACACTGATTGACCACGCACACATTAATACGCACGTCTGGATCGCAGACGAAAGAGAGACTCACTGAATGATGAAAAAGAACTGATACCACCTCCTGCGAAGCGGCCGCAGCGACGAGATCACCAGAACGCAGAGCACACCTAGGGCGGCAACGCCTGTCGTCTCCTTCTGCTCGCCAAGGATAGGGAGATTCCACTCAAGGTGGTTGCGTATCCAGAGGGCGCCGTGGAGGACCGCCGCTAGGAACAGCGAGCGCGCCGACCATTTGTGGAGGAAGTTGAGCTTCTCATATCCATAGCCTGGGCCGAATAGGAGGGAGAGAATGGAGTTCTTGGATGCGAAGAGGAATACTGGGGGTAATTGGGCGATGGCGATGAAACCTGTCATGCCTCTATTGTAAGCAGGAGATCGCACGTGGGTCATATGATTGTACGAACCAGCACGATTGGAATTCTCGATGAGCTGGGCATCTGTGACAATACACACGACGACCAATACTATGTATCCAATGATCAAGGTGACTATTCCGACCGAATTATCAGAAAAAACAAGCGCAGGATGAACGTGAGTACTCACGTTGCACGACGTTCAACTCGATCCCAGGCGGCGTTAACAGCATCAACGACCGTATTCTGTTCAAGAAAGCGCTCCTCCTAGAGAGCGTTGCACGATGCCCCTCCGATTTGCTTTGATGTACGTCTGAGTGGTCGTCAACGGGTGTATACCTCCTTGTCTGCCTGTCCTCCCTCACCCCGCCCAACCATGCTCGGAAGACGGTGACAAATCCCCTCCTATGTATGAGTCGGACCAGGCTCGGTAGCGCTATGAAGATCGCGGCGCCCAAGAAACTAGCCCAGACAATCGAGAACTTGCGCTGCCATTTGGGATCCTCGACGTACGAGCTATTTAAGTGTGCGTGAGCATGCAGACGAAGACGAAGCAAGATACAAACTTGTAAATTTGAAACTCTGCGGGGATTTCTGGTGGTTTGCCTGTATTGGCCATTTAGAGTGAGTCGCCTGGACTGTTGAGGGCGGTGAACGTATTAGAAGCGACGAAAAGTTCAAGCGGGGGTCCAAGGAGAATCTCAAGTATGTCAGGGAGACGACTTCCGTGGAATGCAGTAGGTAGAAAGAGAGGGGATGAGAAGATGGGTCCAAAGAGCGACAGAAGGCTAAGCCAGGGAAACGTCCGGAATGGTGGGAACCGCACCAATTTCATCAAGCACGTGCAAGCACTAATTCTCGCACTCGTGGAACAACGAAATTCAAAAGAATAGCATTCAAAAAATACCTAACCCATCCCTCGCATACATGAATGCAGATTAATCTCCGAGTTGCCGCTAAGTCAGTGCTGGAGGGTGAGCTGAACCTTTGAAGAAGTGAGGGGGGATTGCAACTTGAGCCTGCGTGAATCCGGCTGTCGATAGCCGGCAACAGGAGCGTGATAAGAATCATGTGGGTCGTTCCCCGAGTCATTCCCCGAGTGAGGGCGGCATTCGAAGGAAAAAAAGCAGTAAGAGGTGGCGAAAGGAGAAGGCAATGCTCAGTGGGGGAAGTGAGTAGGAGACGAACGCTTCAACATCGGCCTTCACGGGTCGGAGGGCCAACTGAAAGGCGGCTGAGCCGTTGGCGTTAAGATTGCTCGGCGATGATTGATCTAGCAGCAGATCGAGGGGAAAGTCATGGAAATCGGGGAAGATGCTATTGAGCATAGGTGGACCTCGAGTACGCGCAGGTCATGTAGTTGGCAAAGCGAGGGATGGCCCATGGGGCAGCGGAGCAGACAAAAGTGGTCTAGCTTGGTGAGGACTACGCTCTCGCCTTGCACCTTTGTCTAAGTCTCGTCTGTCCCGCTCATCGCCGTCTGCAGCACTGAGGGGTGGGTGGGCATCGTCCCAGACGACGTTCTTATAGGCAATGGGGCAGGAACGAGGGGGAGCAGAAGCAAGAACAATCGTCTCAAATCATGAGCCATTTGTGCTGTTTTCGTGAGAATCTTGAGCGGTTTCTCCCATTGGCTGCTCGTGCTTGACTGTGCTTGACTGTGTTTTCTTTAGAATACTTAGGCAAGCCAAGTTACACACCAATCGCATTACGTAAAGAGACAAAAAGTTTTTCCATGATTTCTCAGAAGTGTACGACCTTACGACCGTACGACTGACTGTTGAACCTCGACGCTTTACCCTTCGCCATCGGACTTAATTCTTCGCCTCACCACAGTCCAGCACCTGAGTCGTGCGTGGGATCTCGCAAGCACCTATGCCTCAAAGCCACTCGTATCTCGTTTTGCGATCGATACTGCTATTTCTTTCGTTTTCTGCGGGGTTGACGGGCGCACAACATGCAAACGGGATGGATATGAGTATGGACGGGCCGATGAACTTGGTGAGTTTTTCTTTCGTCTCTCGTCTCATCAACCCTCTCCCATGCATATAAACATCGAATACTCAATGATCGTTCTACTTAGGCCAGCGGCTCCATGATTCCATACGTCCACTTCACGCCGGGCGACGTCCTCCTGTTCCTTGGCTGGGTGCCCAAGTCCAACGGTGCGATGGTCGGCACCTGTATCGGCCTGTTCTTGCTTGGGATATTGACTAGATGGTTTGCCGCTATCCGAGTTGGTGGGGAGAAGATATGGAGGGGAGAGGACGCTGCAAGGCTGGTGGATCACAAACGAGATGAAGATTTGGATCGAGTGCCCTCTGCGGAGTCGGCAGAGGTTTCAGAAGCTGTATCGGAGGTGTCGAAGAAACCCCCAACATCGAAGCAGATGCAGCACCCGCTGGTCGTGGTCTTGACGTCCACCGTCACAGCTTTGAGAAGTGTGAAGATCGTGCCGCAGCACGCGTATGCCAGGGGTATTATGCAGGTCGTACAGTCAGCCTTGGACTTCGCGCTTATGTTGATTGTTATGTGAGTTTACCTCCCGCCATACATGTCTTAGTTACTGTTCGCGGAACTGATGGTTATCCCTTCGTGATGCAGGACATATCAAGCCTCGTTCATTATCTCTATCGTACTAGGCCTAGGCGTTGGAGAGACGCTCTTTGGGCGGTATATGGTTATGCTGTGAGCTCGCGCTAAGGTAGTGTTCTTCTATCATTTGTGTGACTTTGTGTATATAGCTCGGTGTTCGTTCATCCGGTTGTTTTTTTACATGTACGGACCTGTTACAGCTGCTTGATGGATGGGCGTCGTGTACTTTTAATTCAATTCAATGCCTTCTAGGGCTTCGCTAGTTATCATGAGCGCTCGTCCTTAGCCAAGTAGTGGGTGTTCACACCCTACGCAGACGTTACTGCTATCCTCAAGAGGTTACCCAGGTCTGCCCGGCTCCAGTTCATACAGACGGCAAGTCGGTATGTCAGGTTTCGTGATCCATCGAGATTTGTATGTCGATTTGCGGTTCTATACGCGTGGTTCTAGCTGACTGTCGTATACCAGTTTCGCACTCGCACTGGTCTCCCATCAATGTACCAACCTCGGGCCACCATGAAGGCCACTTCGACATCCACGGACGAATGCTATGCCAAACTCATCGAGGCGGAGGAAATCGAGGAAGGTGTAAACACCGTCACCAAGCGCTGAAGGTCTGCATGGGTTCTACGTAGTACCCTTTCTTTCACCTTCCCAGATACAAGAGGTAAATGAACGGTATAAAGACTGCGTAAGACATACCGAGCTGGCAGGTAACAACTAGGAAAACAATTGAACATGCATTTCATCTCCCTTCTCCCAATGGTCGTTGCCTCGACGGCTTTGGCTGCACTCGCAGCGAATGACTGGTCTCAACCGTGCTTTGACGGCGAGTGTGCGTACGATTTGCACGAAGCCACCGGGACATCAGGCATATTCAAAGTGGTACGCAGCTAGTGAACTAATCATTCTTCCCTCGCCGTTGCATGTGACATTTCGCTGATGAGTATTTGGCATGGTTGATAGCACGCCACTCCGATGGGTCTGACGGACATTACGCCTGCGGCAGGATGGGTGATCCTCGAATGTAATCCCAATGTGATGTCCCAGGAAATCCGGCTCGTCTGCGAGACTGATCACGAGGACGCATCGTTAGCATCGGGATGCAACCACGTCTTCGACTACCACGGGCCCGCTCACAAGGTCGTGCGTTTGCCTGAAAGCGTAAGTCGACCCGGCCTCTTCTTCTCTAGTGCGTTGATGAGATCTCATGTCGCTAGTGTGGCAATGGTCCGTTTGCGCGTATTGTGGAGATGACTGTAGCGGAAGACCAGACTATCCCTGCGCATGCAGAGTCGAAAATTCGCCGCAGGGACGGGGCAGCGCCCCGAATCCACAGTTTGAAGATCGATGATAATTTTGCTGCTATCGACGCTGAGTTGTGCGTGAAAGAACCTTCTAATTCTCTACATGGACTTCCGTTAACGCCTTAATGTCGTAGGTGCGGAACTGTCCAGTTCGCGTTCGTCGGCGTACGTATCCTCCTTACGAGTATCCGAACTTGTTTTGGTTTACGCATGCCACCACCTTCTAGGCTACTAGTCCCGGTTTGGACCTCAATTCCGCGTTCACTGACTTCTTCTGGGACGACGTCGGTAAATGGGTCGGCGACGCCGTGCATACGGTGGGCCAGGCTATCTCCACCGCAAAGGACTGGGTGGCCAAAGCGGGGAATTGGGTTGGGGATAGAATGCACGACGTGTCGGATTTGGTCAAAAGTCTGTCTTCACCGCTCTGTCTTCCCTCTTACTCTGATTCGATGGCTACATACCGCCCCTTTTGATAACAGACAGAACCTCGTTCGAGATCGCGCCGAAGGTAGAAAGCCAGGATATCTCCCTGAGGAGTGACGTCCAGTTCTCGTCTGAGGAAGCGCATGGGCCCATATGCCCCGGGGGCACGCACGCGAAAGTCGACGTCCACTTCAAAAGCGACGGGAGCCTCAAGGTGAAAGCGGGCATAGTCAGCTGGCTGCCTTCGGAGGTGCGTTCGCGGACTAAACTGTGTTTCTTCATCGCATTTATTCCGCTCGTAGGCGTGGATGGGTCCGTGGACGCAGCTTTGAAGGCGACGGTGCAAATCAATGGCGGCTTCAAGTACGAAAAGAAAATTATTGAAGGTTTAGGTCTACCCGGATTTTCTGTCCCAGGGTGAGCCCCGACCGCTCGTAGGGTATCTATTGGCCTCACTGTGTCAATAATTATAGAGTATTCACGATCGGGCCTTACTTTGAGCTGGCCGGACGGGTACAAGGTCATATCGCCCTTGACTTGCAGACCGATATCCATTTGAATTATGTGTTCAATGATATCGAGATGTGGTTCCCGAAAGAATATGGGAATCACAGTAAAGAGGGTGGTGTCAAGACCAAGGACTCTAGTAAGCCACCACCCTCGATCTACCCTGCGAGTCATCAAGCACTCATTCCATGCAGACTTTGGTTTCCAAGCTTCGGCTCACTTAGATGCCCAAGGTATTTGATCTTTCCCCAAAAATGCAAACCAGTTGGCAAAAAAGCTCCCAGGATGGCTTCAGGCAACACTCGCTCCACAGCTTCATCTCGGTGTTTGGGCGGCAGCAGGGAGCGTCGATGCTAGCATCTATCTCGAAGCGGCGGCGTACGCGCGAGCGTCGGTCCATGTTGAAGTCAGCGCGAAGAAGCGCGAGTTCCTCCCCCCCGGACGATTCCTACCAGCGAAGCCGGGACATGGAGGGCGTGTAGTCTCAAGGAAACTCAACAGACGCGACGTCGCTTTTAGTGGATGCGCTTGGCTGGATCTCGGGGTGGACCTCAGTGGAGGAGCGACGGGGAAGCTTGGTCCGTTGAAGGCCGATGCAATCCTTCCGATTTGGTCGAAGAATCTTCAGGTACTCGAGGTAAGTTTTATCTGTGTTTCGTGCTATATATTCTGCGATGATGTCTATCTTAATCAGAAATGTTGGGAGGCCGGGAGGGAGCGTTCCGGGAAGGTGGCTCTGTCCAAGCCAACGGCAGATCTTAACAAAGTCGACACCAATGCACAGTGCTCCAAGGAGCCATCTATGTCTTCGCCTCTCACAGGTAATGTCAAAGGACAGACGTCAGTACCGTCCTCTATTCCAGGGTTTTGCCACTGATTTACTTAATAGTCTGAAATGATGATTGAATGCTCATACTTTGATATGTAGAACCAGAGTGGTACACTAGTAACCAAAATCCAAATCCACAATGTTTACGAACATTGCGTAAAAATTAGTCTCCTCAACCTACTTAGGAGATGTCACGTGTTAATTTGAACGGCCTTCCTACACAGTACACTTCTTCAGCCTGACCTTCCATTCATCGTGTCGTCTCCATTGCTGGCTGCGTCAAAGTCATCACCGTATCACCCAACAAGAACGGCAGCTCATATGTAGGGTTGCGTCCATAGTATGGCCATTGCTGTCTCAAGCTCTGATCTTTTTATAGAAATGCGCTACTAGTGAACAGAAAGACTCACTGGCACACACTTCCTCCGCAAAATGGTCAGACTTAAATTAGGCCACAGTCTTAAACGTACTATAAGTTTCCACGAAAGATTTTACACGAATAGTAGTCGTGATTCATGATGCAACAGGTCCTAGAAGCGATTCCGGCGTCAAAATCGCACTAACTTGCGAAGCTACTGTAACGCAGCACAATAATGGAGATCTATAAAGGCATTGTTTCGGGGACTTGGCACTCTAGAGTAAGCTGGTCTCCAGGCCATCTCTTCTCCTTTTCATCGAAAGCAACATGCTCTCGAGAGGACTTCTGGCGTTCATTAGCGTCTCTGTCACCTTCATTGGTGCTAACGCTGCCAATGACTGGTCCAAACCATGCTTCGACGGCGAGTGTGCCTACGATCTTCTTCCGGGATCGGGAGGGTCTGGTATCATTAAACTCGTGAGCTCACGCGCTCTCTATCATTGCATCAGATTCAGATTCATATTGACCGCGACATGTAGTTTGGATCCTCGAAGTCTATCAGTGATTTCACTCCTGCTGCTGGATGGGTTGTCCTTGATTGCGACCCCAATGTGGTTGATCAGGAAATACGCCTCGTCTGCGAGAATGACGACGCGGAATCGGGATGTCAACATGTCTTTGACCACCATGGCCCGGTCGACAAGATTGTTCGACTTCCTGAGAGTGTACGTATTCGCGGCGTGATCAATACTCACAATCAATTAATTATATCTTTCCGTAGTGTGGTAGCGGTCCATTCGCAAGGATTGCGAGCATGATGGTTGCGGAGGACCAGTCGCTCCCTGAACACGCACAAGGGAAGGTCAGCCGCAGGGATGGCGCTGCTGCTGAAGTACATGTTGTCCGGCTCGATGGTAACTTCGCCGCAGTCGACCCCGCAAAGTACGTTCACCTTCTGCTCTGTCCCTCTGAACTCGTCCTGATCTAACCCCTACTGAAGAGTCGGCGAAGTCAACTTTGCTTTCGTTGGGGTATGTTCCTACCCCTGATCAAATACATAAGTGCTAATTAGATGTTCTTGTGCAGGCGACAGTACCTGGTTTGGATTTGAACGCTGCATTCGAGGACGGTATCTTTGATGCCATCGGTAACTGGGTCTCTAATGCTGCTAACACCGTCGCCACTGCTGTCACCTCTGCTGCCAAGAGCGTCGCTACATGGGCTGGCAAGGCTTACCAAGACGTTTCAGCTATGATAGCTAGTAAATATTGTTTTCTTCGAAGAACCACCGAGGCGACTGACTGACGATGCCCCTTTCCGTTAGACAAAACCAGTTTCGAGATTGCTCCCAAGGTTGAGAGCTCCGACATATCTCTGAACGCCGATGTTGTCCTTTCGGAAGGCTCTGCCCCACCAGCGTGCCCCGGTGGCATCCATCCCAAGGTTGATGTAGAGTTCCACAGCAAGGGTTCCATCAAAGTTAAAGCTGGGATCGTTATCGTCGGCAGCGTTATTCCCCCCAGTATCAAGGAGTTCTCGGCCTTTGGCGGTCAGTATGATGGCTTTACTTGTTCCATAAGAAGCCTTACATCTGCACTAGGTATCAGCGGAGGTGTCGATGCTAAGCTACATATCGACCTTGCGCTTTCGGTATGCCTCATATTCATCGCATATTCCTGTGTCCTCTAATTTCGTGCAGGGTGGCTTCCACTATGAGAAGCCATTGCTCAAGGACTTGGGCCTCCCTGGATTGAGTGTTCCCCCGTATGTATCAAATTCTTATTGATCATATTTTGAGACGCGCGTTAAGCATATTGTTGGTCGTAGTCTCATTACCATTGGTCCCTACGTCTCTTTGGACGCCATTGCTCAAGGTCACCTCGACCTCGCTGTGACGGCAGATATCCACCTCGCTTATGACTTCAATGATCTCGAGTTATGGTATCCGAAAGCACACAGCAACCTCACGAAGGAGAAGGGTGTCAAGAGCAAAGACACTGGTGATGCATTTGTTCACATTTCAGGTCGTGATAGTGATTAACGCGCATCCTCCCCAGATCTCGCCCTCCAAGCCTCCGCTCATTTGAGTGCAAAAGGGTTCGTTCAAGGGACGATTACCCCTAAAGTCCATCTCGGCATCTCTGCTATCGGAGGCGCCGTTTCTGCGAGTCTTTGGGTCGGCGCCGACGCTTGGGTCCGAGGAACTGTCGTTGCCGAGGCTGATGCATCTGTCAGCGCTGGAGCTGCTCCTGCGGCCAAAGGAGGTAAAGCTGCTGCACCAGCGGCGAAGGCTGCCGCTCCCGCAAAGGGTGGTAAGAAGGGGAAGCGAGCCTCGCTCGCATATGTGCCACCGTACTCGCACCTCTTGAGAGAGCTCTCTGAGAGGAACTCCATTGCCTTCAGCGGTTGCTTCTGGATCGACGCTGGTCTCCACTTGAAGGGAGGTGCAGAGGGCTCGATTGCCGGTTGGAAGGCAGCTGGTGATCTCTCGATCTGGGAAAGCCCAGCTTGGGAACTATTCCATGTTCGTCATCTACTTCTTGAACCCATCTAGACATAGTCACTGACGCGATCGTGTTCTAGAAATGCTGGGCCGCTGGTGCCGCGAAGGAGTCGAAGACAAGCAAGCCTACTTATACGCTCAAGGATGTTGAGAGCTTGTCAAAGGGCAAGCAAGAATGTTCAGCGCATGCTGAGGTGTCGTCACCCATTACCGATAAGGTCGCGAGTAAAGTGTGAGTTTGATGGCGTTGCAGTCGCCTTCCTTTACTGATAGTGTATATTCAGGTTGGTTCCCTAAGGGATATGTCTTACGGTGTCTTTACGGTGTATCGTGTTTCCTCCACCAATATATCCATCATTGATATCAGATCCGGAAGTATTCAATGTCGTTAGCAAATCAAGCAGGGAGGCCAAGAAATGCACGAAGAGCGTCCCTCTTCGCGGTCGTATCTCCCTTGATAGGTAATCCGTACGCCTTCATGATATCCTCGTATCTTTCCTCTAGATTTTAGGTTCAGTATTGTACTCACCACGAGGACTGGCACTACTCACTTGTCAAATGTTCATATTCACCTTTAGTCGCAGGGAAATTCGGAGGTGGCTTTCCACTGGAAGTAGGTAGTGGCTGGATGGACATCTTTGACATCGATGCAGTTGAATTCAGCAACCGGGGATATAGCCTTGATTGTCTATCAGGCACCAGTAGTGAGTATATTTCGTTTCAACTCCAATACTGCTTACTCTAATTGAATGTTGGCCAGAATTCCGTCTACTTTCTTCTGCAGCTCGTCGTTATCCCTCTTACTGCCCCCCTCCTGCTGGTGTCCTGCCCCAACATCCTGGTTTGGAAGCAGCTGCTCAATCATCCTTCGAACCTGGGCTACTTCCTCTTCAAGATGAATCTGTCTCGCTTCCAATGCTTCGATCCTAGCAGCACTCTCCGCGTCTCGGAGAAGGATTTGGTCACTGGGGATGACGTGGGAGATTGTCGATAATTGTTCGCCAAGCGTTGCCAGCGAAGAGGACACCTGGGAAACCCACGTCGACAGCGACACGCTAGATTGCTGGGAATCGTGGTGGTTCATCGTCTCAGATCCCGTGGTTGGCCCCCCAAGAGTCATGGAGGAAGACTGGCGCGACGTAGAGAATAGATATCCCGCACGGTTTAAAGCAATGCTGTAGGGCTCCCCAGCTTCTGGGCCAGGGGGTACTGACATTTGAGGTTCGTTAGCCGAAGGTACGGGGTCATTATAAAGGGACTCGGCCTGTTGCGACATGTCAAGTTGAGCGGATCGCTGAGGACCAAGGTTTCAGTGTATCTCCCCGGATGGAGTGGACGGTTGAGCGGGACCGTGGAATCGAAACATGATGGTGCTATATGGACTGAGGGATAGGTAACTTGCGCTCGCACCGGGCTTGGGCGTACTTAATAGCCTACCTTTTCGGTGAGACACCGGGTGGGAACGAATTCATTTCCTCCTCCATTTAGAAGGAACTTCTTCACGAGCGCACTTCACCCGTTACCTAGACCTTCAAAGCTATTCTGAAATTCTTGCGGGGGCGTGGTGACCCACTCACAGCCGATGTGGGCATATCAATCGCCTACCCTCATGCAGTACCATGAACTTACATGGTACGTCAAAGACGGCCTACTCGCCTTTTTTATACTGAACATGTATATATTGGTGTTGGCTCTCTCTCAGATTTGGACAGTACCAATACTATTCAGTTGATGTGCACTTCGCTGCTAATCAAACGCGGGAGAGCTACTAAAATGTCCCTTGAGCTCGTCCACCCCTCCCACTTCATCATCGCCATCGTTTCCTCCACTAGCTCGAACTCATATGTCAGGGTCAGCAAAGCCCCCAATGATGTCCGAGACCTGACTCGCGAAACTGTCCACTCTCGTCCCTCACCTACAACGCTCCCTTTCACGGCCATGATTGTGTCCGTTCTCTATCTAACGTGTTCTATCTGCGCTTGCAATCATTCGCTCTACTGCTCCAGGTTCGCGGAAGTCTCTTGTCCTCTATTACCCACCCATCATCTCCGGTGCTTTCTCTCGTCCCTTTGCCTTGCTCAAATTGCTGAGAATCCTTGCCGACGATTTGAGCATGTCCAGAGTGAAGCATTTGCCGCCGGTGGTCAGATCTCCGACGTCACCAAAGAAAAGGTTTAGAGTCATAGCGCAAGTACACGTTCATGATGATTATACTAAGAATACAAAGTCCAGCGTCCCGAAGTCGATCACATAAAACCCAAACCCGATATCCGACACCCAAATAAACGCAGATAGAAGCCTTACAATGCCAGTCGGGCACAAATGATCGCCCTCTTGGCCCAATGCGCGCGTTACCACATATACGCGTGAACGGAGTGCGGGGTATATGTATGGCAGACATAAGGGTACAGCGGGACGTGTGTTGTTGTTGTCATAGGCGTATAGAGGACGCCAGGCGTGGCGTAATAGGCCGGTGTTGCGGGTCCGAGCGATGAAACGAGGACGTTGCTGTTATAGATTGGCGTCATCGCCAAACGACTCGGTTGGCATGCTATCCGGACAGTAGGATGAGCACAAGGCAATCATTGCCGAAGAAAGCACGTACGAGTGGCGAGATGCACACCAGCATTATGGCCGTTCTGGAGCGGAATCACTGGTGTTACTGGCCCGGACGGCGCCACTTGGAAGCGAGCATGCCGTGTGCTGAATTGGTCCCATTTGGAGGTGCATCTCATGATTGCGAAGTGGTGAAGGTGTCCGACGAAGTGGTGAGTGAAGTAGTAAGCATCCTTGCCTTGGTCTAGCAGGTTAATGTACCTTCTCTAGCATCGCATTCAAAGCAGGAATAATGCGAGAAGAGAAGTTTCGGGGCGATGATGGTGATCAGTTGACAGTTAACAGCTAGGTGGCAAGTGAGGCGCGCCAAAAGTATCCCGATAAGGAAAGCCGCCGCCGTACGCTGCCTTGGTTGCGATGTAGCACGCAGTTGCGCCTGGCACACCCGCAGCTCCTGACACTCGTCTGCACGAAGCTTGAAGAGTCTAGTTCGAGCATGGTGGGAGAAAGCGGCGCGGCTTGAGGTGATTCACCTTAGCCCCCTGTACCGCCTAGACTGCCCGTTAAACGGTACGTTCAAGAGGTCTACTTGCACCCTGTTCTTATTGAACTCGTATAGATGGGCGTTTGCTTTATGAAAGTGAACCACGTCTTGTATAAGCCTTCCTTAGGCGACATTGACTGCGATCAAGCCTAGGGCGTGCTGGGTGAATGGAATGTGAATCTGATATTTATGCATGTGCTGGAGAGTTGATGGTGCGAAGAATAGCCTATAAGAATACATACACAGTAAAAAGACATCAGCATGAATATGCGTTAACTACGTAAGGCGAAGACAATAATCAGGGTTCCCCGCGGGGTTCTACATAGACACGGTCAGTCGACACAGTATCAAGGTTGTGACTTGTACTCACCAATGCCCATCTCGGGAAATCTACAACGCTACCGCTCCCGCCACCAACTGCGAACGTATAGACGAATACCATGACTTGCGTTCCGCCATCCAGGGCGGCTGACATCAAGAAATTGTACTTGCGGAACCAACCAGGACGATATCGGCGGAGGTAGTATTGCGAAAAGACAGCGAGACAGAACGTTGTGAAAACTGAGGAGTTGATTCCAACGCTGAGATATCCGAGGGTCCCTGAAAAGCGGAAGGATATTCAGTGATTGTTCTTTGATCGGGAGGGAACACGCACAGCAGAGAATTGGCGTGACAACTTTGTCGGCGTTGAGCTTGGGGAAGAACTTGTGGACAACCCAGAATGGGATTGGAACAGCGAGTCCCATGAGTACGGCGAACGGAACCATCTAGGAAGTGCGTCAGCGCCTCGTCAGCCCAAGGGAGGGAGTATTTATTCAATGTACCCAGTAGCGGCCACCAGGAGCGTACAGATCGGCGCCAAGGGCACCCCATGAAATGGCGTTGGAATTGAACGATTGGACTTGTTGACCGGACCACTATATCATGAATCAACGCTCAGCAATCCATCATCTAACGGAAAGTTGATCTGAAGCTGTACGTACAACATTGGAACCCTGAACGTCGAGTAGGATCTCTCGGCGGGACGATATGATAGATTTCATGATGACATAGTTGAGGAGACCACCCTGTGAATTGTCGTGTCAAATCGGCACAACCTTGGTTGGACATCTGAACGTACAACAACGGAGCCAAGGCACTGAACGGTGAATGTCACTCGAGGAGGAAGCTTCGTATACTGCCCCATCTTCAGATCCCGGATGAGACCGCGGGCTTGGTCGAGAGTGTTATAACCGTAGAGAGTGAAGTACATGTTGGCCTGGGGATTGCCGGGGATCATGGCTGCTCCAAGCATCTGCACGAGACTCTGGATATTCGGGGAGAAACCTAAGCAGTGGAAACTCAGGTACCGTGGGCATTTGGAGCGAGGGTGAACATACCAGTGATAGCGTAGACGGTGAGGACGAAAGGAAGGAAGGCGGCGGAAATGATGATACCGACAATCAGTCCCCACCACGGGAGACCTGAGTGACCGGTGTACATCGTAGCCATGGCCATGGCGAAACTGCTGAAGAAGATCGCAAGGTACCACCACATAGGTACTTCATTGTACACCTGTCAAACAGATTGGTGAGTCTGCGTGAAGGGTCGGAAAGGAAATGGTCTTCGCACCTTCATCTTTTCGTAGTGAGGATCAGCATTTTCGCCATCCTATATGATATGTTTGGATTAGCTCGTGCGCAATAACCGTTTGCATAGCAGACGATTCTTACCCTGTAGTTTCTGATGACTTTCAGGATATCCTTTCCGTACCAGAGAACAACGTGGGTGATCGTCGCCCCAATTGCGAGGTTGGCGCCGATCTTCGCGAGTACCTGCGAACTAGCGAACCACGGCAGACCCTACGAAGAGTAAATTTGTTTATATTTATGACAATAGCGAGACGGGATATAGGTACTCACGACTTCGTCTAACTTCTCACGATCAAGCAGGAAATGGTCATTGAGGATAGAGAGCTGATTGAATCGCGAGCCGTTGGGGAAGAAGAGTTGCTGCGACAGGAAGGGGAAACTCTGTCCATTCCAGATGTTGTTAGCGTAGCAGGCACAGAACGCAATCCTGTGGGTACTCCGTGAGTAAAGAGGTCAAACAAGCCGTGTCTTTGGTGTGGGAGAACACGGGAGCGTTGCAAGGGTATAACGCACATGCAAATAGCTGTCCCGAAGTACAACGAAAGCTGAGTCGACAGCGGGGTGAAGAGAGCACCCATGGAACCTCCGCCAGATCCGACGTAATTCCAATCCAAGCAGAAAGCGAACATTCCCAGCCCTTCGTTACCAGCAGCACCACCTAGGTCATACGAGCAGGTGTCAGCAAGAACCAGTCGTGAGTACATGCACGTAAACGCCCACCAAAGATGCGAGTGAACCATGCGCTGTCTTGATTCGCAAGGCAGAAGATACTGATACCAGTGAGCGTCGGGGCTAAGCAGGAGAAGATAAAGGCCACGTTAATTCCCTGTCTTCCGCTTCGCATATAGAGAGCGGCGACGTACCGATATACTCTGGGAACCATTCCCATACGAAGATGCCGATAAAGACGCTCCAGAAGAATCGAACGCGCTTCTTCTGGAGGAACAGCTTCTTCCCTCTGTGAAGGGCGTCGAATAGCTGGACGGTGGGAATCAAGTTAGGGAAGACCATGTAGGTTGGGTAGACGAGGAACGAGCGCATGAGTCCTAACGGAAATAGGAAGATAAGCGATGTGGATCAAGGATCCCAATGAACGACCATACCACCAAGGCCGTAACCCAGTAACTGACTGCCAATCAGAGTAAATATGCCCACACCCGCATTCGGCTGAGAAAAGCGTTGTTTTAGGGAGCTGGCGAAGATAGCGGGATAACGAGGATTTTACCTGGATTTGGTAGAAGAGATCATCGGCAGCGAAGATACTGATAGCAAGCGCGGAGTCCGCCGCAGTGGAAGCAAAAATAGTGATGGCAACGTGCTCCTTAATATCTATCATACGGGAGTGAATCAGAACGCTGTAAGATGAGCTCGCGAAACAGGGGTTGGGACGCACTGAAAGGACCAGGATTGCAGAATCTCCAGAAAGCGGTGTTCTTCGTCTGCAGTTTAGGGCGAATGTTACCAGGTCCTGGAATGATTTCCTCCAAAACTACGCCGAGAATGTAGGCAATGATCTGGATGAAGAGCTGGCTGACGAAGACGGTCTGCGGCCTGAAATACTGATTGCGCATTCATGGTCAGTTCCGAGGGTATAGTGAAGAGAGAGATATTGAAACGTACAAAGATCTGTCCAAGCACAGCGCCGAAGCAGGAAAGACCCAAGCCAAGGAACCACATGCGGAAGGTGAAGACCGGGAGTGCTGGGTCGTCTTCGAGTGAGATTAGTCGCGTAGCCACGTCCATATCCGTGACTACACAGCATCATCAGCCACCAGCTACCGTACACGATCGAGATATGATAACTTACCGATAGGCTTCTCCTTCCCATTCTCGTCTATGTCGATGATCCCGAGGTCGTCAAAGTCGGCGCCATTGAGAGACCTGGCAACCTCCACCGAACGCCTCTGTCCTTTCTCGTTAAGGCTCTTCTCGTCATCCAATGAATCACTACGCCGGGAAGCGGGCAAAGTGGGGAGGGCCTCGACCGCGGCCATTGACTGTGACGAGTACGATGGTACGGTAGGGGGAGGAGCCGACAATGAGAAAGTCGCTGGAGGAGCGATTGGTTTCTCTCGTTTGCCGCTTTATGGAAACTGGGATGACAGGTCCACACAGGCTCCAGCAATTCGTCAGGTACGGAGTAAGATAAACGGGAAGGTTGGTGGAGCACATGGAACATTAGAAGCACCATACGCTCAACATCTGGGCAATCGCACAATGCAAGGCATGCGACTGCCTCCGCAAAGCCTTGGCAAATCTAAAATGGGTCCATGAGCGGGAAACGAGAGAAGAACCGAGCAGAAGGGGAAGCACCTGGAAGAACGCCGCTAAAATGAATTTCAATACATTGAAGTCTATCAGAGACATGTATCTGGTACGATCGGAATCAGGAAGTACCTGTAATTGACGTTGGCCATGGATTGGATGGAAGCACATGGGCTACATGCATCAGAGTTTAGTGCAATACGTACCTCAGTCCTTATGTGCAGTGCCAAGTTACGATGAGTACGTGGGCGACAATCAAGTTGCTACGACCACGAGCGAGACTGGACACTCCGGGCATGGCTTGGGTGTGATGTTCAGATGTTAGAAACTAGTAGACCATGAGGATGAGCCCTCGCGTTTCGGTTATCACCCTTGCGAGGCAAGTTTTACACATGGCCACTTTTTTAGACATCTCCCAAGAGATATCGTTTCAAGGACCATGCCGCCGAGGATATGTCGTCGCATGGCTCTGGGCTCTACAGATCATCACCTAGCGGGACGCCGGCGTATCTCCATCGCCTCTTGTTTTGTCAAGACACCATATCGAAGCTTGCAAGGTTTGATAGACGGTGATCAGAATGTGGTCATGTTCTATGATGGACAATTATGTGACCACGGCGACCAGTAACCACGTGGCACCTCCTAGCTGTCTTTGACAGGCATTGACGGTCTTTCGTAAGATTCGGTCTTCCATGAAATTCAGAAATATGGAACTGCATAGCCGTGGATCATCACTCTCACTATTCGGTAGGGCGGAAAAATATCAGCAGTTCGCATCAGCATTGCGTGTCTGAGCATACCGGATTGGCGAAGATGGTAACTTCCCCAGTCCAGATCAGAACGGTTGCTCTGCCAGCACGTCGCCCACCTTTACCACCAACTCATTTTCGCTCTTCAAGGTCGCCGCAAAGTATGCTTTTGCCCCTCCGACGCCGTGTGCCCTGACGGCCGCGTATATCTTATCATACGCGTCGAAGCCGTCCCCTCGCCTCACGCTGCATACAAAATCTCTCTTCTTGTCGTACACCAGCAGATCCATAGTTGGCGCGGCCAAAGGTACTTGGACCTTGATGATCATGTCCTTATCTTTTTTGTCGACGTTGTCAGGAACATGGGACGCGCGCATGTGTTTGGGGTTCACGGGATCCTGGGGTATGCCGAGGGCGTTGCGAGTGACTGCAGCAGTGGGGAGCATCTTGCCGACCGCTGTGTTGTAGAACGGCTTGATGGTGACAGAGTTCGTTGATGAAAAAGCGACGCATATCCGTTTGTGGCGTTTCCAGTCGCTTTCTGTATAGGCAAATGGTTTTACGGGAAATTCGGTAAGCTCGACGTGCACTTACTCTGGCAGGCTGGCGAGCAGTATTTTGATACCTTACATCTCGCGCAAACTTTGAGATCCTTTTTCTTACCACATATACAAGCCATCGACTCCCCGCCAACCTCGCCCTCCGTTCCCTCTCGTTTCCGCACCCACTTCCTGATGCACGCCGTTATCTGGGGCCCGCAGTTCACAAAGAATTGTCTCGCCGACAAGCCATCCCCATCGGGAACATCCAGGTCTGCGCCATGCTCCATCAGCAAGTCCACCACATCGACGCGATTCTGCTGAAACACGCCCAAAAGCGCGACTTCGCCGTATCGCGACCGGTGGTTGACATCCGCCTTCCCTGAGACGATAAGTATGCGTGCAAGATCGATGAGTGGTGCGGGAGACGCTGTGCAGTGGTACAAAGCGGTCTGGCCGGCGATGTCGGGTACGTCGACAGGCATCCCTTTCGAGATAAGGTATTCGAGGACTCTATCGTGTTTGAGAGAATCGGGGTTATCGCTACCGGTGATTCGTTGGGCACCGCTGACAATAAGTGTTGCGTAGCCAAACTCATACGGCGTCTCGGTTCCGTCCAGAGGAGGGGCCGTCCGTCCTTCTACAAGCTAGGTCACAAATTGTGAAACTATTGACACTAGGTTGTAGTCACTATCTACATACCTTTTCCACTTCCTTCAACACGCCAGCGCAGCACGCCAATCCAAACGGTGAAAGGCGCGAGATATCAAACGCGGCAGAGCCTATTATGGATACATCTCAAAGAGCCTGTTTCCTGCGAATAGGAGGTCCGCACCGTCAGAATAGAGCTCCCGGAAGCGCTGGCCAGCGTCGCCAGATAAAGTCCCAGGTTGAGACATGAGTCGCCGCATTTGCGGAGTCACGGTCAGGCCACCGTCGAATTGCATGGTCTACACGATGGAAGAAGTTAGAGTTCACCAGGCGTTGTTAAGAAATTAGCAAGAACGAGGTTAACACTTCGCCGTGTGATGTGGGAAGTGTGACTTAGGGGGAACGTGACGTGACGCGACGCGACGCGACAGGCCCCCTAAGTTTAACTTGCCATCGGAGCTGCACAGAATGTCTTAAGCATGCGAAACTACTTTCGTAGAAGTACAGCAAATCGATTAAAATATGACATCTAGGTCACTATGGACTCGGTCGGACATATTCATGTCCCGGCGTCAGCCATAGGAGCAAAGAGCGGATGTCAGCCTCATGGGACGCATACCTATATGAATCCCTCGTAACGGTGAAGCCCCGCACTGCACTTTGGCACAAACCACACATCACAGGCCATGAATTTCTCCCCACCACTTCAGCTCATCAAATCTACCCAGTTCTGGTTCTCCGATGGCAACGTTATCCTCGTCTCGAAGCCACATATGGGTTTCAAAGTTCATCGAGGGCAACTGGCACGCCACTCCGACGTATTCAGCACTTTATTCGACATCCCCCAACCTCCCGACCAACCTCTCATTGACGGTTGCCCCTTCGTCGAACTCCACGATAATCCCTTGGACCTTGCGCATTTCCTGAAGGCTTTGTACGACGGAATGTAAGCATTACGCTATTGATAAGATTTCGTCGTAAGACTAACCTGACCTTGTACCTCTGAAGATACTTTTCTGGGCCCAAAGCGGGCGATTTTCCAGCGGTAGCGGGCGTTCTCCGTCTGTCCACCAAATATTTCGTGGAACATCTGCGGCAACAGTGCCTACAGCGCCTTCACCACGATTGGCCAGCCACCCTAGTGGAGTGGGATCGGCGCGAAGACGCAGCGACCACCGCCAATGGCCAGTACTCCCCAAGGGTATACTACCCCCATCCAATCCTTGTCATCCAACTTGCGATGGAGCTGGATATCCCATCTATCGCCCCCGCAGCATTCTACGACCTCGCCCGCTACGGACCGACGAAGATCTTGGCTGGCATTAACGCCCTCCAGCCAGCCTGTGATCAAGAACCCCAACTCGGAATCTCGTCAAGGACCCAAGAGCTGCTCGTTCGTACGTTCTGCGGACGCGAATCCGGTCAACGCTACATCGCCGACTTCCTCGCTAGAGAGCTTGAAGATCGTCCCCTAAGCAGGGCATGCGCTAATCGAGACGTCACACTCGGCGCCGTCAGCCACGCTGACTCTGGACGCTTAGGGATCAACGATTGCTACGAATCGTTCTATTACATCCTCTTGAACATCCTGCGTGCGATTGGGGGGATCGCCAGTGGACGAGACGCCGATCCGGTGTTTACGCTCAAGCAAACAAAGGAAATGTTGAGTAGGACGGACTTTTCGGATGGGAGTGAGGATGGAAAGATGTGTGGGTTGAGAATGTGTGGAGCGTGTAGAGAGGAATTCGAGAAGTGTGTCGGGAGGGCGAGGGAGAAGGCTTGGCAGTCAATACCAGGTTGGTTTGATGTTAGTGAGACTTGGAGAAGTGCGCGTGGCTCAGTCGAGGGCACGGCAGTCCCATGGTAGGACATCTTCAGTACCCACATACTCTTCATCTATGATATGTATCGCAAGATTTTATGCAATTGCTTCTGCTTTGACGTTCCCATAGCGCCATAGCGCCGTGTTTCGTACGGATAGACCTGTACACTTGGAGGGATGTTAGCAATGAGACAGGCCCCCTTAGCAAGAGCCAATGCTGACATCTAGTCACCAGTCGTTGGGCGCGAAAGCGACGGGGCCGAGGAGGAGAACGTAGTTCAACAAGGGCCGCGCGGGGCTCCAAATCCAACCCTTCAAGATCGGAGTCCTAACCTCTCTTCAACTTATTACCACAATCTGCCTACGCCGATTTCGGTGTCTCTGCTAGTTCAAGCCGTGCCGCTTCTTGGAATTTGCCGGGAGAACGGACCTAGGAGCTGCATGGAAAGTGGTGGCACAGGACTCTCTACGTCAGCAGGAGCTCGTCTTCAAACTTCTCTCCCGCATGCTTGCCTTTGGAGACCTGGAGTCACGGCCAGCTTGCTACTTCCCACCTTCCTGACGAAAAGAACACGGCGTCAGGCTAATCGGGGGGCAGGATTACCGCTATGGCTGGCGACACTGCTTCGAAATCTCCATGTGCTCCGACAACCTTCTCGTCTATCTTGTTTCGTACCTGACGCATTCCTGGAGCCTGCGGGAGTACAATGTGGGCACACCCTCGCAGTTTCCATAAAATGGCACACGAGAAGAGCAACTCGCCCTTCCCGCGGGTTTTCCTCTTTGTCGGCTCCCATCGTGCTCACCGCAATCAATGGCATTGGTCGATGCTCTCCCCACCCTGCTCGACTCCCGGCGAAGCAGTCCTTTGGATGACGAGAAGGGCACCACTGAAAAAGGCCAGAGAAGTTCAGTGGAAGTTGCCAGGTCTCTCGAAGACGCCGACTTCGACGATCTCAGAATAATCGACATAGACGAGAATGGGAAGGAGAAGCCGATCGGTGAGCTATTCTATTTAGGCCGTCAACGACCTTTGACATATTATTACTGTGTGTAGTCACGGATATGGACGTGGCGACGCGACTAATCTCGCTCGAGGATGACCCAGCACTCCCGGTCTTTACGCTCCGCATGTGGTTCCTTGGCTTGGGTCTCTCCTGTTTCGGCGCCGTGCTTGGACAGATCTTTGTATGTATCACCCCTTGCTCGTCGTTGTTCCGTAGTGTGACGACCACGAATACTCTGTCAGTACTTCAGGCCTCAGACCGTCTTTGTCAGCCAACTATTCATCCAGATCATCGCCTACATTCTTGGCGTTATAATGGAGGAGATCGTCCCCGGGCCTGGTAACATTCGCCCCAAACTCCGGACGAAGGACACTGCTTTCTGGAGGTTCTGCAATCCGGGCCCTTTCAGTGCGTCTTTAGTCTCGGTTCGAAAACTTGTCTTACGGCGTTCTGATGCCCTTTCGCGTCGTAGATCTCAAAGAGCATGTTGCTGTCACTATCTTCGCCTCAACCGCAGCGGATTCTGCACTAGCCATTAGTATCTTCGCTGCAGATGATCTGTTTTACCGAATTCAGGTATTTTAGTTATCTCGTTATCTTCTTTCCTCCCGCTGGCTAAACCGGTCTTCTTCTTAGCCGAATGCGGGTGTGGGCATATTTACTTTAATTGGGAGTCAGTTACTGGGGTACGGCCTTGGTGGTACGATCGTTTACTGAGGGCCTCAATCAGTCTCGCTTACCTTCGTACCCTTGTTAGGGGTCATGCGCTCGTTTCTCGTCTATCCGACCTATATGGTCTTCCCCAACTTGATTCCTACCGTTCAGCTATTCGATGCGCTCCACAGAGGGAAGAAGTTGTTCCTTCAGAAGAAGCGTGTTCAATTTTTCTGGAGTGTCTTTATCGGGATCTTTGTCTGGGAATGGTTCCCAGAATATATCGGTACGCACGTCTGCACATGCCACAGCGGGAGATAGGGCTCTGATACGGGCTTTATCTTCTCCTACGTAGCGCCAACACTCACTGGTATCAGTATTTTCTGCCTTGCGAACCAAGACAGCGCATGGTTCACTCGTATCTTTGGTGAGTGTCAAATCTCAGCCGCTGACGTGTGTACGGCACTGACGCCTCCCGTGTGGATTAGGTGGCGCTGCTGGTAACGAAGGCCTGGGAATGTTCGCTTTTTGTTTAGATTGGAACTATGTTGGCTCAGGCGGGGGTTCTATGGGTGCTCTGTTCACCCCGCTGTCAACTCAGCTTTCACTGTACTTCGGTACAGCTATTTGCATGTGCGTCATATCTCTTCGAAGTTCTCTCGCACCACAGGCCGAACTCCCTTCTCGATATCATCGCTTACATGCCACTGACAGTATTGCCTTCTGTGCCTGCTACGCAAACAACGTATGGAATGGACAAAGCTATCCTTTCCTATCACAGCAGCTCTTCTTCCCCAATGGCTCCCAATTCAACCAGCTCGCTATTCTGAATGATCAATTCGTACTTGATCGTGCAAAGTTGGATGAAGTAGTGCGTACAAAGAGCTTGCCTCATTGTTGTGAAAGCACACCAATCTCCCCGCAGGGTCTCCCATGGTTCGCCAGTTCCCAAGTCCTCACAAAAATCGGTTCCAACCTTGCAATTGGTGCGACTATCACTCACGTCGTTCTTTGGTACGGAAAGGATATCATTAAGGTTATCAAGAACTATAGAGTAAGGGCCGTCTACTATACACGTGTCATCGTTCATGGGCTTATAATTACAGGACGGTGACAACGCTGATCCTCACTACGAGAAGATGAAGGTATGACCCGTCCCCTTGACTCATTTTTGTTGCGCTCGACTGAGCAATATGTACGACAGATGTACAGTGAAGTGCCTATGTGGTGGTACCTCGTAGTATTCCTTGGTAGCTTCGCTATGGCTATGGCTACCATGTACACCGGTCACTCAGGTCTCCCATGGTGGGGATTGATTGTTGGTATCATCATTTCCGCCGCCTTCCTTCCATTCGTCCTCACCGTTTATGCAATCACCGGTTCGTTCAAATATTCAAACTATCTCCGCATTATATGACTGTTGTTTTCCACCATGCAGGATTCTCTCCGGACATTCAGAATCTCGTGCAGATGCTTGGAGCGGCTATGATCCCCGGCAATCCCCAAGCTAACATGTATTTCACTCTCTACGGTTATAACACCCTCGAACAAGCCCGTGGCCTCACTCGGGATCTGAAGATGGGGCAATATACGAAGCTTCCTCCTCGTGCGACCTTCACCGTTCAGTGTCTTGGCTCTGTAGTTGTACGCTCAAAGCTGTCATGTTCTTGATGCTCATCTGACACCGTGACTCGCAGGGCGGTCTCTTGAACTACGTCATCATGAAATCTATCATATCATCCCGCCGAGAGATCCTACTCGACGTCCAGGGTTCCAACGTTGTACGTACGATTTCAGATCAACTTTCCTTCGGATGGCGGATTGCTGAGTGTTGATTTATGATGTAGTGGTCCGGTCAACAGGTTCAGTCGTTTAATTCGGATGCCATTTCTTGGGGTGCCCTTGGCGCTGAGCTGTACGCCCCTGGTGGTCGCTACTGGGTATGTTGAATGATCTTTCCCTCCCTTGTGATGGCGACAGGCTGACTCCCTCTCCTCAGATGGTTCCATTCGCCGTACTCATGGGACTCGCTGTTCCCATCCCATTCTGGGTTGTCCACAAGTTCTTCCCCAAGCTCAATGCAGACAAAGTCGTCACACCAATTCTATGCTGTACGTATTTGCTACCGATCAGAGAATGATCATTGAATATGCCACGGCCTTTCAGGGACACTCGGATACCTCAGTGTAGGAATCAACTCGTCGGTCTTTACGACGTTCTGCCTCGCTGTCTTCTCGCAATATTATCTCCGCCGATACCATCCTGGTTGGTTCCGCAAGTACAACTTCCTGATGTCTGCTGCCCTGGATGGTGGAACGCAAGTCATGGTCTTTGTCTATACCTTTGCAGTCGGAGGCGGAAGTGGCAACGTTGTAGATTTCCCGAGATGGGCTCTGGTGAGTAAAGTCTGCAAACACGAAGACATGTATATTAATTGACCGCTTCTCTTTAGAATCCTGCAGGGAACCCTGATTACTGTCTTCGACTCACGTAGATCACACATATTTCACGTTGGCGTCAACTCTGTATTCTAATTGATTATCCTTCTGCGCGTCAACTCCCCAGCCCGGACCTGATTCGATCTATTGCGTACTTCGTATCGTCATCCTCACATATTTTAGAGGCTGCTGGCCCGTTCTGATCGAACGATACCTTAAAATCAAAATCAAATATTGCGGACCAGAGGTTGAACGGGCGATGTTTTTCCGAAGAGCATCGCCGTCTGTTGCAATGCAGCTTTCCCAACATCATTTATTAGAAAAGCTGCGTTGGGAACTTTGGCCGCAACGATCAGCAATCAGTCATCGACTTACGAGGTCAGTGTGATTGAATTAATAACGTTCAACCATAAAGGACCCGTCGGCCACTTCAACGAATTGTCCGAACGCGGACAAGGTGTGGAGGAGCAGAGGGTACCAGGTGGAGGCCAGAGAGACAGCGTCTCGACTCGGACTCCCCCGAGTTCTGCGTATCAATCTCTGTAAGGACTGGTTGATAGGCAGCTTAAGTCTTTCGGTGGTATTCACGACAAGAAAGAGTCGGTATCGGCGAGTAAGGTGTAGCACAATCATGGGCTGATGTTGTAGCCTTCCGGCCAACGGTAGTAACAGCGGTATGATAGAACGAGGGTTGAAAGCCTCGAGCGAACCGGGCACCCGCCTACGCGAGGTTAGCAAGGCAAGGGTGTAAGGTAACGTCAACGTACCATGTACATGGTGAGGAGAGGATGAGAACAGACGACAGTCTAAAGGCGGGTGGCATACAGCACCCTTGACATTAGGCCAGGGCATCGTGTCCATATCGATTATAACCATAAACCCTAAGATTAACTCTGAAGCTTGAGCTTGAACGGCCCAAATCCGCTCGTGAACGACTTCTTGTCAAGATGGTCAACGCGGGGGTTTCACTGGGGCTGCGAGGGAGAATATTTCAACCAAGCAGTCGATTCCGCACCCATTTTAAATGTAGAATCACCGATGTTCGTCGTGGCTGCGATGAAAACATTGCACGCACACCTGCAGTTAGGTGGGTACTGGCAGTGGTACCTTGTCCGCCAGTAGCCGACCCCCAGCGAACCCATGGTATTACAGCTGCTAGGTCGTTCATGCCGAGGACTCCAGAGATGGAGATAGAAAGAGATACGTCGTTAACTTAGAGAGCCGCGAGGTTTGAACCTAAGAGTGCGTTCCTTTGGAATGACATGCAAATGTGCTATTACTTCCTTCACGTATTTGCAGGGAAAAAAAAACGGATCAGACTTTGAGACGATAGCCCAATACAATAGGAGAATGGCAGCGACCAGTGCTCCCCTTCGAATCGAATCTGACGGACTGAAATGGTAGTGCGAAGGTCGTGTTTTCAGAAAATGAACGCGGCGAAAAAGATCCGATCATGATCGAGAAGGTCCATGGACTGAGTCACGTGTGGAGGTTAAGCGCCCTAGACCCAAATTTGAGATTTGGCTCAACTCTTCTCTTTTTCGTTCTGCACGTCAATCAGGAAATGCGCATGCTAGGCAACGACCACGCCCGACGACAATAGCACCAGCCAGGCCACTCGACGGCCCAACGAATCTCCGCCAAAATGACACCCACGACGGATACGCCGAAAACGAGTACCCACCACCCACGGGGTATGAGCACGAACATTCCGACCCCCTCAAGAAGTTTCAGTTCTAGTTCAGGTACTGGGATACCTGCATTTCGTTCTCTTCGTTCTCTTCTACCTTTTGGACCCGGAAAATCTTCTTCGTCGACCCCAGCAAAGGCTGCACCGTCGACCTCTTTTTCTTCTGCAAGCTCCCCATCTGCAACTGCACCAAAAACACCAAATTCAAATTCAAAGTCGTTATCTAAAGCCGCTGGTCATGGCTACAGCTTGTCGGTATCACAGACCCAAGGCAATAGTTCGTTTGGTGCCGGGAGGTCATTCACCGCGTTCGGGACTGTGAGACGGTCGATGACAAAAGAGAGAGGCAAGGGCGAGGACGGGAGTAGACCGTCTGGCTCGTTTTTGCGCCCGCCAACGAAAGTCAACCCCGCTGAAGAAACATTCGATGATGTGATCGCCATTGGCCCGGAGGCTTCAACGTCAGCGATAGACGTGTCTGCAGATGTTACCCAAGAATCCGGGTCAAACACGCCTTTGCGGCGGTCGGTGTCGTATCCACGGCTGGATAAGGACGTCGTAGAGCAGGACAGCCGTATGTTCTTGCTTCGGTCTGAACACTTCCGTATCATTGACTTCTGCTAGGCGACTTGTCTACTATCATCGAAGCGGATACTTCAGGGCTATCACGGTACCTCCCAGACCTCAACACGTCCCAGACTTCTTCACCTTCACGGTCGCCGCCTTCTCGAAACTCGCCTCTCACCCGGACCCAATCCGACTCTTTACTCCGGCCGGTTTCTACGTTCCTCGCATCTGGGTCTTCCAGTTCTCGATACTCGGCTTCAACGCAACCCTCGCCGACAGACAATGAACTGGAACTGTCCGTGTCGAACGTCCAAGGCCAAGTGCTCGACGCGCTTCTTGTCAAGGATTACGCCGCCGCTAGGGAATGGCTTGATTCTGGGGATGCTGTCGTTGTTGACGATGATGAAGACCTCACGCAGACACAACCGCTCCGCAAAGCCTCGCCACCACCAGACAGCCGTGTTTCCCTAGAACTCGGACCTCTGGATCCCGAGCTAACAGCTCTTCTCTCTCCAAATCGGCTGTCAGGGTCTTCGTCGCCTAAACGACAATCCCTCTCTTCCCGTCGCAGTTCTGTACAGCTTTCGTCACGGACATCTTCGCAGCGAAACTCTTTACCGACGCCCTTTAGCTCAGGTTAGTTTGGTTCCTGCTGCTTCTCGGAATCTATGCTGATGGTATCCAAGGTCAAGGCGCTGAGAATCCGCCGTCATCTCTTCCTCGACTTCGCTCCCCCGTCTCCATTCCTTCACGCTCACCACTCGTCCTTCCTTCGTCTTCTTTGCCATCACTGTCGCCCCTCGCTTCGCCGCCCATTTCTGCCTCGCCTCCCCATTCTCCATTTGTACCACTACCTGTATCCAGTAGCCCCCGTCCTTCCCCACTTGCAACCACCACCATATTCCCTAGTCGGTCGTCTCGGCAGTCGTCCCCCGAGCGACGATTGCAACACTCCTATCAGCCGGCTCCACCTTCTCCGCTGAGAGGCGAGAGCTCCGGAGCTTCGGGGGATCTTGAGAATCAGGAGCCCAGCCTAGCGAGTGCTGAAGGTGACGAGGTCAAGGAGGCGATGAAGGAGAGCACTGAATCGCAGCGTATACAGCGCGACTACCAAGCGCGAACCAAACCCTCGGCGCTGTTACCGCGGCTTATCACTCCATCTCGCCAGCCGAGCAGCCCGTCGTCACCTACGAAAGATACAGACCCTATGCCTGAAGCTTACGAGGCTCGTCTGCCGTCCCGTCGCACATTCACTACTCCGTCTCCCGCGCTCCAGATTCCTCGCTCCGCGAGAAGCTTGTCTAACCGCCCTTCACCTGCGTCATCAGTCGTGGGCGATGGCACTGTCAACGCGTCTCCTGCGACTACGTCAATGATTATGGATGATACACCTTCCTCGCGTCCTAGACCCAGCCTCGACGAGTCGCGTTTGGAGATGATGGGATCATCGAGGACGTCAACAGGGCGTCGTGGCCTCACGCACATCCAGATGAAGACGCGCATGAGGAAGCGAAGTATGAGTGTCGAGAATGGTAGCCCAGGCCTCAGCATCGGGAGTGCTGCTAACCGTGGTTCGCCAGGTGAATTCGGGATGTTGTCAGTTCCAAGAGACGATGATACGACGCTGAATGGGCTGCGACCCTCGAGTTCGCTCTCGAATCGCCGTGAAGGCGGCAGTAGTGGGTCCCAGAGGACGCTTGACTGGATGGGTCCACGTGCTGCCACTAGGGCATTCGCGGCTGCGGGGCTTCTACCTTTGGACAGGGACAGGGATCGGGAGTTTGAGCAGGACATGGACAGAGAGCGGGAACGGGAACGTGATAGGCGGTTGGATTTGGCAGGTATTCGGTCTGTTACCCCCACCTTGGAACGGACGAATTCCCGAGCCGTCACACCGAACAACTTTGGCGGTTCGACGGCCCAGGGATTGAGCCGCTACGGTTCTCAACGAGGTGGTACTTCAGAATTCCGAGCGCAGTCACGTATGGCATTCTCGGAGAGTGCTGGGCCCAGCATAGCAGGCAGTAGGAAGGGGAGCGGCTCGTATTCGGCTGCTAACTCTCACAACAACACCCCTTCAAGCTATGGGAATTCCTCGAGCTATGGGTCTGCGACAACGGGAACGCGGTATACTAGAGAGCGCGGAGGAAGTGTTAGTGTTAGTGTGGCTGGGAGTGCAGTGAGCCCGTTGATGGATAGCCCGACGTTTAGCGAGAGCATGAGAGGCCGAGGCACCCCGATGAGCGTGTCGACGGCGCCTACGTCTATATTGAGTGGCGCATCCGAACGAGGGAGAGGCTTTGTCGGCGACAGGGAGCGGGATAAGGAGAGGGAGCGATTGGAAGCTGAGATGGAGCGAATGAGGGACAAGCACTCTCTAGAAATGGGGGCTCTGCTATCCGCGCTTTCGGATTCACAACGAACGACCAAGGTATTGAGGGAAGAGAATACGTCGCTGCGGGATCGACTGGATAGTGCGCTGGAAGAGGTGCATATGCTGAGGACCCAGTGCGAAGAACGGAAGTGGGAGGTCGAGATGCTGCGAGGGAATAGCGGCCATGCAGGAAACGAGAGCGTGTTCGGTGGTGGGGGCGTTGCTGATGGCCGGAACTCTACTCCCACACGATGGCGGAGTCTTCGTGGATGGGGTAGTGAAGCTGGAGGCCGAGACGTCGAGGGCAATGCGTCTATTGGGGGACGCGCGAGAGGTTTGGGTCTCGGTCTTCCGTCAGTGCTGCAGCGTCATCGGGAACGGCTCGAACCCGGCTTTAGCACCGCACACCAACGGAGGACCTATACGCCTAGAAGTCGAGCAGCATCTGCGTCTGTTTCGTCACCCCAGACCAACAATGGACAAGACGATGATCTCGACTTTCAAACTCAACGACCATTTAGTCGGGGTGTTGATCACGGACAGGGCAGCGCCAGTGACTCAGGGAGCGGCAAGGTCATGCCACCTCCGCCACCTCCTTCAATGAAGGGGAAGCCGCAACACCGTAGACGGTCAAGCACCACCTCATCCGTATTTCCCAATCCACCGCCAGGTATGGCGATGTTGACGCTGGACCCGCAGTCCGACGATCCTGATTTTGCAGCTCTTGCTTCGTTCTCCATGACACCTTCACGGCCTCCGTCGTTTGCGTCTTCGAATCCTAGACCTATCGGTTCCAAGAACGCTCGTGCTCAAAGCCATCATAAGCGGTCACAGTCATCTGTGGGGAATGTCTCGCCGACAACGGCTAATTTCTCGATGACTGGGTCACCTGGCAGCCTCAACCTGCGACCTGAGGACGAGCTTCATCTGAAGGACATGGATATCATGAGCCTCAATCTGCGTATAGCCAGCGGCGACGAGAGCGACGGGGAGTAGACACACTTGTTTTGTGTTCCACTCTTCTCAATCTTCATTCTTTATTATCCCCCCCGCCGGAAATTTCGACTTTCTTTGTGTATGTTGGATGTATTTGATTATTTTCTTTGTGGATATTTTGCTGCGTTTTGCTTTCCCCTCCTCGCTCTGGGACTACCACCTTTCGGAATGTATCATAGTTACTTTATATTGGCGTTGCGACGCATCATATTTCACTGGATTCCTTAGACTCTGTGCGAAAGGGACTACAAAAGAATCGTCCGCTAAGTTCTCAACGTAAATAAGATGGCGCTACTAAAAGAAAGCTCGTAATGTACAGCTGTTCGTCCCTCCAGTATCCCGTTGTCCTTCCAATAGCTATAATTACGATCCAGGACTGTGGTACTCAGTCTTCAAAAAGGCTGCTCAGCAAGTACATCCCCAATTTTCACAATCAATTCCTCTTCGCTCTTCAAAGTCGCAGCGAAGTATGCTTTCCCGCCAACGCCCTGGGTGTTGATCACTGCTAACATCCTGTCGTACACGTCCTCTCCATCCTCTCGCCTCACGGCGCATACAAACTCCCTCTTTTTATCGTACACCAACATATCGGCATTGTCGCGGGCCAACGAAATTTGTATCTTGATGATCATGTCCTTGCCTTCCCCTCCTTTGGACAACTTTGGAACGTGGGACGCTCGAAGTTGTTTAGGGTTCTGAGGCCCTGTAGGCAACCCAAAAATCTGGCGAGTCTTGGTGGCCGTCGAGTGCACGGTCATATGGCGTGAATTATAGAACGGTTTGACGGCGACTGTGTTGCTTGGTGAGAAGGGTATACATATCCTTTTATGACTGTCCCAGTCATTCCCTGATAGACGGTGAGTACAGGAGCAAAAGAGCGAGACGAATGCTCTCACGCTGGCAAGTAGACGAACAGTACTTCGACACTTTACACTCGCCACAGACTTTGAGGTCCTTCCGTTTACCACAAACGCACGTAATGGTTTCCCCGCTGACCTCTCCCTCCGTGCCTTCTCGCCGCCGAATCCACTTCCTAATACAGGCCGTTATCTCAGGTCCTACCTTCGAGCAGAATTCTCGAGCCGTCAAGCCGTCCCCGTCCGCAATATCTATATCAGCCCCGTGCTCCATCAGCAAATCCGCCGCCTCGACGCGATTTAGCTGGAACACGCCGAGAAGCGCAACTTCGCCGTATTTCGACTGGTGGTTGATATTCGCTTTGCCTGAGATTATGAGGATACGCGCAAGGTCGACACGTGCTTCCGGAGATACGATAGAATGGTATAACGCCGTTTGTCCAACGACGTCGGGTATATCTACAGGCATGCCTTGCGTGATGAGGTATTCCAATACCTGTTCGTGTTTAAGAGCGTCGGGATTCCCTCCATTCCCGGAGACTCGTTGGGCACCGCTAACGATAAGCGTGGCATAGCTAAATTCATAAGGCGTCTCCGTTCCGTTGAGGGGCGGTGCCGTGCCAGTTTGAACGGCCTAAACTCGTATTTAGAGCAGAACTCTGGCCTCTAGAAGAAGTGACGACTTACCTTCTGGACTGCTTTCAACAGACCTGCGCAGCATGCCCACCCGAATGGTGAAAGGCGAGTCATATCGAACTCTCCGGAGCCTGACACACCGACAATATCAGAGTAAAAACGCATTTATTATCGATTCATCGACAGGAGGTGAAGCTGAGACATTAATTACCGTTAGAATAGAGCTCGCGAAGCTCCTGACCGCCGCCATTGCTTGACAAGAACCCGGGTTGAGTGAGGATTGCTCTCATTCGCGGCGTAACAGCCAATCCACAGTCGTTTGGCATGGTTAGAGTACTCAAATCCTGGATGTCAGATTCAAGGGCGCTTTCTCACTGTAGAGAACCATTTTCAAGTTGTTGCCGGTTTTTGTTGGCAGTCTAACCGTTTTGAGACTCGTATTTTGCAATTGTGGCTGGGCGCCTAATCGCTAGGCTCATTTTGTCACCTTGCCTCGTCCCTCGCATTTTGCAGCATGTCAACAAACCTCGATGGCGAGATCGGAGACTTACTTCAGAGGTTGCAGGACAAACTCGAAGAACGGGATGCTGCGCAGGCTGTCAATACCCCTCAGATTCCACGTTCTCCTAGGTCGGGTCTAGGGGGAGAATACATCAGCGAGTTAACGCCTCCTACTGGAACGATGTTCTTCAAACGGTCGGATTTTGTATATCTCGATGAGAACCACTCCGTGCTAATCCAATGGCATTATTCCATGGCAGAGAAACACACACCATACTCGATCAAGAGTGGATCTACAGCGAGAACCCTTCACTTAGGATGCTACTTGCTATGCTGATTTGGCGTGTGGACGTATATACTTATGTTACAAACGCAATGCCAAACGATCCTTTCTTCTCGGAGAAAAACGGGTCGATCTTGGTCGTCTTTGTACATTCTGGAATGGTTGGGAATGCAGGTCCTGGTACTTGCGACACTACCTTACGGGTCGAATGCCTGGCAGAGTCTGCTATCATTCCACAAGCACAACTTCCTCCACAAGATAGCGGCGTACCTGCTGGTAGGAGGATATTGAATTGTACGTCCCGCCAGCCAAATGCCCAATTGATAGAGAGTATCGTTGAAGACGTCGTATAGATACGATATCGTACGAAGAGAGATTATCGATGTTCAACAATGGTGGCAATGGTGTCTTCGACTTCTATGCGAGGTATAAAGAGGATTTCAGTCGCCGGAATAGCGAGCAGATTTCGAGGGTGATTCCGAATGGTTGCGAGTTGGGTGTAAGAACGCCTACGAAAGTGAGTCGTGTTCGACCATCGTTGTGACTGTCCTTACCCCCTTTCTTTCAGTCAGACGAATATCTCAAAATCGCTGGCGTAAGCATCTTCCACACGGCAGATCCCAAAGGGTTTCCAGCTTACTTCGGTATGTACTGTGCAATTGGAGGGCTTGAAGTTGATGCTACGAAACTTAGACTTACGTGCAAATGTCGTCTGTGCCATTGGAGGTTTCAAGGTACGTACGCGTCCCTCTAAGCAAGTTAATGTACACCTAGAACATGGCCCACAGTTGAGGGGTATGAGGAACACGGGAGTAGTGGTGAGAATTGGCGAATAGCTATTCTGACGTTGTATCTCAGGGTAACTGAAGTCTGAGAGTGTACACCGCTCCGCTAGACTGCCATGATCTCGTGCTGTGCAAGCCTGGTCTTCACCGGTTATGATGGTTGCTCCTGCTGGAAGATAGATACGTCCGAAGATGTTTACCCTGTATTAATTTGAGACCTTGGTCCTCTTCGTAAACCCTCGAAGGGGGTACTGTAATTGATGGGGCGAGTATATTTCTAGTGATATATCGACAACACAATGATCATGACGACACTATGGTTATCACACGCGCGATCTATTTCTGCAAGCTAAACAAACCGTTGGAAATGGATGGCGATTATAAGAAGACAGCACTGACGTTTGACCAACTACTTTGTCTGTAATGGCGGCGGACATGTCGACATGTGCCGTGCATGCCTGCTTGTTTTTTGACAGGCTGTCGACCTCTGCTAGGGTGTAAGTGGGTTTGGTAAGTTCGAGAGCCTTGTCCACGGAGCCGACAGCCCAGCATTTCTGTGGCATATCACGTCAGAAATGAGAGAGAACCTCTCAACGTCAACGTACATGGAATAGCGCCCACGCAGGACTTTCCCAAATCGAGAGCTCCGCGCCAGCCTTCCAAGTCAAAATATTACCTGTCGCACCCCCCCTCAAGTGTAAACCTGCGTCAATCCACAGGCAACCGCTGAACCCGATCGAGTCCCTTCCGACAAGCTGTCTTTGTTGGTGAGAGTATGGTGGAACATATTGAAGTGTGCTGCGTGCGTGCTTCTTTCCACTCTGCTTGCCCGAAGCAGCCGCCTTTCCGGGGACAGCCGCCTTTGCGGGGGCAACTGCATTCCCTGGCTTCTTGCCCGGAGCGGCGCCAGCACTGATAGACGCATTAGCCTTTGCGACGACGGATGCTCGCACCCAGGCGTCGGCACCGACCCATAGGCTTGCAGAAACGGCGCCTCCGACAGCAGAAATACCGAGATGGATTTGAGGGGCAAGTGTTCCCTGAACGAATCCTTTGGCGTCCATATGAGCGGATGCCTGAAGACTGAGGTCTATACCGCGGAAAATGAGAGGGGCAATGATACTATATATCAATGTCCTACCAGAATCTTTGCTTCTGATACCCTTCTCGACCGCTAGGTTTTTATGCTCTTTTGGGTACCACATCTCAAGATCCTTGAATTCGTAAGCGAGGTGGACGTCCGCTTTCACGGCAAGGTCGAGATGGCCTTGCGCAATGCCATCCAGAGTTACATATGGGCCAATAGTGATCATTCTATCCAACAGTTGTCAAGTAATTTCACGCAAACCAAATGACTGGTACGCACGCAGGAATGCTCAGTCCAGGAAGGCCCATGTCAGTGATGAGCTTCTTCTGGTACATAAACCCTCCCTAGATGAAATTGAGCGGGAGGATGGTATACAAGTAGCGCATGACGCACCGAGAACTCAAGATCAACTTCAAGTTTAGCATCTACACTCCCGTTGATACCTGCCTACCTCGTAAGACTCCAAGACATAGAAGCGAGGTTCGAGCGAAGGCTCACCCCCAAAGGCCGCGAATTGCTCGATGCTGGGAGGAACGATGTTCCCTACGATGACGATCCCGGCCTTCACCTGAATCGACCCTGTGCTTTCCACTTTTACAGACACCGAGGCATGCGCACCGCTGGGGCAGGTGGGAGGAGGGGTTTCGAACGTAAGCGGGCCCTTCGTATCTAGGGATATGACCGAGCTCTCCACTTGCGGAGAGATTTCGAAATGATTCAGTTCTGTTCAAGACGAGTGTCAACGCAAAGGATCTTGGGGGATGATGTCAAGATCTTACTCCCAAGAAGATGTGAAACGTCTTTATAGGCCTGGCCGGCCCAGCTGGCGACAGACTTGGCGGCAGTAGAGACAGCGGTAGCGACAGTGTTCGCAGTATTAGACACAGCAGTGGCGACGGTTGTAACGGCCTGCGATACCCAGGCACCAACCGACTTGAAGATGTCAAAGAACCCATCATCAAATGCTGCATTCAGGTCCAATCCGGGAACCGTAGCCTTCGTAGGCATCGCGTTAGTGGGATTCACATATCTTTAGGTCACAGCCAACGTACACCGACGAAAGCAAACTTGACCTCACCCATCCTTGTTACATTGTACGGTTAGAACGTTTCGGAGTTTTGGTGGTACGGCGAGGGTGGACTCACTTTTCGGGATCCACAGACGCAAAGTTACTGTCAATTCGGACGACGTGAACTTCGGCAGCAGCACCATCTCTACGGCGGATCTTGGATTGGGCGTGAGTTGGGAGTGATTGATCCTCCGCTACCATCATGCTTGCGATCCTGGCGAATGGACTATTGCTACACTAATGATGCAAGCGCTTAGTATCATCGTATAACTATGGGCAGTCCCCTCTAGAGGACCACATACACTCTCTGGAAGTCGGACAATCTTGTCGATGGGTCCGTGGTGGTCAAAGATGTGTTGACATCCTGACTCCTCGTCATCAGTTTCGCAAACGAGCCGGATCTCTTGATCGACCACATTGGGGTCACAGTCCAGGATGACCCACCCAGCAGCAGGTGTGATATCGGTGAGGGACTTCGAGGATCCAAACTAGAGTTCACATTCAGTAGAGCTCTGCCATTATGAAACGATAGATGAGAGATTCACGTACTAATTTGATGATACCAGACCCTCCCGTACTGGGAAGCATATCGTAGGCGCACTCTCCATCGAAGCACGGCTTCGACCAGTCATTGGCGGCGTTGACGCCAACGATGGTGATGCAGACGCTAAGAAACACCAAGAGTCCTCTCATGCTGCTACGAAGGAAAAAGAGGCAAGGATACCTCTAGCCTATCGATACCACGACTCTCAGTTATTTAATGCATACCGCAGAGGCATTCAGCGCATTCCTTCCATTTTAGTTGACGTCTACAACGAACGGCCAGTCATACGCGACGCAGACCAATCTGTGTGCGGCGAAACCATCACACCTGACGTCGGAGGGACTATGCCGCAATGGAGTCATATCGTGACAGTTCAATGGTGCTTATCTCTGAGGCCGTTGAAATAGCTGCAGCAGAGTCGGAGGGGATAGCCAGTCTAGTGAACTACGCTGAGACATTGAAGACTCGCCTGCTGAGCGTCGAGCGTTGAACCTTCACTCTTTTGTATTCGCTTTCTTTACAAAAAGGCTAGGAGAGTCTGTGGAGTTTGAATTAATTGGCTAATGAAGCGTTCATGCTAATGCATAGTGGCTTACCATTGAGTGAGTCGCCAAGCGCTGAGCCATTGGTGTAGACGCCGACCAAGACTTTCAGAACATCGCTTCAAAGAGGATCGTTCTGTGGGAACGACTATGTGTATTCATACATACCATAATGACTTTGCATGTTGGCTAGTTGCTATAATCGCAACATAGAACACGGAGTCCTCTGTTGCTGATTCAGACAAGTAGCATGTTGTCTGCCCGTGATCTTCGAAGATGAGGCGAAGGATACGCCGCGAATTGCAGCATCAGGATGCCCCCATTTCCTTATCACCCGGCTCGTCAGGGTTTGTCTTGAACTCTTCTCCAACACTCGACTTCATCGCTTCCCACACCCTCCTCGCACTCCCCTTCGCCAGATCCCTCGCGGTAATCACATCGTCTTCATCTCCACTACTCCCTCGCCAATTCGACCACACGCAAGTGAAACCTGCTTCGTTGGGCGTCCGGCCTACGCCATGCCCGAACATGAACGCGAAACACCCGCTGCCGCTTCCAGCTACCTTCGCCGATTCCTCCGGTGACGGGTCCACGAAGAACGTATTGTCAACGCGTGCGACGGCAACTGCGCACACCACCCCCCTCATAGGAATCGACCCGGCGTTCAAAAGTGCCATCGTGCTCGCGTTGATCATGGCTGTGACAAGACCGTTGTCCCACTTCGAATGAGCATCATACGACGGCGTCAGGGCCTGGATAACGAGCTGTATAAGTGTCCGTGGGTTTGTCGTAAGAATCAAAGAAGGTAGCAGTGCTGCTCTGATCATGGATGCGAGCGATTTCGACTCGATGCCTGGAATGGATGATAGTGGGCGAATTGAGACATCGAATGTTGCTTGCGACGGGTTTTCAGAAGCCAAACGAACTTCAATAGGTCCCGAGACTGAAGCCAGCGCAGCCGTCGATGTTCCTGCGGGAAGGCGACTGTGTCATGGTTTCGGCGTAGCATTCCTGTTGAGAATACGCACCAAATGAGAATCGAGCCGACGCATCTACTCGAGCAAGGCCATCGAGCGATATTTTCAGAGGTCGCGCTTCATCCAAATGCCGTCCATCGCGTCGAATCATTTCTCGGAGTCGTTTACGGTTCGCGACAAGGCACTCAGGTACTCGATAACAATTGCTCAGGTGGGCCCGTTCTCGCGCCGGCCCTAACCTTACAGTAATTAGGCGCCCTACACCCCATGCAGTTGCACAACTTGGCCGCCACAGCCATACCCAGGACCATTCAAGTTTCTGAATGCTTGTTATACTATCTAGAAGGTCGAATCGATAGACTCAGAACACGGTAGCGATAACCCCACGTCAAAGACCAACACTGCAACCACGGGATGCGTTACCGTGACTAGGGTGAGTTATTCAAGATTTAGTAGGGCTGGCGGCATGCAGTTTCTGTCAAGTTTCTGCAGATAATTTTAGAGCAACCACAGTGCACTAGGCGCGTCAAATTTACTACGCGGTCTTGCTCAAAAATACTAAACCTTTTTTTATCCAGCATCAGATCAGACTCCACACTCAACCGAGACGTCGAAGCCTAATCGTCGAAGCATAAAGACATATTCGACTCTCTGAGCATGGACTGCGCATGAGAACCTCAGCAAGTCGCATCAAACGGCCGCCTTTGTGTGTAATTATACTTGCAAAGGACAGAAATATTACTTCAGTAGCGCGTGCTTCGCGGACGGTGGTCCGGTCGTGTCCCTGCTCTTCTCTTCGTCGATCAAATTTGGGGATGAATTATCGACATGAAGGTGCTCGTCTCGCTGGTTAACGCAAAGTTTCACGTGAGTAGAACCACTGTGACAAATGCCTGATATCAGACCCACTCTTCGCTCCGTTTGTTGTGAGTGTGAGTCCACCACGGCCGAGGACTTTGGCGTCTGCCTGAAACCGCGCGTTGCAAGACAAGGATCCTATTCATGGAACATTGAACAACGCCCTTGGGCATTTATAACACGTGACCTGTAATGTACATACCCAGGTTTTCGAACTTCCTCATACTTTCAGTCTAGCACCAAACATCGGACACACATATACTTCTCCTTCATCTTGAAATCACCGATGGCACTGTCAACCTTCAGAAATTCAAAACGTTAGGCGCCCGCCAACCTTGGGCGCGCTGCTCGACTCATTTATTATCTCGGGTCCGATGGCGAGCACCAATGTCTTGTACATCCGCCGCTATCGGAAAGGGCAAAGACCTTTCTAGCGCGAAGCCATTGTCCGGCTTTATGTCCCAGTTTTCGTCGGATTACTACTGCAGGCCTTCCGAGGACTGGATTACACGCGCAAATGCCAGATTATACACACCGGTCAGCTAGTACTGTCTAGTGTTCACCTGGCACCCTGCTTACTGTCTCCATTCATCGAAGCGGCGAACGTCATACTCGGCATCGATGACACTACCGCTTTCGAGAAGTTTGAATAAGCTGAGCTCGACCATCCTACGCCGCGCAAAGAAGTCGATGGTAGGGTTATCTACCTGTTTCGCAGGTTAGAGAAGCCCAAGACTATTGGGGCACCTATCCTCTGTGACTCTGGTTCGACGGCTTTGGGGCGAAGAGCAGAACGAAGATTTTGTGCAACCCGACGTCTATCGATCGCCAGAAGTTATCCTCAAACCCCCCTGGAGTTATCCAATCGACGTTTGGAACGTTGTATGTATGGTATGTGATCCCTCGTGCCCACTGAATACTGGGTTATTCACCAAAGGCTATTGTCAGCCTTAAATATGTCGGTATTAACAGCTTATCAGGAGAATTCCAGGCCGGCATTCCAGTGCCGCATCCTTTTTCCCTGGAGCAGTTGGAGACAAAATGGCGAGGAGAAGGAGCTGTTTCTGCAATTCATGGGTAAGATGTTACGGTGGGACGCACGAGATCGAATGGAGCTGAAGGAGCTTCTTAAGGATACGTGGCTGAAGAAACATTTGTGGCCTTTTTGTACATACTTATGGATGACACTCGATACCCAAGCAAGAACCACTCAGTTGTGGTCGCTGTGGGGGCATACTCGCAATGCTTACAGACAAGAGGGGTTTGGCACTGAGCCGGCATTTCGCTCAACTTACTTCCCGGTTCACCTCAACACTTGCTCAAGACTGAGTTCCTCGCCTCCTACTCTAATCGTCGAAATGCATCATGCACCAGCGGGGGCACGTTGGCACTTAGTTAATCATAACGTCGCTTGAACGTAGCGAGAAACTATATGACCGTATTGATACTGTCTGAACACAGCGACACGTAGTGGTGATCCGCAAGAAATAAGATATCGGGCCTTTGGTTTACTGGAAAGCGTACGTACCGATGAACCATGTTGTTCTCTTTGCATCTCCAGCTGTGCGTAGACATGTAACCGGGTACATGGCCTCGCAACGTTACGCAGGTTTCTCCGACAAGGCCTCCTCCAGAACCACGGCACTGGTCCAGAATGGTGAAATTCAGGATGAGTAACTTCAACACATGCACGCGCACCCTCTCCGCGGAGAACTTGTGAATAAATCTCGCAACCGTACAAGCAGGCCTGTTATTCCGTATCAATTTCAACAGACGCTTTACGACGAGCGGAGCACTGAGTGGATCACAGTTGGTCCTACTCTCACTAAAGGACATTAGTACTGTTCGAGTGAAATGTCGGGGTCCGGAGTCATGTCTTCGAGCGCATGGCCAGTGGCGCGAGCGTAGCAAGGTGGGTCACAGATTGGCCGACCGTCGGTGCACACATGACTTGAAGTGGGTGATATGTTGATGGCTTGCGATACCTTCGTGCGTATAGATGTAAGCCTAACGGAAACCTGTCGAGATTTCCATACCTCATCAAACATCAATAAGCTCAAGATACGGTCAGCGTGCTTACGTACCTCCTTATCTCGTCCGGGTGTTGATGTTTGCTCGTTGGTATAATTGATTGGCGAGGACAAGTAGCAAGTCACGAGTGGGTTCAAATTCGGAACCACAGCGTGGGTATTCTATACGGAGCTGAAGAAGGTCGAGGTTCGAGGTTCCCCACAACTTGGAAGGAATCAACTGGAGTGGTTTCTTCGATATCGGCTACTTGAAAGCATCGTGAAATTTTGGTAGAGCTTCCGAGTCGGCGGTTCTGATTCTCAGAAGCTGCGCCTCGATGTTCACGTCTTCAGCATGATCTTCTATCTATTAATAACACCGCGATAAAAAACCTATTTGCGAATTCGTTGCATCCTACTCAACATTCGCGGCGGGATGTTTCGGGATGGCCGCTTGGCCGGAATCAACTTGTTCCATGGCAAGGCATGGAATGATATGCTGCTCACTGTGGCTGGAGCTTCATTCGACCTTTCTGCAGGCAATGATCTACGTACATGAATTGCTTTTGAGGGTGGGTCGTTGGGCAGCATCAAGACTACGACACTCGAGCCTCCGGGGAGAATTGCGACGACACCGACATGCACGCAAACTTTCGGAAAGACTCCTGGCAGTTGTGATCATTGGCCGGCACTTACGTAATATCACTCTTTCTCTACTCGCCACTGCCTCAAGCCTCGGAGTCTGGGGGCTGTCGCAGGGTGTCTACGCTGCCAAGGGCACTGCTAGCTGCTTCAAAGCTAAAGACTCTGAAATGGTCCCCGCGTTGTGATCAGGAAGCTTCTCATTTTACGCCGCACCAGTGACCAAGCCTCGATGAACCGGGGCATCAATCCTATGGCCCGCGTATAAACCAGTCGCGCAGCAGATATATTCCATGGGAATGGAAAGGAAAATCAATGAGGAGATGAGGCAATTGACGAGTCGAATCCGTTGGAACCGGCCATGGGCTGCGAGACTACCCTTGACGCATGCCGTAGTCCACCAGAAGTATGGTATGTGTCGCATTACATTGTTGTGACGAATCACCACAGTTTTTGGCCGAGGACATCGTCAGGTCGCAGTCTGAATCTGCTGATTGACTCTAATGTATATTCGCAGATAGATCTTGACTTCGGTTGCTGGGTTTGGGTTGATGGATATTGCGTGGGCCCAAATTCGCCGTGTTAGGGCCAAGGGAGGTCTCCGAATACGCACGTAGCTGCGAGGGTTATGGATAGCATCACATTCATGGTATGTGTTCTGTCGAAATCAACCTCCCATACCAATCCGGCATTCACTCCCATAGGCGTACTCTGAACAAAGCCTTGGAGGTTGTGTCCCTTCTGGAATGATTCGTCGGCGTGCTTACGATTCTTTCGCTAATGTCTCAGGTCACGACACTGTTTAGTAACTACCTCAGCCGATAAAATTAGCCTCGCTTGTGGGGCAGCGATTAGCCCCGTCCGTTCGAATAAACTACCTCGACCATTCTACTAAGCGTGTCGACCGGATCAAGGAGAGTATCACTTCCTCGACGGTTCTCCGTGCAATCTTTTCCTGAGCCAAACACTATGTCTGAGGACAACAGCTGCAACTTAGGTGTCAACACGCCCATCGTCTTATAACCCACAGGATTCTTGTATTGGACTGACAATTTCTCCTCCTCTAACCTCTCTCCGAAAGACCTTCCCCCTTCCTGTTCTGCGACATGTCGCAAAGACCCTCGACAGAGTCAACGTCTATCGCCTCTCCTGAGCTATCCGAAAAGGGTGACCCGTCGAGCACTAGACATAATAGTTCCGAAGCCTTAGATGTTTCGTCAGTTCTTGGTGAAGCCGAGAAAAATACCCCGAAAGACGCCGACCATTCTTCTACTTCCAATGTCTCAAACTCTACGCTCGACGATCCCTACCAAGTTACCCTTGACGCCTCAGAACACCCCCAAAGCGGCCTATCCACATTCCGCAAATGGCTCGCCGTCGTAATTATCAGTACCTCAGCTCTCTGTGTGGCTTGTGCTTCATCAATCGTATGTATCCCTCATTTCTGGCTTTCGACATCCATCCTTATGCCCTCCATTCAAAACTTAGGCGGCCTTCACGGAAGACGCTGTAGCCAAAGAATTCCACGTCCCACACGAAGTGGCGATTCTATCTATCTCACTCTTCGTTGAAGGTGTCGGTATTGGGCCTCTGTTTGTAGGCCCGCTTTCCGAAGTTTATGGCCGGAATATCATATACCAAGTCTCTTATACCCTTTTCTTTGCCTTCTCGTGGCCCGTTGCCTTCGCTCCAAATATAGGTAGGCAGTTTCGGGTATTTCTTGACATCGTCCTAACCCACAAGACGGTTCTGAATAGCTGTATATCTAATCTTCCGATTCTTTACTGGTCTATGTGGCGCCGCCTTTCTCAGCGTTGCCGGAGGCAGCGTGAGTGATATGTTCACGGATGCCACTGTCGCAAAGTAAGTGCCTCGTTCGTTGGCTACAGCCATCCTCTCATCCGACTTCAACCCAGCCCCATGGCCTTCTACACCATATCTCCGTTCATTGGGCCAGTGTTGGGCCCTCTGATTAGTGGGTGAGTTGGTCTTCTGGTCTAAAGCATACCTTGGCGCTGAACTTCGACCACGGTATTCAGATTTATCAACCAGGTCAGTAGCCTTCCATAAAACTTCGATGGAGATTATTCTTGACGCCCTGACGCAGAATCTGAATTGGCGCTGGACATGGCGTATCGCCCTGATATGGGTTTTTGCGCAATGGATTGCTTTGCTGTTGGTATGCAAAGGATACACTTCTATTGGGACCTCGCTGACTTTCGGCCTCTAGTTCGTCCCGGAAACATACGTTCCAGTGTTGTTAAAGCGAAAAGCCCAAAGGTCCGACTATCTATATTTTCGTTCAACGCTCGCGTGTATTGACGTCTGTCGTTATTGAATAGAGTTCGAAAATCCACAGGAAATACCAAGTATTACGCTCCACTGGAGAAGGTCAACAGCAGCATCTTCGGCAAGATCCTTGTCAGCTGTTATCGGCCGTTTCGTGCGTACTGCTCCACCCTTGCTATTACTGCCGCGACTGACGCTATCTATGCAGAACTCATTCTGTATGATCGAATGGCACTATTGCTGGATGTTTGGTGCGTAATCAGACACGAGTCTGCACTAGAACTTGGGTTCTAATATTGAGTCTAGGAATGCCCTCATTCTTGGAATTCTATATCTCACCTTCCAAGCGTTCCCTATCGTCTTCGAACGCGGCCATGGATTCAATATGCAGGAAACAGGGCTATCCTTCTTGGGCATTGGGTTGGGCATGTTGATCGCTATATTTACGCAGCCATTCTGGAATAGGTGAACCTGCTCCTATTACGATTCGATTTTGTCGAGGAGACTAATTATTTCGTAGGCGATTTGCTCGACAGAGCCTTATCTACGATGGCAATCCTCCTCCTGAAGCGCGACTCATTATGGGCCAAGTTGGCGCAATCCTTGTCCCCATCTGTAAGTCCGTCCCCTCCTATTTCACTCCGTAGTCACTAATATACAAATGTGCTTCTGTGCAATAGCCCTATACTGGCTTGCCTTCACCACGTACTCCCACGTTCACTGGATAGCGCCCATCATCGCCTCCGTGCCGTTCGGCTCCGGGATCTACTTTGTCTTCATGTCGACATTCACCTACCTTGTCACAGCTTACCGCCCTATCGCCGCCTCGGCTATGGCAAGTAATAGTTCTATGCGTTCCATGTTCGCTGCGGTCTTCCCGTTATTCGCGGGTGCAATGTACAACCGATTGGGAACAGTTGGAGCGACCGCACTCCTGGCCGGGCTAACCACTATTATGGCCCCTCTGCCGTATGTCAACCATATTCGTGTGGCTCGTGTAACTTATGACGTCGAAATCGCAGCTTCATCTTCTATAAGATTGGTTACAGACTGCGCCAACAGTCTCGGTTCGCAGTCCACTAGCTCTTCGCTCCTCCTTGCATTCCGAGGTCACCACAACACACTGTCTACTCTCGCCGGTTCAACAGCCGAGCGATTACTTGATTATTTATTTCCCGTCGTCTATTTCATATCGCATTCACTCTATACTTTGCCACAACTTACACGCACCAAACAGACGGACTTGAAACACTTGTATATATGCCCAATGACCAAATGTAATGTCTCAAAGAACTTAATGTGCTCTTAATCCCCCTGACTTGCATCGTTTGCCGGCTTTCCAGCCGTACACGTTACATATATTTGCGCTGCACGCTGAGCTCCAACCCGGCCCTGAGCTCATTCTGGGAACCCTCTTCAACCTGCGTGCCTTTCTGGCCACCGCCTGGTGAGTTACGAGCGGGAAGAGATTGAGAGCGTCCCAGTTCTACATTCCATTTTCATATTCAAATTTACACGTTCTAATATTCGTCTGTATGATGCATAGCACTGGAAGCGACGTGGGCAAGTGGCAGGGACAATTATGCTTCTATCATCATACAGTATCCCTTGTTGCAGAGTTGACGAATCTATACACTGGCATCCGTATGCTCGGCTAGAGTATCGTCGGGATCATATTGTCACCCAGGAAATGTTCAGCCAGAGCGCTCAGATCCGCGGCCGGTGCGAATTCATAAATTCGTTGCATGAAAGAGTCCTTTGCAGAAACAGCATCTGTATTTCAGGAATGCGACGTCGTGACATGTTAATGAGCTCACTAAGGGGATAGATGATTAGAGTGTACTCACAAAGACTACAAGACAGGCGCGGACAGGTCGCTTGTAGCTCCACCACAGCTTCCTCGTAGAATTTCTGGTATTCTTCCATAAATTGCTCGCCCGCCATGAATTGAGGGTCGAGTCGAAACGAAGTTAAGGCCTTGAATTTGGGCAGCATCGCACACATCTCAGGCTTGATATCCTATCCCGGCCGACACTCAGTTGGGCAGCTGGTAATAGATAATCAAAACACATACCGGATCCAACGTCGGCATACCTTCCAAAATTGTAAGACTTTCTAGTAGTGGTAGATGTTCCACGACGAAATCGAGAAGTCTTGGGATCCACCGGAAAACATTACACTCGAGGCAAGTCAGCCCTTGAGCGGACGCTTGCCCGAGCGAGCGAATTGGGCGGCCGACTGCGAAGGGGATGTCAGGGTAGGATGGAGCCGTCCATTCTAAGCTTGCGGTCGTTAAGGGCATTAAGCCATCGATGTGGTCAGCGATGAAGGAACATGGTCCCACAAAAGATCGTAATTTTGAGAGATGACGGATTTTGTCGGGCGACTCGCTCGGGGTTGCGATATCCGTTGTGCTCGAGGGTGCTGACAAGAACATCCTATTGTGGGCGGAGATTTTGAGTGCTAGCTCCTCGAGATCTTGGTGCCTTCCAACGAAATGATGGGCCAAGGCATCAACGTCCGTTATCGCCTCCAACGAGGTGTATGAAAACGCCCGTAAAAGAGGTAGAGTAGCTTGCGCTAGGATATCCGTCATCTGACATAATATGGAATCGCGGATATCGAGGTTGCGCAGGTTCGAGAGGTGGGAGACAGCTCTAACAAGCTTGGGTCCAAGCTGCCTGAGTGCCGTTTGTTCCTTCTTTGATGGCGACATGGTGTCGGGGATGATGGATAGCGTGAGCGAACGTATCAACGGTACCCAATCTCGGTCCCTCTCCACCGCCTTGCAAAACTTCGTCGCCATCAGTGGGCTACGCAAGCAAATCGAACGGAATATATGGCGTAATGCGACTCTCCTGACAGCCCAACAAGCCGAAGAAAACGCTATCTGCTCGCTTTTATCCATTCGAGCAACGAGATCGTCTATTATCTCGACGGGAAGCTTAAGGATTAGCGCGCCCCTCGACTTTCCCTTTCTTGACTTTTTGGCCATTTTCCCTTTGTAGCGGTGGATATCTTTCTCGCCCTCCCCGTCGTCTTCTTCGTCGGTGCTGGCTTTGGAGGATGAGGAAGAGGAAGCTGTAGATTGGGGTGAAGGAGAACAGAGGCGACTGCGCTTAAAGGCCCCATTGGTCGGCAAGTGGCGAGCACTGCGACGCACCATCGTTGTCAACGAGGGTTTGTCCGTTTGTTATGGGAGAAAGAGAGAAAATTGTGGTTGAACCAGTGGCACTCCTTCGAGGTCGGACCATTAGCGCTCGCAGTACGTTCGCGGAGATGGAAAGCAAGAACAAAGGACGGAGCCATGCGAAGACTCTTGTCGGTTTAGGAACATGGGTGCTGTGAATTAAACCATTTTGTGACGGGCTAATCAAGTCCTCGTCCGCTCGCGTCTCTGCTTCAATGTGTCCCACCAAACATCAACAGTTAGTAGGAGTCACCTATCCATGCCACTCACTGTCAGCACGAAAAGAGGGAGGTTCAAGCACACGTACCGCAGCGATCTCTATGACTAGTAGCGATTCAGCAGACGGGAAGGGAAAACCCAACGCAGGAAATGTACGACCCATTTCATTGCCTCAGCGCTTCGTACACCATGCTTACACCAGTAGTGACAGCAACGCTGGTACGGGAACTGTGCCAATACTACAGAAAATAGATAGCTGTCGGCCTTCGCGAGGTCAAGGTAACCTGGAACAAGGAGTTAACGATGGTTGTCTTGCGATTCAGATCACGGTTACAAATCCACACCTTTCAAGATGCACCTCGGTCTCCGAGCGCATTCACGAGGCTCCGAGCCTTACCCAAGTGAACTTCGCACTGTGAAGGCCACCATTCCGGTACACCCCCGTCATCTATCCGTGTACGACATCTATAGTGGTTCAGGCTGACTACGATTGCGAGGGCACTTGCAACGGGAGAAGCCTAACAGCCGACCATTACCACTGCACACTCGCAGATATCAGCGCCCAAAGGTCACTCCGAAGCCACGGTTTGGAAACAGTGGTCAGTCGCTCGATGGGATAATCACAGCACATATTGTGCACCGTTCGCGGGCGGGGCATAGAAACATCCCTGGGTGGTGGCGGTGGCCATATAGTGTCGAGTACGCATAACTCAGCCCTCCCCTGCGTGATGAAAGAGGGCGCTTGACTTCTGAATCCATCATCCCCTTGAAGGAAGGTTGAAGCAGGCCGCGAGGGGACTATAGATGCGGATTGTCATTGCGCATGCCCGCTTCGACCATAGGCTGTGAAAGCTGTTTATGCGGAAGATGCCTCCATCTGAGATTGTGCAGTATATGAGGGATTCACGATGAATTGGCGCGCTCTCCCTACCTTAAACGCAGTGAATGAAAGGTAAGTCGCGCCATATACCAAGCTAGTATCCCTCGTTTTTATTTTCGAAGTTCAACTTTCAGCCCCTGCAGGCAACCAACTGAAAGACGTCAACCGTCCCGCACCTTGGTCGGAACAGTCAGCACACGGCAGCGAAGACGCGGAATACAGCAAAGCCATACAGTACACCTTCGGGGAGGATACTTTGAGCTCGGGCGTTCGGATGATGTATGGGATCGACGGAGATGAGAAGTCGTGAAATGACAAGAGACAAAATCGCGCCTCCCGTAGATCCCACTCGAGACCCTCCTGGCGGCAACAGAGATTCCAATTGTCCATACGCCACCCTAAATTCAATCTCTGGCGAGTTGCAGTCGGGCGGAAATCCAGAGATCATATACAGAGAGCACCTTTCCTCATATCCGAAGGCCTTCATGCCATGTACCTTTACCCTCTCCCTCTCTCTCGCGAGATGCTTCGTGGATGAAGGCGATATAGACCACGTCCCAAGCCTCCAGCGCGCCATCTCCCATTCCATTCTACTCTCCTCCGATCTTCATCCATTCTCCCGAAAGCCTCCGGAAACGGTTCGCAGTGAGGTATGCGGGCACTTCGATTTTGCCTACCAGCAACCATACTGAAGGACTGACTGTCCGCTGTTCTAATGCCAAGAAACCAACGGCAATGGATGAAATACGTAGTGGGAGGAGTGTAACTTCTCTCCTCTTGAGATCGTCCCGAAACCCGCGAGCTCGAGAGGTCGGTGTCCACCACTCTTCGCATCCCCCGACTTCAATTTAGACCCCCCTCTCCATTCCGCAGGAAAAGCCCATCTTGAGCGTGCTCGGTAGCAGCGCCTTGTATCCTGCGAGCCGAGGAGTTTGAGATACGCGCATAACCTCGGGATTGCGAGTATAGATATAGTGACCGGCAGACGACACGATTCGAGGTGCCCTAGCTCGATGTCCTGCAGATTCGCAGCGCCTTGCCGAGCTTCATGGATGTGGAACGGAGGTCGATGGGCGCGACTGCGCTGGGGTTCAAACTTCCATCCTCCGAAAGCGACATCGCAGTCGGAGCCCAAACCTCTTTTCCGACGCGACGACACGTCTCTAAGACTCCGGGAGTTTGGCATTATAGAGTCGACGAGGAAGAGCTACGTTCGCTTGAAGTTTTTTCAGCCTCGAAATGCCACCCTTTTGAACCCGTCATACGCGTCCCGTGGACTCCTTCAGAACATTCCAACCACGCGCAAAGGAAGACAAGTACACGCGTCGAGACGTGCTCGCAACGAACCCGACACGAGACGTATACTGTAGGCTGGAGACTGCTGTACAATAAACTCGGAAAATCTGTGGGATCACGAAAGGTGAGTTTCTCGTATCTTCCAGCAGAGATTCATATTGCTGACTTGATTCACGCAGGCCTATTCGGCTTGGACACACCTGTGGACGCATATCATGTTTTGTCAATCATCGTGCCTCTAGCTTCGTTGCTTGATATGATTGGGAAGATATTAGGCCCTACAGGAGGCTATGTAGATCGTCAGCGTGTCAAATGATGGGTCACTGGAAATCCTACTCAACCATGTCGGCGATAGTAATGGCCAAAGTTGAGCTCGCGACTCCCGGGGCTCGTGTCGGCCCGTCACGCTGAATTCAGCAGAACTAGGCTGCTATCTTTCCTCATCAGACAACTATCTCAAATCCACGACAGCCTCGAACAGCAGATGGGAACACACGTTCGCAGTCTTTCGACGATAGCGCCTGTCTTATCTTGTATGTGCCTAGGCCAACGCAACTCTAGACGCGGTTCGCTGCCGACGTTCAGGCCCAGGGAGATTCGGCACTTCTGGTAGCCCAGGCCCTGGTATCTGCAACAAGGACCGATGGAGCTAGCCCACTCGTTCTAGTCTCGCAGGACGTTCATCAATGCAACATTGGGCACTCGCGATTAGCGACGCAGACGGAGGATGAGCTTTACTTGAGACTGGTCTTGGAGGAACCGTCAACGTACGAGGTGCGCGTGATCATTCATGCTTTGCGTTAACGCCCATCGGAGCGAGTGTTGGTCATAGGGTATCCTATGCTCAGACATGCCCAGGATATCCCCATCGTCCATGTCACGTCCAACGACCCTTGACACACACCTTTCCCCGCCCACGCTGCTTCGACCATGGAACCCTTCACTAGCTCCGCAGATAGCGCCGCAGGGGTCGACTCTCATCCCCCGGTTTCGTAGGCCATCGCCCTCAATCGTTTGGACTCCATCGATCATCACCTCACAGTCGGCTGTCGGAACGGCTTCGATAACCGCAAGCACATCCCCGTCCAGGATAAATTACCTTGGTATACTTACCACTGTTGGGCTGTAGGCGTTCGAGATTAGCGTGGAAATGAATAATGCTGGGTAACTTTTTATGAGAATGAGGCGGAACGTTCGAACTAACTCTGCGCATGAAGAATAGAGTGCCACACATTCATCTTACCTTCGGTGCGCAACGACGGCCAATTCCACCTATGGAAGTCTACGTTGGACCTGTGGCGCTCCGAAGGAGGAAGTAGAACAATTTCATGAATCACAAAGCAGATCAAGACAGCTTTCAGGGAAGGCGGGGATGTCAATAATGACAAAGTCGACATCTCAGTCTTGTTTTTATGCTCTCATTTCTTCATTATCGATTCTGTTGTCTCGTTGATCGACCCTGCTCAGAATGAAGATGGATGCTCGACGCTTCTCTACGCTGAAAGAAGGAACGGGTTTCGGTGTTCAGACCATAGCCTGTCTCTTCCTCTCTCTTCCTTCGCTCCGAGAACCATCATGCTTCGCGTTTGATTGTTTCTTTCACCTTGCTGTTCAACCCTGATTGGAACCACCATCGGAGTAACGTTCCACGCAAAACTTCCAACGTCCAATGGTGTTTGCCCTATGACTGAACGCTGATTGGGTGATGGGTTCCTTTACATCCCCCAGCACGATGCTCTACCTCATAGTACAAAGGCGACATCAGTAACCTTGGTCTTGGAATCGTGGTGGCTATATATCATGGTATCCTATCTGCGCGCCAGACGTCAGGCCTCCGGATCTTCGCTTCGCTCGCGCCGACGTTCTTACCCTTCAATTATATTGCGCCCACTGCTAGAAGACACCCACTCCAAACATATTGACAGAAATAGTTCACCCAGATGATCCCTCGAAATTTCCCCAGTAACCTGATCATAAAGAAGGTGGCGCCGACTACGTTTCTGACGTTGACATTTCCCCAGGATTCGTCTTCCAGCACCAATGAACCAGCAGAGTCTCAATCACACTTTGATTTTGTCTCGCATTGCCTACTCGTGCTGCTAAATTTGTGCGATCAACGGCGCGTGGCTAGATCGGCTGACCCAACTGATAGGTAATTCTCACTCGCCTACCACCCCTACGCCCACACCCTTACATTATAACCTGGTTTCGTCGTATGCAGGGTGTTACTAGCTTTTCATTCGTCCAGACGTCTTCTAAAAAGCTTAGTGGGCGAGCCAATGCGGCGAATCAAGGCTCTGAGCTGCCGGTCACCGCATTTCTAGTACATCCCCATCTGTCACGACTGTCCATCGTGGAGGAAGGTCGCCCCCGGCTGAGCTCACGTCATACAAAGGGGTTCATATTAAGCCTGGCCCACAAGTGACTGCGACTGCGGTAGCGCTATAGGGTACACTTCAGCTCAAGCATGCCCACTTGTGTGAAGATTCCGTACCTTACGAGTCGCGTTCATCACCAGTGAGTCGTGCTGATTGCCTTCATCCTATGCTGTGATTACTAATCCTCGACTCGTTAGAAGCAGTAGCAGCATGACCGACTCAAAGCCACCTACCGAGCCCCACCTTCCGCCTGAGATACTAGATCATATCGTCGATTACCTGCATAGTGATGCCGCATCGCTGCTGAGTTGCGGGCTGTGTTCGAGGAACCTGCTCAGAGTGAGCCGATATCATCTCTTTCGCGACATGATAATGAAGCTCTCTGCCACCGATCTCTTCTCCTTGCTCGGCCTCTTAAGGTCTCCCGCAAACCGCATTGCTCCGTTTGTCCAAAGAATCGTCCTCTTCAACGTCCCTGCGTTCCTCCGAACACACGGCAGAGCAGACGTCGTTCGCGCTATCCGGATCATCCCCCATATTCTCGCCCTCCTCCCCCACGCATCCTCTCTCAAGCTATGCCACTCAGACCTTACACGCCTCCCGGAAGATCTCTTCCTCCAACTCTTCCATCACTTCCGCAACTTCCAGGGGACCTTGCACCTCGAAGCCGTGCACTTCCATCGCTTCGTGGACCTGGCGAATCTGGTGACGGGCTTCAAGCTTCTGCGCCACGTGTCGGTGAACTGCGTCTTATGGGCACATCCCAGTCCGGCCACGGATAGACTCCTCCTGAGGCAATCGCTGCAAGCTGCCTCTGCACGTTGGCAGATCCGGGACGCTGGGATCCGCTACCAGGATTTGTTCGATTGGCTAAAATCCCAATGCCCGCCGGCGCCCGTCGAGAGCATGTACTACCACGCAGAGACGCCTAAGGCGAGGTCCGATCTGAATGATTTTTTGTCCTGCTGCGCTTCGTCACTACGGCACCTGACGTTGTCCTTTCCCGCGTGCTTGAAGAAGACTCGTTTCGCAGGTAAGACTATCTATCTCTTTCACATACAAAGCCATAACGCGTGGCCAATAGAAGTGATTGACGACTACGGTGATACGAGCGACTGTACCAACCTCCGGTCCCTGCGTATGAAGCAAGTTATGCTGGTCCCGGCCACAACGGTCTCGCGACTCCTCCAATCCCGAATATCAAGAATCATCGCAGATATCCCATCCCCTCACCTCCTAGAATCTATTACTTTAGAACTTCACGTCTCCACAACTTTTCCTCTCGAGAAGAGCCTGCAGGAGTTCGACTGGAATGGGCTCACTCGTTTTCGGAATCTTCGCAGGATAACACTCCTCGTCGATCCTGGCCTCTTGGCGGAGTTCCAGGACACGGTCGTTTCGATCTTTCGTGCCAAGTTACGTCCTCTGGCGGATGTGATGACGATATCGCACTTCGACAAGGCGGCAGAAGAATACGAGTAGGCCTTGATTTATATACTATTTATAGGTGCATGCACCATGGAAAACTATTGTTTTAGTATACTTACATTAATGGACACCTTTCTTATTGCATCACAGAACTCCCAGATCCACCACCACCATACGTCGTCGGTGTCATCTGGCTCGAGGGATACGTGTCTGTACCGGAAGATGGAGGAGTAGACGCGGTATAATTCACTTGTAAAAGAGAGGGATGGGATAAAGGTGTTGCCGTGCGTCTGGTCAGTCAGGTCAGCGGTTAGACCGACGTCTCCTCAGTCAAATTACTCACCGACCCCATGTCGGCTTGTTTGGAAAGCTGGAAAGCTAAGGTGCAGCTTAGCGATATGCATGACAAGAAAGCTCCGAACGTCGGCCCGCCATGGGCCCCTGACTAATACTTCCAATACCACGTGATCGACTCACATCAAGGGAGCCGTTCTCCTCCTTGTCCAGTCCCCTCTTTCCTCTCCACGTTCATCGCAGTCGAAATGGTGAAAATCTGGGGGTTCGAGCTATCTGAAATGTCGTTCAGCGCCTTCGGGTCCAAGAACATGTTCGACAAACGTTGGCCATTGCGCAAGGAGCGCGTTAGTGCGTACTGTGTCTCCCCCACATCCGACTTCCCCTAATCGCGTTGTTTCTATTGTTAGTTCTTTACCAGCTGGCCATGTCCATCTGCCTGGCTGCGGAATGCTCTGCGACGTACTCGCTCTCCAAGTACGAAGACCAGCAGACCAACATTGAGCGCCTCTACGCTCGCGAACACCCAGATGCCCAGTTCGGGGATATCGCCGTCCATAATAACCCGGTTATAGCGGCTGCTTGCGTTACAATCGTCTTCGCCGTGCTGGTCGCCACCCTCTTCGGCGCAGATTTCTTCTTCCTCCTACAGTTCCCGAGGAGAGTCTACCCCACCTGGTATAATGTTGCGAAGAAGTTCCTCTCATTGTTCATCACGGCCGGTGTACTAGCTGGAGCTTTGTTCAGTACCGTGGTCGTGGCGACACAGGAGCAGTACATAAACGGCACCGCCGTGACGGAGGCCGAGAGTCGACGATATGAAGAGTTCTTCTATCGGCCGCCGTTTGTGTACAAGCGTTGGGCCGTTAACATCGCGTGGGTAGTCTTGATTTGGATTGGATGGGTAGCCACCGTTGCGAGGTTAGTCTAAGCTTTAGTGCGACTTGCAGGATTCCCATTGACGCTTGTCTTAGCACCATCATCATGTGGAAGGCGATAGAACACGACAAGACTCACGGGACAGGCCCTAGGTCGGATATCCCTCTTGAATCGACGGAGAGTCAACGTGCCCTTGGAGGCGTCATTGATGCTGAGAAGAAAGCAAGCGCGTAACACTCCGCCTTCCTTCCCTTGATGAACGACCGTTACTTTGTATAACACTGTACACATCTACGCTAACGGCCACCATAACTGTTACTGTAAAGCGTTCGCTTTTCTACACAATCAGTAAAAGTAGTGTATCCGTATAATCTTACTGTTCATCATAACGTAAAGAAGTTGAAAGAAATGTATTTGCCATATAACACCACAGGCTCACAAAAAAACTTGTCAAGCTGCCTCGACCCCGGATCGAACGAGGGATCTTCGCATTACGAGTGCGACGCTTTACCACTGAGCCACCGAGGCGATATCATTTGCCTGCTGGAGCCTTGACTCATTCGTCACCACATTCTTATCCTAGGGCAGATCCGAAGTCCAAGGATTTTATTTGATACTTTCTTGCTCATCATGCTACAACCCAAACTGCATCTGCTTCATCCTCATTTTCGCCCCAACGAAAGACCTGGGCATCGTTCTAACCCGCACACGGGTTACAACTTCGGTTGATATTCAAATAAACCACAAGCGATGAAACGCTTTGGAGAATGGGTCTGCTGCGATTTGTAGAAACAATCGATTCGCAGGGCTGAGGAGCGTTCAAAGAGACTCAGTCGCGACGCTGGACTCCTATACTGCCAGCGCACTCTGCGGCTAAGGAGGAGTCAAAGCTGAAGTTGCGCTTGACTCACGCTTTCACATTGCGAAAAGACCGGTGCGTTCCAATATCATGCTATAACATTGTCTTTTTGGATTCTTGTCTAATCAATATGTCACTTTGACTTCTTTTCAGAAGGGTTGGGTTTGCGTACTTAGCACAGGGTCGCCGTACTCAAGCTGTACCCAAAATCATATTTTTTCAGACTTCCAGCTATCCCTATGGCACCCGTCTGAATTTTGATTCCGAACGTGCCAATCGATGCGCCTACTCCCGCAGTCGCCTGGGGTCGACGGTTGACTTCGAATCACCAGGTCGGTAGTGCAACGAACTTGCCAGCACTGCCAGGAATCACGCGCGCGAGTACAGTGTTGGGTTGACAATTCATTCAAAAGGTATCGAACGTATGCATTGCCAGTGCGCACCGAATACTCCCACTGTCGTCTTCGCCGCTAGACGTCGATATCTCGCAAGGCTTCTCCAACTCGATAGCAGTATTGAAGAGATTCAGCGTAGCATCTGAACATGGGATTTGGGAAACTTCGTTGGGCGGTCCTCCTGCTCCCCTACTTCCTCCCACTTGGGTATAGTTCGGCGAATGCGGTGGAGACGAGTACGTCTTCATAATTATGACATCGACCACCAGTGGAAATATACTGATGAACACTGTTTTTAGGATCATGGGACGAATCATACGCGCTTTCCCATAAGGTTGTGTCCCAAATGACGGTCGACGAGAAGGTCGGGGTACTTACAGGTGTTACTTTTGCTAAGAGTGCGTCTATTTTCTTCCTCTTCGTCCCGGCCCTTGTCTCCATTCCGTTCCTCATTCTCCGTTGTCCTATGTTGTCCATCATCATCGCATGTTCACTCCCCCGATGATCAACGATCTTACTGATTGATGTCGAGCCAGGCAAATGTAACGGCGATACACACCCAGTCTCCCGGCTGGGCATCCCCGCTCTCTGTTTCAAAGACGGCCCCGCGGGCGTCCAACCTTCCAAAAGCGTGACAGGCTTCCCCGCAGGCATCAACGCTGCTTCGACGTTCAGTAGGACGTTAATGAGGAAAAGGGGGGAGGCTATTGGCAGGGAGTTGAAGGGTAAAGGTGTCAAGTGGGCTTAATATTTCGTTACATGATAAAATAGGAATGCTAAACGTATATTCACAGCACATGGTACGGACCATCTATCGACATCGTGAGTTCTCTATTTATTCTGCCCATCTGCAATTTTATACTGATACGTATCGCTTATGATCTCCTCTCCTTTTCCCCTCCATTTTGAATTGCGGAACGTAGATGCGCAACCCCAAAGGTGGACGTGGTTGGGAAGCCTTCGGTCCAGACCCCTACCTCAACAGCGAAGGGGGCTACGAAACTATCATGGGCGTACAAGGCGTAGGTGTCCAAGCCTGCGCAAAACACCTTGCTGCCAATAATCAGGAACACAATCGGTATAATCTCAGTGTAACATTGGATGATCGGGCAATGTGGGAGGTTTACGGGTATCCGTATATTCGAAGTATCAAGGAGGTGAGCGAAGCCACTGGATGCAATTGATCGGAGAGTCGTCGTTAATGGGCCCCCTTTGGCGGTGTAGGCCGACTTGTCGTCCGTGATGTGTTCCTTCAACCGCATCAATGGAACCTTCACTTGCTCGCACCCGAAGCTCCTGGCCAATGACGGTTTCTTGCGGTCAAACGGTTTTAAAGGTTTCGTTGTTAGCGATTATGGCGCCACGCATGGTACTGCCGCTGAAATTGCCAACGCCGGGATGGAAATGGAGCAACCTGGAGAGTTCGATCCACTTGGTGAGTTTTAAGAGTTAGGAATATTTCATCACGGCGTTTGACTATGTGTTGTAGTAAACGGTGGGGGCGTGTTCACGGAAGGTGGTCTTAAGAACTCGGTCCTCAACGGCACCGTGTCTAATGAAGTATGACACGCCTCTCACTTAGATATGCTGCAATATGCTGACGGAATTGCTCCGTTCGTCATTTAGCGCCTTGATGAAATGGCCGTCCGCGTCCTGGCTCCATGGTATCGTCTACGACAAGACGTGGTGCGTGAAACCTAATAATCTATCTTTCATTTACAAGGGACTAATGTCTAATGTGTCCTCCTCGTGCAGGATTACCCTCCAATCGACCATGCCGCAAATGTGCGTTCAGAGGAACACACGGCCCTTGCCAAAGAAATCGCGTCCGCCTCTGCCGTACTCCTCAAAAACGCACCTCGTAACTCTAACTCATCTTCACTAACTCCGGGGCGCCACTTCGGCCTCCCTATCCTCAGGTCTGAAATCAAGGAAATGGCCATCATAGGCGAAGACGCCAAACAACCGGATCTCAGCCTTTGCAATGAGCTTGTTGAGTGTACGAACGGGACTTTGGCGGTTGGGTACGTCGTTCATGATACGAGGCTCTTTTCAGCGTGCTCAATTCAGAGCATGTTATGGTAGATGGGGATCGGGTGGCAACTCACTGGAATTCTTAGTCGCGCCAGCAGACGCTATAACGTCATACGTCGGCGATTCTGCTACGATCGCTACTTCGCTGTCGAACGATGCTACTGCAGGTGCCGCCGCTGCGGCCAATAAGGATGTAGCGTTCGTCTTCGTTAACGCGTAAGCGTACCGCACTGCTCACGCGAACTCCGAACTGTCACTGATTATCTTGACGACCACAGGCGGAGTGGCGAATGGATTCAAAATATCGTTCACGACCAAGGCGGTGACAGAAACGACTTGGAACTCTTCTACGAAGGCAGACAGCTGGTCAGTAATCCTATGCTCCACGTCTGACTCTCTTCCGAAGCTTCAAGGAACTAACACTTCCATTAATCTAGATCGAACGCGTCGCCGCTGTGTGCAACAACACCATTGTAGTTGTACATTCTGTGGGCCCCGTGTTCATGCCTTGGAGCACACATCCGAACATCACCGCCATCGTCTATGCTGGAGTACCTGGCGAGCAATCTGGGCCGTCGATTGTAGACGTCTTGTATGGGAACTACAACCCCAGCGGACGATTACCCTTTAGCATCGCCGACGTAAGTTATTAGCTACCGTCGATTTCCAGTCCCGTTTGATGCTGATTTCTTTCAGACTGAAGAAGCGTATGGCACGCAAATCGTGTACGATCGTACGATCGGCCCATTGACTGTAGGCATTTACTTTACCTTCGAAATCTTATTCACTCACCAAGCTCACATCAGCTCAACTACACCGAAGGCTTATTCCTGGACTATCGGTACATGGAAGAACACGGCATCTCCCCCCGTTTCGAGTACGGCTTCGGCCTTTCGTACACCACCTTCTCCTACGGGAGCCTCGACATCCGCTCTAATGGTTCCTCAAAGAGCGTCACGTTCAGCATACGCAATACAGGTGGCGTGGACGGCACGGAGATTCCCCAGTTATACTTGGGATTTCCCGAAGGCTCGGGCGAGCCGAAGAAGGTGTTGAGAGGCTTCAGCGATGTGGCTGTCAGAGTCGACGAGATCAAGAACGTCACCATGACGCTTACTGAGCTGGATATGAGGTATGCGGTTCCGTTCGATCCTTCAGCCTTCGGCTTATAAACTATGTGTCTAGCGTTTGGGATGTTACGACCCAGCAATGGACAGTGCCTTCAGGCGAATTCAAAGTGTATATCGGAGCCTCAGTCAAGGATATCCGATTGACGGGGTCGTTCTAGGTGGACAGTTTTATGGAATCTTGTACAAGCCGATAGTTGTTATATCATCCAGCATTTATATACCCATAGATTATCGGTCCTGCATCTTGCTGTCGTCTTGACACGGTGGCGAACTTGCTCTTACTGGTGCGCGGTAAACGCATCGAAGTGATACTTATACTTGTCAATGTATCATGTTAGCATTCTATAATACAACAAGAGGCGATGGTATCTGTATGATCGTACGAATCATTACTACGAGAAGAGCGTGAGTTGAGGAACGGAATGGGGAATCATGTCGATCAGTCGTAAGAAAAGAAGAATCCGTTACTATTCATCCACTTAGCGTACTATGCTTATCTGCACCTAATCGTCGCTGTTGCCGAGTTCCTGTATTCCCTCGCAGCATAGACCGCAGCCGATACACTCGAGGCAGGCTTGAATGATGTGGTTCAACATATGGATAAGAGGCGTTGGAGGAGAACATACCGAGACCACCGCAACACGCGCAGAAGTAGCAGGGGCAACAACACGGGTTCTCGAACGCGCCTAGACGGGGGCCATGTCCTTGTCAAGAAGGAAACTGACGAAAGAGAGTTAATATAAACACCACGCACTTTCGCAACACCAGACTGAGAGAAGGATCCCCAGGATGAGCACGACGAAAAGGCCGACGAAGACGACGATGAGATACAGTTTGTGTTTCGTGAATGCGCTTTCCTCCCGTTTGGCATGGAGGGGGTGCGCGGCTGGTTCTGCGTGTGATACTATGGGGTGCGCGGTGGGAGGTAGCGCGTGGGTGACCGCCGTACCAAGCCCAGAAAGGGCGGCTCCCGCAGGAACGGCGACAGGGGAGTTCCCGGCTGCCTGAGGAATAGGAGTTGCAGTGACGGGTGCGAAGTTGGTGCCACCGTTAGTCAAGCTGGAGTGGGCTGATGGTACTGGGGATACGCTCGGAGAGTGCTCGCCGACGATGCCCTTCCATTCTCCAACGCCCTTCCAATCGGGATCCCAGTTTCTCCACGAAGCGATGACGCCAGAAGCGACCAAGCAAGCGTTCAGGATGAATATCCCTGCGACGATGATCAGTATGACGATGATTGGGAGAAGGTATCTGCGAAGTCTTGAGTTGTGGCATCGTTTGTGGTCGTGATTGTCTTCAGAGTCATGGCCTTCACCTCCAGGTTGGGGACGCAGATGCATGCCGTTGGAGGGATACGCGTAAGGGCAAGGGCCACCGTGTTGACCATGTTGACATTCGTAGTCATTATGCCTGTAGTGGGGCGGAAGCACAGGGATAGACGGCGAGTTGAGAGGGATTTCCTTCATATCCGTGGTATCGCCGACCTTCTCGTGGACGACTCCCTCTCCATCTCCCGGTACCTTCCTCATGATGGATGCCCCCCGGCTGACATACCCATATCCTGCCGCTGCTGCGGGATTCGGTGACGAATGCGGGCTGGATGTATAAATCGGGAGGGAGAGTTGCGAGGCCGAATGGGAATGGTTACGATGGAATTGATTGTAGAAGTCCAAAGCGCTGAAAGGGGGCGGCTGGGGAGAGTAGGTATGAGGACCGGGGTTCGCTGGCTTCTGCGAGGGCATTGTGTAGCGACGACTCTACGCAAGAGATGGCTCTGTGAGGAGACGTTGAAAGGAGGTGGGAAGGAGGGCAGAAGTCGGCCATTGACCACTTATCAGTGGGAGACTCAGCACACTAGTCTCCCATCACGACGTCTAGCACGATAAATTGAAGCGAGGGGGTCTATGAAGAACTGATTTAAGTGTCGTTAGTGTGTTGACTAGTGGCCTTGGAGTGGCCTCCCCAGAAGTCTTAGCTCATTCCGCGAAGTTCCAGGCTCCAGACGCCGGCAAGTTTGCAATGAGCCCTTCAGCGTTTCGGGTGACGAGATGGGTGTTGAGTATGTTTTACAGTGGAAGTGGTGAGGACGATCGACTTTCAATCATTATTAGAGACGATGTGGCTCTGTTTGTCATTGTCGGCCCGACGCTGACAGAATCCCGACGCGCCGCCTCAACAACCATCACTGGCCAGTTGATAGTCCCTCCGAGTCCCTGGACACACCGGTGCACGCTCATATCATGCTGAAAGTCGAAGTACGTGGGACTGGGCCCATGAACATTCTGGATACAGGGACTTCGATCAGAAGTGCGGACCCACAACTTAGAATCAAGAAGCTTCTATCTTTCTATTACAATACCTGGGATCCTTCGTGTATAAAAGGCCAACCAAACTACAGGTAGGCAATTTCGAAATCATGCCCCCTTCAGATCAGCTTGTCGTACTCGAATCACTCGATCCAAAGGAAGCGAGTGCTGTCCTGGTTCCATTGACACAGCACCAGCGTTACTATCTTAGCGACGGTGACTTATATGTAGTGGTAGACCCAATCGTCCTCACTCAAGGATGCCCTCGTGCTGAATCGTTTGAATTTTGACAGGCCCTTTCGGATAATACGATTTTCCGGATTCATGCACATTTTCTTCAAAAGCATTCTGTATGGATGCAGACCCAGCCTCACTTAGCCGGGCGCGAAGAGGACAAGCCTTTGGTCCTTTGCGAGGGCATCAGTGCAAATGACTTTGCCAAAGTTTTATGGGTGTTCTACGACGAGTGAGTTACTGGTCGGATACTCCCAGAAGGCTAACTCAAAAGTAGTAGGACGCTTGAGCGGCAGGCGTCGGGGGAAGAGTGGTTCGGCATCCTCCTTACTGCGGAGAAGATGCAAATGCCGCGTGTCCAGCTACTTGCATCCAGCAAGCTCAAAGAACTCACCTTCACCACGGATCCAATAGAGAAGATCGCCGTCCAGCAACGGTATTCGATTCGTCCTCATTGGGCGCTAGATGCGTACCTCGAGGTTTGCACACGCCCGAAACCTCTCACACTAGACGAGGGAGTGAGGATCGGGTTGCCTGAGTCGATCATGATTGCTGAGATTCGAGAACAAGTGGCCCGAGTACCTGTGGGCGGCATTCTCGTTGAAAAGCCAGCCACTCTCGTAGAGCGCGTTATCAGCCAAGACATCCCCCCTGAATCCGAGCCTCCAGTACCAACCGTGCTGGACGAATCAGAAACTTTCGAATGTGGTGTAGAGGGCGCGAATGTTGTGGTCCGTGTAGGTCACATCACGGACGCTCTCACAATCTATGTATCTGACACACGGTTAGACAAGAGATAAATGGTTCCGAGTCCATCGTCATTTCTTAGAGACGCATTCCCCTCTGATGCGTCAAATGTTGCGCCCTACTTCCCCAGGGGGAGGGGGGTCTAGTCGAAGATAGCATAACACTGTATGCTGACGGCCTACATGTCTCGTGGTTACTGGCCCTTTTTTATAACGAGTTCAGTTTTCCTCATTATCACGATTCAACGAGTTTCCTCACCCCCTGCTAAGGAGCCTCTCCATAGAATTATCGCCTACTCAGCGCGAGGCCATCCGAGCGCTCGCGGAACAGTACCAGATGGACAAAGTTGGCGCATTCGTGACGAGGGGAGCGAGTAACACGATGGATCTCGTCGAAAAGGTCCGATCTATTCATCGCTTTAATATACCGCTGCAGACTCCGTGGGCGGCCGAAGTCTACCATCAGCTATGCACTAGACGGGCGCCAATATCCGCGGAAGAGGCGGCGCGATTGGATCCAGCGGTATGGGCTGACATCAGCGCGCGAAGAGAAGAGGTTCTCTGGAAGAAGTGCGAGGAGTATGAACGCGCCGCAATGGGTGCGTCTATAGTCAGAGACGATCCGAGCACGCTTTTTGGGCAATATGGGAAGCTAGGAAAGAAGCGTAAAATAAGAAAATAGATCTTCAGTCCATGGTACATCATGATATGTTGCTAGCGGTCAACGGCACCCCCTAGTCCCTGTCACTCCTAAGGATCACCTGACTTCGGTGCAGTTCAGGATGATTACTCGAGCGTCTATTTATTCTCCCTTTCCGCTCGTACCGTAACCCAGCTTCATGTTTGCTAGGCTACGAGGCGTCTTACATGCAGACCACAGTCCTGATGACTCTGATGACTATGAACTCCTCCTTCCCTCGTCCTCCGACTCCAATGGCCACGTTTCCCAACCGTCCAATGGCTCAATAGCATCGTCTCCGTACGCTTCTCGACGCAGGCGCACGAAGCTCATCAAGTACATCAAGCACTTTTGTACTCTTAGACGACTTCTTTTCGCTGTTGCGCTCGTCCCCATTCTACTTGTAGCAGCAGTGCTATGGTCGGGTATCCCGCCGGACTTCAAGGACGTGAGGGAATATGAGCGCCGATTACCGCAACACAACGGCAATGATGCCATGGCGCGGGGGGACAGATATTTGCGATTTCCAGGGCATCTATGGGGTCATGGCCTCAATAATGTCCTTCAAGAAGCGTACGTGACCACCGCTACTCGCCCTACAATTGACCACATCAGCGGCCCGCAGTCTTCTCATGTCCTATCTGGCGTACGAAGCGAATAGATCATACGTCTTCGAAGACTATGTATGGTCTCACACCCCATTCTCCTACACGCTCTACGACTTCGCATTGCGCCCAGCGCGCATACCCCTCAATGCCTTCATTTCAGGACCGACAGCCGGGGGTCCCATGCCCGACGTCGCGGCGGCTGTGAGCTCTTCTTTCTTCGAGAAAGTGTGTCCCAAGGCGTCGCGCAAGGTCATCAGCTCCAGGGACGCGCCGACGGACGCGGAGGGGAGCATGCTCATCAAGTGGTGGGTGGACAAGCTGGAGACGGTGCCCGATAGATGCGTGGAAGTTGATTCATCAGAAAAGGTCGTCTTTGATCGCTTGTGAGTCCTGACTTCGAGGCTCAGATATGTGGGCTGACAGATGTCGACAGCCTGTTTGGTGGGCCAAGGATCCTGTCTATACTCCCAGGGATGTTCTCGTCGCCCATTCTCTCCCGGTTCTCGTGGTCCCCACTGGTCCTCTCCGCGATAACACGGAACTTTGCCGTGCTGCGCCCGCAAAATCTTGACGTGTTACTCTACTCTCCCCATGCTGGCTCACGTGTTTTCTCAGCTTCGTCTTCACTGAAACAATCAGCGTCGACCGACGACTCTTCATCTACATCAGAATCTCATACATCTATTTCCACAAGCTCGTCGTCTTCCTCGTCGTCGTCTTCTACGAGCGACTCGTCCACGTACCCTCCGATGTTCGAGGGCATGCTCGCGGTGCACATCCGCCGAGGCGACTACAAGCGACACTGCCCGCGCTTGGCACAATGGCACTCCAACTACATGGGAATCGCACAGCTTCCCGGTCTCCCTGATCGTTTCGACCCATCATCATTTGATCATGACGAGGGAATAGCGGCTTCATCAACAGATGATGAGGTAGGCAACGAGAGGGATGGCAACACGGACCCGGAAGATACGCCACATACGCGCGAAGAATACTACCTCGCCCACTGCCTCCCCTCTGTTTCCCAAATCGTCAAACGCCTCTCTGCTGTCCGCAGGGAACACAACTTACAACAACAAAACCAAGATACAAATATGACGCTTGCATTACCACCGTTATCAAAAGTATACGTCCTCACCAACGGATGGTCTTTTTGGCTTTCGCAGCTGTTCGAAAGCCTGAAGGCAGATGGATGGGAGGACGTAGTGTCGTCATTCAATGTTGAAGGGAATTTAGATCGCGAGCAAAAATATGTGGGGATGGCTGTGGATATGGCGATAGCGGAGAGGGCAGAAGTGTTCGTTGGTAATGGGGTGTGTATGCTTCTTTCTGATAACCCTTGCCATGCTGACACTCTGTAACAGTTCTCGAGTCTATCTGCTAACATAATTTTATTGCGCATGGCGCGGGGGATGGATATACGCACTAATAGATTTCTGTAATTTCTATTCTCCCTCCGAGAACGGCGAGAAAATGCGGGGTTCATGGCGATCTACTGTATGCACAATAGCTTGCGTGCTTGGGGCTTCGGGACGAAAGGTCAAGGCGGGACACCTCTGATAGACTTCGGAAGAAGTCGCGTGTTGTCGCCCTCGCTTCCACCCGTTACCTCGAGAGTCTGATCGGGTCGGGCCAGGCGCTTGAAGGCGTCTCCTAGCTGTCGCCGTACTCCGAGCAAGCCCCTCCTTGGCCCCCAAAGGCTCATTCATACCACTGACGATGCATCATGATAGCCGTTTTTCTTTAGGAATCGCGGGTGCCCTTAAAGTCTCTTTCAATCAACGTTTTTCCTACTCCTTTGTTCACCTGCACTTCCCGCTTTGTAACTCGCCACTCCGGTGGCCTTTAATCTCTTGTGCTTTCCCCCGTCTATTCCTATCATCTGTTGCTCCTTACTCCCTAACTCTCACAGCATGCTCATAGGCCGCCAGGACGAGCTTGGCGCTTATACCGTGGCGGATCCAACGCCAGCACAGGCGGGTGAACATGAAGATAGCACTAGCTCTAACGGAACCCCGTATGTCATTGAAGAAAATCCAACCGGCGGCATGAGGATGATTGCCAACAAGGACTTCGAGTGCGGCGATCTCATCCTACAAGAGCGGCCACTTGTTCTTTTCCCTTTGGAAGTTGCCTTACCGGCAAAGTCGGATGTGAGTAGTCTACTCGGAATACCTTCTTGTATCCAGTAATTGAAGTTGAAACTCGACAGCTTCGGCTTTCACTTCAGCGCGCCTTGAACGCCCTTAACGATGCTAAGAGGGCTGACTATATGGGATTGGCTAATATTTACGCTACCGATGCATTTGAGCCGGTTCTTGGGATTTTCATGTCCAACAAGTTCGAATTTTTCAGTACCGATGACGCCGGTGCGTGGTCATTTCATAACTTGAAGAAACCCGCGTGCTCAACACACCTCCAAGAAGCTGCCTCTGCCGACCGTACTAAGCCCTTTGCCGCAGTTTTCAAGGATATCTCGCACATGAACCACAGGTAAGCCGTTCTGACATTGCTCTATTTGCTCATGGACATCTACCTCACCTCGTCATACAGTTGTTGCCCAAACGTGGTACGCTACTGGTGCATGGCTTCGCGTTCGATGTACGTACACGCGGCGCGCTCCATCCAGAAGGGGTCCCAAATCGTCACAACATACTGCGACCCCTTCTTACCCTTGCGCGAACGCCGAGCCCTCCTTCTTAACACATACAAGATCGCCTGCACTTGCCCTGCCTGCACCAACAGCGAGTCGGATGCAAACCGGGTCCGTATTCAAAATATTCAGGACAACTTGGCTCCAGTCATCCAATGGGCCCTCACGCCCGCCCTCCCCGACGATCTCCTCCTCGTCCCCTCCTTGGAGCAGCTGAAATTGATTGAGGACGAAGGGCTGGAGGGGACCGAGTATTACGCCCGAGTGTTGAGGCGTCTGTGGTACATATACTTCGTGTTGGACGACTTCGGAGCATCCGGATTTTACGGGCGGATGTTGAGGGCGTGGAAGATCACGAATGGGACGAAGAGGTCGGACGTGATAAAGGAAATGCAGTCGGAGCTGGAACTGATCCAATACGCTGTAAATCGTCGCAGGTTGTTTATGCCGCGTAAAGCCAAGTTAGTACGGCCAGTCAGCTAAGTAGGGGATTGAAGCAGTCCCCGTATCTTGCTGTTCAGCCTTTTATGTCAAATTTGTCCATTCATGCATCCAGTACGAAATGCAAGTAATGTTCGACATGGGGAGGGGCAAGATTGATGAATCTGGATTATTGACCTGTTCGTGCATTGACGCGGTCTTCCCCCTTACAGCCTGGGTACTCTTCCAGCGCTTTTGCAGGAATCTCCATCCTCTGACCACCACGAGAGCCCACGACTACGACGACCCCATACGGACATCTTGCCAGTGGGTCCGGCTCGCACCAACTCCCCAGCGCCGCCATAATCAAGGTTCCAAATCCCAACCAAATCCAGCACCACAGTAGTCGAGAGCCCATGCACGGAGCTTCGGGTCTCGTTTCTTGACATGGGGAGCGCAAGCAAAATAACTTGTCTCGAGTGAAGGATGGGAATCGTAGAAGAACGCAAAGTCTCGCCCTTTCTGACATCCAGGAATTCTTAGGACGGTGACCAGACGGCGAACAAGGATGTCGGCGCAGTCAATTGGGTGTCGCCATTCGCATTCCATTGTAGTTATGGATCTCGGGCCCAAAATCCGGATGCTGGTCACTACCTTGGCCACTCATCCACATGGACTCGCATGCTTTATGGTGAGCCCATTGCTTCTAGCGGCCGCATTACTTGTGTACCAATTTCCGCAGCTAACAATCATCAAGTTCTGTGTGAGCCCGTTGTCGCCACCGCGTAGCACGATGCTGAAAAGCATGCAGCTCAAACTCTGTCTGTGGACGCCAAGTTGTGCATGTCAGGCATACACATGCGGTAGGTTTGGCCACTGGACGAGAATTGTGGTTTCTTCCACAGTCAAACAATGGATGGGATCCGAACTCAGCTGCTCACTTGTGGTTGCATTATAAGTGACCTAGTCACTTCACTCCTTCGTCTCTCATCATCACCTTTGCACGATGGGACAATACTACAAATTGTACGCCATTCTCAACGTACCTCGAGCTTCTACTGATTCTTTCGATTGTAGTATGAACTTTGATAAGCGCCAGGTCCACAATGGACTGGGTAAATTCTGGGAATTCACAGGCGACGCCCTCGTGAGGCTTCTCACGTCTCCTCGACCTTATCCCGACCTCGACGCTGCGTTTGAGCGCATCTATAAGTGAGTGTCACTGTCACCTCGCAATATGCACGGCCACCGATAACGGATATGATGCCAGCGGATACGACATAGCAAAGGCAAGGTCATGCGATAGAGCCAGGCTTGGACGCCTAGGCAAGCTCCCCGTTGAACTTATAACCTACGTCTTCGAAGCCACTGACCTCGACGGCGCCGCGATGCTCGTTGCAGCCCACCCACAGCTCTTTGCCATCGGGTACGCAAGCATGCTCGCGAAAATCAAAGCTATCTCTCTCTTCAACAACTGGTCGTACGACCGCATCATATGCATCGGAGACTACGCACGGACGCTTCCCGCAGATTTCCTCTCGGCGGCTGAGAGACACAGGCTGATGAAGTGGGGCGTAAAGCATAAAGCGATTCTCGACGAGTACGGGGACGCGCCGTTGGACGACATCGTCGAGGGCGGAAGCGCGGCTCCCAACTGCGAGGCCGCCCCTTCGCAGGAACGCGATGCGCATGAGCTGGGGCTTGCCAGCGAGGTCGCTGCGTACACCGATCAGAGCTTCCATCTGTACCAGTACGGGTGCAAGATGCCGTCGCTGTACGACATGGTGTGCTCGCGCAAGTGCTCTCCTACGCTTTCATACGATCTTCTGTGGAGGTGTGACGACTTAGACGGCCGGCGCCTCGGGAGGCTGGAGTCCGCACTGTTGTGGTTCAAGCCCTGCTACTACCTGGATTGTCCGGTGCTGATTAATACTACGAAGTGTGAATTTCTGAAAGGGGTGGATGAGGAAGGAGAGTCGATCCTTGATATGGCTATCCCAGTGCTCACGGTCTGGGGTGCCGATGAGGGGTATACACACACGGTTAAGCGAGAGGGGGAGTGGGCTGGCGATCGGCTGGCAATTATTTCAGAGGAAGAACTGGAGGATCTTATGGAAGAAGAAGAAGGCTGGAAGGAGCGAAAAATAAAATGGGATGATGTGTAGCTGACTTGGCGCGCTTACTAGTAAACACCATCCTTGTTCCTGTATCCGTTGTAATACCCCGGGTTTGTTCATACGAAATGCTCGCTTTTCAGTTGCGAAGAAGTCACACTCTCGCATCGTAACTTGTCGCTGACTACAGCTATGTTAGAGTGCCGTGTTGGAGGAGAACTTGTGCGCTAGATAGCATTGTAAAGACCAAACTGTCCGCTGGGCGGTGAATGTATAAGAGTACCGCGGGCGAAGGCGAGAACAGCGCAGCGTAGATGTACGTAGTAGACATGCCTTCCTCCCAAACTCTGGGCATGTCTTCACAGCATCTCTATCCCAGGTGAAGTTCAATGAATACATGGACATGTGATGGTGCGGTGGTGAAGCGCGGCGTACAGAATCTTGCTTTGGTTTCTTGTGATGGTGTCTATGGGAGATGGTTGAAACTCAGCGTCGGACAACCTGGCACACGCCGCATTCTCTCCCAACCGCCCCAACCTTCTTGCCACTGTGCAACGCGCTTCGGTACAATTCTCATCACTATATGGCCTCAAATCACGCGAAGGCTAGCGGATCCCCACTAAAAACACTGTCGGATTTGGGCATCAGAGTCGGAGGAGATAGTTCGAGAGTTCGAGAGTTCGAGACTGGGTACGCATTACTGCTGGTGCAATCAGTGATTGGTACCCAGGTGCTCACACGTATGGCGCATATGTACAATCCAGAAGAGGGCGCCCGTCTGGCATCCTTTCAAATTTCAGGCCTTGGGATTCGCATCTATAGATCTTCTTGGGGCACAGCGTTTCGACGCTTAGCATTCGAGGCAAGTATTTCTTATACCTAGTTGAGGGCTCAGCATCGGTAGCGATGTTCGAGCGAAGTCCAGACGATCGGCCTTTGGTGCGCAAAAAGGGGGGCAGGGGAAAGAGATAGAGAAAGAGAAAGAGAAAGAGAAGGAGAAGAAGAGAAGAGAGTTAGCAGCTGGACGAAAAGACGACTACATGAGGTCTCTCTCCGCCAATACGCCATGTCCCTTAATTATGGAAGATAGTGGACGACGCAAGGAGGGATGGGGAGAAGAACGGCACGTACCGTGCACCTCGCAATACACTCGCTACACGTCTCACGCGGGAAGAGGGGGATCAGTCGGAGGGTACATGGAAGATACGAGGAGGAGAAGCGGGCCGGTCCGAGGCGAGGAGGGGTATACGCGATACGCGGCAGCCCCTCCGTCTCCATTTAATATTGTATTGTCTCGCTTCTACATAATTCCACCCTCGAGGTCCAATATCCAATACCAGTGGAATCCACGAGCCGACGACCGTTGTCTCAGTACCGAGAAACACAGGTTGAGGAAGTGGGCGGCAAGCATAAAGAGCATAAAGTGCATGAGGAAGTGGGCGGCAAGCATAAAGTGCATAAAGTGCATAAAGTGCGTAAAGCGATTCTCGGTCCTCGGTCCTCGGTTCTCGGTTCGAGGCGGGGACGTTCCGCTGGGCGAAATCGAGGGAGCAAAGGCAGCGCTGTCGCTGTCGCTGGCAAGAACGCCCCTCAGAAAGGAGAACGCGACTCCCACGAGGTGGAGCGCGCTGCCGAGGTCGATGCGCATGCCTACGCCTCAGAGCTCCATATTCAGAGCTTCAGATTCAGAGCTTCCATCCATACCAGCATGGGTCCCGCGCCTGCGCCTTCGAATGATCTTATGGACATTATGGACGGGAGTGGCAAAGCGATTCTCGGTCCTCGGTTGTTCGAGGCGGGGACGTTCCGCTAGGCGAAATCGACGGGAGCAAAGGCGGCGCTGTCGCTGGCAAGAACACCCCTCAGAAAGAAGAACGCGACTCTCAAGAGCTGGAGCGCGCCGCCGAGGTCGATGCGTGTGCGTGCGCGGATCCGCACTGCGCACTGTACATGTTGTGGTCCACGCCTGCCGGGACCTGGAGTACTACCCGGTGCTAATGCTAAAATGCTAATGCTAATAACAGCATTACAACGTTACAAAGCGCCTGTTTCTGAAGGATCTGGATCAGGATCAGGATAAGGAAGGCGAGTCGATGCTTGGCCCGGGATGGGTATCGCAGGGCTCATGATCACGGTCACGACCACGGTCTGGGGTGGCGATGAGCGATGGGGGAGACACGGACTTGGTTAAGGGAGAGGGAGAGCGGACTGGAGATCGCCTGGCGGTTCTTTCAGAGGAGGAACAGGAGGAACTTCTGGCTGAACAGAATCGTTGGAGGAGATAAAGTACCAGGGACGACGCGGACCTGACGTGGTTGGCTATCGTAACCCGTCGCTGATCAGCGATCATCGGTCAACGCTCCGAGTCTCTTAAATTGCAGTGTGGTTTATCTGGAATTTCAGCCGGGGAGATATTCAGACAAGGTGTACCATGCCGTGTATGCTGTTACGCGGTGATAAGGTCCTTTTCTATGTCTGAGCGCCAACGTTCAACGTTCAACGTTCAACAATGAAGCTGAAGCTAGGTAGGTTATTCTTACCATTTGAGTGTCACCGAAGTATGTCGATTCGATGCATGTTGAAATATGACAATGATCTACAGTTACAGATCTATCGTTTACGCCTGCTGTTGGCCAGCCTCTTATACTCTTCCAGCGACGTTTCCAGGTCTTCCCTTACTATCTCGGCATCCCTTGCTGCGCTTTCGTACTCCTCGCACTTCTTCCATAAAGCCTCTTCTCTTCGTGCGCTGATGTCCACCAATATCTCCGGGGTCAGCCGCTCGCCTTCGTCTATAGATATTGGCGCACGTCTGGAGCAAAGTTGCTGGTAGACTTCGCTCGCCCATGTACTACTGGCCGGTACATGAAAGTGTCGGATAGACTTGACCTTATCAATAAGATCTATCGCGTTGCCCGTCCGACTTGTCGCGAACGCGCCAATCTTGTCCATCTGGTACTTCTCTGCGATCGCTCGAATTGCGACACACTGAGCAGGAGAGAGATCTATGCAGAGGCTTCTGAGTAGAATGTAAGAAGAGTGGTGGAATCGTGAGATTCATGGAAACCAAACAAACTCGTTATAAAAGAGGGCCAGTATCCACGAAAAGTGTATGCCGTCGACATCCAGTGAGATGCTATCTTCAACGACATCCCATTCCCCCGGGGCCGCAGGGCACAGCATTTGACGCAACAGAGGGGAATGAATCTCCAAGAAATGTCGATGGACTCGAAATTCTCTATCTCTTGTCTATCCGTGGTCAGACGACGAGGTGGAGAGGTTTCCGGATGTGACTTACATGGACCACAACATTCGACCCCTCTACAACACATTCAAAGAGTTCTGACAGGCCGAGTGTAACTGGTACTGGGGGCTCGAAATCCGGTGAAACGTCTTCGCTAATAACGCGTGCTACAATCTCATCTGGCCGCTTTCGGGATCTCCCATCCAGTGAAGCCCGAGCCATCTGCTCCCGAGCATCAGCTACTTTGACCATAGCAGGCATCCCGATGATCACGCCCTCAGCAAGTGTGAGAGGCTTCGGGCGAATACAAAGCTCAAGGTAAGCGTCTTGGGCCCATTGAGTGCGAATCGAGTAGCGCTGCTGGACGGCAATCTTTGCTAGCGGATCGGTAGCAACGGGGAGATCTTTGAGCTTACTGAGAGCAAGGAGCTGAACATGTGGCATCTGCATCTTCTCTGCGATAAGGAGGATCTCGAACCACTCTTTCCCCGACGCACGCCGCTCAAGCGAGCTATAACTCGAGTTAAATGTGTGTTAGATATTCTTGATGCGATCGCTAACTCACTCGTCGTAAAACACCCAGAGAATAATCGCAAAGTCCTCTGCAGTGACGCTCTCGCAAAGGGACAAGGGATTGCCCTTGTCCCTCCCAACTGAGAGAGCCTGTGACTGAATCCAGTTCGAATGTTTCCGAAGAAAATGTGCGTGAACACGGAAAATGATGTTGTCCTCGACGGCCTGTATTCAAACACGAATGAGTGCAATGTCTATGATGAGGCTGGAAATACTTACCACAACATAGAAATCACCGTCATCCAGATAGTAGCGTGAATGCTGCACTGGTGGGACGGGGTCCTCTGGTTGGATCTTGATATCGACCTCGAATATCTGATCTGGAGGGGGCATAATTTCCAAGTCGCGAATGTCCATGAACTATCCTAGATAGCCACCTCGATGGACGGGCAATGCACGTCGTGAGGTTTAGGTGTGAATACAACTCAATTCGGAGTCAAGTCCGAAAATCAAGCCTGCAGACAGGCTCCATAATTGGAAGTTTTGTCCCAGTAGTCTGTCTATCGGTTCGGATACAACATGGAAGAAGGGAGGCACGCTCCCTTCCCCCCGCATTTCCAAGAACTCAAGACTCTCAGTCTCAGGCCCCAGGATCGCATCGAAGTACCAGTGCCAGACTGCGGTTGGACGAGCAAACGTCGACAGATGTCGATGAGCGGCTACCGTCCAATGTCTCGCCCCAACACGCGGTCCAATGATCATCGATCCGCCTTCTCATACATCTCACGCCACACGCCTCTCTTACTTAGGACATAGCGGAAGGTGAGGATGAGGGCGAGGGGTTTACGTCGGCGTCTCACACAGCTACTACAATGTGACGTTTTAACGCACCTTGTTCGAGTCAAGAGGGGGAGACACGAGCTGAGTGCCGAGGATGGAGGTTGAACGTTGGGAGGCGAATATTTGAATAGGGAGGTTGGTGGCGAGGGACGGGGAGGATAGATGCAGAGAAGACACAGCACATACCATTCACCGCTCACTGGACTCGTTACCCGGGTACGCGCCCCATGCACACGAACCGACCATCACACACCCTTTTCCCGGTGTGCATTATGCGCGCATGCATATATACGCACAAGAGCAATGGTCATTGAGACGTCCTGAGAGAGACTACAGTCAACCTGTTTCGAGTGAGAAGGAGAGGAGTAAGAGACGGAAGGGGGGATATCTAGTGGCATAACGCAGCGCCTCACCTTTATCGTCACCGTCTCAAGCTCGGGGATGAAATACGCAAGCTGTTTTATGAGAGGGACCACTGTAACGCGCAACCTCCTAACGGTACATGCCGCGCCTAGCGAATACACTCCCGCGCGAACCCAGAACCAAGTGCATATATATGGCTTCGCCGCGGGGGATCGGGGCTGAGCGCTGAGCGCTGTTCAAGGGGAGGGGAGAAATTTGGGACGAAGTGGAGGTTGACGTTGAACGATGAGCGATGACGCAGACGTTGAATGCTGAGAATATCCCCCAAGCTGTAGCTGAACGAGACTTGCTGCCGTTTTCTGCTGGGAGAAGATGGGCGACACCCCTGATCAGAGGTACACTGCTAGCCGTTGTCGTAGTGAGGGACGGGGAGAATGGAGGCCTAGTGCTGTTCTTTAACACGACCCGCCGTGCCCTGAGCACCGGAAAATGTGGGGATACATGGTTGACTTGGCGGAAGAAGGGGGCGGGAGGGGAAGAGAAATTGACACGTGGTCAATATTTTTTCTGGGTCCGATACCAGGACGACGCTTTGACCTCCTCCGAGTTCTTACTTAGTTCTTCTGCATCATCCATACTTTTATCACATATCACAAAGGTCTTGACTTGAATCTTCCACTAGTCTCGGATGCCGCCCGTATATCCTGTAGCGCAATACCCAACATTCGGATCAAGGAAAACCAGAAGCTAGGAATGGAAACCGGGAGTACTGGAAGTCTGGAACTCGGAGCTTCGAGAGATCGGGGCCCCAAGGTTCGACAACTCCATCATCGACCACCATCAGGTGTCGACTCTCGCGATGGCCATGGGTTAATGTGTATACACAGGTGACAGTGCACAATCCAGCGAGGCCGTGGAATTCCATCTAATAGGCGCCCTTGATCGTGGTCAACACCCTGTACGGCATGTCAATTTGTCAAGGCGGCATCCTGTTTTCTGCGACCCGTTTCGGTAGCTCGTGGACCTGGTGGAGTGTGAGAGTGTGAGATTTCAACCATTTGAAGGAGGGCTCCCATATGCGGGGAAGCTATGGCGCTGGTAAGTTAGTTACCAGCGCCAGTGCAGCACACACGCACACTCAGCCTTATCTCCCGGCCCCAAGGACGCAGGGGACACTCAGACACTCAACCACCGCCCTCCTCATGACGAACCACGACTACGGTATGGTACGGAAGATTACGAGGCGCACCGCACGAGAACGACAATACAAGGTGGTGGGTGCAGGGTGCACACACGATTCGATTAGTGATCTGAAATCTTGACTACTGAAGTACTTCAGTGAAGTACACCATGGTTCAACCAGCGCTCAGACCTCGCAGCACCTTCCACATACATCCCATATGATTGTCTGATCTGGATTCGATTTGAATTAGGGTACAGGAGCACCCATTCGATTCGTACCGCAGACATCCGTGTCGGATTGGACAGCTTGAACTGGATTCCGGGCTCGGTGTTGAACGTTGACGTTCTATGTAGTATGGTCACGATATCATGATGGCCGGATTCAACGAGATCTATCCCCGACTATCCGAACTCACAGAATGGACAACACTTCCACTTCCGCTTCCATCTGCGTCTGCGTCTGCGTAAATACCAACCCACATCACATCGCTCAGATACCTCAATACCTCAAACTGATTCCATTCACCTAAAACTGATTGGCTAGAACGATATCAGAGACTGACGCTCTCCGTGCGGAATCTACTCATAAAGGATCGGCAGGCCGACTATCTTGTGGTCTTGTGGTCTTGTGACGCGGGATGATGTGTGTCGGTTGGCCAAGTACCGACGGGGGGGCTGTTATACTGTTATACTGTTACGTCGATGTCGAGGTCGCGGTCGAGCGGAAGCGCTGTTTCGGGACAAGCACCGCCTGCGTCGGGGTGCGCATGGTACGCACAAAAGCACAAAAGCACAAGTGGCTATATTTATTGTACATGATATGCTACGTGGGCAGCACATCACATATGCTGGTGCTCTGACCCAAGCCAGGATGCAAACACCGTGGACACTGCGTATGCGTGCTACCGTCGGATTCGCCAGCAGCGCGGACTGGCGGGAGACGTCGACGACTTCACGGCGCACCAAGATTCAGCACACTCAGAAGGGATCCGCAGGTGGTCCTCGTTATCACGCCGCCTTCAGACACGCATCCGCGCCCCCCGAGCACAAATGCCCAGCTCTTGCGCACAATCGCAGCGCGAGTGCACGGCGCTTCTTCCACATTTCAACTCAAGACTGTGTAGTTCACATTTAGTTCGGGCTCTGGACACTGTGAGTGTGGAAATGGGCGAGCTCGTTGCAGAGCTCTCTTCGGCCCGCGGGCTTCGTAGCCCCACAGCGGACACTATCTGGGTGCGCGAGCCGACGGGATCGAGATGGCTCACTATCCCCCGTCATTCTGCGAAACGTGGGGGGTACTACCAGGATCCCCGTTCGCATATCCACGTGTGCTTCACACCGAGTTGTTCGCAGGACTTTCCCGCCGTCATCTACGATCTACGAGTACTGCACAGAGACGGTCCAGAGATCGAATACATCCGCCGGGGGAACCGGGCGGCTGTTCGCGATGCCAACAACACTATCATCGACCAAACGCAATTCACCAGTGTCCTCAAACCAGAGATGCGCTTCGACATCGGCGTGATTGTACGCCTCGCTTCGTTTCTGGCGCGTACATGTCCACAATGTGGCTCTACCAGGGCGATGGGGGTAATTCTGTGGATGGCTGGTTCGTTAGTAGCTATCAGCGGGCTTCTCCTCCGCTTCTCTTTCTCTATATACTATGTTCCCTAGCTCCAATGTCGAATGCGCGAATTTATTTCGCATCGTCTTCCAACCCCCACCAAAATACCCAACGTGAACACACGCAAGAATATCCATACTAGGGCGTTATCCCTTCTCAAGAAACGCGCAAAAAGTCTGTTCAGGAGCCCAATTTCCTTCCGGACCCGAATTCAACATCTATCCACCAAGTTTCGTCGGGTCTTAGCGGACGTCGACGCCACTCATTCATCGCTTGGAGATGCCAAAGTCAGGAAAGGCCAGGATAAAGTTTCGGACGACACTGTCCGAACCAAACACCTACCTAGCTGGGGGAATAGAAGGGCATCATTAACTATATCGCCATTGCCGTATCCAAACATCATGAATCGCAACCATTGCGCACCCATGCGCGCAACCTGAAGCTAAGGGTTTGCATGCCCAAACGCGGCCAATGCCTAAATGCAAAGGTGTATAAAGTAGATATCCGTATTCAATGTAGTCCAGACGCTACGAAAATGTCTATGTCCATTGTGATTGTAAGATTGTAACGGCTACGCGAAACCAGCGACCGTGTTGCGAGATCAAGTAGAGTCAAGTAGAGTACGGGGTGGTAAATATGAAATGATAATAGGTATGTGGTCATCACAAGTCGTGGTCATGCAATGCAATCCTAACAGTTTACGACAAGAAAAGTGCGGAGAAGACAACACCTATCACCGAAACCAAGCCCGACATAACGACAATGCTCCCATCGTTCGTCGTCTGGTTGGCATTTTGCGCAGTACCCGTGCCCGTGCCCGAGCGTGTACCGGTGGCACTGCTCCCAGAGGCTGAGCCTGTCTGCGAGCCGGAGACGGCCGCGCTACCCGACGGCGTGACAGTAGCGAGGGCAGCGAACAACGCCGTGCTCTGGAACGGCACGCAGTTGCTCGATGCGGGGACACGGGGCTGGTACGGCATCGTGGAGATGGCTCCCAGGGACTCCGGTGGCTGCGTGTACGTGACGACGGCGCCGTTGGTAGTGTACACCCCAGGGAAGTCCTGGTTCTCGCCTTGGCACGACTCGAAGGTCCCATTCTGCGCGTTGTTAGGCGCGTTGTACGCGCACCCAATGCGGTCGTAGATGTGCTGGCAGAAGTTCGCCGCGTTAGGCCCAGCGGGGTCGCAGACTTTGAAGCAGAAGGCGTCGCCACCCATGAAGCTAAATAACGATGTGAGACGAGATTCATCGTATCAGAAATAGTGACGTACTTGTGCCATTCGATGACCTGGGTGAACGAATCGTTGTTGCCGGACCAGGCGTTGGAGTAGACGAGACCCCCAAGAGGATTGCCACGCTGTGGACCACGCATTAGCAACCAATCACCAAGTGAAATACAGCGGGAAACTCACCAAGTCAGCGCCATGGGGGTCAAGTTCTCCGCCGAAATCGCCCGTTTGGATATTGATGAGACTTTGGTCTATGAAGCCGACGACTTGGACGTAGTCGGGCGTGCGCATGAATTGGACGCCTTTGAGGGCACCCGCGGGGATGAGACGAGTACCACGACCGGGCTTCGTGCACCACGCGACTTCCTCGCCTTCAGTGTCGGCAATCAACGAGTTGGGTTTTATCGGGGCCCATAAGCAAAAATCTACACAAGGCGGTGTCAGGGGGCCGAGCCGAGTCCGCAGTCGCGCAGAACACTCACCATCAAGGGCATTGAGAAACGACGTCTGGCAGAGCGAGTCCTGGTTCTCCGTTGTCGAGTTGCAGATGTTGTACCCCGTCTGGGTGCCTCGTATGAGGTGTTCCGAGTCGGCTTGGTAGGGCTGAGAGTTTCCTCTTACGTTGAATACGCTTTTCTTGGCATTACAGGGACGGATTTACTTACCAGGCCCGTGGGGTAGGCGAAGTGCTTTGAAGCGAGCGGGGTGGCGGGGAAAGTAGCTTGCGGGTTGTCCTGGGCGTTGACGAGTGCGTTCGGGAGAACGGCCGCGACGGCCAAAAGAGCTGAAAGAGCGACGCGAGACATGGTCTCAAGTGAGATATACCGGGAGATGGAATAAAAGAATTAAGTGCTCGAAGAAGATTTGGAGGAGGGCGCTGTGGAGACTGCCCACGTCGACGATGAGAATGGAGGTGAAAACAAACGAAGCAACGGACGACGTGCCCGCACTAAGTATCCGTTTTGAATCGCCGCTTCAAGTCTATACTTAGCTGGCCTATATTTAGTGCTGCGCACGGGCCTGCCTCGCCCTTCAACTGAAAAGCAGAAGATCGTCGACATGTTTACGAATACCTCCTTCTTCTTTCCCTCCATCTCGTCCATAACTGCAACCGTACGCGTCGAACGTCGAGATGCCGAAAATCCAAGTAGGAGGTAAGTTCCCTGCAGTCGATCAATATCTCATGATCTCATGTCTTGGCGCGCCTACCAGCTTCCAAGGCCAAGTCCGCCACGAAGGCGACGACGACCAAGCCTGCCAAGCAAGGTTCGTCATCATCCAACGTCCTTTCAACGCGATCTCACTTTCTAACCCCGTCGTAGCGAAAGAAGTGAAGGAGAAACGCGAACCAAGCGCATACAACATCTTCATCAAGACTGAGATGGCGACATGGCGCCAGGCTAATCCTGGGAAGAAGGTCACCGAAGCCATGAAGGAGGTAAGCGTCCTTCCGACTTCGAACCCGCAATACGAAGTCCCATATTTGGACATTCTATACTACGCGATATCCTCCTAGCTGTACGCGCCGTCGCCATCGCCGTCTATGTCCATTCTTCACATTGTCAACGTTCACATATGCGTGCTAGTACCATTAGCTAACGATTAACTGCTAGCTCGGCGCGATGTGGCGCGATCACCCCAGCAATCCCAACCGCGGCAAGGCACCTAGGTCGAAGTCGAAAGCCGTCTCCGCGAAGGAAAAAGAGAATGCTCTCCCTGGCGTTCTTCCAGACAGCGATGATACCGTACCATCCAGTGACGACTGACATCGTTGGTGAATTGCTCCATTCTGTTCACCGCTGTGACTGATGTCGCCGCTCCTAGCATGTTTCGTTGTTGGACTAATTACTCACTCCGAGTCTCCAAACTCGTCCGTATGGCCGACTATCCTTATTCTCACTTACCTTCGTCTTATTCTTTCGGTTTTCGGGACTGTGCTGGGACTTCACTACGACTTCTGCTTCTGCCTATTGTGTGCTGCTCATTGGACTTTGACCGGGCGCGCCTGCTACTCAATATTGTACGGTTTAACGAGCTCGTATTTACCTTACACCTTAATGAATTACACCTACCTCCTCAAGGGGGGGCGACTTGAGGCTGCACTACAAAATGTTGGGCGCTTTGGTACTAGAGAGCGTTTCAAATAACGAGATCCTCTTATTGGAGAAAATATGGTTACACGAAACTTGGTTTTAGGACGGATGAGGATTATATCAGGAGACATAATCTACGAGGCGTTGACCAAGAACTGCCAATGAGTCTGCGAGACAGCGGGGTCGACGGTGAAGGTCAAGATGCTAAACGCCGGCGGAACGAGACGTGTTTCGGCAATGACCGGCGACCAAAGGAGGTGTGATACGGTGCCGAGACGCGAGTTCGTAGTCATCTTGGTCGATGTCGTCATTTTCCTCTCAAAGCGTCTTCTTATATGCCCTGCGCGCCGAAGAGTCAGAGTCAAAATTTAGCGGCAGCCTGGTAGCCCGTAACCAGGTATCGAACCGAGAAATCTAGCATAATGTGTCACTATCGACGCTGATATATCAGCTCATGACGGTGCGCAGGATTCCCACTGGTACGCCAGACTCCAGCGCGTAAGGGTTATGTATATCTATCGACCCTGGCGCCAACGTCCGGGATAAAACTCCAGATACCGGACTCGGGGGCAATGACGCATAGACGAATCGATGGTGGTTCGGAGTGACGGGAATGTTAAGTAGGCGATGTCGATGGACAGTGGCGGTGTCTGTCCATGTCAATATGTGAAGCACTGCAAGCATTTAGACGCATCAATCGTCAATTGTCCTCTCAGTGACGCCTTCGCATCCCAGTTCAACCGGCCCCAAAGGAAGGCACACAGACGGGGCTTCTTCTGTCGCTCATTTCGTTTGTCTTCCTCTCCATCCATCCATCCATTCTAGCGCGGACTCTTCAAATCCCTCTCCGATCGTTCGTTCCGCTCCAAGTATATCATCCGTGCATTCACCGCACCTTCCTCTTGCGCGCCTCACTCCCGATAATGATGGTACCAAGCTCCATCCCATCCACTTTCACTGCCGTCTCAGTTCCTGAGGGCATAAACATCAGAATATTGTCGAATGTCGGAAGACAGAGAGAGAGGGAATTACCATTGTATCGTGTTTACTTGGCAACGTGGGAGTTCTCGGGCTCAAGGGTGGGGAAAGTAGAGCGGTGGTCTGTCGGCGTGATGAGATATCGGAAAGGCGAGAAGATGGCAGTAGTCCAAGGACAGGCATACATTTCAAACCCAGCACACGGTCTCGGTCCGGGCTCGCTGCTCTATTGATTTCTGACAATTGATGATGTATGGAAGGAGGAAAGGCGTCGTTGGGGGATGTCGATGGACACACATAAAAGGACGAGGTGGATCCCGGGTTCCAACCACCGTCGATCAACATGGATGGCTGCAGTACATAGATACATAGCAGGTCAATCCGCCGTCATGAACAATGAGCAAACAGATCCAGCCACTGCCTTCGACCAGAATGATGAATCTCGCACATCCCGCTTAGACGATTCTGAGGTTCAACGTTCAACGTTCAGTACTGAGTGATGGCGCGGATGTTGGAGCTTGAAGCCCAGTCAAAAATCCCTAGGCTGGGATTGGTTGGGATTGGTTGGGATCAGTGTAGTGTCAAGCGCTGACCGAAACCGATGGTGGCTCCTCTAATGGGCTCTCAGCCGATGACGTTGGATGTTGCGGCCGGTTTGTATCAGTTTCTATTAGCATACCTTTGTACCGCTAGCTACAGCCAATAGAAACCTTTTACTCGCTCATATCAAGCTGAAGAATAATGAGACGATGATTTATTGGGTACGGTAGGTTTGTACCAGTTACTGTAGGGCATTACCGGTAATTATTGTAGTACGTGAAAGCCAGGCATCCAGCTTGTTCCCCGCCACACTTCCCTTCCGTTTCACTGCCTACAATCACTCAATTGTCTATTCACTGGTCGTTGACGCCATGACGACGGAGTCGTTGGCATCAGGTGCGGCTGTGGAACCTTTCATAGCCGTGACATTGATTTTTGCTGCGCTGTTCATGTTCTCTTTATTGGATTTCTTCTGGTAGAATAGATAGGTCAGGGCATAGCAGGAAGGTAAGAGTAGCTGCATCACATACCAGTTCTTTCTCTTGAAGCCGATATCGCTGAGGTGGTCGTGGTTACTACAGGGCAACTTGATGGATTGAATAAACCTACCTGCCGCTCTACCTCTGTTAGCGCCTTATAATAGCCCTCGAATTCGCCTTTCGTTCCATTGGGATGCGACGCATTCCATTCCCTTCCACATATAGACCTAGTACAGAAGGTATGAAATGAGTCAACTGGTAGTGTGATTGAGACGAACGTACTTCGCTGTATTGCTAGTCTTGTTTGGCACGAAGAGCTGCGCACTCGCTGGCTGGCGCTTCGGAGCAGATCGTGTCGCCATGCTTGCCTGATCCGCCGCTCGGGAGGTGGAGGCGACAACTGGTGCCAAAGGTTCTGTTCCGGGGGGAGCAACTGGAGCAAGGTCTGCAAGGTCTGCGATGGCAATGGAATCGGTTGCAATTGGGGCATGCACACGCTCGGGAGAGGGTTGGGAGATGCTGGAGGGAGTTTTCGTTGTCGAGCTGGTAGGTGGTATGATGCTGGGCTCGTCTGTCGTCTTGGTAGCCGTAGACATGCGAAGGCGGGCCCTAGAAGATGTTAGTTCAGGAGAAATGCAGGCAATGTCACGTACAATGGATTGATGAGCTAAGGAAACAAGAACCTCAGTGAGAGTACAAGCGGCGATTGAGATTAATTAACTTACCTTTAGTGGGGCCCTTTCCTTGCCCTTGCTAGTGCTACTAGTATCATCCATTCGTCCTGCGCTGGGGGTGGGGGCAGACGGGGTCTCGGCAGAGAGACGCGGCCGCTTTGGAGAAGGTCCCTTGGGCCCCGTGTTCGGACTTGCGCGTTTCGCAGGAGGCTCGAGTTCGTTATCGGAGATTTCGATCGGTTCGTCCATGTACTCGAGTGTGAGCTCGGGGGAGTCCTCCTTGACTGCTGCTGTAGCCACGACCTCAGTTAGTAAGCGTTCCGTTTTGATGTCCATCTTTGAGTCACGGCTGGCTGGCTTCTTGAGATATGTTGAGCACGTCTGCTTCCAGAGTTCGTCAGCCTTCCAGTGATGCTCGCATAGCCGAAGGAACCAGAAGTCGGCCTCAACAGAGGTGCGAAACCGTTTGATGATGTCCAAGTTTGTGTCTCGAAAGTTCGTCACCTTGATGCCAGAATCTTCTAGAGCTTTCCAGAATGCGAATGCATGGTTATAGAGGCGTGAGCGTAAGGACTTGCTTATTTGAGTACCAGTGTCGTCCTCCAGATACATCGTAGTTTTCTTGCTGTCTTCTTTTTGCCGCAGTGTAGTGTCTTCCTTGTCACGCTTCTGGTATTCAGTTTGCCGCCAGTATCTTACATTCGGGTAATCCTTTTGAAGAAGCTGTGGAAGCGCGAGAGTCGGAGAGACACCAGAGACTGGTGCGGCAAAGCCTGTTGTTGGTATGGGTAATCCTGGGGGGGGCGTTACGAATTGGAGGAGTTGCGGAACAGCTTGAATGAGTGCAATATATGCGTCACTACAGGGCAAATTTGTCACTGGTATAGTAAGCTTAATGTCTTTACACACCGTAGGACCATATATTGCGCATTACAAACCCTTGCTTCTTGCTCCAGCTCCATGCAGCGGCGCATATAGTCCACCTGTCCTCCCATTAGGCCTGAGTTCGATGCCAGAGGTTGATAGGCAGTTTCAGCCACCCCAAGAGACGGATCTAATGGGAACGTCACTTCGAGATCTTGAGTTGAAGCCATAGATGGGCCGTTAGGTGAATATGGCAATGTTCCAGCCAGTTGCAATCCAGTCGGGCGCAGAGAACCAGATCCGAGTGTCCGTTGACCATGCTGATATGGAGAATGAGAGAAGCTGTGGCCAAAGCCCGACATACTAAGATATTATTGGAAGACAGTGTGAAGTGTGGTGATGGTGAGAGTGAAGATACTCAGGAAACGCGAGGCCAAACTCAACCATGGCCGTGTGAACTTCTATATATGGCATGTTGTATTCACTACTACTCTTCGTTGTCATCGTCTTCACTGGTATCTACGATGGCGACATTGTGACTGAGCTGCTCTACCATAAAATATTTCCCTGGTTTCATCAAATGTCCCTCCGCAAGGTCGATAACCGGCTTCCATTTATATGGCACCATTCCGATGACTGACTCCACTGATTTTGCATCAACGACGCAAATAGCTGTTCCCGCGGCGGGGAAATCACACACCCACAATAAATTGGATGAGTCTTCGAGTATGGTGGGATCTGGAGTTCCATATAGAGTCACCATTGCGAGGGAAAGGGTGAGGCCGTTCACATGAAACTTGAAGTAGTACATCACCTCCGCAATTTGAACAATGCTGTTGGTGATCAGCTTGACATTGCGAGAACGACGTGGGATTTTGGAGGTAAACTGCTCTACCCAGAGCGAGCGTGCTGTGTGCCCATTCGGTAGTCGTAATCGAGCCCATCGGATGACTCGGAGTTCCTGGATATTGTCGTGATCAGGTTGTATATGATCTAAGTAAGTGCGAAGGGCCGAGGCTTCGTGTGAATCCGGATGCAAGAGATGAGATGTGTCTTCAGTTTTGTGAAGCAGTGTATAGCCGTCACCAATATCTTGACCTAGATGTGATGGACCAGTTTCACTTTCGACGAATCCAGGGACCAGCGCACGAAACGCATTGAGTTGGCACCGTAGAAGACTGCGTTGAGCCAAATTTGCGTAAGGATTTTGATGCTGTCGGATTTCGGCACCTAGATTACCAATTGTCCTTTCTAGAACCCACTGCGCTAGTAGGGCATTCGGTCCCAGGCGATGGGTTTCAGGTCCTCGGTGGAGAAGAAAATGGATAGACGGCCGAATAAAGTGTAATCGGTCCATGCGGCGTTGATAGTAAAGCAACTCGAAGTCCTGGCAGTAGTCGATAAGCAGCTTGTCCGCCGTTGATACAGCTTCTGAAGAGATAGAGCGCTGCGAGAGAAGGTGAAGTGCACGGACAAGTTTGCAGAAGTGTTTCCAGAAAGCATGTGGTAGAACACCGTGAAGGAGGGCTGGACAAAGTGCGTAGACGTAAACAAGGTACTCCGAAGCCTTGAAACCACTTGATATCTTCTTTTCGGGATTCCGTGGTGGTCGCTCGATGCAATTAGGAAGATAGGGCCTTGCATCAGCAACAAGCTCGCCATGTTGTACCCAGGTATCTTTATCATGAAGGACAGCCCACTCCCAGTTCATGACACTGTCCGATGTGCTAACAAGGTCACTTTCACCGCGAAAAAGTCCGATGAGAAGGTCAGGTAGATTGAGCCCGTCGAGATGCATCATATCACCAGTGAAGCAAAAGGGTGGAGGGAACACAAGCTCGATGCCGAAAAAGATGGAGACACCAGATAATCCAGAATCACGACGGCGACGCTCAAATTGAGTCGGATTGGGCGAGGTGATAACAGAGCGGAGATTGTCAAGGAATCGTGCTGCTGAACCGTTGGGAAGTGCTGCTATGCTTACATCGCCATGAGAATTTGCAGGAAGACGACCATTGGGGCGAAGGAGAGCAATAAAGTAGTGGGGTGCACCTGGTTTGTGCCGTCCAGGAAGACCACAGAAGATTCGGCATGGGAATCTACCAAGATGGCCAACCCAGCGGGCGAGTTTAGCCAGTGCCACCGAATCGGCAGTGACAAAGACAAGGCGTAGTCGAGAGGAGCTTAACCGGCGCTGGCCACCATCCCAAATGCGAAGCCCACCTTCGTTTTGAATCGCGGCAAGGTGATAAAGTGATGGGAAGACGAAGGAATCTATGTTCTTCGGGGAGTCGGGCCCAGGAATCGATCCAGCAGGAAGAACGTAGCGAACCTTGTACCGCTTGTTTGGATCAAGGTTGAGGATAACCCAAATGTACAGCCAGCAGTCTGACTGCTTCATGCGGTAGAGCTGGGCGCTGTCCATGGAGAAAATCAGCAGAGTATCGTCGTTGGTAATGTCGCCGTTGATGACAGCCTCGAGATAATCGCTGCCGCACAGGAAATCATCATATACATCCAGTTTTCCACCGTTCTGACGAAGCCTTTCAAGCAGCTCGTCGGTACGCCGTTGCCGGTATCGCATATCATTTGCGCCTTCTTCCGAAGCCCATTGCGCTTGAATTTGTGGACCAATGGGATATGTGGTGAATGTCTTGAATGGATCGTGATAATGGTTTCGACGAGGATGTAGGCACTGGGGGCATTCTTCAAGCAACTTGTATAGACCTGTATAGGCGATGCAGCCGTTCGTGCACATGTCGTGCTTTATGGCATAGACGCCGCTGATGCGTTCCAGCTGGCGCTTGAGCTGATCCGCTGAAAGCATCTTGGTATCATCTGTATTGCGTTCGATAGCGGCGCAATTCCTTGTATAAACAGCCTGCGCTGCTGTGATGTTTGCCAATAAGACATCCAAAGAGAACCGTAGGTTTTTGTCGAAATCTTCTTGGTTAACTGGCTGGGGATTTCGAAGGGCATCCAGTTGAGATGCTGTGAGACCAGAGTTATCCAGGGTGGCTTCACGAAGGAGTTTCAGCCATTCCAGCGACTGCTGAATATCAGGAATTTGAGATGTGGCAGGAAGTCCAGATCCTCGGTCCAAAGTATCAGCAGGTGGAGGAGAACGAGGCGGCGAACGAGGCGGCGAACGAGGTGGCGAACGAGGCGGCGAACGAGGCGGCGAACGAGGCGGCGAACGAGGCGGCGAACGAGGCGGCGAACGAGGCGGTGAACGAGGCGGCGAACGAGGCGGCGAACGAGGCGGCGGTCCAGGAGATCGTGAATTAGGCAGCAATCCAGGCGGTGGTGAACGAGGTGGAAATTCAGGGGGCGGTCCAGGTGGTGCCGGTGAACGAGGTGGCGAACGGGGCGAAGAGGGACGAGGCAATCCAGGCGGCAATCCAGGGGGAGTACGAGGAGGAGGAGACCCTGGATTTCGAGAGCCAGATGGACCTGCTGTTGCTTCGTTCACTTCAAATCGACGTCGCTTTGCTGCGGGCTGTTCTGAACCATCCTGATCTAGCAATAATCCCAATCAGTATTGTCCAAACGAAACCGTGCGCATACACGTACCTCGAGACTGGGGAGCAACCCGTGCTATTGTTTCAGCTTCACGAAACTCACGATGTCGGGTGTAAGTTGAGGATGAAACTTCTTTACCTCCCTTACATCGGTGCTCACATGTACACACAATCATTTGTGTAGCTGAATGAGGTTGATTTGACACATTGCCAATCGACACGGCAGTATGTACTTGCTAACCTGCTACAACCGATGACGCCTGGTACCAACCGTGTGAACTTTTCACAACCGACGGCAGCTTCCCGACTTTTGACTGGGCTTGAAGCTTGAAGCTTTGAAGCATGTGCATGGATCCCGTACGTACTCAAGTTCTTGACCATCCAAGTCTTCGTACATCTCGTCTTGGTGCATCATTCATCATTGGGAATATGTCGATCTTGCCGGATCGTCTGGTGAGTGCTTGAGTCGCCACCGAGCGAAGCACCTAGACACAATCAATGTGTTCTCTTGGTTCACGTTCAGTCTGAATCCCAGGGCATCGCATCGAGTGTACCCAAGTCCGACCTCGACTTCGTATATTAGGCTCGGGTGTCCACATCAGTACTCAGCGCCAGTATTGGGACGCAGCACCCTCCTTCGCGTGGATTCTGGTTCTGGAACAGCGTACAGGTAAAATATGTAAGATAAGTAAGTAAATCTCAGTCTAGGCGCGGGAGGACGTCATCGAGCTAAGCTCGTCGACTGGTCGTTCGAAGGGATGATCGATGGCCTGTGAACGGTGTCTTGTACGACAGTTGTTGCCTGTTGCCTGTGGCTGGTGCATGTTGCTAGTGCGGTGCAGTGCAGACCAGTCGTCCACGGCCAACTGGTGGTATCCCCGTGCGCCGTGTGCATCTCATCACAACATACAAAATACAACGTACGGAATACCCAGCACAACGAAGAGCACGCCTGCTGGACGACTGCTAAAGCGCTAAATATTAATCGTCGAGGAGATACACCATCCATTATGGATCCTAGATCGTGTAGATGGGCATACGCGTCTCTCGTCGTCTGACCCGTCCGCGTCACGCCTACGACGCCTAGATAGCGCCAGGCTCTAACGTTTAATATTTAACAGTCAGGACAACCTGTCGGTGATAGTACGAAGGAATTCCGAGGGCGGTATATACACCGAGGTGCCTAGGCCCACCCGTCGAATCTGTGGATATCTTGCTCCCCGAGTTCCTTCGCGCACGGTTGGTACTCATTGTACAGCGTGTCCGACTCGTCGTCTCCCTTCTGAGAGGTACTCCCTAGCCCCGCCAGCCCCGCCTCCGTCATCTCCCTCTGACCCGCGCCCCCATCCCCGTCCCCATCCCCGAGACCCCCGCCCCTCCCAGAGCCGACGCCGACGCCGACCCCCTCTCCCCCGTACTCAATCTCCACATCCCCGACGCCCTCAATCGTAACATACACAGTGACATCTGTGACACGGACGTACACGCCCCGGCGCCACGTATCCGCCGCGTCGCGGCACACAACGACCTCCCACCCCGCGCGGTCCCACCGCCCGTCCCCGAACGACGTGGTCACCGCGTACCAGCCGTTGCCGCCCCCCTGATAGCTCGACACGAACGCCTGGAACCGCCTCCCGGATACGTTCCTGATGAGCACGCAGTCGCCAATGTACGGCTGGGAGTGCGTGCGGCCGCGATTCCCAGTGTGGTCGAGTAAACTGGATTCAGGAAACGTAAATGGAGGCATATACGTGCTTATGGCGCCGAGCGCGGCGCAGCCGTCCCGTCCGTACTCGACGCGGATGTCGTGGAGCGCGTGGACGGTGATGTAGACAGTGACGTCCTTGATATGCATGTACACGCCCGTGCGCCGACTATCCCTCTCGTCGCGCAACACGACGACCTCCCACCCCGAGCGGCCCCACCTGCCGGCCTTGAAGGAGTTCGTCAAGGTGTGCCAGTGGTCGCTGCCCCCGTTGTCGCGCGAGACGAAGGCTTGGAGCTTGTGGTGCGAGAGGTTCTTGATGAAGATGCAGTCGCCGACGTACTGTGGTACAAGATGAACGGGGGTGAGGGCAGTGGTCACTAATTATTCTGCGAGGTGCGTACCGTCATGGGGTATCGAGGGGTGAGGGGACGGTCGCGAGCGCGAGCGAAGGCTTTGAGTGATGGCTGCAGGAACTCTGATATCGCCCACGTTTTTGTGTATGCATTCCCACCGCGGCTTCGCAGCTTCTCCGAATTCGTTAGAGAAGGTTCTTGTCTAGCTGCTTCCTTCGTCGTCGCCTGAACTCTGGACGGGAGATGGAGAGTCGAGAGTCGAGAGGAAAGGGAGCTTAGAGGTGGAAAAGGGTTATGATATATGAGGCCTGACGCGGACGGCCAGTGGGAGACGCGATCCATCACGCACCCTGGGCGAACATATGCATGTGAGCTTCAATCACAAGATCCATATCTCAAGCTCGCGGGGTCCTTGACATTAGAGGTGGAGGACGACGACGAGAACGAATCGAAAGAAGGGCAGAAGAAAACGGGAAGGGGTATATGTTTTGTTCTATCGTCATTCACCTTAGACTATGTCACAGCGACGTCCTATCTAACGCATGCAGGCATTCGCCATTCACGCAGCCAGTTTCAGAGACCTCTTCATGGTTCGTGCGGCCTCTGGTGGGGATTGGAGATTTCAAACTCCGCGCCGAGCGTGTTGACACCGACAGTTAACTTGCTTCGGTTGTTGCTCGACCATGCCATGACGCACGTATCGACACCATGTGTCCGGCGACGTCATCAAGCTATCAATATCTCAATGTTTGACTTCAAGCTGCAAGCAGAGGCCTCGTCGACTGGTCATTCGAACGCGTCATCGATCATTACAGCGTACGGAGGTCTTGCGTGAGCACGGTGCTCGGTGTTTGGTATTTGGTACGTCTTGATTAGTGGTACGTCTGGACTCGTGTTTCTGTTGCTGGTGCTGGTGCTGGTGCTGCGGCGGTACCGAGGAGTTCGACGCGGATGCTTATACTGCTTATACGCATGTGCGTGTGTGCGTTCGTACTTGCCAGCACAGACGTTCTGGTGCTCATCCCACGGCAACAACCCCTGCCCCTCGGCGAGGACCTGGGGAAGGAGCAAGGACGGAAGATGGCGATGACGACGAAGATGAGAGGGTAGAGATCTAGGGGGGGCGCAGAGCAGGGTTAGAGGGGCCGTCAGATTCACGATCCATATCCATATCGATATCCAGATATCCATGACGCATGCTCAAGCGCTCAAGCCTCGATGGACATACGTATCTCTCGTCGTCAGACCCGTCATTCAATAATCGCGCCTACACGTCGCCTATATGCGCAGGCTCTCCCGTTCTCGAGACTTGCATTGCATACCAGATACACCACATACACGGATCAGGGATTTATTTCCTCCTCTCGAGAACCCACGCTCAAGCTCTCAGCGTAACATCGTCGACCGCAGCCTTGTCAAGGAACGCGGACTTCGGAGCGGCAGCGACTTAGCGCTTAACGCGAATCGCGGATGAGAGATGAGAGATGGAGAAGGGGGGAGAAGGGGAGAAGGGGAGAAGGGGTGCGGGAGAAAGTGGATATTGGATATTGGATAGGTGGAAGCGTACCGGCATCCTTACGAACCTTGATGCTCGACGAGTTCTCGTGGCTCCAGTGGTCGACGTCGGCGCTCCGCCTCGCAGACAGGCATATCTATATCCGCGTCGGTCATCCTCAGCCAATAACCAACAACCATCTGTATCAAGTCCCTCCACCCTCGCCGACTCGACGTAGCCACGACAGCATCCCCCACCCTACTTCCCTACTTCCCTACTGCCCCGTCTCCTCCCCCTCCCCTCCCCCCTTCCACCCCACACGGACCAACAACGGACAACCAGCAACCCCGCGACAACCCCGGGCCAACCCAGCACGGACGCGCATATCATATCATATCATATCATATCAACCCAACACACGAGAGCTAGAGCCAGAGTCGCGTAGACCATGCTTCCTTCGCTCCCGCCCCCCGCTCGCCCGGTCATCGGGCTGGACGAGAGAGAGAATGTATGTGGGGGCGGGGGAAGAGCGACGCGCGGGATGCGCTGGGATTGCAGCGCGGAGGCTGGGATGCGTTGATGTCGAGCCGCCTGGGTCTGCGCGTCTAGGTGTCTGCGCGTCTGGAGGTCTGGAGTCTTGAGGTCCGGAGATGGAGATCTGGGCTGGAGAGCTCCTCGGGACAACGACACAACGAGCAATGGCCAACGACCAACGAGTAGCTTGTCGGGGACTTGAGCAGAACTTGCGACGACCAACGAGCAACTTGCGAGCAGCTTATTAGAAGACCTTACGACGAGCGCCGAGCGAGATGAGATCCGACCGCGGGCGGACACCCGCATCGTATATCGTATCTCGTCCCGAGAACCAATCCCTGATACGCTGATATCCTGATACCCTCGAACGCTGGAACCCTACAGGCTAGAGAAGGGAGAATCAGGAAGTATGGCACGGCGTACGGAGAAGCAGGAAGTGTGGCATGGAGGAGGAGGGGAGGAGGGGGTGGAAACGTACCTACAACCTACGACCGCGTCTCAGCGTCTCCGTGTCTCGGCGAGTGGGCGTCTCGGCTCTGCATAACGATACTCCATACTCTATCCTCCATACCCTATCCTCTATACTCCATACCCGCAAACCCGCAACCCCGCAACCTCCCAAACTCGCAAACGTGCGAATCCGCAACACCGCAACCTTCCAAACCCGCAACCCCGCGAATCCCCAGACGCGGTGCGTGCATACGCAGGTGACGCGCTACGCCCCCCCCCCCCCCCACCCTCGCCTCCATCTGGTGCTGATACTGGTGCTGATACTTGCCTTGGAGCCGCAGAACCGCAGAACCGCAGCTCACCCGATAACCGCACCACCACGCACCGCGCAGCTGTGTATTCGCGGGAGGGGGGAGTGAGGGGAGGGGGAGAAGGGGGGAACGAGGGGAGGGGAGATGGGAGTAGGAAGCAGGCGAAGTAGGGGCGCAGGCGCAGGCGCAGGCGTAGGCGGGAGAACCAGGGGCGCAGCTTAGGTAGGACCGGAATGAAATGGGTTACAAGGAAACGGAAGAAAACGAAGGGAAGAAAACAGGGAAAAGAGAGCCGTGTCACACGCAATGCGCATGCACCCTCTTGCGTGCACGGTGCAGGGACAGCTGACGCTTGCACCGGGATCTTGTCCCATCCCTTACGATTTAATCCCTTACAAATAAATCCCTAGGTTGGCGGAGATTGAACTTGACAAAACCTAGCGCTGGAGTCTGCTCAGGGCGCTTGGGAATCGTCACAAATAAGTCACAGACATCATGGTGGGAAAGCGGCAATAGATACAAAGTAAATACATGCAAACTTCTGCTTTCGGTATTTCTTGTATTTCTTGTCGGCGACCTGAAGTATCCCGGCTCAGTAGGTGATATACTAGTCCAAAAGAGTTTAACATGTGGTACGTTGGTTTAGCGGTTTGCGCGCTTGAGTACTACTTTTTAGCACGGAAAGGTTGCGGGTTCGAGCCACGGATTGTCCTTTTTTCACTTCTTCGTCCTGCTATCTCACCACTAACATTCATTAATAAATAAACACCACAAGCTGTAGTACTGTTTATTGGAGGGAATAGATAATGCAGTTGATACAAGGTGCCACCAGGTATATTAACGCTGACATAATAATGTGACAGGAAGGTCCTAACCCACCCGCAAACCCCCTGGTACAGCAGACCAAACCCTTACAAACTACTAAATTACGATATAACATACAACATATTTACATATTTACACCGCGCCCATCCGTTATAATAATCGCGCCCATCTCGGTCCTGCGCGCATACTCGCGATGGTGTTCCAATCCCATCCGGCGATCACTCTCCCTTCTTCCCTACAACGCTTCTCCCCAACGCTTAGCTTCAACGCCCTGCAGATTCAACGACCTTCCACGCACTGGAGCGTGAACGTCCGAGCCCCCTTTAATGCCGGACCTGCGTCTGCCAATGCCAGTGCTGGGGACACGAAGCACTCCCATGCGCGCATGCGGGGCGTCACGCCTCTCAGATCTCAGGCCTCAGGTGGTGGCGGTCGTGCGCCCTTCCACCGGTCTGCGCGTTCTGGCCTTCTGGTGTGCTGTTCTGGCGTGTATCTGTGTTGGGGTACTGGGGTATTGGGGTATTGGGGGACACCCCGCGCCCCTCGTTGTGCTGTGTTGTACGTTGCCGCGGTCATGTGAGATCGGAAGCACAGAGCTAGAGCCGGGTAGAGCGCGTGGACTGTGGGCCGTCTGACGTCGCGCTGGTGCGGCTCTGGGGAAAGTGATGGACGAGGATGGGAGTGGGAGGTGCGAGGCAGAGCTTAATGATATAGGCATAGGTGTTGGATGTTGGATGGTGATTGTTGGATGTTGGATGTTGGATGTTGGATGTTGAATGTTGAATGTTGAAGGATGGACCACAGAGCGTCCGTGCCTTGGGGTCTTGAGTCGAGAGAGGCGGAGAGCGGGTGTAGTAAGATGTTGGGGGGTGCCAGGACTGACAGACTTCTCCTCGTAGACACCTCGCGGACATCACCAGTAAACGGAAGCGTACTCGTACCCTCATACCCCAGTGCCCACCTTCGCCTTCCTTCGAGTCACCGATTCATGGCGCCGCCCTGGTGTGATGCAGGCATGCAGCATGATATACGTCGATACTAACCCTAAGCTGCGTCAAGCCATGATGCATGATGCGTGATGTATAACCTTGCGTTGCATCCCAACTCCAGTCAAAGCCGTCACAGGTACGCCGTCGATGTTCGCGCAACGTCCGCGTTCGTGCCACCCAACGAACCACCAACAACGACGAAGAAACGAACTGGAACGAGGGGAGGGAGCACTGCGAGCTGAGAGCTGGGCGCTGGGCGCTGGGTGCTGATATATGGTATATGATACCCCAAAAGGCCAGGCGAAATGCACATCCTCTGCTATGATCCATGCCATAGGGCCAAAACACCGCGCCCCGCTCCCCGTGTGAGGCGTTATCCCAGGATGCGTTGGTACTGTCGTGGTTGTGGTAGTCGACTCCGACACCGACCTGGACCTCGGGGCCCAGGGTCGAACTAGTTATTCGTATTCGTATTCGGCTATTTAGCGATTGGTGAGTTGGCATCGGCAAGGGGAGGGTGCAGGGGAGGGTGAAGGTGAAGGTAACGCAGTGCAGCGTTGGACCTTGGTTGATGCTGGTCGCCTGGTCGACTGGCTGACTGGTAGATCCTCTTCGGCTCGCGACCTCTCCTGCGATCATGTGATGAAAGTGTCCGCTGATCCTCGTGTCCGTGTCCGTGTTCGCGCTCGTCATCGTGGTAGGTCGGTATTGATAGCGCAGGGTGGCTGGACCTTTGTTCTCTGTGATCGTCGTCAACTCAGAGAGCGTTGCTGTCGTCATCTCAGAGACCAGCAGGCGATGAGGGCTAGTGGGCGATGAGTACTAGTAGGAGATGAGGCCACAAGTTTGGCAATCACTTCGAACACCTCGTAGCATCGTAGAATCAGTCAGATCGGGCCTGCACATCTTACTTTCCCGGCCTCATAGGCTCCTGCACCCGGTCCTCAGATACCTTCGTTTCCGCCGTTCGACGTCGAGGATTCCTGGAGTTCTGGAGTTCTGGTATACGGTAGGCTATGAGGTCAGTGTTGACTTTGGAAGAATGGGAGATCGGCTCACCGAGCACGGATGCGTAGCAGCGTACCACTCTATCTATACCCCCGTTCCACGCGTAGATGCCTAACCAATTCAGATGATGATGGAGGAAGTTATGCAGTAACCTATGCGCACCGAGCGTTGAACGTTAATGAGCCGCTAGTTCATACTTGTAAGCTCCGAGCGGCAGGGGAGGGGTAATGGCAGCACGGACCGACCTCGCACACCGCGACCCACGCCCCGCACAATGCGTGTACCAAAGCTGAGCGTCTGCTCCGTCTTGACGGGATCCTGGCTTTGGCGATGCTGCTTTCTTTTCCAGCTGCCAGATTCCAACTCACGTACACATCACGGAGTCAGCGCGTGGCATCCACCGGTATACTCGACGTGGATGGCATCTTGCACCCCCTGCGTGGCGATCTGGTGAACTATGTATGTAATACATAGATAAAAGCGTCGGTGCTTACACGGCGGGATATTTCGAGCAGTCGACAATCGTATAGAATACGATTTTCGGTATGGGTATGGGTAGGTATAAGAAGACGAGACGTGGTGCATCCCGGGCTCAAGCTGCGATTGTAGTCAACAGGAATGGCTGCAGCACGCTAAAGGTCAATCAATTCAACGCCCTGAGCAGCACAGATATAACCGCTGCCTTCGATCGTGAGCTCGCAATTATCGCTGAAACGATCTAGAGGCTCGGTGGTTAGGTATCAGACGTCAAGCATTGATCCCGTACGTACTGCAGTTCTTGGCTAGACGAGTCTTCACATATCTCGTCGTCTTTGCACATCACCGGGAATGATATCGATATTATTAGATTGCCCGGTGGCAGCGATTACTTGAGGATGCTGGAAGATAGAAGATGGAGGCAGTGAGGAGACAGTATTCCGTTGCGCTGTGTAAGTTGTCAATATATGGAAGCCGTTGAACAAGAGGCATCCTCACACTACTAGGCATCTACGATGAACCTCAGCCAACGACAGAGCTGTATTAAGTCGGTGCATATGAAAGCCTAGCAAAGATGGCTACCAGGCGGACGCTGATTTGGGAACGTCGCCCGCCATACGCAGCAGGCGTTGTGTGCCAGACTCGGGCGCCTTCCGCCTATCATGCACTCTGACATATTATGGCAGCTGGAATAGCGACAGAGGAGAATAGCAAGGAGTTGATACGCGGTGAATCTCTTTGAGTGACAGCTGCGAAGTTGGAGGGAGAGCAGGAAGGACGTTCGGCGCGATCCTTGAAAGTTGGTGGGTCGTCAGATATGGGACTGCGAGATTAGTAGACGTAGCGCTGACCATGTCGGTACAGCGCCCCTCCTCAGCGCTAGTCCGCGTTCATCACATCACAAAGCCGTCCATCGACTTCCCGCCTCCCTTCGGCCAAGGTAAAAGTTCGAAGCAATAATTAATTCGGATCAACCTGCCAATCTGTCAGTGCCTCAGAGTGAAGGCCGCAGCGAACGGTGCGAGCAGCTCGGGATTCCTCATCCCAAGCACGCGACATGTCTAACGTCGATCAGTCTATATGTTAGTGTCATGACACTGAATGAAACAACCGACGGCCCCGCTCGTTTGCCCCATGGATCCAAAAAGCAACTACGTTCAATTTGCGCCAAAAATGCCACTGGAACTGGCAGGCGGTCGAGACGCCGTCATCATCAATATGCACTCTTCTCCGGACGTCGGGCTATCACCAATATCAACCAAGCGCAGATAGGCGTTAGCCGGCTCCCACCGACGCCGAAGGATGTTTCTGCCTTGGTTTCAGTCTAAATTTGAAAGTGCGTCGGGCGTACCTCAACCTCGGGATTCTCATGGGTTCTGTGGATCTGCCGGGGATCGACCCTCACGCACGTGGACGAGAAAGGGAAAATGCGCAATGTACCTTGATCTCAAAACATAATATTCGTCTAAAAATACAATCAAGGCGCGGAGAGGCTCGACGGATGCACGATATCACCGTAAATTACAGCCACCCCTCGCCCGGGCTGATGGTCTCTTCCTCCTCTGGAACTTCTGGGATCTCGGGCTCCTCAGGCTCCCCTCCCTCCTCCGCCGAGTCTTTACACTCAGTCGGGACATCGAAATTATCAACGAACTTGTCGGCGTTAGCTCCAAGACCCTTGGAAGCGAACACCTTCCAGATAAGACACTTATGAGTTCCTTCGTAGCGATTCACATCTGCTTGGAGCCACGCATCGCGAGCGTTAACGACTACAAAAAGGGAAGGTAAATCAGAATCCCCCCCTGACCACATAAACATACGTACATGTCGGATTGCATGGCTGAATCGCTAACGCGTCAATAAAGAGCCTCATGAAGACGACGTTGCCGGCGTCTGCCTGTGCGTCCGGGTTCGTAAATGCCGTTTCAGAGTACCCATGGTCGGCGAGGAGGGCGGCGTGCACATTGTGCAGCATGTTGGCCCACACTGTCCCGATGCTGTGGACCGCATAGTTGCCTTTGACATTGGAGTACTTCAAGGGGTTGACGGCGCTAGAAAGTTGAAACTTCCGTAAGTACAAGTGGCGGAGACGAAGAAAGGACGACATACGGGTCAGTGGAGTATGGATACGCGCGTATACCCTCGGGCTTGTAGACATACCAGCCAAGCTTGTAATCTTGGATCGTACCGTTCTTTTGCCATAGCCAACTAGGGGACGCCTCAGTCTATGGTTTCGGGGTATCGGTGAATGAGAGAGTATGAAACATACTCGGCAAAGGCGTCGCTCCATCCTTCACCCATACCACCGGCCTCAGTTGTCTGCAAGCATCTACCGGTCCCACCGCCGGTCATGCGGTTCGTGAGTCCATGCGTGAGTTCATGCGCGATAATGTCGTTCTCAAACGATCCATCTCGCCGAGGCTAGACATTCGAGGTTTGGTGAGAATGCGAATACAAAGATCCAACTTAAGCACAAACCGTAGTCATGGTCCACAAATACATTCGGCAACGTCCCGACTGCCCACTAGACGAACAAGATCAGGGAGGGGCCAGAGCCGGAAGGAGAAAAGGGCATGAGACTCACTCGGGTGGCGTAGCAAAATTGGCATTGTTGGTGCCAGACGAATCCTGGACCGACATCAACACCTTATCTTCCGCCTTCCCTCCTTTGTCAAAGTTCGTATTCTGGAAGTTATATGCGGCCTCGGTGAAGCCATACAGATAGGTGATATCGTGGATCATATTGGAGACATAGAAGGCATTGGTGCGCGCTGCGTCGAGGTTGTTAGTGGTGTTGGGCTCTGTATCGGGATCAACGACGTAGGTGTAGACATGGCCTTCCGAGGATTCCTTGGTGAGAGATGATTGGGAGCCCTTGTAGGCTACGACGTTGTTGCCGCTACGGAGACCGTATTCAATGTCGGTTGGCAAAGGAAATGAGATGGAGAGAGGGTACGCACGTAGTGCTATCAGATTCAGAAGAACCATCATTATGCCATCCGTTCGGCGACGCAGTAGTGATCTGCGGGTCGACAATAGTCTCCAGCCCTTCGGGAATGACCATCTTATTGATGGGAAGGACGTGGTACTGTATATTGCGTGAGCATCCGTCATCGACGGCAAGAGTGATCTCAGTGCTCACCGACGCATCGGCCACAAAGTCAGTGACGGATACCACATCCCCAGAATGGGCATCGACAAACGCTTCGAACCACGCGTCCGTGGCCTCGTTCTGTACTTGTACGACATGGGTGAGGACAACAGAACCACCGGGAGTGACGTAGTACTCCAGTCCAGCAGGGTGTTCGTTGCGTTTACCTTCGAGTGCATTCTCTGCTATGGAAATGGCCTTGTCTAGCGAGATAATCGGGGTTGAAGACGCTATTTTCTCTGCAGTGATGCGAAGAAAGGTGAGTGAAGACGGAAGTCAAGGGTAACTACACTTACTCGGCTTGACAAACGACGAACCAAAGGCGACTAGCTTATTGTCCTTGAAGGCGACATTAGCCACAGCGTTGGCGAAAGGAATATCATTCTACGAAAAGGTGAGAAACTAATAGAGGGGTAAGATGGGCGGTTCGCTACGTACGTGTTGCTGCTTAACGTATCCAAAAGATTCCGACGATTGCGAGTACCCCGACTTGAAAGTGATGGAGGCTTCGTCCACGCCAATGCGTTCGCGAACAGCCGCGATTGTTTGCGATTTAAGATCGCCTCCCTTGAGTAGTGGTCCAGAAATGCCGTCTCCAAAAGTCTGTCAAGGACAGAGATATAGTAATCAGAGAGAATATCGGGAATACGGATGAAGAGCACAGACGACATACCGAGTATGAAGTTGGTGGGTGGAAGACTTCGACCTTGAGGCCCCGACCAATTTCGCGAACGCGGTGAGTAGCATGCTTCACATCTTGTTCAAAGGGGACGGCCTGGGACACCGACGCGTAGGCTACGGCAAGGAAGACCGCGCTGAAGAATCTGTTGAAGGCGACCATGATGTCCCAAAGGAAGAGCAAACCAATGGACTTCGAGTGAAAGGGAGCGGGTTTATAGGAATGCTAACTCCCTTGACGCAATTTACTCTCAAGATGGAGAGTTATAAAGGAATGAACCGTCCTCCTTATCCGAGACTGGACAAGGATATGGACCCTTGTGTCGGGGATAAAGAGATTGACAACCTCTTGAACTTGCTTGCTTCATGACGACTCTAAGAAAACGAGAAGCGTGCTCTCGTAAACGATCAATGGCTGAATGCGAACGAGCTGAGCTGGAGAAGGAGGAGGATTGATAGGCTGACTAAATGCGTTGGGCGAAGCCTCCCACATGATGCATGCATGCTACGTTGGTAGAGTGCTCGAGCCCTATGGTCGTGCGACATATAGTGAGGTACTGAGAACCACGAGGGCCAAGCGGACGTATGCTTCTTGCGCGCATGTGGAAAGCTGCAAGAGGGCAATAGAGCCTGTACAGTAGCGTAACTTCCGCTAGCCCCGAGGCGAGCGGCGAACATTGTTATCGTAGAAGACAGAGATCGGCAGCTACGAAGACCATCATTGTCAATCCAGAGCGTCTACTACATGGTTCCGTTCGATCGCGGGGGAATCGATCAAGATCGGGGTCGCTGAAGCCGGATATTACGACGTTTGTGAACGAGGGGAAACGGCTGGATTAAGAATATCCGCGACAGGTAGGTGCTTCAGAGGCTGATGTAGACGGGAAAGGGACACTCATAATCAGAACAATTCGTCATGAAAACATCGGGTATCAACTCACCTGGAAGGGACACCCACGAACACACCTCGCGCTATTGAGGCCCATACAGAGTCGACACATATCTACCCCCAGCGTAGGTGATTGATAGCACGGCTAAGAGCAATATACTCACGTTGATACACCCTTTAGATTGCCAAATTCCGACTGGTACCCGAAAGGCAATACTTGGCGAACGGTGTTGCATGGCATGCACGGCACCAATCTGTCCACTTTTGCGCCAGTTCTTGGGATGCCACATGCTCTTGAAGCTAATCGTGACATGTGGACATAGACAGAACTCATGCGAGCCCGACCACATATGAGCATTGACGCCTTTATCATCGTTAGTACTGTACGTGGAGGTTTGATCACAACGCTCACCAAAGATAACTCTCAAGTCGATCCTCTAGCCCGCGATCGCAATGGAGTAGCGACGTAGACATCGCGATATAGCTACACACCGCTGATATAGGACTCATCTTGATAGATGAAGCGCGTAGCTAAGACCCCGCAAAAACATGAACATGAAATCGAAGTTAGACTTCAAGAATTGTTAGGCGCCAGGCGCTGAGCTTCATCACAAGTGCACACGCACGGACCATTCGCAGCAAACTTGTTCAGCGGTACCACAAGCACACATTCGATAGACCAATGTAGATTCCAAAATCCTTTTACACGTGGAAATAACGCGAAACTCACTCGAATTTTAGCTCCAAGCTTGAGATCGCGAAACCTGGTAGGTTTCACAAGTCAAACATCGCAGGTGGCGTACACTGATGTTGGTGATATAATACAGATATTTAACTCTGACGTAGTTGCTGAAGATTCATAGGGTCATTATTCGTTCAGAAATTCTTCATTAAACGCAAGAGTATCATGTAGCCGTTTAGCGCGATGCAAGTGCGCCTTCTCCATCGTTTCTGCAGCTGGTAGGGATGCGCATACTTCACGGCTACATCATTGATACTCAACGAATGCAATGAAAATCGCCAGAGGTAGCGGTACTGCAACGAGTCGCGGGCTCGGCTGGCCGTGGCTTAGACCAAGCTTAGCGACAAGCTCGGCTGCCTTCTTGAAGGATAAACTGCTTCGTAAAGGTGGCACAAGAACCCAATTGCTGCTCAAAACGAATGTTCCATACGTTTTCTTGTCTTGATCGTCGTTCGCTGACCTCGATTTGGGATTGTAGGGGGTGCTCCAGGGCGACTTAGCAATGTAAAGGCTCCCTGACGTTGATTGTGAGATTCGGTGCGACGTCTTTGTCGTTCCGCCAAGCTGGTTCTTGTTCTCTGTCCCTTAGATCCCTAACGATACTCGCTTCAATACGCAAACCTGGACGAAGCCCGAAGTGGTTCAGCCGCAAGTTCGAGTACGGTTTTGCAAGTCGGCGGTAGAGGCGCACCGGGTAAGATTTCTCTAACCGGAATGAATGAGACTTGCTGACTTTCTACTTGTTTGTATCGTTCAGTGCCTCCGAACGCGGGGTGTTCACTGGAAACTCCGCGATCCCAACGATCCTTGTTTGTCTCTTCAACTCGGCCAGCATATGACACGGGCTCAGCAGGTTAGAAGATATTTCGCAATGTCTGGCTACGAAGCGTTCCACTGTGACAGATATGTGAGTTCCCTCAGCGAATTTTGAGAGCTCGCTAATCTTGACCAAGTCCACATAGTTGTGACGTCGCCTCGATTCCGTGGGGACGTATGAGTTCCCGTTTGCGTTGGCTTAGGCGTGAGGAGGCGACGTCGCGCAGAGTGGACGGACAGTCGCCGCTTCTCGATTTCCCTCTTGTTGCAGCTTGGCTAGGATGACCGAGTCTGCTTCATGTAGTTTTTCTTTACTGTGCCTCTTTACGCCCTGTGAAAGAATTGTTCTTCCATCCCGTTTACTACGTGTATGACTGCGTATTTGTGCTGCTATGCTTTACCTTTCCGACCGCAACCCTGTACACTGTCAGTTTCGTCTGCATTTCTCGAGTCCTCCCGAGCACCATGTCCGTCCATGGGGATTACAGTATACTTCAAACGATTGCTTCGATATAACCCACCTAAAATCAGGCACCTTTGATGGAACCTAGAACGTATCTCGAAGGAGTGCCGCCTTCCAAAACCACAGAACCGGCTCCCAAAACAGTAAAGCCCTAACGTTATGATTAAAAATTCTGCTTCTTCACTGCGTAGGATTCGCAAATGCGCACTGTACCTCCACTCTCTGTCCATTAAATAACTCTTCTACCACTGCTCGTAAATACCACAAACCGATCTCTTTTCCTCGACAATGGCAGTACAAAGGGCTCCGTCTAACCATTCAAAAGGACATCGTTTTCATCCCTATCGCCAAGGCTTAGAGTGTCGTCGTAGTAGACTGTTGCGTAGAATCGTTAATCTGGCCGTTGCTAGTGACTACGAGGAGACGGTAAATCGGCGTCCTGTCCTCCCAAGCTATCCAAATGGCTGAACATCGTCGATTCCTTCCAGATCTCTGAGCATAGGGAGGATGTGATGGACATAGAGGAGTCAGAGCAGCGCACTGAACCACTCCAAGTAAGTTTTCGATGGGTATATTCCTCAATGACGGCGTTGTCGACGATCTACCGCAAGGTGTTCAACGCGCTCGCGCAACTCGCCTTTGTACTGTGGCAAAGCTCTTCAGATCCTGCGTAGATCATGTAAGTCATGACTTCTGTCTGAGTATACTCGCCAACTAAATCGCCCTTTGCGACGTTCTGCTCTACTCATTAGAATCAAAGCACTTCACGAAAAGATGGCAATATCTTGGATTCAGTGTTGATTCAGTCCGGCTTCGTCAATCATATACATAGTGTAACCAGTAAAATGAACGATACGCCAGTATTAGAATGTGAGGACTGGTGTACGGAACAGTAAAGGGCCCTAGTGCCTTCACTGTCTTCCCGTCTGACATCGGTGAATGGTCTGTGCGCGATGATTCGGAAGGTGCAATATTCAGACTCAGCGCGCTGTCCTGAAGCCGATCACCGTCTCGGTTCCGTTGCTACGATCATCGACGACCAGTTGACTGACTTAGGGTTATTCTGTATACTTTTCTTCAAAATTGTGGAAATTCAGACGCCAAGCACGCCGTTTCATTCAAGACATTTTGGCATCGTTCCTTTTCTGGAAGCATTGTGCAAGTTTCGCATGTGCGACGTCCAACATTTTCTGACGTCTGCCAGCGGGAAGCCCTTGCTATACGTGAGTTTGTTCGCATCAGGTCGCTGTGCTCTGAAGTAGGCGACCCCAGCAACTTACCAGATTGCATCAGCGACAGATCAATGCTAACCATCTCCGAACCACCCTCGCTTCTCCGGTACCAAGTCCCGAGTCTTGAGTCTTAGTACGAGCAGGTATTCGAGTCCTGCAACGAGGTGGATTCTAGTACGTATTTATTTTATCAGGAATAGAGCTTTCCTCTAAGATCTGTAAAGGATCTTCTCATCCGCCGCCGTACACCCGCCTCCACCAAGCTGATGGTTCGAGCGACACGCTGACGTTGTCATTGCCCGAACGCTGGGAAGCCATGTGCCCTGCTAGAGAGCTACACGCATATTCTTACCTCGGACAATTCCTCATCGCCACATTATGAAGCTCTGGCGACTCGAAGTCATCCAATGCCACTAGTTAGTTGGACTAAACGAGAAGCTACTTGGTGGCACTATGTCTTCCACGGAAGCGCACTCAATCTGAACAAGCTGAATGTAAGCCTCCCCCTCATCCTTAACAACCATCACCTTACACTCGTCAGGTCATGGAGCCTCGGAGAAGTCGACCTTCTGCAGTCCCCTGGTAGGCGCACGATGCTCGAAACTTTTGCGGGCGAACATGTCGGAGCGATACACGCTGAGGTAAGAGGATCTTCCCATTCTGACAGACTCGTCTGACCGTTCTCCGCCCATTAGTAACTAACAGCAAGGCAGACGTCTCTTGTCGAAAGGGTTCTCGAATACTGCGCGAACAGAACCCCGAGACCCTTCGCGCAGTCCATTTCTGCTCCTACTATGGGGATGGGACATCTGCTAGGACGACGGGAGAGCGCTGGCGCCGACAAAGACGCGGCGACTCGCGAGACGTCAATTGCATCTCAGTATCGATCTGGAACGTGTTTGAGGGAATGGGATCGGCCGAGTGGCTCTTTGGACGACGTACACTGAAAGGCGATAGTCCATTTACGTCGTCAAACTCTTCCACCGCACGGATGCCAATGCCAGCACATGCAGTTACCAAAAGAAAATAGTGCTCGTGCACGCTATATAGTCACTATCATACTTGGATTGCTGATTCCCCCATTCATGAGACAGCTTTCTATTGCGATGTCATACCCCGTCCTCGCAGGAATATATCAGAACTTGGGCGTCATGAAATTCTAGTTTCGTTGCTTACAAGCCTGGCATAGCAGTTAAAGTAGATCTTCCTGCGGTCGCTAGGTATTGCTGTATCCCTGGTTATTGGGCATTAAAAATGATTGGAAGACGCCATATGCTTCTGTCGTGACACTTTTATGTCAACCTCGCCGTAGGGAAATTTCGTAACGCAGAGCAGGGAAGCACCGCTGTGGCGTTAAGCACGACTATCAGTGGCATCGAGTCGCGAGGGAAGCCATGTTGAAATCGCTCCTCGCCTAGACGTCCAAAGTCAACACTTCCACGATGTTCTCCCCAAGATGGCGTGTTTTCCGCGCCTCGGAATAGCACTTGTGATGATCCTGGAATGGCAAATGGACAGAATTTCCACTAAGTCCTTAGTAATGAGTATCTTGATGCGCACGGAGAGCACGGTGCTTATCCCATAGACACATCACAGCGGAACCGGGCTGTGCATATCAACCGTCCCCGCCCTGTCATGGGAGCAATCCTGATGGTTATGATCTACTGTTCGCTTTGTATGGGTACGGGCGCATCGATCGGTCTCCTCTCCACAGCCTCTTCAATGCGAGCGATCGTATACTACCAACGCGACGATCGAGGCGTCACCTCTGTTCCCAACAGATCTTGACTTACTTCCGTTGATAACGCCGAATGGCGATCGTATGCATGTGGCATTCAGTCTCTAGTGCCAACCGATTCTCTAGTGCCAACCGATGCTGTACCACCTGTTTAATTATTATCGCGCCCGCAGCGAAGCAGAAGGTGAGCGTGATGATATATCATGAAGCCAAGCTCGTTTCGTACTTTCCAAGCAAGCTGCGGTTGAAACATTCGGCTTTGTGGTATCTGCGTATGGGGGTGTCTGCTGAGAGTCGCGTGCTCCACTCGCTGGATCCCTCGGCCTTCTTGCTGATCACTCGCAGGCGTATATCTGTGGGACGGTAAATCTAGCCGAGGGCTACGGACTTATGCTACGAATAGCTTCCTGGTTGGTTATTGATATTCTCCTGTTTGAAATCTCAGCGGGCACACTTCTTTTGCCCACATAACCGACTCCACAATCGCGCGATTCAACGCATGTCGCCGACCTTCTCCAGACGACCGAACCGTTCGCTTTCACATCTGGGCGCCAATGTAGTATCACCGTTTGTACTGTGGGCGCATTGCTGGGGACGATTTTCTTGTAATGACTCACCTGAGGTACACGAATTTGGACATTATTTCTCGTCGTACGAAACGAGTATTTCGGTGCTGTTGATACCCTTCTGATATTCCACGGACTGATTTTAGCCTGGTTGACTGCGGGTAAGAGCAGGGACGTACTGCAATCTCAAACATTGTCATGGTTCCGCCAGCAGTTCGATTCTAGTGCCTAAGCCTCCGTTTATTCGTAGCTCGACGCGCCACCAGGTATTCCGGAGCAGAATGCCAAAGGTCCCGACAAGCTGAGGTCGAACAGAGCCCTCCCCTCGTGATCCAACGCCGGTATCGCGGAACGCTTCCTGCTTACTCTACGCTTTGTCTCAGGCCACCTACATCCTAACACGAAGAAGATTACTTATCATTTCATCCGTTATGATGTATACCGCTTGGCTTCAATTCTCACCGCAGGCTGCAGTCACGGAAACTAGTCTAACAGTCGGGTCCCAAATTGAGAGTGACTATTACACAGCTTACAAGAGATATTGATGAGGTTGTCCTAACACACAACCGTGAAATCTACATCAAAGATGAACGTGGAACGCTCTGATGCAAACGACTAGATGCTAGTGGACTGCGAAGCGTGACGATTGTCGTAAACGATGTCCAATACGATAGAAAACGAATCTAGAAGGAGGATAGAGCTGTCAGCGGCAAATATGAGTCGTCTGAGGAGAGCCTACACGCACGGCAAAGGCGCCATGATGGTGGTTAGGCCGGCGAGAAGCGCTGTCGCACCCACCGTTCCCAACTTTGAATACATGGCGCCAGCGAACAGTGGGAAAACAGCTGCGAAAATGGAACGTAGCGCGCTATTGCTTGCCATGGCCGACGCGGCGATAGGGCGGTAAGCTGTCACCAGATACGTGAATGTAGATGTGAAGACAAAGTAAATGCCGGAGCCAAAAGGGACCGATGCGATAATGGGTACCATCCAATGGACGTGTGGGTACGTTGTAAAAGCCAGCCAATACAAACCTGAGCGTGTGACGAAAAACGGCGTCAAACGTATCCATCCGTATTATTAGCATAGTATTGGGCGTCAAAGAGAATCAGAGTCTTACCAACAGGAACAAGGATAGCGCCTACCTGCCCCATGATGAGGCGCGTTTCCGGAGGAGGGGAGCCTTCGAACTTCTGGCGCTGTCGGAGAAAATGCCTATAATCCGCGATGAGCCATCCAACGGAGTTAGAACTATATAGATTACGTACCTATTCCACAAGGGTTGAGTTGAGATTGCGAGCATCATCCCGAAGCCGATACCAAGGAATGTCAATCCGGCAGATTGCATATTGAAGCCATGGCCGCTTTCGAATATGATGGGAAATGCTTGGAACGTGAGGTACAAAATCCCAAGGATAAGAGCCGACCTGCGCCAGTGTAAGAGACCGGGGTCTTCGTTATGGCAGTGATGGCTCACCAAACATCCAAGAGCAACGCCATTTGATCGAAGAGGATCAGCTCTATATCCCAAATGTGTCAGTTGGCGCAAGGAGTAGCAAATCTAGCGCATACGGAACGGTTTATAACAGCTTACTAGAACTGCCACGAAAAGGCTACGATCTGACTTCTCTAGCGGAGCGTAATATCTTAACTCTCCAGTCGACTTACGCAGTCTGCAAAACCATCGACATGAAAGTCAAGCACTCGATGTCGGAATCCATAATTTACCTTTCTGCTTTCCTTTTTCGGAGGACAGGGACGTATGTTTCTGGAACGAACTGCCCATATTCATTAGCTCGGCGCATGCAAGTCCGTTGTAGTGCTTACCAGAAATAGTGCCAAATATTGAGCGAATATCCACATCAGTTGAACGCGATATGTCCAGCGCCAATACAAATTCTGAGTGTACAATGGTTATCGTAAGGCGGGCGCCCAAGGTACTAAACGACCCCTCACGAACTTGATTGATAAATCTGGGAACGAAATGGCGATTCCACGGCGATCAACAGCGGTCGTTAGTCGAAAAGGAACGAAAGTTCGAGGACTTACCCACTGATTAGAGGTCCTAGAACAGGGCCGATGAAGGGGGAGATCGTATAGAGCGCCATCGGGCTATTTAGAAGCGATAAGCGTCAGAGAATAGCGTCATCACATGTTAATTCGTACCTTGCGACATTCGCGTCAGAAAATAAATCACTTACGCTACCTCCAGCGACGCTGAGGAAGGCAGAGCCGCAAAGACCCGTAACGAATCGGAAAATTAAGTACACCGCTGAAGGGTCAACCCTCATTACCTCAGTAGAGGCAGAAGGTACAAACGGGCTTACCTATGTTTGGAGCGAAAGCAACTGGCCAGGAAAACGCAAAGAAGAGCGTATAAGACACCTGATACACGATATTCCGGCCGTACACTTCGGACAATGGACCAACAAGCAAGGGCCCCACACCAAGGCCCTCCACGAATAGCGAAATTGATAGAATCGTGACAACATGAGATACGTGGAACTCCTCAGCCACCGCGATCTCTGTAAATGAAGCCTGCGCGGATGAAGCTAACTGATCGCAAATAGCCAATGAATTACGCACGATTGAAGACGCCGAAGTGGCGCAAAGAGCCGACGAACTGATAACGATGACCGCTAACCATTTCCTTAAAGAAGACAGATTTTGAGGATGTTCTGTTGGCTCGAGGAACACCTGAAAAGGGTCGGGGGCAGAAGCAGGGTCTTGGCCAATTTCTTTTGATACATTCTTCTCGGTTTGATCAATCTGAACAGGAATTGTAACGGACGCCGTAGACGCAGATCTATTCGACATGAAAAGATTTAGGTGGCGATTTTGGGGAATCGTGGGGTGGTACGAAGAGCAAACAACACGATACCGCGGCTGTTGGTCGAGCGTGAGTGCATGTCGAACCCACGATTCTTGTCCGAGCGACTCTGCTGATGGAAGCAGAGGCGCTTCTGCCGAAGTCGCCGGCGGAAGATCGCGACGAACGAGAAAGTAATGTTGACCGTGGGAGAAAATGACAAAGCATAATGCCTCCAAGACCAACGTCAAAGTTCAGTCAAACACTATGTGAGGCAAACGTCGAAGCTCAGTGTGTGGTCCTCAAGAAATGTTTTAAATCCACTCAACGGATCAGAAATGTGGCTTCTCATCGTGCTCTGATCAGGCGCTTTTGATTGTCTGCGTTAACTTGGTCGCCAATTTCTCCCAGCAAGAACGTTACAATGTCCCAAATTAAAAGGCGGAGGGATGTTAGCAAGGTGGGTCTGGAATAGACTGTAGCGCGACGTATCTTACGTTCTACAGCAGATACCGGCCTCTATTTCCCTCCCGTTCGCCATCATATTCACCACATTTCGGGGCGAGACGGGGCATTCAGCCATTCAAGCAATTATCTCCACTCAAGTGACCGTTCAAAATGAACAGGAGAGATAGAATTAGGCAAAAACTCGCCCGCGGGATCGGTTCATATCGTTGCACGGAAATACCTGCATCCGAGTTGGGTAGACTTCAGAATGATACAAAAGGCGTGTAACAGCATCCCTCTGGCAGTTCTTCTACCCCTTCGAGCAGACACACCAGGTGAGGCTGTCACGCTATCAGGACGAACCGACCCCAAACCCATCCTCGGCGTTCATTCGCAGAGCCGATTTCCAAGCTCCCGACTCCGATGAACGATATCTACATGTCGTGGGGACCATCATTCATTTATCCCACAATAGAAACCGTCCAACGACATATGACCAGTCAGTGATACAACCGTAGGTAACAAATCCCCTAATCGTTGCTTATATTATGGCTGTTGACTTTATGCGTTCTTATCAAGGGACACAAGAGTGAATGCAGCTCGCGGGCAATCGTACTTCCGAGTGCTCGATGACAGACCGCTACTTTTTCGGCCGCCGTGTTCATCAAGGACTGAGGTCGGCAAGCATCGTCGGGCTGGACATCGGCCGGACATTCTAAAGGTATGCTCGACGTTGCAAGTGGCCTTTTGATCTATCTGAACTTGTTTAGAATGTTTGTTACGTTTCGTCTAAGCTGTATGGGGATCCTATTTGTTAACGCGTTCGACCGCATTTGTAGATCTTAGCAATGGAGCTATTTTCTCCCTCGCATCACCCAGTCGCCTCCATGACACCAGGTTTGTCCCAGGCGCCCACAGCACCAACACGGTGTACGACAGTTACGTCCATAATAGTCGCCGTGGTTCAGACTCCGTGACACATGCACCATCGAGGTCCAACATGTTTGTCCACGATCGACCCATGGATCAAGTTCACATTGAACCGATCCCACACGGCGTTCATTCAATTCAGCGTATTTCTCCTCTTATCTATCGCAAATGGTGGGTGCCTGTCAGACGTTTCTGTCTGGCTATGCTCACGGTGAAGGAGCCACGCGGAACGTCCTTGGTGATGAAACACGGAGGACGTCAGAGCGAGGACCGGCTAGCTCAAGTGAAGGCGGAGAGATAGACGCGGCAACATATGGTCCGACTGTAAGTGACCGCCATTTCTATGGGAGGCCCTCCTATCGCCTAACGCCCAGTAGAAGGAACGAGCCGAATTCTGCCACATATCTTTGTCTTCTTCGACCATGATGCATGTTTTACCCCTCTATTTCCATGGGCTCCACGTAAGCATCTTAGGCGACTCCTGTTCCTTCCTATAGTAAACTTCCAGCACGATGCTGAAGTTCGCAGGCTATGTCAAATCTACATCCATGGGTGTGTATTTCCCCAGGGCCTGCAATACATGTCGTTTGAATTCTCATACGCGTCGATGCCTTCGAGACTGTTTCATCGGGATTTCCCTCTCTCAATCCCGCCGCGACGCTACGAAGAAGTCGGGATCCTGGTCTCCATTGGGTCAAGCCCCGCAGCACGTTCATGTACTAATTTTGGAATCTGATCATGACAATGGTGCGCTTGATAATCAATTGCGGAACTATCGATTCATTTGGGCGTTCCTTTACTTAGACTTTCTGCGTTCAGGGATATTGTTCTCAGTGCCGCCATAATCCCGCGAGCTTAAGAATAACGACAATTCTAATCCGAGACTAGGTGTTGACTCAGCACCCTTATTCACTCGTGTGTAACCATCTGCTTCTTGAAACGCGACAATATAATTAGGGTATTCGAAAGAACGTCGCCAAACTATACAACTGATAAATTACAATTTCATAAGCTCTAAGCTTGAGGAAGAACGCTCGAATGGAATCTCTCCTCCCCACGCCTCGACTTGCTTATGGCATTCCTCGACAGCAATCCTTAGTTTGGTTATGCTTTCACGCGCCAGTCTGATGTCCTCGACCCTACCCGCCTCGGTTTCCTCTTTACAACTCTGGGCGGCTGCTTCAGCGAGAAATTCGGCTATATGCAAATGTTCGGCTTACCTGGAGTGCTTGCGCGATATCCGCATCTATCATGGCCAACGTATCAGCCATCTCCCCATCAGATGGCCATCGCAATTCACTCGCTGCCCGAACGATCGCTGCAAGAATGTCTAAACTTGAAAACGCCATTCCGACGCCGTAAAGAGATCTTGCCCGCATTAGCATATCTGCGAGCCGTTTCGTAGGTTGCCACGACGCTGTTTGCGATGATATCGCGAATATGGGCATAGGGCTCTGCAACACGGACGTATTGCTCGTCTTCTGAAGTTGCGTTCGCGCAGCGGTGGTGAACGCAGACGCAATACCCGGTGAACCGGAGGATAGGAGGCCACGGACAGCCGCTCGGAGACTGTCGAAATAGAACATTAGATTGGAACGTAGGGTCCAAGACAGAGAAACTTGCTCTTCGATGCTAGCGTTACACAGAAAGGTGTCAAGCATTAGGTTCCTGTGGTGCTAGTTAGTACCCATGCGACGGACATAACGACTTGGACGACGAACACATGGCCAAGAGCTGGTCTACCATCTTGGTTACGAGGGAAAGCTTCGGGGGCTGGCATCGTTTAAACGCGTTTGATGGAAAGCACCCTGTTAGTTGCCCAATTATATAGTCGACCGGCTTCCATTGAATTTTATAATTTCAGGGACCCAACGTTAGGGGATGGATATCCAGATCTGACTTTCTTGCGGTAGGATTTCGGGCAAACGCTCAGCTGTCCCTTTCGAACATTCGGCAATTTGATGATATCCGGACTCTATAGTTTCGAGTGCAAAAGCTTCTTTTCTGATGATTTGAACCAACTCGTTAGGGCGCGAATCCACGCTTGATTCGCTGGCAACGTTGAGTCAATGTGGACACTCACTAATCCCGGCTTGATATTGGAACAGCGGGGTATTCACCGATATATCTTGTTCAGCAACCAAATTTCGTCCTTCCCATCCCCCATCATATAGAGCAGATCTTTTTCACGCACTACATACCAATCATGACGACTTCCTCCCACTTTCCTGTGATGGAGACCTTCAACTGCGGTCCATTCAAAGCCCCTCGCGTATGGACGGGCCTCTGGCAGCTTTCTAGCAACGCTTGGGGCTCCGCGCCAGTATCCAAGATCAGAAGTGGTATGTCCCGGCATGTTAAGCTGGGATACACCGCGTTCGGTGAGTGAACAATCACTCATCATCACATTACAGCTGATTGATGATTGCTTAGACATGGTGAGTGGCCCCCTCGGTGGTGTAGAATTAATGATCGCTCAACCCTGACTTGCGGAACCTAGGGTATATTACGATCCGAGTTACCTCTTGAATGAATGCTGACCGCTTTCTCCACAGCCGACCATTATGGCAGCTCCGAGATCATCTTCGTTCGTAGCGTTCATCCGTCTCTTGTCTGTAACTGACCTCCGAAAACAGGGGCAATTCAAGAAGAATCTTTTATCAACAGATGGACCGCATGTTGTTGGCGCAACCAAGTGGTGTGTGTTCAAAAGCTTAGAACCATCGCGGGCGGTCGTCGAAGCTGCGGTCCAAGAACGACTGGAAAGAATGTCTACGGACCGTCTTGATCTTCTCCAAGTAAACAATGATCATCTCTCCACACGTTCGGTTGCTGATTGCGACCCCTCAGTTCCACTGGCAGGATTACTCCGACAAGGGGTATCTCATCGCCTTGCAATATCTCTGCGACCTCCAAATAGAAGGAAGGCTCTCTGCGATCGGTAGTACTCCCACTTCTTTGGTGATTAATCACTGACCGACCGCTAGGGCTCTGCAATTTCGATACGAAGAGAACGGATGAAATTTGTACTCAATTGGGACCTGGTTTCATCGCAACTAATCAAGTTCAGGTTCGTACGGGGCGCATCCTTACAGTGGTCAACTCATTCAAGGGCCGGGACCTAGTTCTCCTTGATAGACACACGCCCGCTTCACGGCATGGCGGACGTTTGTGATAAGCACGATGTCAAAATACTCGCATACGGGACACTGGTGCGTTTAGTACTCAACGTTGAGCGTGACAGATGAAACTTATACCACTGTAGTGTGGGGGATTCTTAGCGGACAAATGGCTTGATCAACCGCATCCAGATCTGTATTCGGGGCAACTGACGCCGTCACAACGAAAGGTGTGCCCTCTCCGCTTGTCCAGATTTTGCATGACGTGGATACCAAAATGCTGCAGTACCTCGACATGATCACAAGGGCATGGGGCAATTGGGACTTGTTCCAGGATTTACTGCATGTGTTGCGACTCATTGGAGATCGACATGGCAATGTCAGCATCGCCAACGTTGCTACGCGCTGGGTCCTTGATCACTCTTGGGTTGGAGCGGTAATCATTGGTAAGCTTACACTAAACGATGGCGGTCCCCCTCTGACTATCCGTCATGGGCGGCGCGCACAGGTGCACGGCTAGGACTGTCGGAACACCCTGGCGATAACCAAAAGGTCTTCACCTTTGCCTTATCCGCCGCGGACAATGCAGCAATCGATGCTGTGCTAGCGCGCTCGAATGGGCATCGTCTCATTACTACCATCGGTGACTGTGGGGCAGAGTATCGTTGAGTTGAACTTGATCCTGATTTCGATCTTGATGTCGATGGGCGTTCGCGATCTTTTCTATTTCATACTTTCTATCATGGCTAGTGCTATCAAATCAGTGTCTGAGTTCGTCTATGTGTACAGCGTTATAATATGATTAGATGCGACGATGGTTGGTAAAAGCGATGCGAGTGGATAGATACACGAGTCCATGAAATTACAGCTTGCTAACGGAGTTGGAGTTGGGAATCGGCGATGATAATGATGATGGTAGGCGTTGAATGGGTTGAAGCTTGCGCTTGATATCGCGCAGGACGGTCGTTCGGGGTTGCCAATCACGAAACGTATCTCGCAACCGACCGAACTCAGATTCAAAAAGGTGATATACTCGCTCGTCTGCAATAAGGTCTCGCAGGGCCCATGGTATCTGCATCATATGATCAGTTACAACGAGTGGATGTGGTGGGGTAGGACGCGCACCTCGTAGTCGTTTAGCTCGTTGTTGACGTTGAATGGCTCGATCACAAGCTCGGGCGGCTCTTCTAAACCATCGTTCGTCAGGAACAGATATTTGACGGCGAGTCTGAGATCAGAATGGAGTCGAATTAGGTAAAGTCGCTTCCATACGGTAGCTGACGTACGAAAACACAGCCTGCTCCTCGTACGCAGTCGAGTGTCCAACGCCGTTCAGTGATCCAGCGGTCGCCTCCGAAAGATGGGTAAGCAAGCCGCTGTCAGACAGCCCGGAGTTCATAATCCTTAGCAACAAGACAAGGAGGTTCGAAAGAAAATCGGAGGAACTAAGAGGTATCTCAGCAGCTAATTAAGCAAGAATTTGTTATACGCACTGGTATGCGTCGCCATCAATGTATAGAGCGCGAAGTATAAGGGGGTGGGACGCCGACGTGAACAAGCCAGAGTATATTGGGACGACTTGATCGTTCAGAGAAGCAACGTAGACCATTTTGACCTAGTATGCAAGTATGATCAGACGGCGAATGGATATCCCGCATCTTGGGCGTACCTGATGATGGAGCACGTTACTGAGAGCTGCTATGTAAGACTTGGAAACAGGGCTCTCGGTATTCTGTGAACGTAAGTTATGAACGGACGTCGCGACGTGGCCGGGAGCAGCCTCACCTGAAAATCGAACAGTTCCCTAGCGGCCGTTGATTCGAAATACTGGTGGGTGGATCAAATCTTGTTCATGACGTACAGCATACTTCACGTACCTGGATGTACGGCTGTAACAGTGAACTCGTGCTCAAGTACCTCAAGGGGCCGAGATGAATCCCGCAAAGCGCTAGACAACAGACTTTCTGCGGTTTCCTGAACGGCATACCGCCTTCAGCTAGAGAGACGCCATCAACCGCTACGCCCGCAGAGGTCGTTGAGTTGACGGTTATGATGTGGCCACCCTTCAGGAGCCGGTCGAGTAGATGGGTAGATACTATCGAGCCCTGGGAATGAGTGGCGATGAAGATGGCATCGGCAGCATGGATATCTGACAGCCATTCCTCGTTAGCCATCAATGTTGTGTAGAGTCTGCGGAAGCAAGTAAATGAATATTCCATCAGATAATTTGGATAATGAAATCAAAGGCTGAAACGCACTTCTCCACTCTGCGATCAATAGTACCTTCACCTTCTAGCGGGATCTTGGTGACCTTCTCGAGGGTAACGTCGTTCTGCGATTGAAACTCGTCCAGCGCTTGCAGCATCATATTGACGAACTTGCTACTCGTACCCGTTGGCTATGAATAGGAGCATCAGAAAACGAAGAGATCGAAGACGCAAGTACAAACCTCGCCCAACATTGTTCGCATGACCGCACCTGTGAGAGTAGGCAACTCGTTTAGGACAAACGACAAAGACTCGAAAGGAAGATGAAATCATTGAACCATCCGCTCCATGGAACAGTGCCATCGCCATCTCGGATGGACGTACGGAATCAATCAAGGGCTCGGAAAGGCACTGACCTGGGAACCAACCATGGATTCCAATAACGACAACCTTGCGACATCCTCTCAGTACATCTTCTGGTGCAAGACCCGAGCCCGAGCCCGAGCCCACGGATGAGTGTTTCTTCATCACGTCCCACGCTCGGGGAAGCGACTTTCCGAAGTGTATCATCTCCTTCTCTATCTCTTTCGACTTCCCTTTCCGTTTCAGGCTGGAACCTTTCAGAGCGCTCACGCCAGAAGCTTCTCGCCCTGCCCCACTTTCCCCTTCAGTCGTCTCTTTCGCAAATAGCACACCACTGACAAATTTCATCGTACGAGCCAAGGTTGAAGGGGGAGGCGGCGGAACCTGATTCCGAGGCTGCGCGTGGAACGTGTCCTCCCATGTGGGTAGGACTAAGTTTGGCGTCCGACTAGCGGGGGTGGACGTTCCGGATTTCTGCTTCGTTGGCTTAGCCTTGGAGCTAGTTGATGTGATAGAAGGAGCGGGGGAAGCAGACTTGCGACGAAGAGCCTTGTTGGCAGTGGTTGAGCTTGAGTTTGTGGTGTTGTTGGCAACGTCACGCTTTACACTATCCGAGATTGTGAGGGGAGGGGCTGGAGGCTTCGAACGTGGTTCCTTATCTCGACCTCGCTTACTCTTTTCCATCGTAGCTGGTTTGCTCAACGCAGTTGGGTTCTGTGGCGACGGAGGGGGATCAAGAGGAGGGACAGTCTGCCTCGGCGGTTTCGCCACTTCGTCCTTTTTCGTCGCATCGTCTGTCTTCGCGGCCTCTGCCTCTTCCTCGTCGATAGTCATCACTTCCATCTCGCCCTCCTCTTTCATCTCGATTCTCTTCGTCAGCAGGCCGCGCGCAGCGAAGAATGACGCCCATCCTACTCGGTTACTCGTGATCGTGTCCTCGATGGGATTCGCCGACACGTCGGAGCCGGCAACGCTTGGATCGGGGTTGGGGGAAGCATCCGACTTCCCTTCTGCCTTCTCTCCCCCCGCCGGCTCGTCTGAACGGGTCAGAGTCTCTTCTCTCACTATCTCCGATTCTGTCTTCACGCTCTCACCACTTTCCTCTACCCTCGTCTGATCTGCTTCCTCGGCTATTGTTGGAGCCACGGAACCATTCCCATACCAGGCCCAAGGCGAAAGCCATGCCAACGTTCCCTGAGACTCCGTCGACCGCACGCTCATCACATCCTCCGCCTGTTCCACTTTATTATCAGGCGCAGCGGGCTCCACGTCTGGCCGCGGTGCCGTATCGCTCGGGAGTGACGTGGCCGTAGCCGGTGAACTGGAGATCGGCGTAGAATTGGGGTTGCGATTGTCAGGGTCAGTAACGGAGATCCGGGGCGGAACGGAATCAGTATGCGCATTTGCTATAGGATTCGCAGGTGCGGAAGCTGAGGAAGACGCAGAGTCAATTTCGTCCGGAGTTACGTGCTGTAAGTCGCTGGCATTAGCCGCTGAGGTACCAGGGTTCGTCGGTGTATCGTCGGGCTGAGAGGCCTTCCACGTCAGATAATCCCACCAGGTCGTACTTGTAGACGTGGTAGTCGTAATCGTCGTCGTAGTTGTGGTAGTTGTTTCGATGATGGGGTCTGCGGAGCTAGCCGACGGCTCAGCCGCATTTGCCTCACCCATGGAGGTAGGTGACTCAGTGATTGGCTGCTGAGGTTCGGCTGGTCTTGGATCACCACGAATGGTTGGGGTCTCCGAGTCTTTGGGGGTTCGTGAGTTACGCAATAGATAAGATAGGCGAGAGACGTACTAGTAGATGAACCGCTCGCGCTCCTCTCAATTCCCTCCGGTGCCTCCGTTGTCTTGACCTCGTTACTCGCGGGGGCCTTCCGTCCGAAGAGCGGGATGCTGAGCGTGAACCTGGAACTCGCCGGGCCGAGCGAAGATAACGTCCTCGGACGAATGGTGCCGTCGTCGCGCAGGTCCGGTGGTGAAGGGACAACAGATGGTGGGCTTGGTGGTGGAGGCGTCTGAGCGCCATTAATGGGCACCTCATCGTCTACCGAGGTCACAGAAGAGCTGTGGGTGGAGCGAAGAGGGCTTGAAACTAAGGGTGATGAGGAGGATATCGATGCGCGCGTGGTGGAACTGGATTTGGTGGGTTTGCTTGCGGCTGGAATAGGGAAGGGAACAGATGACTGGACGGGAGCTGGCTCAAGGATGGGCGGCATGGTGGATGCTGTAGGTGGCGGTTCCGAGCTTGACGGCATGTCGGATTGACTTGGTGGCGACACATCCGTCGTTTGTTGAACCTCCTCCGTGAGGTCGACGGTGAGGGTCGGAGTCACGTCGTCTGGGACAGTGGCCGCGCGCACTTCCATCCTCTCTAGCTTGGGCGCCGTAGCCCGCCCCTTCGCCCTAGACAGCGAGCCAAACCAAGTGGGTCGAGAAGGTCTGCGACGAGACGGAGTTGATGCAGTAGACGCGCTCGTTGCCGCCTCGCTCGACCTCACATCTATACTTCATTCGATTACCGGCATTGTAAAGAGATAATCAGGACGTACCAGTAGCACTACTCCACTCATTGCCCCCACCGCTTGATGACGAAGAGTCCTGGTTCATCGACTGAATTGACGGCGACGGCGTCAACGACGGTGCAGAAGGTTGGCTCAAGTCAGGGAGTTTTGATGCTGCAGATGCTAAAGGGGCTCCTTGCTCTGGCTGCGCGAAAACCAGTGCTAACGTTGGTGGAGTTGATTGTTTCGTGCGCGATGAAAGCGAGCGCCAAGTGGCAGGGGGGACCGATTTTGATGATCTGACTGACTGGGATGTCGACGAACGTCTTGAACTCATCGGAGTTCGCCACAGCGCCGCAAGGATGCACGTTGAGGAGCGCAGCAAGGACGACCTGGGTCGGTGTGACATACGTGACGTCTATCACGTGAAAGATTGACTTCAACTCCTGGACTGAAACGATACGTTCAGCAGCGCTTAGCCATAAAGCTCCTCTCAGTCTCAATCAACGAAATACGACGACAACGCCGTATCCTGGTTTACCATACTAATGGAGACGAATGACGAACCTATTCCGATTTCGCATTAATCAAAAGTCTCAAGGACCTTTCGGGACAGGTAGGACGACGTCGAAATTGTCCAAACGTTGAGACAACGAGGTTCAAGCAAAAATGATCAACTTGGGAAGTACCGTCTTCCACCTAACGCTCCTGACCTGTCTCAACACGTCATGTATCCAGCGGTGCGTAGACGTGCCCCACGACCCAATAAATAAGGAGGGATGTGGCTACGGTTCCAGTACGTGCATATCGAGCATAGATAGATTCCGCATGATGGACTACTGGCGCGCTAGAGACCACTTCCTCAAACTCAACGTTCCTAGTTCTTGTAGCGCAGAGGCGGTTGGTTTGCATCGCTGTATCATAGCGAGCGTTAGCCAGTTCTACCTCGCGTACCCGGGATCCTGCGAAGTCTAGTCTCCTCGTCGACTCGACATCAACCGTGCGAGAACGAAGGTGAATATCTATCTCATCCTGTCAAAACTCAGTCGTGATGGCCTGTAGGCCATTTTGACCTACCTAAATCCTAGTCCACCCGACTCGGTAGCGCTCGGCAAATCTCGCTGCATCGTGTCCACGCCGAGAAGCTTCCCCATGTTCGACCACGAACAGCGCGCCAAGGAGTTACGAAGCTTCGCAAAGTTCGGGGAGCTCAGGCCTTCGCCTACAGCCGTCCAATTGAAGTTGGGGAAGTATTGGGTGGCCACTGGCAAATGGATCTCGACGACGTCGGACGACATGGACGATAGGTTCGTTGAAAGGAAATAGACCCATTGATTCCGTCAGTTATACCGGGCGTTGAGCACCAAGGTGATACTCCTCAGGAGCGGGTGTTGCGCGAAGTCGAGCAACGGTGGTACTGGGTCACCGTCAATACGAGCAAATTCATGTGCAAGGAATACTATACCCTGAATCCTCCTCACAGTGAGCACCACCCTTTCGAGTTTGCTTGGGTGCGCAAGAACATCGACACGCCATTGTGCAAGTCGCCGAAAAGGTCTACCGTGGTAACGTTCTTGATGGATTACAGCCCCATGAGCCACCTAAAGAACACGTTGATTGAAGGGAAGCGTAAGACGCAAGCCACTTTGCTCAGTTCCATCGGCGGCTTCAGAAGCTTTGAGCTGCCGGAGGATGAGGGGAACCGGTCGACTTCGAGAGACCGTAGCTTCGGGAAAACCGCATACGAATTTGAGAAAATCGTGAAGGTCCGTGATCCGCCCCGTTTATCCTGAGGATCTCGAAGTAAGGGAATGAGTTGATGAGAATGGTGTGGTGTTCTTCGTCGGTGTTTTGGGCGTGGAGATGGAGTGATGTGAGTTGACTAGCTCTTCGGAGTCCTTGGTAGCGAGAAAGTCGCCCGGATGGTATATTCGTTAATGTAAGACTTATCATTATGATGAGGGGATACAGGTGGATATGGATACGGCTCTCGATGATGCCGATGAAGAGGTGGTTTTTTCCCATCGTCAGGGAGTTGGAACGAAAGAGGATTGGGCGTACGAGGCAGTACCTCGATACAAAATACTTAGTCTACCCGTCGCACGCCATATTCAGGATCTCCGAGAGGATTTCGAACGATAGGCGCGTGAGTGCGAAGGCAATGGTCGCCGTTTAAGTTGAAGTCTTCTAGATCAGATAAGATAAGGTAAAGACTTAGGCCTCAACTTTTCGAGCCCCGCCGCATCAGGTTTGCGACTTTCGCTTTAACTCTGCGATGACACCGTGCAGTCGTTACGACGGCGAGGATCCCAGATATTTTAGTCTTAGAAGAGCTGAAACCTGCGGCTACCTCCCAACTTGTTGTCGCAACGCTACTTTGCTGTCCCTATCGCCGCCATTCCTCCCGTCTTACGCGCGCCGCACCTGCCAACTTGACTTTGGAGGAGTATGATTGATAGTGACGATGGATTACGGAGATTGTACCCAGTAAGCACCATCTTATTGTTCATAGTTGGCATGCTACTGAAGGACTGGGACCTCTCAGACATACGAACAAGGGCATTGATGAGGAGTAGAAGACTCCTTCCCCTCGCCTCGCCTGGCGCTGGTCCGTTCCGGAATATGTGAATCAGCGCGTCGCGATTTTGCCGCAACCCGGACATCATCCTCGTGTTTTCCTGACACTGGAAGGATATCGTTGGAGCTTCGCCCAAACTACCACATGTAAGTGCTATCTTGCCGTGCTTAACATCATGCTTACGATACGACGTATCGGTTCAGTAGGGGTGCCACTTCTCGTAAATTAACCACCACTTTTCTTTGGTAGATGTATGAACGGATCGGGGGGGGGGGATCGAAGAGCGGTAGAGAATACAGGCGCGAATACCTAGAGCTTATACGATGGTACGAAGGGGGATCACATGGAGACACGACGCTATGGTATCTCAAGGCAGCGGGTAAGTTCATTCACCCTCACACCTTTGGCCGTTCCAATTGACGACGTAGGTGTTTGCTGGAGCTATCCGCTCTGATAGTCACGCCATCAAGATGCCTCCCACAGCTCTCGTCTTATGGGTGCACATTTCGTCGTCCGTTTCCCCCCAAAATCCGCTAATCTACATCTTCGTGCGCAGAGCGGCTGCGAAGCTGCGACGTCCCAATTTCAGGCGCTTTGGCCCTTAGTACTTAGTACGTGGTGCCGTCATAACCTGCATTCAACGACGAGGACCCGCTGGACACCCTGGAGTAGACAATGTTCGCCATCCTTCCGCATCCTGTTCACGACTTTGCTCAGCTTGCCGAAAGAGACGACTTGCATGCGGAAGTGAGTAGAATGAGAGGAGCGGGAGCACGAGCACGATGGATGGATGGATGGATGGATGGATGGAAGAGAACGAGGGGGAAGTAGAATCAGGTACGAAAGTCGGAGGAGAATAGGAAGACGTACCACGATGAGCACGAACGCGAACGGCCTCGAGTTCGATTTTGATTTTGAGTTCGAACGTGACGGGCAGGCTGACGCCGACGTCGATGATGGAGGGGTGTGGGTACCTAAGAACGAGATGATGAACGGGAGGAAGGAGGAGGGTGGGGAAAGAGAGGAAGTGGAATCAGGTACGGATGCGCAGGAGAGGGCACGGAGACGAAGCAGCGCAAACTGAAACCCGAGACCGCACTACGTCAACACCTGCACCAAGGCGACGACGACGAGGCGGATTAGGCCTTGAGGACAAGAGGGAGATGTCACTGGAGACGTTCTGGTGACGCAAAACGCAGGTGAGTGGGTGAGCTGTGCTGGAAGACGCATGAGCTGACCTCGCAATTCTGCTGCTTCGGTGATGTCTCTCCCACCGCCTCATTCCCGCACGGTCGCGCTGACGCTGGCGCAGCAACACGCCTCTGGATAAGCGCCATGCTAAGCACTGACATGCTACGTAGAGTACACCTCCTCCACATCACTAGTAGTATTGCGTACATTCTTCACAAAGATAAGTACATCTCATCGACGAGTCCATCAGGTGGTGCATGACACGTGCACGCGACGGTTTTCCTCTTTTCCATCGCCTCTCCTCTCCTCTCCCCTCAGGCCTCTCCTGCCCCAGGTTTCCAATTCCCCCCGCCGCCCACCCACCTCGGCCTCCACACCATAGGTCGTAGATTGTAGACCATCGACCCGATCCGACGTTTCCTACCTCCCTGTGGTTGTAGCATTCTCGCGTCCTCCTTACTCCCTCCCCATCTCCCCATCTCCCGATTTTCCCATTTCCTTACATGTATTTCCTCTGTCTCCTCCTGCTAGCGTGATGATTCGATCCTCCCCGCGTCGTCACCCCGCGTTGATACTTATTAGCCGACACCCCGCACGCTTCTTGTCTCCGGGTCTGCGTATGTGACTCGCCTCGCCGCCTTCATCTATCACACACACACGTCTCATTCCCTCATGCTTGTGCTTATGCTCGAATTTAGATACTGAATGGTACATCAATGCGATCCTATGATTCCTATTCTTCTGATCTACCTTCTCCCCGATGCCCCACTCCGTAGATTCCGTCCATGTGTCCTCTCCTCCCTTTTGAAGTGGCACCGTCAGTACGGCATTGGTTCGTTATGTTACGTTTGCTTCTCACGTTGCTCTTTATGATCTGTAACGACGACAGCCTAACAGGAAGTTCTCTCGCTCGGCACGTCCACCTGACCCTGCTAGGCATCGCTTCTCCTACTACGCACGGAGTACACGCGCGAAGACCATACTCCCGGGATCAGGCGCACGTCCTCAGACACGAGATCCCACCCACGTCGACCCGCTGCTGCATCAGATCATGTGTCGTGTGTCGTGACCAACGTAATGCTATTGAATATCGAACGGCGGAGAGCCCTGCTGACTTCTCTGATATGGAACGTCGTCCCCAGTGAACTGCCGATAAAAGACATCAACCGCGCTGCTCCCACCTGGCCTCTCATCCCACCCATCCCACCCATCCTACCAATTCCACCAATTCCACCCATACTGCTCACCTCGCATTTGCATTTGCATCTAATACATGTCCGCATCCAAAGGCGTAGCCCTCGTAACAGGCGCCGGCAGAGGCATCGGCCGCGCGATCGCGCTGCGCCTCGCCCGCGACGGCTACTCGCTGGCCCTCAACGATACATCCCCCAACCGCGCCGCCGTCGCTGCCGTCCAGTCCGAGATCGCGCAAATCACATACAGCGGCAGACCTGCCAAGGCGGTGGGCGTGCCGGCGGACGTGACGGATGAGGGACAGGTGCAGGAGATGGTGCGGCGGACCGTCGAGGAGCTCGGTGCCGTTGATGTGGTGGGTGTATTTTATCTTCATTCATAATATATATATATATTGCGGTGTAGTTGCGAAGAGGTGAAAATGCTGACGAGGGCGTCGTTGCAGATGGTCGCGAACGCGGGCATACTCAAGGCGCGGCCGAGTCTGGTCGAGAGTACGTGCGCCTCTACTCCCACCCACGCGTTATGGCTCATGCATTATGCTCTTTTCCAGCGTCATTGGCGGACTTCGACGCGACGTTCGCGGTGAACGTGCGCGGCGTCTTCCTCTGCTACAAATACGCGGCGCAGCAGATGATCGCGCAGCACCGGCAGAGAGGGGGGGCGCCGGCGTCGACGGGGTGCAGCATCATCGGCGCTGCGTCCGTCACGTCCAAACAAGGTACGTGCATTGTAATCGAAACCACTGCGCTGTGTGGGGTGGATAGTGACAATACTCTATCTACTATTGCTGTTGTGTAGCGTGGGCGGGGCTCTCTGCGTATTCGGCGAGCAAATGGGCGGTGCGGGGGCTGACGCAGGCCTCAGGTGCGTGCGCTTCCACTCTCTTCTGCACTGGTGTTATTTATGGCGATTGAGTACTAAAATGCCAACGACCCTTGTTGTTCATATTCCATATTCAGCGCTAGAGCTCGCGCCCTATGGAATACGGGTGAACGCATACGCACCTGGCCTCGTTGATACCAAAATGGGTACGTCCTACTGATCCCGACGATGGACGCACCTGTGACACGTCTATCGAACAGTGGAAAGAATCGCGGTAGAGAGCAACAGGGAGCACTCGCGATACATAGCCGAGGTGCGTGTATATCCCATCGCCCATCGCCCGTCTCCGCGGTGCCAACACCCCGCCAGGAATCGCGCAACATCCCCCTCAAACGCTTGGGCACGCCAGACGACGTCGCCAACCTGGTTGCGTTCCTCGTGTCGGACAAGGCGTCGTATATTACCGGTGCGTTCGACACTAGCCGAGGCACATATAAACAACCACCACAAAACTGACGCGCACTCTCTTTGCACTTACATATCCGTACTTGCGAACATTTTCGCATGGGCATGATCAGGTCAATCGGTGCGTCTCCACCCACACTGTGTCGGTGATCCCGGTGCTGACGCGCAACGCCCAGGTATCTGTCAACGGAGGAGCGTTCTTCGATTGAGGGTTATATAGCTATACGAGGGAAAGAGTGCCGACTCTTATGTGCATTGTGCGTCGAGCTCCGTACGCAGATATCGGCGGTATCAGGTAGTTGTCGGTGGTATAGGAAAATCTAATCCGCGTTTCTTTCTATTTTCTATTCTTTGGCTACGGCCACATTGACGACGATGACGGCGAACACGATGCAGGTGACTGGGCACGGCCAAATCGACCGGGGTGGCCACTCAGAGGCAGTGTTGATGCGTATATGCCGATTCGCATGCAGAACCGTCTATCTGGTGTACATGTACACCCATCTAGGCACGTCGAATCATGCAACGAGACGGCGGATACTTTGCATGGTTAGAGTCTAATGCGTCGTAAGCCGGTGCGGGCCAGAGGTACAGGTACACGATCATCCGTTCGTGTGGTATAGCGAGATTCGACTTCGACGCCGCTGTCCGGTCATCCGTCATCCTTCTATCTATCAAAGCCTATCCACTGACTCCGGACCTAGTGCTGGGTTAGGTCGGCCCAAAACTGGTACTTCTGGACTACCCTACCTCTTTCTTTCAACCTCATCATATCACTTATTGGCCAGAACCCTATCTATCTTATGCCCGGCCAGTGCTAGCACTGGCCGGGCTAAGATAGATGGTGGGGATAACCGTAACACAGTGTCAGAAATCCGTAGCCACACTGTGGCTACGGTGGGAAAATTATATATACCTTGAAATATTATATTAGCACCTCGTAGCCACACTGTGGCTACGGTGAGAAAATTTTATTTACCTGGAAATCTTATAATAGCAACTTGTAGCCACACTGTGGCTACGCTCAGCGGTAGAAAAATTCAATATACTTTTGAATATTGAAGTAGCAATTCGTAGCCACAGTGTGGCTACGATATTTTACTTAGTAATGAGTGGAGCGCGACGGAGTTTCAATCTCGGCCGCCCGGGCGCTTGAGCAGGGTGGAATCACCCTGCTCAAGCGCCGGCGACCGGGTCCGTCGCTGCTGGCTCAACCCAATGGCACGGACGGTTTTAGAAACTCGTAGCCACACTGTGGCTACGGTGAGAAAGGGTTATTGGACGCGCCACCCTCTTACGCCGCCGTCTACGGCACTCAACGACTACCAGCTACTGACTACCCATGTCAACGTCGCCGACTTCGACTCCAGGCTCGATTCCCTCCCCAATCACCCGTCAACGCCCATCAGCGCTGTCCACAGCCATTTCCAGACGCGTACATCCGCCTGCGCTGCCTCTCCTCTCCCACCATCTCCAATGGCGACTACTATGGCTTCTACAACCCCAGCGACTGCCCTATCAACACCACACTGTCCCAGCTCACTCAAATCAAGTCTATGCCCCGAAACGCGCCGAAACGGCCTCGAATGCCCATAAACGATGCCGCAAATGTATACCACTACCCCCACCAACTCTAGCTCCCGTACCCTGCCTAGAATACCCCAAACTGCGTCGAATACCCCGAGCCACGCACAAACACCAAAAACGAGGCGGAGAGACGCGTTCCCGGCCTAGGTAGTGCGTAGTGCGTAGTGCGAATGGGTCAGGCTCCGATCGGATCGCGGGGAAGTGCAGAACGGAGGAGAGGAGAGGCGGGACTATATGAGCGAATGAAAATGAAGATTAGAATAAGTACGAACGAACGAAATGAAAACGAATACGCGAACGAGAACGAACGCGAAACCAATGCGAAACGAAACGGGGAGACGATGGGCAGACGCTGGAGAGATGGGGACATAACGGAATCCGGGAATACGACACGAATGAATGAATGAACGGGGAACCAAAGGGAAGATAACGAAATGCGCAATACGAACAGAACGAAATGGAAAAGACATCGTCGTTCATCACAACCCAACTGCTCCATCTAGCGTGTCTCACCGTCTCACCCCACCCCATCATCTACGAGCACCTTCATATCCATATCCTAAGCCGTATCCTTCTGCTTACAGTACCTTGCTAAAATCGGCTCCGTCGTCTGGTTCCTATAGCGCTGCCTATGTGCCACCGCAATTGCCATTCCCAATTCCTTGTAGAATGTGAATGTAATTAATATATACCAGTAATAACGACGCCCCGTCAACATGTATAGCAAATGATCAAGCGATTACGAGATGTGTCGCTGCAAGAGCCTGCAGGACTGCTCATATGTAGGGGAAACCGCGACGGAAAGCACACGATTGCTGGCGTAGCTTCGGGAGTCGCCTGGGAAGCGGCATCCAGGATGGTTCAAGAGGTCGTGCTCGGCGAAGCTAATGGGCGCAAGATATCTCAGATTCAAAACATAATTATTCTGGAGGGACGTACCGTTTGCTGCTGCCGTCTTCCCCTCCACCTCAAGTTCCTTGCTCTGGAGCTCCTCTTCATTACTAGCGAAGCTTCGCGACCGTAGACCAGCCGCGAATGGAGGTCAATTTTGGCTGTATTCGTGTGTGGAACCTAAGCCGAGCATGAAGGGACTGCCTTTTGAAGTCGTTCGCAATCCTGCGGCCGTTGCTTACGGCTGCGAACGCCTTCGTGAAGCGAATCACTCCCAGGGGAATGGGGACTTACCTTCCGTGTAGTTCACTGTAGAGACCGTGTCCACTGCCTTCTCTGCATCTCCCTCTCTTTTCGCTGGCTGAACGGTTGTCGGTCTGTCTTGGAGACGAATGGAAACACTGGCGCATGCTCCGTGTTGCGCACTACGTACCGGAGCCTGCCGCGTAACCTCGATATGGAGAGGGAGAGGGCGGGAGAGTATAGAAAGGGTCCGTGGCATCCCCTCATCGCCGCGTTGGCGTCCACTTCGTGCTCATCGTCGTCGTGGTTTGCGTGTGAGAGGTGGACGGGTTGAAGACACTGAGTCCGAAGTCGGCTCACGGAGCGGAGCTCGATCGAGCACGTGGCGCTTGTTCTTGCACCACAATGGGCAGCCCCGCCCTCAACGGCCTCAACGTTCAACCTCGATTGTTTTGCTCGCTATCACAACCAGGGAATGGTTGGTGAGTAACTGAGTACCACAGAGCTTGGGCTGAACTCACCACCAGCAACTACTCCAGACAAATCCAGCCCCAGGCAGATCCCGTCGCAAACGTGGACAACAGCGGCGGGTTCCCTGAACGTTGACAACGGCCGACCATGGACAGCAGCGGGGCACGAGCGTCTGCAAGTTTGTTGAACACGCAACGTAGGGAGCGTCGTCAGTCGCTCCCATTTTCCCTCTCCCTCATCCCCCCTCTCTCCGCATTTAACGCCGGACGATTTGCTGGACTCACTCGGAACAACGAGGGCGATCGAGAGCGGAAAATCGACGCACATTTGGCCAGTTCTTACTGCGCAAACGTCTAGTATGTGTCCCACATATTCATTCCCACTGCCTTCTTACTCACACGCTTCGCTCGATCCCAGATACTCTAAGCCGCTTTCCATAAACCCTGTCACACCATGAACACCGCTCAGAGCCTTGTAATGGGCCACAACATGCAGCCAACTCACAAGCACGCCGCGAACACGCCCTACGGCCATCCAACGCGTCCTGATGCCCAAGCTGGCGCCAATACATTCTTCAATATCCAAAATCGGCACGCACGCCCTGGAAAATGCTGCTCATCACAGAACGGCTCGGGAAACGAGGGAGGCGAATGGGAGGCGACGAACAAATATAAATGGGCAAACGCGAACGGCGTAATGGAGAAACGGAGCACGCAAAATGGGGGGTAGCATATGTAGCGGGTAGCGGGTAGCGGGTCGTGGCGCAAACAGAGAAACGGGGAGAGAAATGCAGAAATGAAGACATGAACAACGAAGTAATTGCAAAACAAGTAATGAAGAAATGAAGACGAAGAAATGAAGAAAGAAACGAAGGTAGAAAGGAAGACGTCTGCGTGCGCACCCTCGCCTCGACGACTCGACGACTCCTCTCCAATAATCTTCTGAATCCGAATCCCGGGGCCGGCGTGAGCGGCTGCAGCACGATGCGCCAAACGCACGGGCAAACGCGAACACCACCACCGACGACGACGACGACGTGGGCATGGTACTAACAGAAACGCAAGCGCAAACGGCAACGCCAACATAACCACGAATACGCAACGCAGGAGACGACCGTGAAGGACGGGCGCAAGAGGGGCGGAAACGCGCGCACGCACGCCAACGCCAACACTGATGCCAATGCCGACGTGCGGGCGAGAACGCGGGTACGAGACGCAAGGGGCTGCAGCCTGCAAATGCGAATGCACATGAACATGAGCACGAACTTGAACACAAATACGCACCGGGAGCGGGAACGAGAAGCAGAGCGGGAGCGGGACGGAGCGCGACACAACACGGTGCAGGAGGAACGGACGAGTGGGAGGGAGGGAAACGGAGGCGGGGGCGGGGGCAGGAACGGAAACGGAAACGGAAACGGAAACGGAAACGGAAACGGGAAAGAAACTGATGGGGGACGAAGTGGACGGACAGGTGAATCCAGAGTGCAGGCCATTCATCGTGGAAACGAGGTAATTTCTCCCATCCGTCGTTATGCTGGAGAACGTAGTGTTCCCGCTTCGTGACGAGAGGGAGTGTGGTGGAGGGGGGCACCGTGTCGCTGCGCCAAATTCCACGGCGCTGGTCGTGTTGAAGTCCGAGTTCAGGGAGTCCCGACGACGGAACGGGACGAAGTTTGAACCTCCATGTGGCTGGGCGCTTGAGCATAGTGTTCCATATGCTCAAGCGCCGGCGACCTGGTCCGTCGCCATCGATAAGGTATCTCCCACGTCGTCTACCTCGCCTACAACACCCAATCGGACACGTACACACAGTAAATCACCCTCCAACATCCATTTGTTACCCCTAGGGAGATAGTGAGATAGGGAGGATCGAGGCAGCACCTCGGCATAGACCAAGTATGTCCTCTCCACGCGCCACAACGAGCAAATGCGAGCTCACCGCGCTGTGTAGGCACTGGCCAGCGTAGCATTCAACCCTGCGACCAACTTTCGCATTCACACCCCGCATGAATGGCGCGCTATGAGCCTGCACCCACTTCAACTGACAAGCGACGTCAACGGCGACGGTACGGACGAAATTGATGTGGCCTCGAAGCGCGCAGTCAACGTAGACGAGGCGAGTATACTCCAGGCCAGCAACGAGGTATGGCACGACAGGAAGGCAGCGAGGAGAAGGAGATGCACAATGTCCCGTTCAGGCGCTGGGGGGGAAAGAAAGTCGAGGGGAATTAAATGGCGCGGCGCGGGCCACTAAGGTGAGTTGGTCGTTTTCGCAGTCTAAAACGTACTGACCTGCTTACGCCCCGTCGACAGTGTGGACTTCATCCAACAAGTCCCTGGCTTACACGTTTACACGTACGGCGGCCTGCAACCTAGAGGCAGCGGCATAGCCCTCGATCGTAGGGGACCGCCTTGACAAGGAAGGGTGTCGACGCTAGATAATGTCGATGGCGATCACGAAGAAGAAGAGGTACTTATACGGCATCAGTAAGTCTCTCGAGTCAGCAGAAACGGCAATGAGGCTCACATATGGACACAACCCAGACTTTGGGCGGCGAAGAGGGAGAGACAGCGGCAGCGTTGATGGGAGCAACCGGAGAGGGTAGCAACGACGAACGCGACGGGGAAGTAGGCTCGAGTGGGTTGAAAACAACATCGAGCGGGGGAGAGGTGGTGAGGAGAGGTGGGGAGAGGCGGGGAGAAGCTGAAGTGCAGGAAAGGGAGAAGGGAGAGAGAGGTAAGCAGGCAACGAATTGCTGCCCCCCCTCCATCTTGACCTTGCCTTTTTTATAGCTTTCGAATCTCCCATTACGAACGGGGCTACCAACGTGCGCAAGGACGTGAACTCTATAAAATGGGATTGAGCTAGAACGGGAAGGGAACGCCCGGACCCTAGGCGTACGGGGATACTTGGAGTTTGGCGTCCAGCTGCCCTCGCAGACGCGGTGCACTTGCTCCAGGTCGACCCGGTTCGTCAGCTCGCCAGCTTACAATACGAGCGCGGGAGATGGATAGATGAATGCTAGATGGGAAGGAAAGGTTGGCATTACGGGATCGACACCACCTCGCAACCAGGGCGCGTGCAGCCACAGAACCACGAACACTGCTCGCAAATGGAGGTGGACGTGTACACCTAGTTGCTGAGATTGTGGAGTGGCGATCCATCAGAGGTACGTATGTGTCGTTCTTGCCGCCCTTGCGCGTTATTGATTTATTTTGGGCCTAGGTTACTTCCTGGATACCGAACTCAGGGCAGCACGTCGCTAGGGTGCATGTCGAATCCAGTGTCCACTCGTAAATGGGGAGGGTGCGAGGCTCAGCGATCTGGGGGTACGCAATAGCAGTAAGTCTGGCCTTCTATGTGATTCGATGATGTCGAGAGACTCATATGTTGGTTTACAGATCTTGTGGGGTGTCGGAACGCGGTGACTGGTGGGCAAGCAGTTGCAGACACGATTTGACAGCGAATTGGAGCTGTGGGTGGCAGTTCGAGCGGGATGGATACTCCGGGACTGGGCAGCTACGACATGCACGCATGCCCGCGCTCTCTGCGAAACAGGAACGACCCACCAACATGATGTGTGCAGCAGCGTCTCTCCTTCATCCCTGCGCCCCTCCACGACATCCCCACTCTCCGGTGCTTACCCATTCTCTTGCACAACCCCAGCACCTCTAACCTCTAACAACCACTTCACACGGGGATAGCAGGAAATAGGCGATGTTGATTTCGGGGGTAGGAACCCAGGAGCGCGACGCCCGCGCCACATCGACAACTAGCCTTCATCGATCATCCCCCAAGGGCTCCCCAGCAACCTTGAGGCAGCGGGAGCGCGTCCAGATCCCAGGGGACCGCCTTGACGAGGCGCTGCAACAGCAGTTAAGGTCGACGGCGAAGAGATACTGACAGTGTTGACGAAGACAGAGAGGGTGCAAGGGCGCTGGCTGGAGCTGCGTCGAGTGGGTCAAATACGACCCTGAGGAGAGCAGAGGGCGGGAGATGGGAGGATCGACGGTGGAAGAGGCAGAAACAGGGAGGTGAGTAGGCAACGACTTGCTGCTGTCTCCCCTACTCACCTTGCCCTCTTATAGCCTTTGACCGCCCAATCCTCAGCAGAGCTATTGGATCACGGTCACACGCAGCTAATTCAATGGGATGGGAGTTGCTCCTGGGCGTCAAGTGTTACGGAAGGACAAACGCCGAATGCAGGCCAGCATTTACTGTCTTCGTCGTCGTCGTCGTCGTCGTCGTCGTCGAGACAGCAGGTGCAGGCGCAGGTATGGGAGATTGGAGGTGCTGTGGGGAGAGGTCAGCGATGCGATCACGGAGAGGAGGAGAACGAAGCGAGATGGAAAGGGAACTCTAGACGTGCTCAACCATCTACGACACCCCAGCCCTTCTGTACCACCCGTCTCCTCCCACCAACTCCAACGGCGGTCCAGCGGCTAGTACAACGACCCCAGACTACCCCAGAAACCACCCACTACCCCACGAATCCCCAAATCAAGTCAACGCGCTGATCGCACGAACCAAGACGATAAAGGTAAATGAAAGCAACAGCAAAAACCAGACACGGCGTAGGCAGGCAATACCGGGGCGAAGGCAAAACGGGGCGAAGGCAAAGAACGTGTTACGATGGATGATATCAGTCACAGGGCTTCGTCGAAAACTCGTATCTTCAAAGGCTTACACCGCAGGTATTCTTCTACGCCACTGCCGGTCGCGAGGGTCTCATCGATACTGTGCCGTCGGTGTCACAGTGCCATACCAAGCGTAAACCCGACGATGAGCCCGCGCAGAGACGCGCAAGGTCTCGCGCAAAGGCGACGAAATGACGAAGACGAGTTACAGCATGAATATGAGCACACGAAGAGAGCACTGGGGGACACAGAAGAGCCAGTCATGGGGATTGTGCAAGATACCCTTTGAGGTATACGCAAGCTTGCGCTGCGAGACACGTTCATGGACTGGAGAGCGCCAACATCTTCGTCGACGCCTGGCGGCAAGCTTACCTATCTATATTATCCGATGGAATAGGCAGCTTATTCCGCTGACCTCCTCAGAACCTAACGCCACAGGTGCACCCACCTCCGTTAGGGCCTACTGATGGAGGATCACCTTGTGGCGTTAGGTGTTTCTTGTCCCGTTGTCCCTCCACGCCCCCTTCTTCGTTGAGAATGTCGCTGAGCGTAGCGAAGCAACCGTCGCTCCCCGACCCAGGGTTAGGTGACGAAATATGTCCGGGCATGCTAGGAGAGTATACTGATAAAATTTCTACAGAGATAGCTTACCTCCTGCTCGTGCTATAGCTCAAATACCGTTTCGGTACCAGGAGAAGAGGGTGCCAATAGCCAGGATGTTGGTACAAGTTAACGCCACAAAGACCCATCTCTAGGTATACCCCCAGGCTATATGGGAAGCCCTTTCCCATTTACTTGTACCACTTTCTCCTCATGCAGCAGCTGGATTACTACCTGCAAAACCACTATACTGGCTACAGAGCACTGGGAAAGTGGTACAAGTAAATGCTACTGGGCTCCAAAAGTTCCTATATATATCCCCCAGGATTGGACCATAGCCCCAAGTACTTGTACCATCAGCTGCCTGAGCTACAGAATTATCTTTGTGTTTTATTTAATGCGCCCCTGTTCCCCTTTTCCCCTGACTTGCCTATCTATATTATCCGACGGATTACAGGGTGTAATCGGTCGACCTTCTCCGTTCGCGGCGCAACAACTTCACACACCTCCGTTAGGGTGTTCTGATGAAGAATCACCTTGTCGCGCCGAGTTGCGCCGCTTCCCCACGCTCCAGTGCCCCCTTCTTCGTCGAGAATCTCGCTGAGCGCAGCGAAGCAACCGTCGCTCCCCGACCCAGGGTTAGGTGACGAAATATGTCCGGGCATGTTAGGAGAGTATACTGATAAAATTCCTACGGAGATAGCTGCCCTCCTCCTCGTGCTGTAGCTCAAATACCGTTTCGGTACGAGGAGAAGAGGGTGCCAACGGCCAGGATGTTGGCGCGACTCGGCGCAACAAGTACCCATCTCTAGGTATACCCTCAAGGTATATGGGACAACTTGTTGCGCCGTGTTGCGCCGCTTCCTCATCATCCAGCAGCACGTTTACTACCTGCAAAACTACCATACTGGCCCCAGCCACTTCAAACAGTGGCGCAACTCGGCGCAACAGCTCCCCAAACCTCCCCATATATATCCCCCAGGACTGGGTCGTTGTTGCGCCGAGTTGCGCCACCATCTGAGGAAGCTGTGGAATTATCTTTGTGTTTTATTTAATGTGCCCCTGTTCCCTCTTTCCCCTGACCTGCCTATTCAGGCAGCTGAGTGTTCGCATTTTCTCACAGTTACAATACATCACAACTCCGACCTCACTACTAAATTAGTTTCTCACAGTCAGTAGCCCACATTAGGGACTTCAAATTCCGCTCTAATGACACTTTTTGTAATGAAACATGGTCAGAACCTGCTCCAATTGCTTAGGTATATAGAGGAATGTTGTTCAGAATAATAAAAAGCATAAGATGCAAAAGCTCCGAAGTAGTTAGGGCCATTTTAAAGCAGTCAAGAAGGGCAAAAATGCGAACTTAAGTAGCAAATAGTGGGCTACTGACTTAGGGATTGACTTTCATGACTTGCTTGAGTGACCAAAAGTGTTCAGAATGCGAAATTACATAGGATACAATTGACAGTATATACCTAGCATATTTTAAGGACAAGCTACAGTCTCCAAAATGCGAAATTAGCAGGAAGAATGAGCTGTACTGCCTCAGGATTTGATTTTCATGGCTTGCTTGAGTGGACAAAGTTGTTCAGAATGTAAAAGAACATAAATCCGATGTGGGGCACAATTTGTAGCAGCAGATATTGCCATTTAAATTGAGCAAAAATGCGAAGTACAGCCAGAAGGTGACTCCTAGCCCCCCTAGATCATGTGCTTACAGAAAACCTCTGAAGTATTCTGTAAGCACATGACCCAGGGGAGCTAGGGGACATTCCCACAGGCAAAGAACAACAAAATTCGCTCAGAGGGCCTTTTTTTTTGTGAGTACAAGGGCAGGACTTGTCCCAATTACTTAGGTATATAGAGGAAAGTTGCTCAGAATGATAAAATACATAAAATGCAAGAACTCCGAAGTAGTTAGGGCCATTTTAATGCAGTCAAGAAGGGCAAAAATGCGAACTTAAGTAGCAAATAGTGGGCTACTGACTTAGGGATTGACTTTCATGACTTGCTTGAGTGGCAAAAAGTGTTCAGAATGCGAAATTACATAGGATACAATTGATAGTATACCATTGGCATATTTTAGGGACAAGCTACAGTGTCCAAACTGCGAAATTAGCAACAAGATTGATTTATAATGCCTCTGGATTTGATTTTTATGACTTGCTTGAGTTGTTCAGAATGCGAAATTACATCGAACTGATTCAATACAATGTAAGATTAGAGGGTGAACCAGCAGCATCAGAAAGTACCAATGAGAAGGGAAGTCTCATCTTCCTTTAGTTTGTTCTTAACTCAAAGATGCAAAATCTATACTGACGTCCTGGCGTGGGAAAGTGTTATGGAAGAACTGTATAGCTAATTTACAGTTGAAGCGGAGTCCGAAATTATTATCTGACATCAATCCATCAATTTCTCTTCTTTCTTCTTTACCACTATCTGATCTTTGAGTGAATTGTTGTTCAACTGAATCCCTCAACAACTGCTTAGTTTTAGTTACTCCGTCTTGCTATACCAGTTTTCTACTACATAAATTGATACAGTATATACAAAAACAGATCAAATACATATAGTATATATAAAAAAAATGGCCTCTTTACTTCCTTTTGCTCAAGTTCTTGATAAATTTCCTTCTTTATTATCTTCTGATGCTTTACAACTTCCTCCTCCTGTAAAAATTCAAGTAGAGTCTGATGTTGTTAGTGCAGAAAGCCCTAGCGAGCTCAGTAGTTTACTGTCAGAGTTTGAACTTGGGCATTTTATTCTTGATTTGAATTATGCTCAGCCTCACCCAGGTACATTCTTTTCCCATTTTGAAGACCAAACTGATACATTTTTGCTAGATCAACGACCTCTGATTCCCGGCCATGTTCAGCAATTCGTCAACGACATTGAGAGTGGCCTGTTGGGTCCGTATCATCAGAACAGCCCTCTACTCGTCATCGCTCAGGGCCCTTGCCCAATCGTTACCGGGCCTGGCATATGGAGTCATCCTATTGTCGATGGCAAGCCTGTTGAGTTCCTGGTCATTGCTGGTCAGCATCGTCTTGCTGCGATTTGCGCCAGTAACCTCTGGCTGAAGCACTGGAAATGTTTGGTTTACCGTCGCGGTATGTTGAATCTTCTATTTTCAGTTGCAATAACTCACTCTTTACTCAGAGCTGCTTGATTTATCCAAGCCCCGGACTATGGAGCTCTACATGGCGCAGATCAACGAGAGGCAAACAGCGCTGGAGAACTCAGACGATGTTCTTCTTCCCTCGGTTATTAATGTTCTCATGGCTTGCTACAGCCATGGGAACAGGAATACTATCGCTGCAAAAACAATTCGGTCATTCCCCAACCGCGGTTATCTCAACTTCATTTTACGCATGCCTGCCGCCTTACGCCCATTACGAGATCTGCTCATCACCTGCCCCGACTTCGCACAATCTAGCAAGTTCGACATTATGATGAAAGAGTTAGGTGCAAGTCGCAATCCTGAGGTAAGGGCTCTCTTTAAGATTGCACTGTGAACTTATCTGTCTTGCGTATAGCTGGTTGCTATGATCTTGGAGACTTGCAAAGCCCATGGAGAGTTTCTATCCACTGGCGCGATACTTCGGCTGGAGCGGCTTTGCAACGCAGAGGACACAGACCAGCACTGGGGTAACAAGAGATCTCTGTTACGTACAGCGTGGTATGCATCCGATGCCGTCTCGTGGAACAGAGTCTTCAGTGGAGTCGTCAATAAAACACTCCTCAAAAGCTGGGTTGAACACTTGCCTACTTTACGCGGCTATCCTTGCGAAACATGGGACGATACTGAGTTCGTTCAAATGGGCTTTGAGTTTCACCACATACATGACGACTTTGGTATGCTGAACTCACGTTTGGTAAGCTATATGATTAATATACTGCTGCATACACACTCATCAAAATATTAGATGTTGACGCCTAGATCCTTTGTTGCGCGTCCAATCCGTGATGGTATCATGGCTCTTCCTCAAGGACATCCCATGCAAGTCATACATATCGTCAATACGATATTGCGGTTTGTAAGTCTATAATATTTGATGGTACTATTTGTAACTGAGAATATGCTTATTAGCTGATTGTAATCCTGGGTGACCCACAGTCCCTAGTATCAATCCTGAGTGTTGCAAAAGCTGCACCTTTGGATGATGAACAGCAATATCCCATGCTTGCCCTCAAAAGTGCCTTGCCTTTTTGTAAACCAGACAGCAACTTAAAGCTGGAGAACATTCAACAAGATAAGTGGCCACGAAAGGTATGATATT